CCATTTCCTCCTATCGCAAGGCGGCTCCGTCCATCTCCGCAATCGCGCCGGCCGAACCCCACTCTTCCTCGCAGCTAACGCTGGCCTCTCAGAGAACGTCATTCTCCTCCGCAAGTCGGGTGCTCACCTGCACTCCGATGAGCGACCCGCGGCTGCGCTGTTGGCTCGTCATCGTCCCTCGGTCTGGGGGTTGGCGGGGGTCGGACCGAAAGAGATTAGCCAGCGCGAGATGGACGAGGAGTGGGATTGGGACGCTGGTCGGGGTAGGATGACGGCTGGGTCAGCACCATCTTAACATGTTAATCACGGGTGTCATATGATGTGCTCTACTTTTTATATTTTTATATTTTCCTTTTTTCCTGCTCCTTTTATTCCCCGTTTTTGGACACTCAGAAAGACCGTCAGCCCACAAGACCGAGAGTACCCTTGAGCCTGTCGTTTCCTTCTTTAATGCAGCTAAGACTGTTTTAGTTCTGCGCTTGCACCTGCTAGACATTATTCCAGACGACGCTAGAATATAGAGTGATCACGGGGTTCATTGCACCATTTCCCATTTCCTTTTTCTCATGTCCCACTCCCCTAGGTTGCACAGTATTGCGGCTGATATATACTGAAATAGGACTTGAAACCCGGCACTTCATGCCCAATGCCCAAACAAGCTGTACTCCATAGCTAAGAACAATAATGTAAATGGCTAAGAGCAAGTCCGCGGAGATCGGGCCCTGCCGCACCAAGCCACCAAGTGGGGAAGATAAGGAGGTTTTCTTTTCCTGGTTTTCTGGGGTTAGGGCTTCGTAGGTTACATGCTTCGTCACTGTTGAGGTTCTAGATGTTAGAATGGTGGGGTAGCCTGCAGAATTCATTGCTTTTCCCCCTATTTCTTTTCTTTTCTTTTTGTTGCTTTTTCGTATTTCCAAACTGTATACAAGGTGGACACGTATAAACACCGTTTCTCTCAAGTAATAAGTAACCCGCCAAATCCACCGATTGCCTCATAGATCTAGAAAATCCTCTCATGAATGATGTGATGCATTGGGTTTGCGGGGTTTCGAAATTTTAGCGTAGGCGATCTGAGGGTAAACAGCACACCATACGGAGTATAGAGTGCTAGTACATGCCCATAGCATAATCCGTATACCCGTCCTCGTCTTATCTTACCATTTAGGGATGATGTTCCCATGCAGAAACAGGTACATGAACTCCTGTCTTCAGGTACACATGTACACATCGCCCACTATAACAGGTGTAACTTATGGATCGGGTGGGTTTTGGAGTAGCAGCCGCCGCAATTGGTTGAGTAGGCCCCAGCAGATATACGGAGTACACCACGTGAGGCTACCCCTGGCAGATTGTTGGTGGAAGTCACCTGCGCTATTTAGTTATTCTTAGGCTCGGAGGGGCCATCCGAGGTTGCTCTTGGCGTTGTATAGATGTACTGTAGGTGTAGTTGTATCTACATGTATAGTTATAGGTGTGACTATAAGGTGATTGTGAAATAGCTGTCTATAGATACATACCTAGTAAGAGTAGGAGTATAAGCTCATCCGAGTCCCGAAAAGTGTACGGTCAAGGATCTTCCCGGTGCCGAATGGCCGATTTACGTAAAGAAAAGGACTCGATTTTTCTTTTTCCTTTTTTTTTTTTTTTTAGTCCCGCGATGGTGTCATATGAGACTTGAATAAGTATAAGTATATACCTAGGTAGGCTTTATAGTGCACTTGACTGATCCTCTATTAGTGCCTACTCTATACTCTTATCTTATCCTCCACCTTTCCGCAAACAGTCAAATTGCGAAGTTTGGGAATTGAATTTTTCGCACCGCCGCTGATCCAAAGTATTGGAGTCTGATGACTGTTCCAATCGCATAATTTCGGAGACCTTTCAACTTTGACCTCCCAAGGTACCCCACCACCTCGCCAAGGCTTACTCCGGATTTTCTTCTTTTATCTGGCCTACTCCCTCTCATCTGATAACCACTCTATACTTCTCCTCCCCCGGACCCTCCACCCTCCACCCGGATGACACAACCGCAGAAGACCATTGCCGTGGTCAACGCGACAGGCCGGCAAGCGGCGTCGCTAATCCGCGTCGCGTCCGCCGTGGGGTACTCAGTGCGCGCGCAAATTCACTCACTGAAGGGCACAATCGCACCGGAGCTAGCCGAACTGCCAAACGTGACACTCCTGCAAGGACCACTCCTCGGCAATGTCGCCCTAATGGACGAGCTCTTCAAGGGCGCGCAACTCGCCTTCATCAACACCACCTCCCAGGCCGGCGACGAGGTCGCCATCGGCCGGGCCCTCGCCGACGCTGCCAAACGAGCCGGTTCTATCCAGCATTATATCTATAGCAGTATGCCGGATCATTCGGTCCATGGACCTTGGCCGGCTGTTCCGCAGTGGGCGCCCAAGTTCACGGTGGAAAACTATATTCGCCAGCTGGGCATGCCGGCGACTTTTGTCTACGCCGGTATCTACAACAATAATTTTACTAGCTTGCCATATCCGCTTTTCCAGATGGAGTTGCTGGCTGATGGGAGCTTTGAGTGGCGTGCGCCGTTTGATCCGGATATTCCACTGCCCTGGCTGGATGCGGAGCATGATGTGGGACCGACTCTGCTGCAGATTTTCAAGGATGGAACGAAGAAATGGAACGGTCATCGGTAGGACAGCCCCGGATCCTGACAAAGAAAGGGAAAGAGAATGAAGAATGAAAGACTGACATCCACTAGCATTGCACTCACATTCGAAACCCTCTCACCCCTCCAAGTCTGCGCAGCCTTCTCGCGCGCCCTCGACCGGCCATGCAATTATGTCCGCGTACCCAAAATCGAAATCAAGGTCAATATCCCACCTGGGTACCGAGAACAACTAGAAGCCCTAGAGATCTTGTTCGGCACATATGACGCACCCTACTTCCCACAACCAGAATTTTCACAGCCAGCCGCTGGCTCACCAAAGGGTCTCGGGCCGGCGGGTGGAAAGGGTGCTGGTGCGGGTATGATGCAGGGGCCTGGTGGGGTTATCTCGCTGCGGGTGACGGACGAATCTCGACATCTGTGGCAGGGCTGGCGCGATATGGAAGAGTATGCGCGGGAAGTGTTCCCCGTGGAAGAGGAGGCGAATGGGTTGGATTGGATGCTTTAGTTATCTATGATGACTTTGCTTTTCCTCTTTCTGCTCTTTGCGACTCTTCCTTTTTTACTCTTATCACGACAGTTCGACCGGGTGAGACGTGCATGGTGATGATGTTCTGTGCATGTACACTTACCTTTTGCTGTTTTTCCCTTTGTTTTAATCATTGCATTCTTGGCGAACCGGCATGGGATAAATGGACTTTCATGACTTAACCTCGGTTCTTAATCGGAAAGATGCTTGGGGTAGCATCGAACGAGGGTTGTCCATTTTACGTGGTTTGACATGGTTTGATCAGATCGATCTCAGACTCGCCACTGAAAAAAAAGTGTTTTTGTTTTTTTGTGTTTCGATTGCTTTTGCTTTTGTTTCGTTCAGCCTCAAGCTCGAAAAGGAGACAAAAAATATGGAATAAGATATCCCGACTCTGGCTATTGTCAGATTCATGTGTTCAATGCTATGATCACGATTATGCCCACTTCACCACTTCTACTTTCTTTACTTTACTGTACTATACTATACTCTCTTCTTCTACTATATTAACTAGCAAACCCCGACTCAATCCCCGACGGTCCCCGTCAACAATCCACATGACTCACAATGAACCAACCTCCGCCATCTGCAGGTCCCCGTGCGCGCGCCTAGGTTCATCCTGCAGACCGCTTCTCTTATCTCACTCACGTGCGACAAATCAGAAACAACAAAAAGAAACAGATGGGCAGATAGATAGAGAACGGCACGCCGGAGAGCGAGTCTAGTTTACTAGGTGTCATTTCTAGGGTGGGCAAGTCTACCCGGCAGAAGGGGGATATACTTCTAGAATTGAGGTCGAAATAAAGTATTACGATGAACTGGGTTATGTTTTCTTTTTTTATTGTTCTTTCCCACGGTCCCGCTATTCTTGATGTATCTCATATTGTTATAGGCTGAGCTGATAGCGGGAGGAGTGCGGAAAAAGCAACGTGGTTTTGGGGTTGTTATTGGGGGTTGAGCTTATGAGCTTGAAAGAGGTAGAACGAGTCTACTCTGTGGTATCCTGATCATGATATTAATTGACCACTGTCATTTTATGCTGTTTCTTTGCTGTAGATTCAAAGAATGGGTTTATACTCCTTACACACAAGCAAATGTTTTGTTTAGCACTTTGGGAGATAAGTTCAAAATATTCCTACTACAGCTTTCTTTGTCCTTCAATATAGAATGTTCTGATATACTGTATTGCTGATGATAGATGAGCACTTCTGTAGAATCCATTGATGACACTTGGAAACGAGGATTATAGCCTCCCAAATTGAGCTAAGATGTCGGTGAAGAGATTGTGTTCCACGCTAAGCCCCTCATTCTGATAAGGAACATTTTTTTCTCGTTATCGACAAAACATCGTCGACATTTTTGTCTATGAATCTATAGCTCCAGCTTTGTACTTCGTGCATTACAATTCCTGCCCGAACCCCTTACAACCCAACGGCAGAATAAATACAAAGCCGAACATTCAAGAACCAATTGGCACAGGTCCACAGACTAAAGATCAGCATCAGAGTTTTCTCTTCGTTTGCCTTAACTACAGCTCTAAACCCCACTAAGTTGCTGGGGGACACCTGGGTACGAGGAGATACTTGGGTAGCCGCACTGCGTACCATGGAACCAGAGGTACCACCAGGTATTACCATGTAGCACTCTAGCTTAGCAGTTTGTAATGCTCGTCATCCGCATCAGGACTTTTTTTTTTCCTGTCCCGCTTCAAATTTTATCTTTCTCCCCTTTTCGAGATTCTTCTGCACTCTCACTCTCTCCCTTTATTTTAACCATACTTCCTTTGATTCCTTTACGACTTCATAGCTTTACGTTTTCACGAAATATTACATCATGTCTACTGAGGATCAGTCGCTCCTTGAGCGCGTCGAGGCGCCCAGCATCCCTGAGTCTGCTATGAAGCAGATCGCCATTCTGGAGGAGCAGTTCGCTCGCGCTGAGGTTGAGCAGAGTATGTTCTATCTCCCAATTCTTGTGAACCTGTTGGCAGCTCTGCAACCACCGGGAATACCTCTCGAATCGAATAATGAATTCATGCTAACAAAAAATCTAGTGCGCAACACTGTCAAGCTTACCCAGCCTCTGATCAACAAGCGCGCCGAGATCATCAAGATGCCCGAGGTGCAGGCCGAGTTCTGGATGCGCGTGTTCGCCAGCGCTCCCCCGAGATTGACGAGTACATTCTGTCCGACGACGCCGCCGTCCTGGGCGAGGCCCTGACCAACATGACCGTTGAGCGTTTCGAGCTCGACGCCCAAGGCAACGGCGAGCCCCGCTCCCTGCGCTTCATCTTCGAGTTCAAGACCGGCGAGGAGAACCCCTTCTTCACAAACGACAAGCTCGTTAAGGACTTCTACTGGCGCCAGGAGGTCACCAAGAGTTCCTCTGGCCGAACCCGCACCTGGGAAGGTCTCGTCTCCGAGCCCGTGCGCATCAACTGGAAGAAGGACAAGGACCTGACCCGGGGTCTTCTTGACGCTGCTTGCGACCTTTGGGAAGCTGAGAAGAAGAAGGGCGGTGACCGCAAGAAGCTGCCAGAGTTCGCTGCCCTCGTTAACAAGATTGAGGAGGCTGCCGAGGCTGAGGACGCCGCTGAGAATGACGATGATGAGGACATGCCCAGCCCCGTTGGCATGAGCTTCTTCGGTTTCTTCGGTTACCGTGGCCGTGACGTTTCTGCTGCTCAGTCTAAGGAGGCTGCCAAGGAGATCGAGGCCCGCTGGGCCAAGGTCCAGAAGGGCGAGGACATCACCGAGGGTGGTGACAGCGATGATGAGGATGAGGATGATGACGAGGATGGACTCGAGGTTGCCGAGATCTTCCCCGACGGTGATGACCTCGCCGTTGCCATTGCTGAGGACCTCTGGCCCGATGCGCTCCGCTACTACGGTAAGTAGACGCCCGCCGAGCCGTGAGATGGATCGCTAACTAGGACTGCAGTTCAATCCTACCAGAATGCCGATGATCTCGAAGACATGGATCTCGAAATGGAGATGGATGAAATGGACGAAGATGAGGATGAAGAAAGTGAGTCGCGCCCGCGCAAGAAGGCTCGCAACTAAACTGCACCCGAAACGCCAATGACCCCCCTGTTTGATTATGCCTTTCTTTTCCTAACCCCTTGATTTTATGTATTATCACAGTGCAATGAGGAGGATCAATAATAAGACGAGAACGAAGATAAGCGCCGCGATACAAAAGGAGGACCATGTATCTATTTAGAAAAGTCAGTTTGAATTGTGATTCCCATAATATACCAAAATCCCAGAGAGAAAGACCAAAGTAGATTCATACCTTCATTCTTGCGAACAATATGTTTGATCCGCGACATGCCATTCGACAATTTCCCCCAACACGATCAGCCAGCGAATCAACCTCATCAATCATAACAGCCTGATCCTCAAGCTCACGGCCCATATCATCAGCCTGCTGCCGCAAATTGCCAACAGTACGAAAAACCCCATCAAGCTGCTCATCCTGCTCATGCATAAGTTCCGTCTGTCTCTGCTGCTCCATAGAAGCATAATAATCATCTCCACCACTCCCACGTCCACGCCCACGCTCTTCCTCCTCCAGAGCCGCATCAAACTCCGTCGGATTCGGCAATGCATCGCCCGGCGCAGTATTCGAAACAGCCTGCTGTAGTTCCTGGTGCATCTGCTCGACTTCATCGCCAACATCGTCGACGAGTTTGCGGCGCCGCTGCACCTCCTCTAGTTCTAGGCCATAACGGTAGGGGTCTTGTTCGATTGCACGCACGCTCTCGACTAGGTCGTTGAGGTCCGCTGTTAACTCTGTTAAGATGCTTTCTAGTTCTGAGCGTGCTTGCTTGAGCTCGGGGTTTGAGGGGCTTTTGGCTAGGGACCGGATGCGGAGGTATGAGGAGAAGAGTGGTCGGCTGGTTTGGAGGGTTGAGACGACGTCGCTGGGTTGCGTTAGTTAAGTATTGGGTTGATGAGTGTAACGAGATATACTCACGCTTGGACTTGTAGGAATGGGTCTGCGTTCGCCATGGTGTATGTGGTTGGGAGGTTGGTGATGGACTCGGTGTTGACAACGGAGCTTGGCTCGCCCCCGGCGCAATGGGATGACTCAGCGGATTTCGGGCGATAAAAAAGATAACAATTATCCCCACAGTCGAGATTGACCCTCATTCCCTCATTCTAGCATTTTCTTGTTTTCAATTGTTTCGTTTTTGATGCTTCGCTGGTATTGAACATGGCGCCTAGAAGTCCCCTTCCTCTTTCTGCTGAATGGCGGGATCCCGACGAATATGTCCAGGCACTTCTTTCCTTTGCGACTGAGTCGGTCATGTTCATCAACCTTTGCGGTGGGGTGCATATTCTCGATTTTTTGACGCGCGAACCCGATCTATATGCGACACTACTGCCAGAGGATTGGAGAGCATTCTTTGGTCAACATGATATCCATAGCATCTTGCAATTGCTCCTACGAGAAGATATCAGCCCACTTTGCGAAAGCGCAGAAACGAACAACAGAACCTGGAACGGCGGCGCATTCCCACCTGCAAGCCTCCTCGAATACATTCGCAATGTCCGCCGTCTCAGTCTCCTCCGTGATTTTACTCCAGACCCGAAGAACAACGAACGCCTCCCGAGGCATGTTGCAGTTGGGATGAACAAGAAAAAGACTCATGAGGTCGAGCAATTCTCCCGTTACGTCGCCTCTTTGTCGGATACCGTGAATGAGCGTCGTGGGGAACCGCTGTCTCACATTGTGGATTTTGGATCTGGGCAAAACTATCTGGGGCGCACGCTGGCTAGCGCGCCGTATCATAAGCACATCATTGCCATTGAGCGTAAGCACCAGTATATCAGTGGTGCTAACCGTATGGATGTCCATGCTCGGCTCGCCAAGCAAGAAAAGAAGAAGACCATGTACATCAAGAAGCAGAGGAAGAAGTGCATCGACTGTACCGACCCTCCGGAGCTGGGAGAGAAGGTCGACCTTCCTAAAACAGAAATGGAGAATCCGACTGAGGATGTGCCAGAGAAGCCAACTGAGGATGATGATAATGAAAACACCGTCGTGCTGAGCGAGATGAGCTTAGAGCCCGATGATGTCGTCGTTCCTTTCGAGAAGCCGCGGCCTCATATTCCAAAACCCCCACCAGAGATTGACACCCGCGGACACGTCAGCTACATTGAGCACGAAATTCAAGATGGCTACCTCGAACCCATCATCGACCATGTCGTCGACCCAAAGACACCAGCCGAGAATGGAACCGAGGCAGAAGTCACCCAACCCGAAAAGGAACCAAGCGACGCCCGAGTCATGGTGGTCTCCCTACACTCATGCGGAAACCTCGTCCACCACGGCGTCCGCTCCCTAGTCCTCAACCCGTCTGTAGTAGCAATCGCCATGATAGGCTGCTGCTACAACCTCCTCACCGAGCGCCTAGGACCAGCAACCTACAAACTCCCCAACCTACGACCCCTCCACCCCCGCCTCAAACAAACAGGCGGCTCCTATGACCCCCACGGCTTCCCCATGTCGAAGCTCTACGAAGACTACGAATCCGACACAATCAAAGGAATGAAACTAAACATCACTGCCCGCTCAATGGGCGTCCAAGCCCCCTACAACTGGGGCTACGCAGACAGCGAAGGCTTCTTCACGCGCCACTTCTACCGCGCCCTCCTGCAACGCGTCCTCGTCGACCGCGGCGTCGTCCCAAAACCAGATATCCCTCAAGACCTGTACAATGACGACGAGTCTCAAATCGCCCTAATCGTCGGCTCACTCCGCAAAGCAGCCTTCGAATCATTTACTGCATATGTCCGCGCTGCAACGGTCAAGCTAAGCCGGGATCCGACTCGTGGCGAGCTGGTTAAGGAGCGGATTAGTATTATGTCTGATGAGGAATTGGAGCGCTATGAAGTGGAGTATCTGCATACCCGCAAGAACCTGAGTGTGGTGTGGAGTCTTATGGCGTTTAGTGCGCAGGTTGTGGAGGCTGTTATTGTTGTTGATCGTTGGCAGTTCTTGCGGGAACATGATTCTGTTAAGGAGTGTTGGGTTGAGCCTGTTTTTGAGTATGGGGAGAGTCCTAGGAATTTGGCAGTTATTGGTATCAAAAAGTGATTTGGGGTTTGTTAGACTTTGAGATTTGGTTGATATGGTTGCATTGGATATATAGATGGGATGGGAGTTGGTGCATTTGTTTTTTTTTTTTTTTTATGGAGTTGAGTATATAGCATCGGGCACATAGATGTACACATTTATAGATCCCGGGTACGTAATACCCGCAGACTTCATCCATATGAACTGAAAAAGAAGCCATATAAGATTATGACAGAATCAACAGACCCTTACTGATACCAATATTGAACGAAAACCAATCATCAACCCCCAAGAACAAGATATCCCAAAACCGATTAAAGGTCAAATATCAAACCAGACTAACCCACAAATCCCCACAAACCCTGGTAACCTCACCAGCTGGTTTCCCAATTAACCCCTCCCAGAACGCACAAGTACCGTCATTAACCAAATCCTCACTCTTAAGCCAAATAAGCGCATCGAAACGCCAATCCTGACACCTCTTGACGCCATCAATAGGCGGCGCCACACCCTCAACCACCTCAATGGCACGTCTACGCTCCTGAGGATTTAGATCAACGATCTTGCACATCCCCACTGCTTGTCTGTCGACGATCTTCGTGCCGTAGCGCGGGGTGTACGAGAACCAGAGCTTTCTGTCGTCGATTACTTCTACTTGGACGAAATCACCGTAGTCTGTGTTGTTTGTTTGGCTTATCATGCAGCTCCAGTGGCTGCGGTGGTTTGGGGCTGTGCCTGGTCCGAAGATTTCTATTGGGAGGGTGTAGGTTGTCATTTTTGTCGTCTGGGTGGTGTTAGAGAGTGTGGTTTCGTGGGAGTGTTTGGGCTTGGGTTGTTGTATAGAGTTGATGTGGGGGTATAGGTTCTTTGTACCTTTATCTGTGTTAGTTACGCAGTCATTCTGTGTGTTTGTTTGGGCAGATGACCTGTATGGATGTATGGGATCAAAGACAAAGGATTATTGAGGGTTCGGCCAATTGTTGACTAGCCCTGGCATTGGCCCTCCTTGACTGTGGCCGACCTAGAGATATACTCGATATACTCGATGGTCGGTATAGAGAGCTACAGTGAATTCTGGTTGATGTTGTAATAGCTATCTAGGTACACTGACATAGATGTAGTACCAACCGCACCAATCTATGCGATATCAAAACTCAACTAGATACAAATACACCCATATATTAACTTATATACAAACCAACCTCAACTCAACTCCACACTCCCCTCGGGAACACCCTGTCTACTCCTCAAAGTCCTAGCAAAAAACTGCATAACAGGAAACATCTCCTCCCTAGACGAAGGCATCCCATCACCCCTCCTCGCATACCGACTAACTTCAACAAACTCAAACACCAATTTAGTCCTACGCACGGCATCATCAGAAACAGCGACGGAATCCCTCCCAGCAACAAGCAAAACAGGCGACCGATTCTTACCAACCCTCGACCCATCAACAGAATACGCCGCCCCAATAGAAACAACTCCCGAAACCGGCCCAACCTCTCCATCCCAAGCCTCAGCACCAGCAGCACTCTTACTCTCAATCCCAAGCTCCCTCGCCAAAGCCAGCCCCGCCATTCCACCCTGCCCAAACCCAAACACCATAATCTCCCGCAGGCGATACCCACACTCGGCAATTAACGTACGACGCACCATCCCAGAGAGCACTTCAGTCGCCTTGGTAAAACCAGCATCCATTTCTAGCGCGCCCGTCGCGGAATCGAAGGAGACATCATCGCCCCAATGGAAGCCGCCCAGGTCGAAGGGGAGCGGGGCGATGCCTTGGATGGTTATGATTGTTGTCTCCGGGAGGCGGAGGGCTTGGGCGAATTTCGTGAAGGAGGCAGCTGTGTCACCTAGGCCGTGAAGGAGGAGGAGGATGTTTGGGGATGGGGCTGTGGAGGTTGGCGAGGGTGAGGGGTGTGTTATTGTTACTGTGAGATTGGGGAAGTCCGATGTGGTGGGGGTTTTGGTGGGCATTTTTCTTTTGTGTAGAGGGAGGCAGGGGAGGGAAGGGTTCGGTGTGGGTGTTGGAGTTTCAATTGGTTTGTTGTAGGTGGTTGTAGTTGCCTGGATGGCGTAGCGTAGAGTGTTGAGGTGTCCGGTCTTGCCGAAGCTCTTGATAACTTGGAGCTGGTTGGAGGTGTGGCTTGTATCCGCAACTGTGGCTTAGCTGGATATGCTATTTTTGTTGAGGGTCCTCCCCGTTTCACTTTTGGAATTGACGTTCGGGGTATTCTTGTTGCCTAGCGATCAACCGATGTTCAGGATTGTATGATTTCATCGGCTTAATTTGATACTGCCGGGGGGTTGCCGAGCACAGTATACGCTGCGAGAAGTCTGTACTATGTAGGCATTAGGGCATTGCAGTCAACATCATTGCATGTTCTACTGCATGCTAACGTACAATACCCTTGAGACTCGAGAAAAAGACCCTAATTTCCGAGGTACTCAGCGCCACGGACCCTACGTAATAGCATTGAATTGATTAAAAACAAAAATAGCAACCTGCAGTGAAATGCCCTCACCGATTCCGTTGTCCCCGATCCCGCCGTCTCCGATTCCGCCCTATTGGAATTCCCTCACCTCTCTCGAAAGTTCAATAGTGCTACGTAGTAGCACGCCAATGGACACTGTTCACCGCCACTCGTGGCGCGCCTCATAAGGCGACGACAAGCCTCGGAAGCGAAGCTTGGCTCGGCTACCTCGGGCTCATCGAGTCTTGGCATTAAACATATCAGTTCCGAGTGCGTAACTAGTGTGGGACTAAGCCCCAACACGGCTAGAAATGCCTGTGTCCATTTCCTATTTGCTTAGTGCCAGCGGAGTAGGGCTGACCCGACCCATCAGATCCCTATTGGAGGTGGACCACGTACGTACTTGTACATGGTAACGCCGAGTTTCAGGGGGTTGTTACTGTTGTTGGTACAGCGTCTCAGGCTCACTGACACATGTAGAGGTGCAGGTGGCACGATGCTGGGATATCCCTGTATAGTATTCCCCTCCCCCAGATGTTGAGATGCTCCCCTCGATAGGCTATTGCACATCTGGAGGATAACGATGGACCTCTCACTGTCGATTTCACGGAGCTCTCCAACGGATTACAGCAGTGCCCCTCGCCCCGGATACCTGACCACAAAGATCTGCTTTCTCCACCGGCCAGGAGCCAATACACAACTCACACACCGTGTTTGATCCGTGGTCCAACCGTATGGAGGGGTCCTCCTGTAATACCGAATGTACCCTGTAGCAAAACAGCTTCAGCCACCTCGCAAAGTGGATGGTGGGGCAGTGAGCTGAGACAGCTATTGAGTACGTAGTCCTTCTGGCTTCTTCTAAAGTCAGCTCTCAAGGGCTGGCGTGGGTATAAGATCCCCTCATCCCCCTCCTCTGCTTCTCTTCTTCATCAAACAACAAGACCCTCTTAAACAAATCTCCTTCTACTACATACTACATTCACAATGGCTTGGGGCTGGGGTAAGTCTTCCCATACATACCTATCACCCGTTCTCTCCCTGCATGCATGAGGGCCCGTCCCCATATGTACATGCACCTCCGTACACCAAACCCCCTCATTAGCTGCAAGATACGAATAAGAACGCTGCTGACTGGACCACTCCAGACGAATCTGAGCGTGCTCACGAGCAGGTCTACAACGGTGAGCAGCACCATGAGGGCAAGTTCTCCCATGAGTTCGCCGCCGGTGCCGCCTCCTTCGCTGCCATGAAGGCCTACGAGGACCACCAGAAGAAGTCCGGTACATTGCCCCTCATCTATTCTCTCATATGTACAGTACATCCTTCTAACTGATTCCAACAGGCCAGGAAGTCAACCACGCTTTCGCCAAGGAGCTCCTCGTCGGCTTCGTCGGCGGTGAGATCGACAAGCTCGCCGAGACCAAGGGTATGGACTGGGTGGACCGCGAGAAGGCCAAGCACCACGCCGAAAAGAACGCCCACCACATGTACGAGGAGCGTTACGAGCGCGGCAACTACTAAGGATGCAGACCCGACTCTGGGATCCTCGGAATGGACGATTGAATGAACTTGAACATGAGACAACCGGTCGGTCTTAAGTACCGACTTGATACCAATATGAAATGAACATATCTTCCAATATCTCTCCCTTGGTGATAAGATAGGCGGTGTATCCGTAGTGTGACATGTATGAATGCGACGTTGCAGCTCTGGTAAACGTATGTCGGTGACGACCAGAGTTGGGGAACTATGCGCCGAACTTCCATCGGTATGCGGATGTTTTTCTGGACCAGTCATTGCCAGGAGAACCCGCCGACTACTGTGCCCAACATTCCGGGTGGCATTCCAACGTAATTGTACTGCAGATTCTGACGGGTTATTGATTGAACCAGTAGGTGGCCATGGAGGATTTTGACGAGTGAATTAATGCTATAGATTGGGCTGCATGTGATATCACATAGACCGGCAGATGCAGCCCTGGAGAAGTAAAGCAGATGTATGAGATTCCAGGGCGGGAATCCTAGCCTTGTGGACCCTGTTCTGCCAATCACGTCCGCCCCAACTGTGATGAGCTCATACACGTGCTCGATGGGAGACTTCTTGTTGGAGTATCGCAAAGGTTACTTTGTTCACATTTGTTAAGGTATGGCGCTCTGTGGCTGTCTGGGGTACATCATTGGTACCTTGCGTGAGAGAGTCTAAATTTTCGGGGATTTGCAACGATTCCAAGATCCCGCCTTTTTGCTTTTTACGACTTCATCTCCTCATCTTTTGTGGCGTCGAGCTAGCCGTGTATTTTCCGGCCAAGATTTCTACCCCTCGTGAACGTCGGTGACAAAGTTCCTGTCACTTCCAATTTGAGATGAGGCTTCGTCGTTCAACATGAAATTTGCCAAGTGTGTCGCTCAATCCAACTGTAACATTCCGGTGGCTGACTTTATCCAGAGAGCTAGAACAGGAGCTTGTTCCTGAATGGCGGGCAAAGTATCTCGACTACAAGGTACAGCAACCGTTTGTGCATCCCCGCTCTGCAAAGCTGATGAACGTATCCCCAGACCGGCAAGAAGAAAGTCAAAGCGATCACTCGCGCCCTCCAGAAGGCACACCGCAGTCCTCGCGTACCCTCCTACCCACAGTCCACCCCGCAGGCTCGCGGCGCAGCACAATTTCCTTTCACGCCATCGAATACCGATAAAGCGCTGGATGCGACAGAGGCACATAGCCCATCGACCCCGCGAGGTGGTACGAAGTCGCCGTCAGTGACACGGTCTACGCCGATTCCCCGAAGCGAGCGACAGCCACTCCGCACGCCGGGATCACGATTTTCGGAACACGTTGGTAGCTATGGGAGTATACTCGCCACACCACCGCATCATGGAGCAGCATCCGATACAGCCTCGTTTGAGCTGCCAGACCCAGCGCTCGATCCCGATGAGGAATATATGCCACCTGAGGAAAATAGAGACAGACCCAGGACTGTCAAGACGCCATCGCCGGTGATGGACCGACATGCCACTTTTGATACATCGCCTTCACAGCCTATGCCAGATAGTCCCCCGGTGGAGCGGAGGCCCGAGTTGGAGCACCGGCCGAGTTATCAAAGCCCCTTGAGTGGCGCCTTGACGAGAGTGGCGTCGACTAAGCGAGGATCTCATCTCCTGCGACGAGTATTTTCCAACACGGAGGTCGAGACTGGTGGGAAGCGATCACAGCCAGATGGCTCAGAGCTCGACAAGCGGCAAGATGAATTCTTCGAATTTCTGGATAGTGAGTTGACTAAGATCGATTCGTTCTATCAGATGAAGGAGCAGGAAGCCACAGAAAAGCTTCGCATTCTTCGTCAACAGCTGCATATCATGCGTGATCAGCGTATACAAGAGGTCCTTAGAGCTAAGAGAGCAGCCAAGGGCGACGGCCCAGAGGCCCAGCAACGGCCGAACGGGTTCGTGAAACTTAACAGTCACCGACTGAAGGACACGCTTGTTGGAAAGAGTCGCTTTGGTAAGAACTCAGAGGCACTGGCTGAGATGGCTACCCCTGGCATGAACGCCCAGGACCGGGAGTTCATTTCCAACCGGAGGGATTTCATGCGAAGACAGGACTCGCCCAGCCAGGAAGTGCCATATCGCTCTGCGAAGCGCAAGCTCAAGCATGCGTTGCAAGAGTTCTATCGTGGGGTTGAACTCTTGAAGGGGTACGCGTATTTGAACCGGACGGCTTTCCGGAAGATTAACAAGAAGTACGACAAAGCGGTCAACGCCCGCCCACCCTTGCGTTACATGTCCGAAAAGGTCAATAAGGCGGCTTTTGTGCAGAGTGATGTGATTGAGAGCTTGATGGTCGCCGTTGAGGATTTATATGCCCGTTATTTCGAGCGTGGCAATCACAAAATTGCTGTCTCGAAGCTTCGTCACACTATCAAGAAATCGGGCGATTATTCCCCGAACACTTTCCGTTCTGGTCTTTTGTTGATGGGAGGAACTCTCTTTTCTATCAAAGGCCTGGTGGATGCTACACAAAAACTTCGGACAGCGGAGCTCGACAAGCAAGTTCAGACCAGCTATTTGCTGCAGGTTGGTGTTTCCCTATACATTGTGTAACCGTCGTGGCTAATCAGAGCAGATATATGGCGGATACTTTCTGATCGTGTTTCACGTCTTGCTCTTTTGCATGGATTGTATGATCTGGACGAAGTCGAAGATCAACTATGCATTCGTTTTCGAGTATGATAGCAGACACACCCTGGAGTGGCGTCAATACCTGGAGGTATGTTCCCAAATCCCAGTCGCTGGGAGATTGACTAACAAGTGTAGATTCCTTCTTTCTTCTTTTTCTTGATGGGCCTCTTCATGTGGCTCAACTTTTCATGGATAAATGATATGTACATTTACTGGCCCGTCGTGCTCATCGGTTTGACAGTCATTATTGTCTTCTTACCGGCCCGTGTTCTATATCACAGGAGTCGCAAATGGTTCGCCTTTTCGAATGTGAGTCCTCATCCTCTGGTAGACTTGAACATTATTGATTGTTATAGTGGCGTCTATTACTTGCTGGGATATACCCCGTCGAGTTCCGTGATTTCTTCCTTGGCGACATGTACTGTTCTCAGACATATGCCATGGGGAACATAGAACTCTTTTTCTGTCTATACGCCTCCTACTGGGGCTATCCTCCCAAGTGCAACTCCTCCCACTCTCGACTCCTGGGATTCTTTCAATGTCTACCCTCCGTTTGGCGAGCCTTCCAATGTATCCGCCGATACCTGGACACGAAGAATGCCTTTCCTCATCTTTTGAACTTGGGCAAGTACATATTCGGCGTGCTCTACTACGCCACCCTGAGCATGTACCGCATCGACCTCCAAACGCGCTTCCAAGCCTCATTCATCACCTTCGCCTTATTGAACGCCGTCTACACCTCAGTGTGGGACCTGATAATGGACTGGAGTCTCGGAAACCCTTATGCAAAGAACCCGATGCTCCGTGAAGTGCTCGGCTTCCGTCGGGTCTGGGTCTACTACGTCGCCATGCTGCTAAACGTAGTCATCCGCTTCAACTGGATTTTCTACGCAATCTTCATCAATAATATTCAGCAATCAGCCCTACTCAGTTTCCTTGTCTCCTTCTCGGAAGTCTGGCGCCGCGGCGTATGGTCCATCTTCCGAGTCGAAAACGAGCACTGCACTAACGTCCTCCTCTTCCGAGCCTCGCGGGATATCCCCCTCCCATACGACCTCCCAGCAAGAGTCGCCGCCCCTCTCGACGGATCCCCGGAAGACGTCCAGCTCCAGGAACAGCAACACGCAGCTGCCTCCACACCCTTCATGTCCCCTGGCGACATCGAACACGGAACTCCCTCGATGTCGAGTATGCGTGCACGCAACCGTCGCCCATCGGTGGGAATCGGCCGCGTCGGCACGATCGTCGCATCAGCCCATGCTCAAGACTTCCAGCGCCGTCGCGGACCAACATATCTCTCCAGCGCGAGCGTCGGTCGTGACATGGCACCCGGCGGCGATGACAGCACAGACGAAGACGAGGAGGGCGATTTAACTACGGACGAGGACTCGGGGTCAACAGTGAATGGAAACGAAACGCGCGAGACTGGAAGACCTCACTCTCTCCGACAGGATGCAATGAACCGCATCGTCGAGTGAATCAAAAGAAAACCAAGAACAAGCATAAGAACAAGAACAAGAACGAAGACAAACAGGTGACTGACCTGCCCATGCGCATCCTATCCCTATCCTATCCTCAACCTTTTGCCTTGAACACGTGGTTTCTCGCTTTATCTATAGATACTCAGACCTGCAGTTTGCATATATAAGTCTTATCTCGCTATGAATAAATATCAATCTGCTATCGCATCTCCATCTCCAGATGTAGACCCAGACCCCATCTCCATCTCATCCTGATCTTACATGAAAGCATGGCGTGATACCCCTGAGCTGAAAAGCCAAGATACGAGATCTCCAACCGGGACCCGGGCCGGTGTCAATTGCCTCATCCAATCATCCCGGGAAGGCCTCCGCCACTGTGCCATTCATAGTGCAGTAAATGGCCTCTTAGGTTCTGGGTGGGACCTCGTTGCCGGGTACCTTACCGGTGGTTAGTTGATACGATGGGATCCGATGGGGGTTATTTTCGAACAGGGTGGCTTCTCCTCGGATTGGTGCGTCTATTACATTACTACACTCTACCGTACAGTATGCTCTGGGGGCAGTGCTGTGCTGTGCTGGGACCATATCTGATTGTGGCGTGGTTTGAGTTTCGGGATTGCCTGCTTGTTCGGCTGTTTTATCATTTGTGGTGTTACGAATTTTGGTATCAGGCGATCGCGGAGAGAATATTAATACAGAGTACAGCAGAATAGAGTAGTGGTAGACGTGTGTGTCAAAGAGGTCATCCGAGACCTGAGAGCATCATCATCTCGATGACCTAGGTAGTCACAGTCACGCAGTAACCATTCCGATGGATTGACTAGATAGGACGACACCCAACAATGAACCTTAAAAAATAAAAAATCGACGAAGGCACCGCACCGGGAGCTCCGACGTTCGGGATCCTACCCGGTCTCTGCACGGTACGGCTGAACAAAGTTAACTGTCGTATTTTGCCACTAGGTTATTTCGGCGGGATGTTCCAAAAGTAAAGGTTAAACGTGTTGATGAGGGTTGTTTGCCCGATTAAGAAGCTGGCTCCACTATTGATATCGGCACGTGACTTCCCCAGGTTCTGCCTGACGATCCTAAGCACCTCGTTTCTTTTCTTTCTCTCTCAGACTTGCCTGTTTTTCTAGGGCTGGTTTTTTGGTATTGCCACTGTACAGTATGTTGGTACGTGAAAGTCTAGGGCTGGTCGGGGTTTATCTTTAGCTGGGATTAATTGGTCGCATTAGGAATGTCTCACCGGTCTCCGGGCGTGTACAGAATGCAGAATCCGACATGTGTTTCCGACATGTCTGCTGTAGTGTCCTTTCCGAGCAAGGAGAAGCCATTTGGGCAGTTCCGCTCTTTCGGCATCATTCGATACGCTATGAATCTAGAAGCATCGAACAATCTTTGTCATAGGGACAGATTGATGAATTGGGGTACATAGTATGGCCATGTCTACTCCAACCCAGGGGGAAAGGTTTTCCCAATGTTACACAACCAATGAAAATCCACACATTCACAGCATCGGGCGTACAGACGCTGTAGTTACGGTGTAACTTGATGTAATTGAGTTGCAGTGGATCAGGCAACCCCCAATCTACTACTCTTAATTAGGCAAGCCAATATACCGATTTCAAGTTAGACACGGTCATATCCCGATGAAAGAAGTAGTTGATTCGCTGATCGTACTTCCTCACCGGTTAGATTCGCCGAATTCAGTTGGTTGACTCTGGATATGCGGGGAATGAACCGAGGATCGGAAGGGCAGGTCGTTGAGGGGCGACTTGGCGTTTTGAGGCATATAATTGTAATATTACCTACATTTGGCCGAGACATTTCGAATTTCGAACTTATCTCTGTGTTATGTTATGAGTTAACTTATTCAGTTATCATAGTTAACTGTAGATATGAACCCGTATCTTGGTGATCTTAGTGCGAGATAAGCCCCTGAAGCCCTTCGCCACCGTGTCCCTAAGATCTCCTAACCGTGCGCCATTTTCCTCCCGGAAAGCCACGGCACCGATCATTACCCCTGTCCTGCGGGGGGCGTTTCTGGGCGCATTCGGGAAGACATTTGGAGGCGCAGCGGTGAAGTTTAGTTAAGGTTGGAAATTGAACGACCATCTCAACATTCCCCATGGGGTTTCTTATGGAGAACACAACGGACAACCAGCCGCGTGCGCAAGATCTGCTCCACATGCGTCTCCACGCACTGATGACCTGTCGTCATGAAAAGCCCAATAGGTCTAGTGCGTGAGGGATGAGCGAATTCCCAAAACTTGATGGGGTCTGAGACAGAAATTAGCGTGGCGAGCGTGGACAATTACAGTTAGACGTGCACTCCACAAGTGGATCTTTGGACGACTGAGACGTCGAGCCGTCTTATCTCTGACGCCCCGTATACATGCGGATTCACGCCAGACTGTTAAAAGCCGTTCGATGTCCCACTCCGTTCGAGGGTAGAGTCAGTTTGTCTCTCGAGTTCACTCTATACTCTATATCACTATGACCGACATGAAGAAGGATGACCTTGAAGGTCTTGACCAGGATTTTCAGAATGTGCCTGTAATGGCCCATGATGATGTCTTTGGAGAAATTACAGAGGGTGGTCCCAACTATCGCAACGTATGTCTCTCCAGTGCTGCTTGAATTGGACTCGATTAACGCCCCGTCAGGTAGGATGGGCCGGAACAGTGGTTCTCATGATGAAGACTCAGATTGGTCTCGGTGTGCTGTCCATCCCTAGCGCTTTCGACACATTAGGCCTCGTCCCTGGCGTGATATGTCTGCTCGCGGTTGCTGTCATCACTACTTGGTCCGACTATATGGTTGGCGCTTTCAAACTGAAGCATCGTGAAGTCTATAGCATTGATGATGCTGGTGGCTTGATGTTCGGTCCGATCGGTCGTGAAATTTTTGGCTTTGTATTCTGTCTATGTACGTGTACACTTTCGAGCTGCAGGGAGAATCACCCCTAACCATCTGATAGATTGGATTTTTGTCGCCGGCTCCGGAATGCTCGGTCTTTCAATCGCTCTGAATTCAGTCTCGACTCATGCAACCTGTACTGCCGTCTTTGTCGCCATCTCAGCCATCACAGGAATTGGATTCGCCAGTATTCGCACACTCGGCCGTATCAGTTGGCTCGCTTGGATTGGCCTCATCGCCATCATAACAGCAAGTAAGGCATCCCTGAAGCCAGAAAGTGAACAAAAAAGAGAAAGAAAAAGAAACCAAAGCTAACCACTGCACTACTAGTTATGATCGTCACCATCGCCGTCGGCGTCCAGGACCGTCCGGCTTCCGCCCCTCAAGAAGGGCACTGGCAATCCGACTACAAAATCATCGCCAACCCAACATTCGCCGAAGCTGTCTCCGCCATTTCTTCAATGATTTTCGCCTATGCTGGCACACCCGCCTTTTTCTCTGTCGTATCCGAGATGCGTGAGCCCCGCTACTATACCCGCTCTATGATCATTTGCCAGAGCACCGTGACAGCCATCTACATCACCATCGGCATTGTGGTGTACTACTACTGCGGCTCATACGTCGCCTCGCCAGCTCTTGGTTCGGCAGGCTCAACCGTGAAGAAGGTCAGCTATGGGTTTGCCATTCCCGGTCTATTGGTTTCGACGATGCTTTTCGTCCATGTAAGTTTGCCATCCAACTTCCGCATATACATCCAAGAAGGAGACAAGAGACAGGATCTGAACTAATGCACACCAGCTCCCCGGAAAATACATCTTCGTCCGCGCCCTCCGCGGCTCAAAACACCTCACATCCAACAGCATCGTCCACTGGACCTCCTGGCTCGGCTGCGTAAGCGGCGTCGGATTAATCTCCTACATCATCGCCAGCGCCATCCCCGTCTTCGACAGTCTCGTTTCGCTGATTGGTGCTCTGCTCGGTACATTCATGTGCTTCCAGCCTATGGGTTGTATGTGGCTGTATGATAACTGGGCAAAGGGTAAGACGGAGAAATCGCCCAGGTGGACTGCTATGGCTTGTTGGAGTGTGTTTGTTATTGCCATTGGTTCGTTTATGATGGTTTCTGGTACTTATGGCTCTGTTGTTAGCATTATCGATAGCTATAATGCTTCGGGGGGATCGAGTGCTTGGTCTTGTGCCGACAATTCGAATTCTACTTAGGTTGAGTTCGGGGGTTTGTTTTTGTTGGATATATACCTATCGGTTATTTTTAGACTTTGGTCAATTGAATCATTAGATTATGAGTTGGTATTCCGTATTTGTGTTTTGATGTTTCGATCCGTAGGGGTTTGAAGTAGGGGTTCTCTGACAGGCTCAATGGGCTTGTACTGGTTGTGGTGTTACTGATGTTGAATAGTCAATGAAGGCTATTTCTAAGAACTAGACTCATCCGTGATCTGAGATTACTACTGGCTGAAGAGGAGTATGTCTTTCATATTCAAAGTCTGGGTTTGAGGTCATGTCCATAGACTGGGAAAGCTTCGGTCAGTATACGCAATGGATTTTGCATTCGATTCCTGTTACCGATAATCGAAAAGTTGGCTAAGGCTTTGCCACCGATATCTTATCTTCTTGTTTACTATAGTTCTTCAAACATTTCGTTCTTTAGCCTCACAAGCAAAGTTGACACCTCAGGCCTCGAACCCCGGACATATGCTTATCACACGTGATCTGTCACGTCACATGCGCTGCGCCTCCAGGCCTCAGTCTCACCTGTTTCTTTTCTCCAGTGCTTCATCCACTGAGCACCCACGACAATCAGATATCGACAACATGGCTGCAAACGCCAGATACGAGCCCGCTCCCCAGCGGGACTCCTTCGAAGACAACGCCTTCTCCCAAGCCCCTCCCTCATACCAGGCTACAGCAGACCCGGAGCCTCGAAGCGAAGACGATAACCTCCCGGATGACTTCAAGGTAAGCGACGATCCAAGTGAAGCAGACAACAAAAACTAACAACTCCCACAGTTCGGGGGCATGGTAGCCGAAGGCACGATTGACATCCGGATGCAATTTGTCCGCAAAGTCTACTCGATCCTGTAAGTATAAAGATGCAGACCCGTGCATCGAGCAGCTCCAATATAGATATTCAATACTAACACTGGAACCCACCTAGAACCGCGCAGCTCCTCCTCACAACAATCGTGAGCTCGATCTCTTTTTTCAATGATAGCTACCGCACCTGGATCCAGGGTCACCCCTGGCTGATGATAATCTCCGTCTTCGGTGCCTTGGGCTTCATGCTAGCAACCTTCTGGAAACGAAAGTCATACCCGGCAAACCTACTCTTCCTCTCTGGCTTCACCATTCTAGAGGCATACTCGATCAGCGTGGCGACATCCTACTACGAGGCCAATATCGTGATGCAAGCGCTCGTCCTGACGCTTGGTATCTTCGTCGCCTTGACTCTGTTCGCATGCCAGACCAAATATGATTTCACGGACTGGATGCCGTACCTGTTCGGTGCGCTCTGGTTTATGATTTTGTTTGGGTTTGTGGCTATGTTCATTCCCTTTGGTAGTACTGTTGAGATTATCTATGGTTCTCTAGGTGCGCTTATCTTCTCTGGGTATATCCTAGTTGATACGCAGCTTGTTATGCGCCATTATCATGTCGAGGAGGAGATTGCGGCTTCTATCTCGCTATATTTGGATGTGCTGAATTTGTTCATGTCTATTTTGCGCATCCTGAATGGTGCTAATAACAACAACTGATCGTGGCTTCGGCTTTGGTTTTGTGGATATATCGATTTGGCTGTTCATTTGCTTTTGACGAATCCTGAGATAGGGGCAAGCAATTGCTGAGCCTTGAAGTTATAATGGTTCCCGGATCTGGTCGCTTGGACGTGCGGGTTCTTGTTCTTCATCTTGATTTGGCTTGGATTGCGCTACAGTAAATTTTCTCTTCGCTCAGAATCTGATATCTATGATCTTTTTGTCATCGGAACCGCCCTTTTTAATATGATTTCCATCTACGGTTCAATTCTTAAGCCGCACAAATATCTGTAAGAGGTAAACGAAGAACAGTCAAGGAAATTACTGTAGTATGAAAAGCAACCAAGAATATATATACAACACTCCAAACTCCCAACATGGACAAACAGAATCGAACTGAAAATAGACTGTGCAAGAAACTCCGGGGAAACCAGCCAAAAAAACTCTAGTCACGCGCAGATAGCAAAGATGCAACGATCTAACCTGGTGTGGGAAAGACAAACCAAGGAATGGGATTTACCCAATGTATATCTTATACCCAGAGGTGATAACCACACTCGGAGCAGAAAAGAAGTAGCCAGTCATGTAGTAAAAAGAGCCTATCAATGCGAGGCTATGAAGAAAGTGTTCGTAATCAGACAGACGACCATGACAAGGAAGCCATAAGCAGCCAATGCCAGGCTAAGCGGTCGAAGGAGTGCCTTGCGCCAGTGCTTCTTGCTACGGAGCAAGAGGCCACTCTCAGTTAATGAGCGGGAGAGAGAACCCTCGCCTTCATCGTCGTCGTTCTCTGAGAGGTCATCTTCCGCCTCATCATCCTCCTTCATCAGACCGCGGTGAGTAGGCGAGTCTGGCGAGGAGATTTTGTAGTAGAACAAGCCGGGCAGAATGAAACTGATACTCGTGCTGCCGGTGCTACCGACGTAAGCCAGCACGGCTTCGAGGGAGGACACAGTCATAGCGACAATGTAACTGAGGATTAGGATGGTGGTCGTGATAATTGAGAAGCGGAGATCGCTCATGGGTTCGGGAGTTCGGTTCCCACGCGGGCCTAGCAGCGGATGGCGGTGCGGGGAGCCCTCTGTGCCGCTGGTCTGGGATCTTGGACGCCATTTCAGTACCGCATCGACTGAGGCCCGGCATGGGTGGCACTGGAGTGGGTAAGAGAAGACCACTAGCATGACAATTGCGGCGCGGCCGATTGTTGCCGGCACGCCGGGCGGGTACATGCCAACGATGTTGCCGCCGACGCTGTTGCCGAAGGACAGGTAACCGGTGATGGCGACGAGGATGTAGGTTCCAGCTGCGCTGCCGATACTAGCGAGGACAACGGCTGTTGTGCGGAAATGGCTGTTGTTGTCGATTTCGTTGAGGATAGAGAACATCTATCAGAATCGTTAGATATGTCGGGCTTCTTGTGGTAGTGAGAACATACATTTTGATGACATGTGAATGCAAACACGATAACTGGTAGACTGCTGAGAGTTGGGACTGCGCCTGCCCAGTGGCCGACGCGGATTGGGCCCCGGTCTTCCTTTGTATCTCCCAGGACGAAATGATACACCACCAAGGTGACCAAGTAGGCCATGGATATCAAGGCCGCAATACTAGTGTACTTCAACGAGTCTAATCGGCGTAGATAGGAAAGGGGAATCACGATCAACCTGTAGTCAAATGGTCAGTACTTCACCCTATGTCAAGACATGTCCAAGGCAACGAACATAAAAGCAGTAACCCAAAAGTGACGGTCCACCAAGAAATCGTATGCAGGCTCAGCGCCAACGAAGCCCTGTACCACACCAGGCATGAGGTCTCCGATGATAATCAGATAACTCACGCCGACACCGAAGCATTTGATCGCAATAGCACCATCAAACACCACAGCCGCATTAGGGTATGTTAATTGCGATAAGGCGAAGAAAGAGGCGCTTCCGCGGTCGAGATATTGAGCGCATTGTGATTGTAGATAGAGGCCGAATCCTGCGGCACAGCCAGACCAAAGGATCACGCAGACTCCGAGGACAATTCCCATGTGGGAGATGGCCAGTGGCATAGCAAGCACGCCGGCGCCGACAACTAGAAGAAACCATATTAGAATCGAGAGTTCCCCATGTCCCAGGATATCTTAGCGCCCTTACTCGTATTCACCAGGTTGATGACGCTACTGGCCCAACTCGCCTCGCCTGCGACATCTCCAGCTCGTTTCGTGCGGCCTGAACGCCTGTAGCAAATCACAATTAGCCATTTCCTTGCGATGGAACACATCAGTCGTAGACTTACCTGCGTAGTCCAGATCCCGCGGACGGGCCTACCCCGATAGCAGCCTCCTCCATGATTGAAGATCAGATATGAGCGGAAACGCAGTTGTCGAATTCGTATGGCGCGCAACACATAACAGCGGCCACTGCCAGCGGAGCCGAGATCAAGAAGAATAGAGAGCTCTTGAAACGTGAGAAGAGAAGGAAAAGGCCAGTTGGGGCCTTATCGCGGATAGCACATGACCGGGGCCGACCCTTCTCCACGCAAATCTCGACACTCCGCTACACTTGACACCCTACGTCTGTACGTGTATTCGGTTGTAACGTCATGGTTGTCGTGATTGCGTGTTTGCCAATGGCTACATAAATGGCGTGATATCATCTACAACTTGGACAATCCCCAACCCTTCTGTGACAAAAGTCGATAACTCTCCGCCTCCACATGATGATGATCCGACGCCGTATTTCCAGGCCGGTTGCCAGGACCAGGATCATTAAATTGATTCACAGCCCGCACAGTCTTCGACACCTCTAAGATGGTACCACCCTCGACCTGATATTGCGGCCCACGACCAGACCGATCCCCAATAACCTCGCCCACCACTTCCTGCTGAACGAGCGCCAGCATAACAGTCGCCACTTCCTCAGGCGTCACCCACGCGTCGAGGCTGTCATCAACCATCTTGATCTTCTCCGGATGATCGGTCCACAGCGGGGTCTTGATAACACCCGGAGCCACCGCTGTCACCCTGATCCCCAGCTTCTTGTCAAGATCAGCCAGCGCTCGGACCAGGCCGTTAATAGCATGTTTTGTGGCGCAGTAAATTGGTGCTGCAAGGTTTGCGTTCTGGCCGGCGATACTGGAGATGTGAAAGATGTGTTTCGGGCGGCCGCTAGTTCTGTTCTTGAGGAAATGGGCGATGGCTAGTTGTGTCGTGCGGATTGGGTGCGTGATATTGATATCTACCAGCGCATACCGACCACCAGCGATCGAGTCCTTGCTCGGTTCAGCGCCGGGTGGGCGCCAGAAGTTGCTCCAGTGCTGTATAGTTCGTAGTTAGACTTGTGCCGCTCTGTAGCTGTTGCTCTGTTGCTCTCTTACCGGCTCGTAGACTCCAGCGCCCGGGCAAACAATATCGATCTCGCCAAACTCTTTCTCTGCAACTTCGAACATCCGCTCGAGCTGCACCCAGTCTACCACGTTGGTCTGCTGGAAGACCACTCGGGCAGGCCCAGAGGAGTGCTTATCAGCCAGCACTTGCGCTTCAGGGCGCAAGGCTAGGTCTGCAATTAGGACATTGCATCCATTTTCCACCAACAATTTCGCAAAGCTGAGGTTGATTCCTGACCGGAAAGTAAGCACACCGTCTACTGTATGACGTTCAGTCTCGGAGTGGAGTATAGAGACATACCGGAGCCAGCTCCAGTTACAATGGCAGATCTTCCTTTGACCGAGAGAGCCATATTCAAGGTATTAACGATTAAACGTCTCAAGTTACAGTAGTCCGCGACACTCCGGGGGCTCTGCACACCTTTATACAGGCAGTGGAACTTGCTCGGGGTCCTTTGCAGCGCGTACCGTCTCCAATTTACCCCCGCGGGGCATTTAACCGTTGGAAGGTGGACCGAGGCCGGCGTGATGGCCGAGATTTCTAATGTATAGTCCAATGATACTCTGGCGGGTAGTTGGAAGTTTGCCTTTTAACCTGAGGTCATCTGATAAGTTGGCCCCTCTTTCCCACATATACTTGCATTGTCTTTTATGTGGGCGCTGTTCACAACTGGTCTGTATGCCGAGTCCAGTTCCAGATCAGCAAGTGGGACGCTGGAGCGCGAGAGGTTCTCGCTTCCTCTGCCTTTCTTGGAGACTGTGGAACTTGCTGACTTGTCATGCAAATCGGCGTGGCCAATATTGCCAGATTGGGTTATTCAGGCGAATGCTATGGATTTGTGATAGGAATGCGAGCAGTCCTACTAATTTATATGCAACTCCAGTTCTTTGCGTCATGATGGAAATTAGAAACCATACTAAGGTAGGAAGCTCCGTACATGTAGTAACATTACTGTACACGCTTTAGTGGGACCTAGTAATAGTACTACTTCCAGCTGGAATCCTCTTGCTTTAGAGCTGGAGGATAAACAAAGAAACAAGAAAAAACTTAGGGTAACACTTAACCTTATAGATCGAATGAAATGTAAAACAATATATATTCATTCGCATTCAGCGTGGACTTGGACTGACCAAATCCTTCCTAGGCTCTGTACTCCGCATTCTTATACATCACTGCAGTAGATCTCCCATCCCGCAAACCTGAGCCGACTTGCCGGCTTACCGAGTAATCCTTATCCGAATGAACCGAATTCTTCAAGGATTCTGTGGCATTCTTAACTTGCCTCTGGGGTCAATGGTGAAAGTGGTTATGGACTGATGTCATGTAGTCGGGTAGATCTCCTAATACGGTAAGTTAGTGGCACATCACCCTCTTCCCGACTGCGGCACGAATACTGAATGAAGTAATCTCCCGCCACTAATGCATGGAGGCAGTTCCCCATGAAACATATAAATCACAATAAGTTCCCCGCAAAATTCAAAATAACAACTTCAATCATGTCGATGTCAAAACTTCTTTCAAAGTCTGCCGTCCGTGCAGCCTCCACCGCGGCCCAGACCACCAAAGCCGCCGGTGATATCTCATCAGTCTTCCCTAGTCTGAGAGCCGACTACAAGCCCGAACCTCTTCCTCCTCGCTTCGCAGAGCTGAAGGAGAAGTTCTTTAATAAGAATAAGGATGCCCTGACAAGGAGTTGGGAGCGTCTGCTTCCTAGCCTGGACACAGAAGTACAAAAGATCAAAGCACAGGGCAGCGATGTATGTAGACATCCCTAAAGTTATGTCAGGAAAAGTCTAACATGAAACAGATTATTCCCTCTGTCAACTACTCCGATGTTGTGTCTGGCCAGGTATCTGAAGCCACATTAAAAGAGATCCGCCACCGAGGCAGCGTGGTTGTCCGCAATGTGGTCCCTCAGGACCAAGCCCTAGACTACAAGCAGCGGATCCGCGACTATGTGGCCGCCAACAAGGAACGCGTCAAAGCCTTCCCAGCCGACTCTCCAGCCGTCTATGAACTATACTGGACCCCGTCGCAGGCCGAAGCCCGCGCCCACCCCAACATGCTGAACACCCAGCGCTTCATGCAACAACTGTGGCACTCCTCCGACCCCGACAGCAAAATCTCGACGACAAACCCCCTCAGCTACGCAGACCGTCTCCGAATCCGCGACCCAGGCGACTCAAAATTCACCCTGGGCCCTCACATCGACGGCGGTTCCCTCGAACGCTGGGAAGACCCTGAATACAGCCGAGTCTACACCAAGATTCTAGAAGGCAACTGGGAGCAATATGACGCATGGGATGCCCGCCACCGCCTAAATGCCCAGATGGACTTGTATAACGGCGCAGGCGCCTGCTCAATGCTGCGCTTCTTCCAGGCCTGGTTGTCCATGTCTTACACCAAGCCCGGCGAGGGCTCGCTGCATGTCTGCCCCATGATCAACCACAGCACTGCTTACACGATCTTGCGTCCATTTTTCGAACCCAACACCTCTAAGCCTCTTCTTGATGCCACCTTCCCCGGCTCTGTGCCCGGGGCCGCCCAGGAGTACAACCCTGTTACGCACCCTCACCTCGATCTCGAGGAGACTATGGTCTCAGTGCCGCAGGTCCAGCCTGGTGACTTTGTTGCTTGGCATTGCGATGCTCTGCACTCCGTTGACAAGGAACACCGCGGTACTAAGGACTCAAGTGTCATGTACATACCCGCTACTCCGCTATGCGATATGAACATCCAGTACCTGCTCAAGCAGCGCCAGGCTGCGGAGAGCCTTTCTCCTCCCTGGGATTTCCCTGGTGCTGGTGGTCCTGGTGAGGCTGGCTTCAAGGGTGCCGTTGACTGGTCCTCGCTTAGCCCCGAGGGCCAGCGTGCCATGGGTATGGGCAACACCCCTTGGGAGATCACCGATGCTATGAGCGAGGGTGAGAAGGAAGCCATCCGGTCGGCCAACAAGGCTTGCTTTGGCGTGTAAGATCAATTTGTGACTGTCATTGCTGGTGTTATTTTTGATTTTTTTGATCCCACAAAACTGTACATATATCTGCATCTTAGGGGAAATGGGTGGTTAGTTTTTTTTTCTCTCAAGTTCTCAACTGCTTTGCATAAACATAAATTTGTGTACCGATACCAATGTAAATCGATCTAAGATCTCAGACCCGGAAAAGACCAACATGCTCCATTATGATTGGTACGTCGAATGGAGCTACGTTTCCCAAAAATGAGGTGCTCCAGGTTGCTTTCTATCGAGGTCTCCAGGTCCAGCCTCATCTGATCTCACATGTAAATTCAATTGCTACTCTATAATCCCAACAAAATGGTAGGCCCATACATCGCCACCCAGGCATACATATTAAAGAAAAAAAGAAGTAGGGAAAAAAAAACGCCACTAACAATAGAGAAGTTCAGCTGGGAACCTAGCCCCATCAAAACAAATAGTCGCCCCGCATAGCACAGCCCGCGTGATCCGAACAGCTCACAAACAGAGAGTAATTCATCCTAGCAAGTAACTAAGGCTCAGATAGGCGAGAGACAGCACAGCCGCAGTGGATTTCACTCAATCTAGGTTCGACGGAGGGGTCGATAGCGAGCAAATAAGCAAGAACCTAGTGTCTAGCTGAGAGGTTAGCTTCTCCGTGCTCTGATTATTGGCTATTTGCTGTCGCCGAGGTCGCCATCCTGGTGGGATGATGTTGTGATTGAGGGGTTTAGAAGACGAGGGGGGATGTTTTATTCTATTTTGTTCTGTTTCGGGGTTTAGAGCTGAGGCTGGTGTATCCGGGGGAATTAGTATAAATATGTGCTTGTCTCTTCCTGTGGCTTGTATCTCTACACAGTCTTCTATCTTTTCTTCTCCTGCCAATTTACTCACATCTTCCTGTGCTCATCTACATCATGTCTTACAACAACGACTCCGATAGCTATGGTAGCCGCAACCAGAGCTCCGGCTATGGCGACAACGACAGCTATGGCAGCGGAAACAAGTCTGGTTCCGGCCGCAACAATGATAGCTATGGAAGCAGCAATGACAACAGCTACGGCGGCGGAAGCAACAACAGCTCCTACGGTAGCAACGATGACAGCTACGGAAGTGGCAACAAGTCTAGCTCCGGCCGTGACAACGATAGTTATGGAAGCAGCAACAACGACAGCTATGGTAGCAAGAAGGACTCGTCTAGCTACGGAGGCAACAACGATAGCTATGGCAGCGGAAACAATGACAGTTATGGAAACAAATCTAGCTCCGGTCGTGATAACGACAGCTATGGCAGCAACAAGAACTCATCCAGCTACGGAGACAACAACGACAGCTACGGCAGCGGAAACAAGTCCAGCTCCGGTCGTGACAACGACAACAGCTATGGCAGCGGAAACTCTAGCCGTGACAACGATAGCTATGGCAGTGGCAACAAGTCTAGCTCCGGTCGCAACAATGATAGCTACGGCAGCAGCAATGACAACAGCTATGGCAGTGGTAACACCAACACCTTTGGCAGCAACGACGACAGTTACGGAAGCAAGTCCAGCTCTGGCCGTAACCAAGACAGCTACGGTAGCAACAAGAGCAGCAATGACACCTACGGTGACTCCAGCTACGGCAGTGGAAACAACTCCAGCTCTGGCCGTAACAACGACACCTATGGCAGCAGCAACGACAACAGTTACGGAAGCAGCCGTCGTGATGACAACTATTAGACAAAGACAAGGTATGTCGTTCATATTTATGCCTCACAATAGCGGATATCACCATAGCGGTTATGCTTACAATCGTGTCGCTTCAGATTCATCGGCAAGAGTGGTAGCTTTAACAACATTAGCACGGGTATTGGATGTCTTGTGCATGTTTCGGAACCCAATATGTTGTCATTTGGGTTCAAGGATTATTGAACTTGGTTGAGATATGAAATAGTTCTGCATAACATGCTTTTTTTGCCACTTAACTCTTAACGTTTGCCCTAAGACGAACAGTGTAGAAAGACGAAGCTTTCATCGTGGTATTCCAGAGTAGAGAGGCATTACCAGCTGTTGTATGCTATAATACGACACCAAGAGATTTCTTCATATCCACTAGGGCTCATGCCACGAGGGGTGTGACAGGCCGAGAGAGGTAAATAGGAAGCTGGCAGTATGAAGAAGCACGGAGAACCCGAGGGTCTAAGACGATACAGTAATGGAAATCCGACCAGAAAGTTAGCAATCGAACCCTGAGAAAACCAGCGAAGACATTCAATCAGGAATTGCATCTTCTTGATCATATTTTTCGCTCCATTTTCGATCAAAAGAGTTATTGGCGTAGAGCTGCGTAGAAGTAGATAGATTGGGGGAGCGATCACCGCCCGGACGCCAAGTTTGTAACAACACAGCCTAAGCCATCCACTTCCCCCATTCGCTCAATGCTTCAATAAGAGCGATTCGACAAAATGCGGCTTCAGGCGGCGCTCTTCTTCGCCGCGTGCCTATCGCCCGCGGCAGCCATCTACAACGATGAGGTTAATCACATCGACTTCCATCACGCTCTGCCCGGTTCCCCCTCCCCCGACTCGACCTTCTTCCTCAAGCCATCTTCGACTTCCAATGCCTCCCTTCTATACACAATCTCCGACAAGCTACTAGTGGGTGCCATCAATCCCCGCGACGGAGCTCTGTTGTGGCGCCAGAACCTCTCGCGGTCGGCGGACTCGCCTGCGCGCGGGGGTCTTCTGCGTGGACTGGACGGCAACGACGCCGTAGTTGGCGCAGCGGGTAACTATATCTCGTCGTGGAGTGCTCAGGATGGAAAGTTGGCCTGGGAAAACCGGTTCTCTGAGGGAGTGGTGGCGGATCTCGAGCTGTTGGAGCTTGAGGATGCTACCGCGACTCTCGGAGTACGTGATACGATTGCGGTGGTTGGCAGCGAAGTCTCCGGTATCGTGAGACGCTTGGATGGTAATTCTGGAAGCACGAAGTGGGAATATAAGGAGGACAGGTTGGTTTTCTGCTTGACTGCTGTTGTTCAAGCTAACGAATTGCTCCTTTAGTGGTGACGTTCCATTCCAAGTGTCGTCTTCCCCGACAGAGATCTTCTATATTTCGCTTCAATCGGCTATGCTGAAGGGCTACAAGATCAAGGTTACCGTGTTGGACCCAGTGACTGGAAAGCAGGTTCGACAGCAGGTTCTTAGCTCTGAAAGCGACGTGGCTACCCCGGAGTCCGTTCTGTTCGTCGGCGCGAACATTGCCTCTCCTATCATCGTCTGGACCGACAAGTCACAAAAGTCCTTGAAGGTCAATGTCATTGGTACCAAGGAAATCAACTCGGTCGCCATTGACAACACTTCCGGCTCGGAAATCCGAAAGATCACGGTCCACGCTGCACACAAACTCAACGCTCTTCCCCACTTCTTGGTGCACTATGCAACTGATGCTGGAGACTGGGCCGAGGTGTACCATGTGGACATGAAGTCGTCCAAGGTGACCAAGGCTTACCAGCTGCCTTACCTGCCTGGACAGTCGGTGTTCGCGACGAGTGTTATTGACGCTAATGTCTACTTCACTCGTATTACAGACTCCGAAGCTATTGTTGTGTCTTCCGCCTCTCATGGCATTCTTGGTCGCTGGAATCTGCCGAAGTCCTCTTCTGACGCTGCTCTGCACGCTGTCTCCGATCTGGTTACCAGAGAAAAGTCTGTGGCCGTTCGGTCGGCCGTTTTCCGCGAGAATGGTGATTGGCAGCTTATCCGAAATGGTCAGATCGAATGGACCCGCAACGAAGGTCTCATCGATGCTGTTGCAGCCACCTGGGCGGAAATTGATACCCAGGAGGGTCTGGCTCATGAGCTGGAGGTCGAAGGCCATGAGACGATTTACGGAGCGTACGTTCACCGCGTGAAGCGTCACGTCCGTGACTTGCAGTACCTGCATGACTGGCTCAAGCACATCCCTGGGCGTATTTTGGGCAGCATCCTGAGCGATGAGGTGACCAATCTGGACAGCTTTGGTCTTGCCACGCCTGTTATTGTTGCCACAAAGAACGGCCGCGTGTACGCTTTGGATACTGGTAACCATGGCGCTGTTTTGTGGAGTATCCAGGCCGTAGAAACATCCCAATGGGATGTTAAGGCTATTTTGACTTCGCCAGGCACAGCCACCATCTACCCTAACGATGGAAGCTCTGTGACCCTGAATGTCTCGACAGGTGATATTATCTCACGCACTGCATCATCTGACAGCAAGCTTCGCTCGATTGCTGTCTTCGGTTCCCAGGAAACGTCATCGTTGACCACCGTCGGCGTCCGTGAAGATGGCTCCCCAGTCACTGCATTCGACGAGGTCAACGGGTTCTTGGTGACCACCAGTGCCGACGGCCGAGTCCTCGGCTGGATTGCAAAGGACAACAAGTCGCCTGTCTGGGAGTTCGTTCCTCCATCGGGACAAAAGGTTATTTATGCCACTGCTCGCCCTGCCCATGACCCTGTGGCATCCATCGGCAAGGTGCTTGGAGACCGTTCGGTTTTGTACAAATACCTCAACACCAACCTGGCCCTGGTCACCGCGGTGAACGAGAAGACCAACACCGCCAGTTTCTACCTGTTGGACGGAGTCTCAGGCAAGGTCCTGCACGCGACTACTCAATCAGGCGTGGATACCACACAGCCCATCGCATCCGCAATGTCTGAGAACTGGTTCGCCTACTCATTCTGGGGCGATGTCGGCTCCAACGAGTCCTCCGCCAAGGGATACCAGCTCGTCATCTCAGAGCTCTACGAATCGCCCTTCCCCAACGACCGCGGCCCTCTCGACTCCGCCAGCAACTACTCCAGTCTCCACAGCAGCATCGAAAGCCCCCCGCTACCCCACGTCATCTCCCAGGCCTTCATGATCCCCGAGCCCATCTCCTACATGACGGTCACTCAAACTCGCCAGGGCATCACCACCCGCCAGCTTCTCTGCACCCTTCCCTCCTCCAACTCCATCGTTGGAATCCCCCGTCCCGTCCTCGACCCCCGCCGCCCTGTAGACCGGGACGCTACCGCTGCTGAGGCCGAAGAAGGTCTCTTCCGCTATTCTCCCTACTTGGACTTTGACGGCAAATGGTACCTCTCGCACGCCCGCGATGTTGCCGGCATCAAGGAAGTGCTTTCTCGCCCTACCCTTTTAGAGAGTACGAGTCTTATCTTCGCCTATGGTGGCGATATCTATGGTACTCGCGCCACACCCAGCCAGGCATTTGATGTCCTCGGCAAGAGCTTCTCCAAGTTGCAGCTCGTTCTTACTGTGGTGGCACTCGGTGTTGGTGTCGCCATTTTGGCTCCGATGGTACGTTTTTATAATCCCTCTCTGGCTATCCTAGATTCATTTGCTGACCCTTTTGTCCAATCTAGACTCGGAGAAAGCAGGTCAATGCTTTATGGAAGGCTACATAGGTTGTCTCGGTTCATATAACCGTTTGCTATTTCGTGCTGTAGACTAATGTACACCTTCGTTGCGAAATGTCCTTCATGTAGCATCTTCCTCCTATTCCGTAGGTTAGCGAAGTCACCATCTTGAATGCTGGATCTCCAAGCCAAGGATTTCTTTCCATGGGCATGTGAATAGCTTTGCAATGGAGTTCATCAAGGACTCACATTTGCAAACTCGAACATGAACATCTCGAGAGCCATGTTGAAGCTTTCTATTTGTCTATACTATGATGTATCTAGAATTACAATGGTTTTAATTGTTTGCTTTTAATTTCAAAAGCCTCCGTACATACCTAAATCACATAAATACTGCCAAGTATATATCTAACTTTTGTTTAAGCACGCCGAGCAACAATGAAATCTACCAGAACGAGACAAGACGCAAAAACCATGAACCTTGTTTTTTGTACAGAGAAAAAGGAATATATGAACAGCAGGATCATCAACGAGGCGGCTGATCCCCAAAGGGAGACTGAATATCCCGCCCGGATCCCGAAGATTTAGCACTAGCAGCCGATGTATACACCATGCCATTTTTCATGTCCAGACTATCAGTGGGACTGAGCGCACGGGGATGGTTCTCGGAAGTGATATCATAACCATGGCCCATTTTATCATGGTTCGCAAGGCGCGACTCGGTCCAGCTCTCCATCTCAACGGTGCGCATGATCTCAAACCGATCGCTGTCGTAGCCAGGCTGGCGGTGATCGTCAGCGACGAGACGAGAGTTGCGAGAGCGGCCGGTTGAGGACCACAATTTGTGAGAGCGGGATCGTTGGTTGTAAGAAGAGCCGATGTTACGGGTCGATTGTAGGAGGCGGGGGAGGAAGGCTGCAATGAGTGGGCGGAGGGCTGGTGCCGAGGAGCAGATCTGGCGTTGTTCGTTAGTGGAATGTTTAAAGGAGGTTTAAATGTTTGGCTCTTTACCAGTCCCAGACTAATCTCCACCGCTGCGGCTATCAGTACCGGCCATCCAAGCCAGGTTGCGTCGTAGCCGACTACCATACTCTTCCAAACGTACACAGTGCGGACAGAGCCCGCTACGTTGACCACGACACCGAGGCCGAAGATGGAGATAACGGCGAGACGCTGGCGGGCTGGGAGCTTTAAGCTCCAGATCAGTGGCATGGGTAGAGTTGTGACTAGGAAATCGGTGAAGATGTTGATCACACTGGCGGAGAAAACAATGGCACCGTCGTTCATGCAGTGGTATGGTTCCGTAGGGCTAACTTGCCAATATGCGCGAATAGGACTATATGAGACATTAGCAAGGTCATGGCAATGTGGGGACAATATACTTACTTGCACTGGAAAATGCTGATAATGGTGAACAGACCCCCAGAAAGTCCAACAAAAACCATTGCCCCAATGAAGGCCCATTGGTACACTACGAAATTGCCTTTCCCAAGGAGTCGCCGGCAGAACCACAGCAGGGAGATCTTGGTGATAATGGAGGCCATGGAGAACATGATTTGGAAGCAAAGATTCAACTTCTGTACGATGGGTAGTTGCAAAGGCGAGATGTCCCAGATATGACGGTTCATGCCATAGTGTTCTGTGGCAATTGATGTGACAACAACCATCGCAATAGAAAAGACCAATCCAGCGACGATAAGAATGTCGTCAATACCGGCGCTGTATGTGATCCAAAACCGAGTATATAGACGGAGCATGACCACAATAAAGGCGAGGGACATGCACGCAATGTTCACGATGACTACTCCATGCCCGCGAGTTGGAGGGTCAATATAATTCGGTGTTGGCCATTCGGCCACGACGGCAGCTGGCGGGAGCTTCATGATGTTTCTGGATTGATGGGTATACGGTATATGCGCGAGGAGATATAAAGACCGGAGGATGTACACGAGTGAGGGGGATTATAGTATGCAGGCAATGGCCACAGCCATGACTCAATAAAGAAACAAAGGTAGTCGTGAATATAGGAAGAATGAGTGCTAGCTTATACAGCCATCGTAAATCGTCAAAAAAGGAGGGAAATAAATGATCGCACTCTGCCAGGGACCTGGGGCAGATATAATATGTGCAGGGATGACAGGCCGAGACCTTGGATTCATAAATCTATGAAAAAACAACCCCATATGATCGATATTGAGGCAGGAGCAAGTCGCGAATAGACTTTCGGCGCCATCTAATCCTGGACAATAATAGAGCGAATTACACTCCGCATAGACACGGTGCCCGGAATTCCAGAGACAATGAACCTTGGACGCTACAGTCTCATTCCACACAATCGTTCCACGCGAGATCGAAAAGAGTAGCAAGACCGAGGGCTAGTGCGGGTGGGAGGCGACGGACGGATGGCGATAGGCAGATCCAGAGCCCCATAGTTCCCCTCTGGATCCACTGCGACTCTGGATCTGTGGTTTGTAGTCCATGTGAAGCGTCTGAGAGGCGTATGAGATTCACTGGTGTACTTCACGGACAGTAGACTGCCAAATCAGTGTTGAACATTTGTGTGTTGTGAAACTTAAAAAGAAGCGAGCCTCGTATATACTATAACCCCTGCAGGAACGGAGAGTTACATGCCGCAATGCAGCCGAGGCTTACCACGCCACCAAGTCAGGGTTTGATTGTTCCAAATAATCTATCTCAACAATACTCTGTAAGGTCCTCATTCCTCGAATCTAAGCGAAAACCTCATGTACGATGCGGGGGTTGGGAGGCTTCGTAACCACAGTTCTCCCGTTCTCCACCGATATTTGCCGCAATACTCTCTGCCCACGGCACTGTACAAACTGCCCGGCTGAAATTGCCCCCACTGAAGATGCAAGATGCATTTAATATAACATAATATAAACCCTTGCCACAGACCCCTGCCACATGCAAAACATCGCGTGCCTACGAAACAGAAGCGCATTTGAATCCCGTTCCCCACGCTCAGAAACAAACCCGAGGATTTTCCGCCCACCCATTTCCCTTTCCTCCCAAAATCCATGGACTTTTTTCTTTCTGTGGCCCACTTCGGGCACGGTACTTGCTTCACACAGCTAAGCCTTACACTATTATCAAATCCCCACCCTCTTTGCCCTTGTGTCCCACTATCTACGCTGTCCCGAAAACCCTCGACTGTTTCAAACCTTCACATAACACACTGCTCGGAGATATACTAGTAGAAAAATCCTCCAATCCCCTGGTCTCAGCTTCCTGAACAAGAATGGATATTCCCCCTAGACCAGACCAGCCTCCTGCATGAGAGTTTCGTCAAGGTTGATCATCCTCATCTGACCCAGTGTGCCGGTCAAGTGTTAACCAATGGGACCCGACCGAGGCGGCTTTTAATTGACTTGTTGGTGGCTTGAATTTCGACATGTTGGACCCAAAGGGATGGAATGATCGGCGCCTACTCACAAATCTGTGCCATAGACCATTGACTTTGATCTTGCACACGAAATACCCGGGAAATTGAATAGATCTACCAGCTATAGGTTAGGTACGTAGATCCGGACCCTGCCCAAAATTGAGACAAAATCACGAAGCAGGAGCATGAAACTGGCCATGTCGCAGTAAGGGGATTCATACCGGTCGGACGGAATTAGCTCTGGGATTGTTGTCGATCGGGATCTTCAATAGCGCCCGGAGAAGATACCTAAGTAAGCTTTAATGTCTATTGTTTTCCCCGGTACTGCGTAGTCTGGCCCAACTCACCTTATAAATACTCTAAATTGGCAACCTGATCTATCTCATGCAAAGCTTAGCACGTCTGTTAATGTTAATGATTAGATGTATCTAGAACAATGGAAATCCGAAAATGATTAGTAAAGTGCTCAAATTTAAGACCATTGATCCCGTGACCTTGACACATCCGTGGTAATTTAGGAAGCTTTTTGAGCACAACCATAACCTTAATGTGACCCAAAACATTTGCCTGCGGGAATTATTTTACTTGACAGTCAACTACAGACACCGAAAGACTCTAAAGCTGGATCCTTGCATCCGTAGGGTTGATTCGAGGCACTGAGCCAAAGAAAGTTTACAGATGCACCGAGATCTCGCTCTCTGTCTTTGATGTCCGTTTTCTGTCAAGCCATCCTCAAATTTAAGACATGCAAAAGTGTAGTTGGCTTAAGAGAACTTAGTTTACTTTGTATACAAGCTTGACACTGGATAACGGATCCTGAATCCCATCACATAAAGTTCTCAATATTTATGGAATCGCAAAACACATCGCTAGAGAGGATACTTGCACCAGAGATTAGACTAGCGCTTATTGGCCTAATTCTTCAGTCGCGTCTATTTTCTGGCCGTGAGGAGATAGCCAAATTACACATTCTCCATGCAAAAATGGCCTCTAAAGACATATCTCAGTCGGCACCTATCAAGCATGGTAGCATATAAATAAAAGAGTCCAGTTCTCACCAATTGGTTGCATTTATCACCTCAATGGACTCCAGTCTAGACCAAGGGCTCGTTGTAATTTAAATCGTGCCCACACTCCCCTTAGTTCTCGCCATACCTTTAGATAGAATTATTCGTCCCCCCAGGCTCAATATCCCAGAGATACTTGAATCCTGCTGTGTGGTCTAGTACCCTGGTTGAAAGATCAAAGAGGCATGGGGATATTGAGCGACATGTTTCAATAGATCTGAGAGCACTTCAGTGTTCTCAAGAACGATTGCGGTAAGGGACTTCATAGGAAGCTTCCTCTGATCAAAGCTCGATAATACGTTTAGTAGTTCTTGCTGAACGTCTTTCAACACGTCGAGAATGAGGTTGACTGCGAGATGAGAATGGTTTTCCTTTCAGCAGCTTTTCTGGCCAATGTAGATATTCTTGTGAGGAGTATGGGGAAAGAAGAGCAAATAAAACAGGCAATATTGGCAGTCGGCTTGCACACATAAAGCTAACTCGGTTCAATGATGTATGTCGGAATCTTCGATTGATATCTATGTACGGAGTATGTAGAGGCACCGTAGGGGACCGTGGTGCAGAGAAACACCTCACTAGTCCTAAAAAGGCAAGAATATCCGGCGCAGCCAATGCTCCAACTCACACCTTTGCTCACCACCCCTTTTCTTCTTTTCCGAACACCGCTCAGCATGAGTGACCATAACCCTCCGATGGAGAACCTTCTCAACCTAGACGAAATTGAAGATGTCGCCACTAGAAACGTGAGCAAAAAGGCGTGGGCTTATTATTATTCCGCATCCGACGACAAGATCAGCAAGCGCCTCAACTCAGAGGCCTTCCGCTCTATTCAACTGAGACCAAGGACATTCATAGATTGCACAGAATGTAATCTGAACACTGAGCTGTTAAGCAACAAGGTGTCTATTCCAATTTATATATCCCCGGCAGCCATGGCCCGCCTAGGGCATCCCGCAGGCGAAGCTGGTATCGCAGAGGCTTGTCGCAGCTTTGGGGCGATGCAAATTATCTCGAACAATGCTTCTATGAGCCCGGAGCAGATTGTTGCAAATGCGGCTCCGGATCAAGTATTTGGGTGGCAGCTGTATGTGCAAGATGACCGAAGCAAGAGTGAACGGATGCTAGCTCGAATCAATAAGCTGAGTGCAATCAAGTTTGTTGCGCTGACACTTGATTCTCCGGTTACCGGGAAAAGGGAAGACGACGAGCGCAGTGGCAATATCCTCAATACTATGGTGGAATCAAGCTCGACGGAAGCTGTGTACCAAGTAGTTGATGGAAATGATTCTTCTCCGCCCACTAAGCCAACGGAAGATCAAACCTTTACGGGCCTAGATCCTACTCTCACGTGGAAAGAGACTTTGTCATGGCTGGAGAGGCACACCGCATTACCAGTCGTTCTCAAGGGAGTTCAAACCCACGAAGATGCTTATATTGCCTCATCATATGCGCCCCAAGTAAAAGGAATCATTCTTTCAAACCACGGCGGTCGATAACTTGATACAGCCCCTCCCGCTGTGCACACCCTGCTTGAGATTCGAAAGTACTGCCCCGAAGTATTTGGCAAGCTTGATGTCTGGGTTGATGGCGGTATCAAGCGGGGGACTGATGTTGTTAAAGCGATTTGCCTAGGCGCAAGAGGAGTTGGCATTGGAAGAGCTGCACTTTGGGGATTAGGAGCTGGAGGCGTGGAAGGTGTAAAGAGAACGCTACAGAGTATGGAACGTTTAGATGTTTTCGAGGAATTTCGAGTTTGCTAATATCCGGGTTTAGTTCTCACGGATGAGACCAAGACATGCATGCGACTTCTTGGCGTACAGAATGTCAATGTGCTTGGAAGGCAACATGTAAGCCCACATCTCACCTTGGAACTAGTACCTAGGTCTTCTTTAAAAAAAGGGCTATAACTAACGAATCTCCTTAGATCAATACTCGGTTGGTGGAACAACAAATTTACAATGGGCCATCTGGTCTCGAGGCCTGTAAGAACAAGCTCCGGTCAAAGCTTTCGACATCACGGTTATAGAAATAGATATGGACAGAAAACCGCAAAAAGGAACTCGAATTCAGATAGGTCAATTTAGTATAGTATAAGTTCTTTCACCACGTTTGCGACGTACCTAAGAAAGAGAAGACGGAGAATCCATACACTATGTTGTCCCTGGGCGAGCGTTGCGATTCACACCGCCATATTTGTGCTTACTTAGATAAATCATTCTTCTCTCTTGTTAAAACCCAGTTCATCCAACTGAAGTGATCCTTACGATTGTGTTCGAGATCTTGAAGCCATCCGAAGTATATCTGACTAGACCATGTCAAGCGATCCATCACTCTGCCCACCTACATAATTAGATACTACACTTTAGCCAATATTTCTATAGCCTTAGAGAGTAAGACAGTCTCTATAACAAGGACAAGAGATCTCGGGTAACCGGCACAGTGCCGATGCATCCCAAGTAAAGGTGAAGACGTGATTGGACTTTTGTTAAAGTAGTGGGGTCGGAGTAGACAACCATGGAACGAATGCGGGGATCCAAACGGTAGAAGGACAAAGGTGCATAAAGATCAATACTTGACATGCAACTATGATGCGCTTATGCACCGGTTTCGTAGGATTATTTCCATGGAGGTCTTATGCTGACCATGGCTTTAATAACGCGTTGAATACGCCATCCTGGATCTCCTCTTTGGCAACTGATCACCATTCTTTCCCGGTATTGTTCAGTTTTCTTGAATCCGGTTTTGTTTCTCTGTTCGTGCTCGCAGCTTGCGTTCCTTGATAATTGCCTCTGCTTGGAGCAATTAAAACTATGGGAGCCACCATAGCTGAGACACCATCTGAGAAAAGCATTGCAGACTCAAAGGAAGAATATCAACCCGGCGAAATAATTGCTACTGAATTCAACAAAGATGACCCCGAGTCAGCCCTCCAGCCTTCGAAGCAATATCCAGAAACAGACCTCAGCCGAGGCATAGTTGGCTGGGATGGACAAGACGACCCCCACAACCCCCAGAATTTCGCGGCTTCTCGAAAATGGGGCCTATTGGCTTTGACAAGCGCTATCACCTTTGTGTCTCCTCTTGCATCAAGCATGTTCTCGCCATCTGTGAGCTATGTCGCAGTTGACCTGGGTGTGACGAATGAGACACTGTTATCATTTAGCATCAGCATCTATATTTTGGGCTACGCAGTAAGTCTAACAACTGGCATCTAAGGCATAGGGACTAATTTCGAGTCATATAACAGTTCGGTCCATTGGCACTAGCACCCTTGAGCGAGGTTTACGGGCGTCGAATCATACTCAGCTGTGGAAATTGGTGGTTCGTCGTCTGGCAAATTGGATGTGCACTCGCACCCAACTTGACCTGTTTGATCATCTTCCGGTTCTTTGCTGGCATCGGTGGATCAGCATGCCTAACACTTGGGGCGGGTGTCATTGCCGACCTCTTCCCCATCGAACAACGAGGCTTAGCGACTGCTATTTGGAGCTCTGGTCCAATGATCGGCCCGGTGGTGGGTCCTATCGCAGGAGGCTTCATTGGTGAGACAATTGGCTGGCGATGGGTCTTTTGGGTGCTGTTGATGATCTCTGCCGTTGTATCGGCCGGAATTGAAGTCTTGAATCGAGAGACATATGCTTCTGTTCTGATCCGATGGAAGACTGTGCGACTTGCCAAGGAGTTAGGTCGCCCCGATCTCCGTAGTGCTTACGCACCGGACGGAGAGGATGTCTCGGTTATGACCGAGCTCAGGGTCGGGTTGACGAGACCAGTTCTCTTGTTCTGCAAGTCGCCCATCGTGTTTCTGCTCTCCACTTATATGGCCCTCGCATATGGTCTTCTATACCTGTTCTTCACCACAATCCCGACCGTATTCAGGGGTCAGTATGGATTCTCCACCGGTCTGTCAGGGTTGGCATTTGTGGGGATAGGGGTTGGATTCTTCCTGGGGATGGGTCTGGTTGCATCCACCAACGACCGGCTCGTTGTCAAGCTGACACAGCAGAACGGAGGCCAATTCCAACCGGAGATGCGACTACCGATGATGATGTTCTTCGCTTGTTTCCTGCCTATTAGTTTCTTCTGGTATGGCTGGACTACAGAAAAACATGTTCATTGGATCGTCCCGATCATCGGAACGGTGCCCTTTAGTTTCGGCATGATGGGCATTTACTTGCCCATTCAAACCTATGTCATTGACTGCTACTCTGGCTATGCGGCGTCCGCCAACGCCACCCTAACTGCCAGCCGGTCATTGGTGGGCGCACTGCTCCCTTTGGCGGGGCCACAAATGTTCCAAACTTTAGGGCTTGGATGGGGGAACTCGCTCTTGGGCTTCGTGGCTGTGGCCTTTATTCCTGTGCCAATAGTATTCTCGCGGTATGGGCAGGCTATTCGTGAGAAATTCCCGGTGGAGCTTAGGTAGGCAAAGAGTAGGAGAATAAAATATAAAAAAAGATCTCGCCTGGGCTAAATTTAAACGTGCGGACGTGTCCGCCGACTCCACTCTTGGCGTGCTGGTCTAGATTCAGATGAAACGCCCCCTGGCAAGCCCACGTTTCAATTTTCTCCCTTTTCTTCAATTGCGATATTTCCTTTCTTTCAGCATTTTGTCTTTTGTCTATACTTTTCTTTCGCTTTAGTTATTTCCTTGCTGTTGTCTTCCATTATACATTCGTTAACTACATCGGCCCGGCTCCGAATCCATTTACCTTCATTCTTTTTTATTTTATTTTGTTTATTTTATTGTCGATCTTTTTTTACCAACTGATCTTCCATTCACCCACCATGACTGACGGCCATAGTGCTCCCGTGGCCGACGCCCCTGCATCAGCAGGGGCCGACAATGCTGCCGCACCCGTACCAGCCGACGTACGCTCGCATGCTGTTCACCACCATAATACGGCCCCATCGCACGAGAAGGAGCAGGCCTCCTCGGTGGGCCGTCTGACTCCACGGCCAACGTTTCTAGAACATTTGGCCAACTCGCGAGATTCGCAGTTCAAGCTCGATCGACGGGACTCCAGTGAACTGGATCGATACTTTGTACGTTTGTCATGCGGGGACTGCGGGACCTTCATACAAGGCACGATGTGGTACATGTACTGACAGATCTTGCGTAATAGCATGGCCCTCGCAATATGGACAAGCACTCCAAGTGGCCGATCTTCATGCGGATGCACGGTAGTGTCATGCCGAAGATGATCCTGCCGCTGCTCTTTGTTGCTGCTTGGTCGACCTTGATTACCTTGATCTCCAAAAATTTTCACTCTCGTAAGGATTTTCGGACATTCAATTCGATAAGCAGAGTTTCTAACTGCTCAAATAGTTGGCATCAACAATATCCTGCTCACCGTGCTGGGTTTCGTGGTGGGTCTGGCTTTGTCGTTCCGCAGCTCGACTGCATATGAGAGGTATGGTATCTCCATCGTGGGACCAGTTGCGCAATTCACTGACTCAATTCGAACAATAGATGGGCGGATGGACGCAAGTACTGGTCTCAGCTCATTCAGACATCTCGCAACCTTTCACGAACAATTTGGATCAACACCGGCGAAAGGGAAGGCGAAGAAGGAAAAGATGATCTCCTGAGAAAACTGTATGGCAACCTCGAACTGGACTCTATGCCTGAAAATGTCGTGCTGACAAGCCTTGGATAGCTCTGCCATGAATCTCATTTTGGCCTTTGCCGTCGCCCTGAAGCACAAGCTTCGATTCGAGCCAGATATTGCTTACGAGGATCTGGCTGGTCTTGCCGGACATTTGGATACCTTTGCCCGTGACGCCCACGACCGGACAGTTGTCAACCCTCGTGCCAAGTCTATTTGGAAGTCGGTGGGTGAATATCTTGGCGTGTCTTTCGCCGAGTCGAACCCCCGCAAGTTGGTCAAGCGGTCAAAAAAGCCCGTGGGACATCTTCCCTTGGAGATTCTTAACCATCTGTCCGCATATATCGATTCGTGTGTTGCCAATGGTACACTTACATCAGCCCTGCACCAGGGCCAAGCCAGTAAGTGCCCATCCTTGTTCGTCGAGCTGACCCAAGTCTGACATAACCACAGTCACCATGATTGCCACCTTGAACGAAGTATTGACAGGCACAGAGCGTGTTCTGGACACCCCTCTGCCAACAGCGTATTGTATTGCCATCTCTCAGATCGCATGGATCTATATCCTGGTGCTTCCATTCCAGCTGTACACTGCTTTGGAGTATATCACCATCCCCGCTTCAATTGGTAATTTCCATCTTCTCTGAATAAACAAGCACGGCAAATGCTAACATCCTTTAAGTGGCCGCCTACATCATCCTCGGCTTGGCTACAATCGGCAGTGAAATCGAAAACCCCTTTGGCCTGGACGTGAACGATCTTCCCCTGGACTCATACTGCCGTCAGATTGCCGTGGAGATCGATATCGTTAGTGCCACGCCGTGCCCGAACGTCGATGATTACATGGAACGTGCCGACAATCTCGTTCTCTTCCCTCTTAGCCAGATGGGATACCCTGACTGGAAGGAGAGAAGCGTCGAGGATATCCGCGGTGCACTCAGAACTAAAGTGGTTGCCAGCCCATCAGCTCCGGCGTCAGATACCTCTACCATTGTGGAGAATCTTCGCATGAAGTCCTCAGGGTCTGTCTAATCCTTCTTGCAAAGTTGGATGGCAAAAGCCAAAAATAAAAAGGAGACTGTTTGTATGGAAGCTCTGAGATGATGAGCCTTGAAAGGTGGATTGCATTTGACTAAGCGGCATCAAATTGTTTTTGGAATGTTGAGCAGCGTTTGAGTTATGGCGTTTCATCTGGGTCGACATCGGAGTCGACTCGACCCAGAAGAGTTCCGATTTGTTTGTTATTTGAATACATAAATTGGTATTTGCTTTGGATTTGTTTCCCCTAGCCTGTTTGTAAAGAGCTTGACCCAAGATGCCATATTTCCGGTCCTGGAAAGTGTAGATGGACTTGGAGACGGGATGAGAGGACGAAGTCCGCGGAGGCCATAATGGGCTGCTGAAACATGATCTGCACCACCCAAATGTTGCTCGGAGGTCTAGTCTCATCGCACTGCGCTGCCTGTGTAATGGGACGTTTCGGACAAAGTTGCGCAGTAGCCCGTCGGCTGGTATTCATGCAAGTGTAGTTCATCCATCATGCGCGACGGGTTCGGCCAAGCTCTAGTCCGAGTAAAAGCCACAACAGTATTGTTTCCCGTGATACTCAGTAATGGTGAGCATCACCCCAGCTCACATACTTAGGGAACGAACAAATCCGCCCCAGACCCAGCCGTCAACGCACCTAGAAAGTTTCCCTTGGCGCAGACCCTCCACGCGACACCCGCAGACCCCGTCGTATTGCTTCCGCCACCAATCCAAGAGCTCACTGCAGCGACAACAGCTGGGGCATCTTCGCGCGGGACACGAATCCACACAGAGTCATAGCGGGGGACCCTGGTAGCCTGTGTTGTAGATGTAGCATCGTTTGTTGGTGTAGACGCGAATCCATGCTCGATTTTCAGTATATCGATGAGAATGGCCGTTCCTGTCAGACCGAGGAATTGCGACAGTGCGGAGGAGAGGTAGGTGCGTGCGGAAAGAGGGTCGAGTGCTTGAGGTGTGTTTCCGGGCTGAGGGACACTGAATTTGCAGATCATGTAAGCTTGATTGTCGCGACAAAGATGTGACTTGAACAGCTTACAGCTTGAGCTTCAGGTAGGTCCAGGGCGGATTGCGGGACGTGAAATGTATGGTTTTCGGCTTTGGCCCAGAGGCTTTCCGCTTTGCAGGCTCAGACGAAGGGATTTCCTTGTCTAGTTTCATATCCTCCTGCATATTATCCGTCATTTTGGTTGATCCTGCGAGAGGTGTTGGGCTGTCGGAGGTTGAAGTGGTTCGGCTGAGTTCCGCCAAAAATCATGAAACTTTGCGTCACGGGATCCCCAAACAATCATTGAGCTCTCTTGAGAAGACGAATACGCCAATAAATGAGACACCGCGCGATGTTTCGATCAAAATTGACAAAATGGTTTAGGATTAGCGTGTCCTGACATCATCAATCAATTGTTGAGTCGCGCGCTGCAAGAATGCTTCTTCGCTTTCGTCTCCGAGCTCCAAATCGGCAACAGACAATATTTTATCTTTCGATTTCCCGCCACGAATCACTTCTACATTTGATTTAGGAACCTTGAAGATCTAGGATTTTGTCAGAAGAGTTCCCTCTTGTTGAGTCTTTCAGAGACGACCGTAAGATGCCCCTAGAAGAAGTCACTAACCTCAGCAAAAACCTGCGACACCGCCAGATTAGCTGCCCCGTCGCGTGGAACGGCAGACACAGATATATCGACCTTGTCAATGCCCACGGCTGTGATACCAGTGCGACGAGCGGAGGCGTTTGGCTTCACATAGCAAGGGATGTGGAGGGTGTACGTTGCGGGAGAACGCTGTTGTTTGCTTGCGACCAAGCGCAGGAGGGACGATGGGCGAGTCGACATTATCAGCCGTTGAATGGTGCTCGTACAAATATTTCAAGATTACGAGTGCAGGATAAAATATGTATGAATATTGATTTCAGCAAGAATAGCAAATACCTTGGGAAAGCAAAGATGACAGATGGCCATGGTTTAGCCCTAAGTTGGATGACGACTGAAAACATAAGAATAAAAACGCCATCAATCAACGCAACCCACCCCACCGTTTCCATAGCTTATCAATAACATTTTGACCTGCAGTCAAACATACTCTGCGTGACGCTCATTCTCACCGGCCTTGGGCATTTTTTCCCAGCCGACCGTTGTTCCACTGGGCGATGGAATGGGGTCTTGAGCAACCCAGTACAGCTCGGGACAGACTGCATCCTTGCGCATGAAGACGTAGCGCTTGATCCACCAGGGGAGGACTTGAGTAAGTTGGTACTTGGCGTGAGTTCGGGTCGGGACGCCAAACACATAATCCAGTTCCTCGAGGGAGCGCTGCATGGTCTCAGGCATGAAAAGGAAGATCAAAGCAAAAGCGAGAAGATTCAGGAAGGCATAGAAGCCAAAGGCTCCCTGTGGAGTAAGGGCTCGAAGCATGTATGGGAAAGTCAACGACAAGACTGAGGCCCAGAAGTTATTGGTTGCGACGGCCCATGCCATTCCTACTTCACGATGGGACAGGGGGAACACCTCTGCAGAATAGGTGAACGGGACGGGCCCTTCTCCTGGTGAATAGAATGCGTCAAACAAGTAGACGAAGAACGCAATCATTCCGATGTGTGCATTGCTGTCGGTAGAAATCCAGAAACTAAATCCGGCTGCAAGAAGTGTCCAGCACATCTGTGGAAAGGTGAAAAGTAGCAAACCACGTCGGCCGAATGTATCGATTGTCCACACAGCAGGCCAAGCGAAAACGAAATTGATCAGACCAAACCCGAAGGAGGCAAGAAGTGCTTCAATGTTGGATGCACCAGCGAGCTGGAAGATTGTTGAGGAATAGAACGAGATAATGTTGACTAAAGAACGTGAAAATGTTAGTTGAAGTTATCGTACATGGTTGAGAGTATTCTCCAGGCGTCTTTTGCACTTACTTCCACACATCTGCTGGGCAATCATGACAATACCAGAAGCCTGGACAGCGCGGCGCAAGCGGGGCACCGTGAACAGTTCCACAAACCGGACGAACATGTTGTCCTTCTTGGAGAAACCGGACTCACTAATCATCTGTTTTTCCATCTCCAACTGGGCATGGATCATATAAAGATCCCTGGCCGCCTGCAAAGGAGTGTTCCGCAGTCTGAGGAGGGATTGATATGCCTTCTTGTGATTCTTCTTGGTCATCAGCCAGCGTGGAGACTCTGGGCAGAACCAGATTCCCAGAAGCAGAGGTACAGCAGGGATAAAGGCAGAGCCCAGCTGCAGCCGCCAAGCGATATCACCAGTATTGGCCACTATCAGATTTGCGCATGTGCCGAGGAAAATACCGAAGGCTGTCCAAAGTTGCCATGACATGACAAGGCCTCCACGAATGTTGGTTGGTGCATTTTCTAATATAGTTAGCATGAAGCATTCCAGTAGAGTATATCAACATCAGGGCATTCTCATCGAAAACAGGGACGCATAATGTATGAGCAATTACCAGCCGAGTAAACAGGCACGGTAACTTCCTTGAGTCCCATACCAAGTCCGAGAAGCATACGAGTAGCAATGAGCTGTCCCCAGTGCTGGCTAAAGCCGGAGCCTAGGGGAGCTGCAAAGCTAAAGATCGCGGCCAAGAAGATTGTACCACGACGACCAAGAATATGATTGAGAGGATCGGAAAGCCAGGCAACACTATCGAAAAATGAATAAATGAGATGACCGACCACATATAGTTCACAACAGTACGTACAAAAGGCAAATAGTGATGTATGGGGTCGCATTGATAAAGCCCACAATCCACTGGTTGCGGGTGCAAGTAGCCGGGTCAGGGCATTGAGGGGAGTTGTTTGGGATACCGAATTGGACATCGAAAGTCAGGTTGGCGCCGTTGGATCCTATACAAAGGCCCTGTTAGTCAAGTCCGATACACAAATGGATAATCCAATGGAAAAGAGCACTCACCAGTCTGGTCCCAGCCTTGGATAGCGGCCGAAATCGAATTCAAGATGATGGTGTAGTACAAAGCAAATGGGTGCTTCCAGCGTCGAGTATTTTCTTCAGTCAGGATGCGACGATCACCATCACTCAGTTCGGGGATGAGTTCGATCCCCGACGGGGACTGAGCGACCAGAGCACCCTTCTTCAGAATTGGAAGGATGTCCTGAAGACCATACTCGGTGGCATAACCTGTCACATCAGCCATAAGCTTGTCATGGGAAATTCCAGCGAGAGTGTTCTTGATCCTGTGATATATTAGCCCAAGTTGCGACGAATGCCAATACTCGCGCCGCTGCGCATCATAGTGTGTTAATTACTCTCCGGTGACATTTTCAGTCATTCTAGTCAAACGTCAGTAATGGGACTTTAGCATGAGGCTGTGTGGTTACATACCCAGCCGCGTCATGACCGGTGAGATGAGACATCTTGGCACCTGAAGTCTCCAGTGTGGCCAAGATGTGAAGAGCAAAGACCAACTGATAGTAAGTTAGGGACAAGTGGATGAGGTAAAGGCGAGCGATGGAAGTGGCTCAAAAGGTGATGAGTCAGGGAGTTGGAGAAGGGAAAAGCAGAAAGGATTGGAAATAAGTGAAGGTCTCGAAAGAACGGCAATAAAAACGGGCAGAAGCAAACAGATAAAGCAGTCATAACTTCAGCAAAGCAAGCCATCTTATTATGTCCAAATCAGATGGAGTTAACGTAAGCTACGAAAGGATCTCACAGGAACTTTGATCTCTACTCAAAGCGCAATTAGCGTCCAGCAGTAGCATTACGCACAACTATCGCTTTGTGACGACGGGAGTATATGTCTTCAGTATATTGCTTATCATAACAGTCAATGACTCTACGGTAGTCACTCTAGTTACTCTATATCTTGATTACCTCGGACACCCTAATTGGACCAGGGAGATTACTTCGGCCGGAGACAGTCTCAAGAAAGGAAGACAAACGCTCTGAATCAAGATGTCTCAGCTAACGCAGTCTGCAGAGGAATCCGCTACATTGGAAGTGTGGACTCGACACGGAGGCTTAATGCGCAGATATTACACTGCGTCAAAATAGCGTGGTATACAAGCATAACCCAAGATATTAAGGCTTAGCCCCGAGCTAAAATGTATACAGGAGCACAAGGGTTCGGTCCCGTCTGGCTGGGTAACATGCAGGACTTGCCCATCTTCGTCCAATAGCAGACGCGTCAGACCACATATTCCATGCATATACGGACACTAGCGAGGAATTTTGATTACCTCAAGCAGCCTATCCCGTAGAAACGGCGTACTGTGCCACTTCACCGATTGTTCCCAGTGTTGTCGTGCGATGTTCCACGACTGCTACACTCGTTCCACGGGACCTGTTGGTGGCCCATACAAGGGTCTCAGGACTCGAATCCAACGGCTGTCTCATTGTGAGCTTATTAGAAATGCGACCCCTTGTAACCCTCGAATTTGTTCTTTGCTGGTCTCATCACAAAGCCAACTCGACAAGCCCCAAGCAGAAAGCCGAACTCGACCCAAAGAAAGGTTTATTGAGTAGTATTTGCGTATGGATTCTGGTCGCGGTTCGGTGAGGCTATGCTATTTTCATAAGGGTCAGTATCCTGTAGCAAATCGCTCGAGATGAGTTCAATCCGTTTGTGTACCTCCAAGCCGCCGATGCGCTCCAATCCAGCAGAATAGAATGCAGATGCGGGAATGTCGAACCAGCAACTCAACCTGGCTTTCAGATATACCCAGAGATTGGCTTTCTGTCATTTTTGATCTTGTCCCAAGCCGTGAGTAGAACCTGCAATACCGTTTCGTCAGAGACTTGATAAGAATATCTTGCCAAGGAAGTGCTTCCAAATACCAGTGGGACCTTGTTGTATTTGACCGACTTGAGAAAGAGACGTTGGATTGTATATGAAGCTCGAATGATACAGTCATAGGCCATAAGACTTTTCCCCCGCCCCACATTTATATGTTCTAGATGATTAACCCGAGGCACTCGAAAATGGACAAAAATAGGTAAAAGAATACCGGGCAAAGTAGAGCAAAAGCAATGCATACTTCATGGCACTGTGTGCACATTTGTGACCCCTGTTGTAGCACATCAGACTGAGAAGCACGCTGGACGAGATCAGAGGATTGTGAGAACTCAGGTTAAGGAGAATCTACCTGAGCTCAGAATTGACCGCAGAGGGGGAGTCCAGGAAGTGCTCGTTCCGGGTCACAAGAAATTGGGCTTTGAAGAAATTGCCATTTCTAGCGGGCTGTACACAAAAGCAACGATGGGACAAAAGAGAGGAGAGATAAAAAAGGGAGATTCTGGATGGATCACAACGCTCCGCAGAGTCTCTGTCGTACCAAGAAAACATTAGATGATAAAGGTCATGGCTTCTATTTGATTGCTTGAATGAGTACGTGAGATGATATCCATATCTAGAATAGAAGAACGCTGTCCAGACTGGAGAATCCAGCAGCCACGCCACCTTCATTCACCTCTTTACCTTTGGTTCGCAACAGGTATCCGCCTTGTTCGTTGTGCAAAACCTTGCCGCTGTTGTCCCAGAGGATAGTACCATACACGCCAAGCTCTGAAATGACGTTTCCTCTGAGGACCTCGCCATCGTTCCGCAAAGCAACATTCTGAGCACTGGGTGCTGGGTTGATCAATTCCATGAGTACCCAGCCCCTCCAATCCGATTCCGGTATAGACCGTAGAAATTCTGGGATTTCAGACTTGTAGATGTTGTTACCACCCCCTTCACGCTGGGGCTTGAGGACATGGTTCATGGCAGTGTCTGGGTTGAGAGCCAGTTCCCGACCCCGGCTATTGGTTGATAAGTCGTATTGTGGGGCAAATGTCTCCCGAACTCTTTCGACAAGCGAAGGGTCCGCACCTTTCAAGAAGCTTGAAAGATGGTCCGGTCCCGTAGGCTCCGCCAGAACTTGTTGGACTTTCTTGCAGCCAGCCAGTTGGTTGAGCACGGAAGGACACTTGATCGCCGCGGAACGTTCCAGGTGTGTGCGGGCCTCCCAGTCACGCCTGCACTTATATTCATCTGGTGCGTAGTAAGCTCGGAGATAAACGGTGGTAACCTCGAAGGTCGAGTCAAGAGAGTGAGGGGGTTGGTAAAGTAATGGCCGCGAGGGGTTGGATCCAGAAATTGAAGTTTGATCCAAGACATCCACGCTGGAGACACGGAAAACGGGGATTTTATGGAATGTCTTGAGTCGTTTGGAAAGCGCATGCTGGTCAAAGACGTTCCGTTCTTCCTTTTGAACCACAAATAGAACACAGAGAGGGAGAGCCGGTGTCGACTTTGACGCTCCATAGGCCGTGTGTGCCTCAGCTAGCCCAGCAGCTAGAGTCTCAACAGCAGTATTCTCAGGGGGTGTGCTGGATTGCAGGAGAGGATGAGAGGGATAATTGATAAAAGATCCTGGCGGCACAGTGAGGAGATCATTGTGCAATTCTCTCACAAGAGCCGAAAGCCCTCCGAAAGACGCCGAGATTGTGTTAAACTCCACTTGTTTCAGAGATGGTGCACCCGTGGACGCTACATGGGCCATGTAGTCGGACCGGAAAAGGCCCAATGACAAATTTTGGACATAGCCCTCTTTCTGCACCGCCAGGTGAACCTTCCACAAGTTCGCAACGAAATCATCCACTTCAATCAATCTGCCCAACACTTGAATCAGCACTGCTAGAACCTCACTAGAAGGCCACTTACCCCTCCACGATATTCCCAAGCCATTCCGTATCACAAGTGATTGCCGCATAAAGTTCATTATAGATCGATTGCAGAGCAGTTGCTTCCTGGAAGCAGGTCCTTGGGAACGGACTAGGAAACAGTGTCACCGGCGCATTGGTAGCAAGCACCCCGTTTGAATCTGTACCAGGAGGGACAATTGCTGGCGAAGGTCGAACTGCAAGACCATTTTGAATGGCCCAATCTTTCACAGCAGTGACAAGAAACTCTTGTTGAGCCGCCGATAAGTCCGGCGGATAGCTAGAATAGACTGAGTCTGTCATATTGCTGATGAATTCTAGATAGACCGTGAAGAAACCCAGATATTCTTTTAAATGGACTTTCCCAAAAATTCCAAGTCAGTCTGGTGATTTGTAATTCGCGGGGCATCGGAGGTCTATCAACACCTGAGGCAGAAGCTGAGGGAAGAGTGACCGCCTTCTATATAAGGTTAATCATGCCTGATATATGCCTGAAGTAGCTCACCGCCTAGATAAGCACAGAAATGTCTGGCAGAATGAGTACTTTCCTATTTAAGAAGTAAGAGAGCGTCAAATTATCACATGAGGGCTTGTCTCCCTTCTCTTTTATTTTCCTTATTTTTCTTTCTTCCCTTTTCTCTCTCTCTTCTCTTCTTTATTTCCCACACTCTTTCAACCTTTCCTTTCTAGTGCAAATCGTGTCTTTGCTCTTTTTACCATTCACACTGATACCTGCAGCCTTCTGCATCCATCTTCGAGTGTCAACTGATCTGGAACTCTTTGTGGGCCCATCATGGTATGTCTCAGTCCCTTTCACCCCGTGTATTCCCATTCAAAACATGTCCTCCGCCGATGCACTTCGCAGCACGTCCGAACGATGCGTTAACTATATGACAGGGCTCCCCGGCACGCATCCTCTTGGATGCCAAGAACCCTAGTCAATACTCTGTGGATGAGGTCATAAAATTTTTCTGGCCGGATGGAGAAGACCCATCGTGGGCCTATGGTCTCCATCCTCCTGATCCTGCTTTGCTGGGACCTGCTTTTCGCGCAAACGATATCACTGGCAATGTGCTTCTTAGCTGTGTTACAAATGAAGTTCTTCAGGATGCTCTGGGCGTGAGCTCTTTTGCTCAACGTGCATACATGTTAATAGGCATCAACATCCTGCGAGTTCGCTCGGCCACTTTTCCTCCAACCGCTGCCCCAGAGCAGAGCAGTCGAACTGAGCCCACCAGTATTACCATGGCAAGCACCCCTCTTGGCTCTATGCAATTCACAGTTTTTGGGTTGAGAGCCCAATCTGAGCCGTTGCATGCCATCATTCCAAACACCCCTGCCGCTGGGACCACACTACTTGCTACGACCAAAAAGCAACCCAGACGTGTCACCAACATCATTACAACACCTCTCCTTCCAAAACTCACAGCACCTGCAGCACCTGCAGTTAATTCTTCGTCAGCTTCCCGATCATCCCTGCCCCCGACAGACGATGATGGGAAACCTCTTCACCCAGGGTGGGAGCGCTTCAAAGCGAACATTGTCAAAAATAACCCAGAGAACACGACAGGAAATGAAGATGATGTTTTGCCGCCATATGGGGAATCGGAATACGACACCGAAGATCAGATGGAGATTGAAGCTTTGCCCGAGAAGCCCAAGAAGAAGGACATCCCTACCGAGTCTACGCCACCAGTCGACCTGACGGAATTTAATTCTATTGTGGATAAGTTGATTTCAGACAAAAGGCTGGAATGGATACGTGTAATGTCAAAGGATATGTGGGAAACCATGGGACGCTGCGAGCTAAGCGATACCGCTATCAGTGACAGAGCCTTGAATGACATTGTCAGGTTCGAAAAACGCCTCTCGGATCTGCGCGATGCAATTTACGGACACAGGTACACATCTGGCCTTTTGATTATCAAAGCTTGCGAGAGTCTGGATGAAACCCTGTCGGACCTCTTTTTTCGTGAGTGGCAACTGGCTGTGCTGGGCAAGCTGGAGCCCTCCCCGGAGGATATCCAACAGGATGGGAGCGAACCACACGGCATGAATACCTTCGCTACCTCGGGTCCCCCCCGTCCGTCCGATCCCTCTAGTACATCCAATTGTTACGACTCTGAAGACCCCGGAGAACCTTCTGGTGCCGAAAGCCCCTCTGATGCTTGCAATTCCGAAGACAGCGACATTCGTCCATCAGATGAACCGGCTGCCAAGAAGCCGCGTCTGGAATCAGACATTCTTGATCAAAGTCTACCCGAAACCAGTCTCATGTCTGGACTACCTACAGGTGCTACTCGGGAAGTAATTGACCTTACTGGGGACAGCCCCGAGCCGGAGCATAAGCCAGTTGACATGGATACGCCGATTTTGCCACGGCAGACCAAACGTGCAATATGGATACAACAAAAGAGGCTGGAGAAAAAGGCCGCCAAAACCCATGCGGCTCAAATCAAATCCTGCGACAGCCCCGAGCCGGAGCAGAAGTCATTTGACATGGATGTGCCGATTCCGTCACAGGAGACCAAATGTGCAGAATGGAAGCGACTACAGGCCGAAAAGAAGTCGGAGAGGAAGGCCGCCAAAATCCACGCGGCTCAAATCAAATCCTGCGACGGCCCTGAGCCGAAGCCGGAGACGAAAATAGAAGACAAGACCGCAATTGATCACGAAAGGAAGCTATGTCGAGCAGTGAGGCCCAAAATTGCAAGATGGAGGCAATACACGGCTAAAAGAAGGTGGGAAGTAAAGGCTGGAAAAACCCTTGCTGCTCAAATGAAGTCCTGTGATGATGATGAGGAAAGAGGAAAACGGGAACGGGGGGTGACCCCGGAAGACATTGAGCTGGAAAGACTGAGGATTGCTAGCTCAGTCATATATTCTGTGCCAATGCCTCCTTCCTTTCCTATGAGCCCGCGTCCTTTGGCCTCCGAACCATCTGAGTCCCCTTCAGTCCATCCACGATCCATCTCTCCTATGTCCGAGGAGGGCATGGCAATGTACCAGTAAACTTGATCTCCTAAGATATTCCCGGTTTGTGGACCTTGATACATCTCTGTCAGTCTTTTGTTCGGTTATTTGTTCGATACTGGTTTAGCATTTGTCAATGTTATTGTACGATTACTGTATAATTGTTCCCGATTAAACACAAGCATCCATCTATAAGTAGTCAAAAGTAATGTCTACCAGAGACACGGAACTTTTGGCCCATCACAAATCCCCGGATAACGCCTTCCCATTTTATGATATCTCTTCATTCCTTTGCATGGATATCTATAGGCTTGCTGAATGACAGTCCTTGGGAACCTTGTGGACTTGCTGGTGCCTCGGCTGTATTCCATTCATCGGACCTATCCAGTTACCGTAAATGCACTCCTTCGTGACAGAACGCCCCGTGGCTAAGGTTCAGAGCCAGGGCAGATAGGTACTTGTAGGGAGCCGAGGCCACTTGACATCCATTATTCCTATGATGTGTCGCCGTAATATCAAGCCACTGTATGCTAGGAGCTTTTCACACCACAGCACAGCGATAAGATACACATGCCCAGCTGTCGATGCGGAGGATGCAGCTGCCTCTGACCGTTTTGAGGTAGCGTGTGAGTACGGCCGGAAGCAGAAAGCAAGCCATGGGGAATCTGCTCGCTCGTTTCGCTGATTCAGTGTACAAAGAAAGGACCACCTGGGCAGTCTGACTTCGAGCACAAGGACACATACAATAGGCGAGATTACTGAGTTACAGGTGTGTGTTGCTACTAGATCCCCAGTCGTCATATTACAGGGCAGTCTCAGGAATGGCTTCAATAATCAGAGTCTTGGGGAGAATACAAAGGCAAGTTGAAAACGACAATAGATTTTGGCCCTGCAACCCATTCAGCCAATCAGGGGGCTCCACTAAGAGTGCAGTGAAGAACAATGGCTTTATTGAAGAACAATAGCAAGCATTCAGCCAATCAGGGGGGTTCGACTTTAATAAAAAATTATTTTATTTTTTTCCCGATTGGGAAGGCTGCCTTCCCTTAAATATCTCGCCCTCCCCCAACTTTCTCTTTCTCTTTTCTTTCTTCTTCATCTGACTTTGGGCACGCGCTCAAGTCTCTCTCCTTCTTCGGTTGGGTCTTGTCTCTTCATTTTTTTGTTTGAACCGACTGTGGGCACATGCTCACGTCTCCTTCTTCGGTTTGGTTTTGTCTCTTCATTCTTCAGTTTGAACTGACTGTGGGCACATGCTCACGTCTCCTTCTTCAGTTGAGTCTTGTCTCTTCATTCTTCAGTTTGAACTGACTTTGGGCAATCCTCTCATGCTGGAGTTCATCCCCTGGACATCACCAGAAGCCCAACGGAGGTGAGTCTAAAAACCACTTCTGCTCCTGGTCCCTCTACGGTGGCTTGCTGCTGAGAAACTATAGCTTCTTGCGGATGGGGATCGCTGCTGACAACCCACTTTGTGGGCTCTGTAACCGGCAGTGTCCCGGGTGGTACCTTAACTCTCGGCGGGCTTCTTCTATGGGGTATGTGTTGACGGCTAACAGGCACGAGGCGAGGGGAGACGATGATGAACAACTTCCCTTCATGGTACGCATCTCCGGATCAATCACCAAGGGCGGTTTCCCGTCTCGGGATCTGAGTCTTAAACCCCAATGAAACCTTTCGTCACTTTCCCCTTCCCTTTGCTCCCCCATTGTGTATCTAGTCATCAGCCTGGAGAGTTCCCCGGAAATCAAACACAGTTTCCATTTCCATACGTAGATTAATATAAATGGCTGTAGACTATTCATCTCCCATTCCTAGTACATGCATTCCCATATGAGGACAACCAACAGCAGACACGAGAGTCAACAGTAGCCTCCCGTCCTACTGCAGCAGCGACTCGAGATCAGCAACACGCGCACCCCGATCCTCAGCTTTCTTCGCCGTCTCCCGGAACGCAGCAAGCATGAGACTCCTCTTCCGTTCCTGAATCACCAGCACCCGCTCCTCAATACTATCCTCCATGACAAGACGCCAGACCGTCGTTGCCCGCTTCTGCCCGAGCCGGTACACACGATCCACAGCCTGGTCCTCGATGGCCGGTGCCCACCAGCTGTCAGACAAGATAACCTGATTCGCCGCAACGAGGTTGAGACCGACACTGCACACACTCAGACTCGCCAGGAGGACGACACAATCGGGGTCGTGGGTGAAGGCGTTGATGCTGTTGTCCCGTTTCACGGAGGGCATCTTGCCGTCTACGCGGGCGTACTTTATACCGTGCTGCTGGAGGTGTGGCTCAATCAGATTCAGGAATGAGGTCCACTGGCTGAATACTACGGTTTTGGTTCCTGGTGCTTGGCCCTGGGCCGTGAGGATCTTGACTAGGGTCTCGATCTTGCTACTTGGGCTGTCCGGGTCAGCTTCGACGGTGTCGGTGTCTTCGCCTAGCTCGGCGGCTGGTGAGACCAGTGTGGTGTTGTCGTTTATTTCTGCGCGACACAGGGGACACTTGTGCTGGCGCTCGATGACCTGCTCGATGCAGCCACGGCAGTAGGAATGGGCACAGGCTGTTATGACGGGCTGATCGAGGTTGTCCAGGCAGATTGGACACGGCTCTTGGCTTTCGATTTGGAGCTGCAGCATGTCTTGCAGAGCATTGATATTCTCTGGTGTCAGAGGAACGACCTTATGCTCATCCAGAGTGTTCAGAAGCTTGTCGATGCGGTTCTTGCACAATGCCCAGTGATTGCAGACCTGCCGGAGACGCAGGATAACCTCCAACAGATGGGAGTACTTGGTGTTGCCGTCCTTGTCCTTGAAGTCAAGCAAAGCGCCTTGGGCTTCGTTTCTGAGTCTATGGTTAGCGTTGCATCTTGGTTGTGTGAGCGGTTATACTTGGTACGTACAGGAATGCACTGTATTTCTCCTGCTCGTGAGCTTTGAATTTGATTCTAATGATGCGAGATGTCATCTCTGGCAGCTTTAGGTTGATGAAACCCATATCCTTTCTCCGACGCAAGCAGATCGTCCCCATGAGAGCCTCAAGAAGCATTCGAGCCTCGGGATCTCCTTGGGTCAAGGGTCGGCTCAAGACAGCGTTGAATATGCCCATATCTTCCAGTCCACCGGAAAGCCCCAGGAAGCGAACCTGCGAATATAGATCCTTGAGAGTGTTGACGATAGGAGTACCGGTCAGGGACCAGCGAGAGTCGGCACGCAATCCACAAGCCGCCAAAGAAGACTGTGAACGGGGATTGCGGATACTGTGGCCTTCATCCAGCACGACACGGCGCCATTGAAGCGAGAAGATTCCCTCGGTGGGAGGCTTCTTGGCAGTCGGTTTGTACTCCTTGGCCAGTGCACCGTAGCTAGTGACCACAACGTCGTAGCTGGCCAGCTTGGAAGCCTCCTTCTTGCCAGACCCGTGGTATATCAACACACTCGGAGCGCTTTCGGGCTTGGCATGGTCTTGGATCTGATTTCTCCAGTTGCTCATGACACCGACTGGTGCAATGATCAAGGTGGACTTCGAGGAACCTGCATTCAGAGGTGCGGCATTCGCCATGATCAATGAGATGACCTGGATGGTCTTTCCCAGTCCCATATCATCTGCCAGAATACCACCACTGGCGAGAGGTGGCTCTGTCGACATGGAATAGTTCGTTGCGACATTGACGAAGCCCTTGTTGTTTCGCTCCCACAATTGAACAATGCGCTCAGATCCTTGTGCTGGAAGACTGGGTGACTCTTGCTTGATCATCCAGGCGAGTCCCTGGCGCTGATATGGAAGCAGCTGTGTAGAGAGGCCAGCTGGTGTATCCACCATGGGCATATTAGCTAAGTCGGATTCTTTCCGTCCGAATGTTTCAACAACTTGGCCAATAGCTCGCGGATTGAAGGTTCTGCTCTGATTGATGAGGTTTTCCAAGCTCTCATGTTCCGCCTCACCGAGTCCCAGTGGAGTAGAGAGGTTTGAAAACTTGGACTTCTCCTTGGTCTGCCATTCGGCTGTCGCTTTGCCAAGAGCCATTGCACGAGCTTGCTTCGCCTCCTGCATCAGCTGCTTCTCAAATTCCTTCTTCGCCTTGGCTTCCTCACGCTCCGCCTTGGTGATGTGCTGTACAGGGAGCCTGTCGTCTTGCATTCGTTTCTTAAGAGCTGAACGCTGGACGGGCTCGGCAGTTCCGAACAGCTTGAGAGCCACAGGACAAGTAAAATGTCCAATCGGTCCGGTCAACTCGCCTTCAACAACAAGATCGTGAGCATCCTTGGATCATATACTGTCAGCCATTTTTGTGTTTTAAGGGATTGAGGATTACGAACCATATATGGTGCCAGTTTGGCAGCCATTTCTCGCGGAATGTGGCCGATCTGCGCACCCATGACATTATCCACGCGAATGGCGTTGCGATCATATTGATTGGTAGGCTCCCGCTTGAGAATGACCCGTTCTTTGGGGTTGGCATGGCCTCTGTAGAAGCGCACACCCACTATTTTTCCAGATACAACGCCTGCCGAAGCCGATTAGTATGGGGCATCAAGAGACAACCAAGACAAACCAAGACAAACCATAAAGCACGGTGCTCGCCAGTGAGGAATCGTCACCCCCTTGCGTTCCCTGGATGGCATTGGCCGCCTCTTCATCTTCATCTTCACCACTAACTTGCGTCAAGGGAAGGAAGTCTGTCGTTTCTCCGAACCTCTGGCCTGTGCTGGTATTATCGAGGTTCGAGGATGCAGCGGCTTCATTGGAACCCGTGCTGGAACCACCAGGATTCGAGGGTCCAGCAGGACGAAGAGCTTTAGCTATGCGAGCATACCCATTATTTGAGCGACCTTCGTCCTCGTTAATCACATCAACCTTGCGCTTTACCATTGCTGTTATTTCATTCGATTGATTGATTCAAGTAATGACGCGTATTCGAGGGGCGGTGAACAATTAATTGTGAAGTGTGGACGCTTCAGTCAGAAAAGACCTGGGTACAGCACCAGGTTCTACACTGTCAGCCACAGATTGATACTATTCAATTGTAGCAGAGAATCTGAACAAATTGATATTCGCGCTGGCACTCAACGTGGCATGGATTGGGTTTAGCGCTGGACGCGTGTTACTCAGCAGCTGTGACCCGAGACCCACATTTCCTTCTTCTTGGCCGCTGTAGCGTTCCGTCTGGATCTATAGATCTTCAACATCAATCCGATTGAATCTCATCCATTGCTCCATGATAAATCAAGGTTCGTGTGGCAGCTACTTACAAGACGTTACAGTGCTTCCTCCTATTGTTCTTACTTAGGAAACAAACCGTCAACATGAGCATCTGTTCCCCGTCAGATTCCAACCTTTTCACGGCTATACTGGAACAGGGAGTGTTTTACAGCGGCCGACATGCCTCCGATCGGCGTCCCACGCGAAGATAGTTTGCTGATAACTGGCCGATCGCTCACTGGATGGACACACAAGACGAGCCCCACAGGGTCTTCTCTCTTGTAATGTGTTGATAGCGTTGATAACATTGGTTTGCTGACTGTCATTTCTAGCATTTCCATATATGTTAGACAATTTGCCCTCCACGACCTCTCATTCCCGGATACCCTGGTCAAAAGGCCGAAGTGAAAGCATTTGCCGTGCGGAGAAGTTCGAACCGCCACCGGCGTTTTGCGGGGGTATGTCCAAGTCCCCCGGATTTTGGTTTATGGTGCCTCATGACTGATGCTTTCACAGAAAAGTTTTCTACCTCTTCCCCTCAATTATGTCTGTTTCCCATGCGAGAACGATGCCGTCCTACCAACCATTTCAATGTCTCGTCTGCCAAAGTCGATTTACCCGGCATGAGAACCTCAAGCGCCATTCTGCGCTTCATTCGCGTTCTCAGGCCGAAGCCTCCCTTCCCTGTGACTTTTGCCACGCGACTTTCTCGCGACCTGACTTGCGCAACCGACACATGAAGAGAAAGCATCCAGAACATGAACATCAACGAATAACGAAGAGATCACGACGGCAGCCACCACCAACCAGACAAGAAAGAGCGAACTCTTCATCCCCTACAGCTATCTCGGTGACAGGCAGTCTAGATGGCTTATCACCACATTCGGCACATTCTGCACACTCGAGTGAGGGAGGCGAAATAGAGATGAACAACACATTGTGGCATTTCGATCCCGAACACCACAAGGAGCACATACACCCCACAGCGAGCACGGCTTCGACAACTGGGGTGAAGGGTGCTCAGATGAACCCAGCCCCACTGACACCACAGCCGTCGATGGGCGATTCAATCCTCATTGATCAGATTGTTCAAGATGCCACGGATCTCGAACGCAATTTATTGATGGGGACAGCCTTTTTCAAACCGACGAATTCTTTTGATACACAACTGCACCCGACGCAATCCGCCCTGATTAACTCAAATTTGACCGAATACAACATCCATCAACAAATCCAACCCATCGCCGATAGGTTTTCACCTAATGACATACCCCAGCTCCAGGATGATTGGTTTCCAACACCCTTACAGATAAGTAGGGGATGCGCTCTATTCTTTGCCAATGTATCTCACTTCCTCCCTTTTCTCCACCGACCGACCTTTGATCCCACACAAACGGCCCCCCACCTGGTCCTCGGCATTCTTTCTCTTGCCTATCAACATGGCGAGGACCCGGAATGCGATGACCAAGAAGGATCAGGTGAAGGTCTTGCTATGCGTTGCTTCCATCAAGCCCGTGCTACCATTGCTTCTGATGAAATAAGACCAGACGCTCTGTCGCAAAACACCTCCATGGTCCAATCATACCTTCTCCTTCAAATCTGTGCCATGATGTATCTTTGTGGTGACAACTCAGCCTCCGGTTTGAAAATGCATACCCACATGATTTCACTTGCTCGTGCTGGCAGAATGACCCAGCCACTATCAGTCGAAACCGGTGCGACCGCAGACTTGGAATCCTTGTGGTGGGAATTCGTGAAAGCCGAGTCACACAAACGAACACTTTTCGCCGTGCATCAGATCGATGCACTGTGGTATCAGTTCCTCTCTATCCCCCGCTCAATCTCTCACCTTGAGATCAAACATGGTCTCCCCTGCCCAGAGGACCAGTGGACGGCATCATCATCCGCCGAATGGGCACATCGGCAGCTAGTCACGAGGAGCTCCGGTCCCTCGGTGCAATACATGGATGCTGTCCGACGCTTCCTCTCTTCAGACCCTGGTCTCAATACCATTCCCCCCTTTGACCCATACGGTGCCATAAACATCGCTCAATTCCTCATTTCCAGCGCTCGCGAAATTTCGGGTTGGTCAACCATGACAGGAATGCTGAGCATGGAGCGATTTAGCGCCTTGCGCTCATCACTTGTCGCGCTCAGCCCTTTCATCAATCCACAATCCGACGAACCAGCAACAAAACATACGATTTCCTGCTCCGCGACCTGGGAGACTGCAATGATCGAGCTGCAGATGTGGTCCCCCTCACATACCGGTGGAATTGTCGAGGGAAGCATCGATGCTGTTCTGACACAGTCCACATACTTGGCGCCTTCTTCGCAGTTCCTATGTGACCACAATACTGCCAAGGCCATACAGCCCCATGTCAATTGGTTCCTGCGGTACCTTGAGGAGACGGTTAATCCAGATTCTGAGGCACCATGGGTTGCTTTGTATGCATACAAGGCGTTTTTGATTGCCTGGCAGCTCATCCACGGGGGACTACCCGGAGCGATGGAGGTTGTCGGTGTTCAGGATGGCGACGTAGACAGTGCCTTGTTGTGGGCAAGAAGAGTCTTCCAGCGCAGGCAGAAGTGGCAGCTTGGCAAGCTGATTCTCTCATGCTTGGACGAGTTAGGTAAATGAATCATACTTTGTGCTATTTTTCATGCATTGTGTTAGTATCTACGCAAGCTTCATTATTTCAAAGCGGTTGCAAAGAACATACATTGTCAAGATTATTCCTAAGATAAATAGATATACCAGAACGCTTGAGACATATCCGTATAACACTCCCCAGAAAAATACCAGAAAACCATCAAGAACAACCGTTTATCATCAGTACATTTCATAGCGCCAGTTAAGCGAGACCATTTCATCAGTGACACCACCCTTAGTAACCTTAGCAATTTCCACTGGGTCACCCGAGTCCAGGCGCTTGTTCTCACGGAGCACGAGCCAGCGATACGCAGTAATAGTAAAGCCAAACAGGACAGCAGCGCCCATCAGCGTTCCAAAAGCAGCATAGAAATGCGGCGAGCCATAGTACAAATATGAAGCCCAGATATTTGCTGTTCCACCAATAGCATTAACCAAAGCAGAGGCAGCAGCACGCTTCGAGACAGGTCGTGCGAGATGCAGGTTGATAGTCTTATAGAGGAGCAGCTGCGGTCCGACAGAAGCGAATGGTAAGATCATCATGGAGAAATACCGAGCGCCAATATTCAGCGTCGCCATTGGGATAATGTACATCACGATTGAGATGGCGATGCAGATGAGGATAATCGGGTAGACGGTGTTCTTACGATCAGAGTAGAACATGATTCCGTAGTAGACTATTCCAGCAAGAATGTACGGTGGTGCAGTAAGAAGCAAGCTAACCGTCTTGGAGAAGTTGAGGGAGCCGACGAGCGTGGGAAAGTAGTTGGCGATGGATCCCTGAGTTTGAGAGAGCATGTTGCAAAAAATAAGGAGAATCAACTTCGGGTCGGAGAGCGCTTTCGCGAATCCCTTCCATACGCTCTCCTGCTCTGAGGCCTCTCCTGCACCAGCCTCCGACTCAATTCGCCACACGGCAAAGTCCCGCTCTGTCTGCGACAAGATGCGGCTGTTGTGTGGAAACTCGGGCATGATGCACGCGCAGATCATTCCAATGCCGACTGTTGCGCTACCCTCGATGATGAAGAGCCATTGCCAGCCGCGGATGTTGTGGACGCCGTCGAGTTGAAGGATTGCTGCTGCGAATAGGCCACCGAAGGCGTTACCGACTTGTTGGGCGATGTATAGACCGGCGATGCGCTTGCCGAGTTCCATCTTTGTGTACCAGGCTGAGAGGTAGTAGATGGCGCCGGGGAAAAATACGGCTTCGGCGGCTCCAAGAATGGCTCGTACTGCGAGGAGTTGGCCGTATGTCTTGACCAATGCTGTGCAGGCTGAGATGCAGCCCCAGATTGCTACGGCCGCGCAGATGTACATGCCAGGCCGTGGGATCTTTGTAATGAGAAGATTGCTTGGAATTTGGAAGGGCAAGTATCCAACGAAGAGGATGGAGATCGCAGTAGCGAATTGTTCGGTGGACATGTTCAGATCCTCCATGATACCCTGGAGCTTGGCCGCAGCCAGGTTTTGACGGTCGATATAGTTCAAAATGTACAAGATTCCAATGGTAGGAAGAATAAACAGATCGACCTTGCGGACAAGCTTTTTGTTGAGAGACTTTACCTCATCGTCACTGAGGTTGCGAACCGACTCTGGCATGCGGCGATATGCCGCGCTCGCAACGTCGAGTTGCCCTTCTGCCGAGGAGATATTGTCTTCGGCATAAGCCGACTCAGGGTCTTTCTTAATGTCCATCGAGAGAATCGCGGCACCAAGAATGCAACTGCAAGTATAACAAAATCAGGATGCACACAAAGTCAGGATGCACACAAAGTGTTGCAGTCTTTGAGGTAGAAATGTTTTTTGAGCTCCCCTCCCGTGGCAACCTATATAGTCGAAAGCCTAGTAGAGACCGTTATCTTGCTCGCTTAGCCAGGAGGCATCATGTATATCCGAGTGATCGACTAATGACCAGGCCTCGTAAGAGAATCGCGAGGCATTGATTGGTTGGGTGGCGGTTGATTCACATGGATGATAAGTTGATAAAGAGATAAGTGTAGGGAGGAGCGCCCGCGATTTGCCCAATTAGAGTGATTTACCCCAGATAGACGCGCTTGATTAAAATCTGGGGTAGATGCGCTAGACATGGGAGGAGTAGAGGAGGAAAGTCAGGGAGGAGGAGGAAGATTTTGGGGAGCTCCTCCCGATGGACCGATAAGCCACTCCGCCCCACTTATCTTTAAAGCCCTAACTCCAGAGCTCATGAAGGTATTTTTGTCATTTGGATGCGCTACAAGGGAACAAAAACAAATACTTAAGCAGGCATGCTATCTACCAAGATATTTATCTCGTTTAAAACCTCAAGTTCTACCAGGCAGCAATCAACAGCCATCCACAAACTACCATCACAATGAGCTATCCTACCGCCCTCACAACCTCAATCGAGAACTCTCGATTGAGACTCCTCAACAAAATCAAGGCCGGCGAGTTCCCCTTAATGACCTTCATGGCCATTCCCTCCATCCGTCAAGCCCAGATTGTCGCTCTCACCGGAGTCGACGGAATAATCATCGACTGCGAACACGGCCACATCGGCGACGATGCCATGCACAACTCTGTCGCAGCCATTTCAGCCCTGGGCGTCTCCCCCGTGATCCGCATTCGCGGCCCGGCCCACGATATCCTCAAGCGCGCCCTCGACACCGGTGCGCACGGCATCATGGTACCCCAGATCAACAACGCCGAAGAGGCCGCACAGATTGTCGCATCCTCCAAGTTCCCTCCTCAGGGTGTCCGCGGCCAAGGCTCAGCATTCCCTGCAATTGGCCACGGTCTCACAACCCCCGAATACATGAAGTCCGCCAACCAGACCATTATCACTATGATTCAAATTGAGACCCGTGCCGGTGTCGAGAATGTCGAGGCCATTTGCGCCGTGCCAGGTGTTGATCTTGTCTTCATTGGTCCTAATGACCTTGCTCAGTCTCTCCTTGGATACACACCTGCGCGTGGCGATGAACCTGAGTTTGTTGCTGCTATTGATAAGATCATCGCTGCTGCTCGGAAGGCTGGCAAGTGGGCTGGTCGTATGGTTAACAATGGTACGGCTGCGAAGGAGGCTCGCGAGCGTTATGATACTGTTGCTATTACTGGTGACACCAAGGCTATCCAGAATTGGTACATGGCAGAGTTCGACATTGCTCGGTCATGAGATGGTTATTGGATTTGATGATACTTTTTTATAGAAGCTGTATATATGCTTGAATCTAGGCAAATGACTTTTCAAGATATTTGTTCCTAGTTGAGGATAACTTATTGTGATGGTAGTTTGTGGATGACTGTTGAATGTTATCCTCTTGAGTTCAAAGATCACCCTCGCTGTAATCTCGGAGCATCTCCGACAGACATTTGGAACTACCATGGATAGAAAGAATCTGCCATTTCTTACCATCAACACTACCTAATTGAAGGAGAACCTTCTGTCTTCATTGCGTGAACAATTATATTGACGCAGTCTGATGGTTTGAATACTACTTTCGTGTTTCCTGCACTGTACACGATAGATATCTACTCGCTTTCAGAATACATATTGACAAGTGACCGACAGTTTTGGCAATGAGATATTGAATCTTCCGTTTCTATATGTTGTAGCTACTTTTTTTATCATAAATCATTTAAGCCTGAGCAATACATTCAATCTCAATCACAGTGCCGTCACCGGGAGGAACAGCCTGAAGGCACGAGCGCGACGGCATAGGTTGGGGGAGGAAATCGATGTATACTTCGTTCATGGCAGCGAAATCTTTCATGTCGGCGAGGTAGACGTTGTACTTGACGACCTGCTCGAGGGAGGACCCGGAGAGCTCGAGAACCTCTTTGAGGTTCTGCAGGACCTTTCTCTGTGGATTCAAAGTCAATCGTCAGTCAGGGCCGCAGGTTGTAAAGCTAATTGCGCAACAAGACTCACAGTAGCTTGCTTAATCTCTCCTGTAGCAGTTTGGCCTGCGCAGAAAACGAGACCTGGAACTTTTGTTGCAGGGCCTATGACAAGATTTGTCAGTAAGTGCCTCGATGGCATGCGCCTGATCTTTGGAGTAGATACTCACAGTTGTGAGGCTTGGTAGGGAACTTCTCGCTGGAAATGAGTTGGCGGGACATTTTTGCGGAATACCAAAGATAATATTATTGGTATGCAAGAGATTCAGAATTGGGGGGAAAGAGACTTGAGGTAGCGAAAGTCTGTGAGTTGTGCGTGTTTAAATTGCCCAGGATGGAGGGGCAAGAAGCTACCCCTCATCCTTCGGTCACGTAATAACTAAATATATTATCAGCTAAAGGTTACATATCCGTTGATTAACATGGAGGAGCTCAAGATCGAGATAAATGCGGTGTTGCGATAGCCCTATCCCTATACCTACATGCCAAGCCCGAGAGGAGCGGGAGGAGCGGGAGGAGCTCCTCCCACTCCTCTTATGCATGCCAGTCAATGTTGGTCATATCTAGAACCATGCTTGATCTCCTATCTGTATACTTTAGTACAGAGGAGCTCTTCAAAGATAAGTGGTCAGCTGGACCTGGATAAGGAACCGAAACACAGAGCATCGAACATCGTGATCAGCGCGGGCAAGGTTTAGTGGCACCAGTAGATAGCAGGCGAGCCAAGCTCACATTTCGCGCTCCTCTCGTCTAGTGTGGCCGAGGAGCTCGTCAGAACGAATCGAGCATGGTGGAGTCTGCTCCCCGGATGTCGGATGTAGAACATAGCGTTTCATAAGTCTCATAACGTTGTTATAAAGATACAAGACTCGATCGGATAATTGGATTCAAGTATCATCATCAGCTTCTACCACAAGAGCAGAGATTCTTTGAGTATACAGTATAATGGCACCCTCAGCCCCTTTCAACCCTCCTTCGGCCGACCTCCCTGGCAAGCCTTTTGTCCCTACCTGGGTTCCGCCTCCAGTCACTCAGCAGAAGGAGAATTTCGCTGAACTTAGCTCGATTGATCTTTCCTTGTTGGATTCGGATGACCCTGCTGTAGTTGATAAACTTGTTCAGCAGGTCAAGATCGCCATTCGCGATGATGGGTTCTTGTTCCTTGAGAACTACGGGGTTTCTCTGGAGCAGGTAAAGAAAGGCCCCAATTCCCCTGATCGAAGTTGAATCTCTAATCTTTCTTTTACGTCACATAGCTTCATCGTCAGTTCTCTATTGCCCAGTATCTTTATCACAACATCAGTGAGGAGGACAAGCAGCGTCTTCTTTTCGATCCTGAGACTGGTGTTTGGTCTGGTTACAAGCACCCCTACGGCTTTAAGGTGAGATAATATGCTCTGCATACAAGCTCATTGCCATACTTATGCTCACTCTTCATCAGCGCAACCGTGGACCTGAAGACGGCATCGAACAATTCAACTGGTACAAGCCCGACTGGCAAGACATCAACCGTGTGCCAACATGTCTACACCCCTTCATGGACGAGATCGAAGAATTCGCCAACTATCTGACAAAGTCCGTCAACCGCCGTCTTCTCACCCTTTTCTCCCGGGTCCTCGAGTTACCCGATGACTACCTCTGGAACAATGTGCAGTCACAGGGTAGCCCAACCGGCGAGGGCTACTTCCGCCACGCACTCTTCCGTCCCGTTCAGAAGAAGACTCAAGAAGCCTCCAAAGGCCTGCGCATGCATGGTCACACTGACTTTGGTCTGACTACACTCCTATTCTCTGTTCCCATCTCATGCCTGCAGATCTGGGGCCGTGATGAACAGTGGTATTACGTGCCTTACAAACCTGGTGCACTTGTCATTAACATTGGTGACACCCTTGAGATTGTTTCCGGTGGACACTTCAAGGCTACTCGTCACCGTGTGTACAAGCCTCCTGTTGATCAGTTGAACCAGGAGCGTCTCTCATTGGTGCTGTTCAACAGCTCTGTTGGTGACCTGCGTATGGGTCCTGCAATTGGTGAGTGAATCTTTATCAAGAAAGACGTCAGGGCGTTGGGACTAATTGTCTATTCTAGAATCGCCACTTATCCAAAGAGAGGGCTGCATCGAGGAGCAGGGTGTCTACAAGGAGTTTAAGAACCTCACATCCCAAGGAAAGCTCGTTCCTACCAACAAGCAATGGCGTGAGATCCAGATCTCTACTGCTACGGATCCCACAGATCAAGTCCGCAACAGGGTCGGTGCTGATCAGGTCCTCATTGATGGCAAAATAATGCACCAGCGAGAGTACATGGGTGTCAAGGTTGTCCTGCCCGTTTAGAGGACTACAATGTATAGTTGAATGGTTATGTGCTAATTTTGTTAACTGTGCGTCTGGAAATATCGAAGCCAGCAGGCTGTATTTGAGATTTATTTAGCGATTCAAATTGATTGTTTTTTGAAAGCCTCACTTCTTTACCTTTTTTTATGAGGTGTCTCAATCTGCAGTGGTTAGGGTCGGACCAGGCTACTAGTCATTTATGGTTGCAGGTATCTCGTTGATTGGAAAACGAACCTTCGTTTAGATAATGCAAACATTGGGTCTATACCAAGAACATTAGTCTTGGAATCCAGAATGTCTGATTCTGGTCATAGAGGCCGGGGGATATGCACACCTTATACTAGGAATGCGCCATGCATTCTTTGAATTTCTATACCTCGGATTTTTTCAAACACAACTTAATTTATCAAGACACTGGTAATGTCAGTACATATTTATTGTCTGTGCTAAGCTTTTAAGCATTCATTTATACACTCATTTCAGCCCACCAGCCAGAAGCAGACTCTGGCCCGTCATATATCCAGTATTCACAAGCATTGTCACAACATTCGCCGTTTCCTCTGGCGTTCCTAGTCGGCCGAGTGGAATACTTGCCGCCACCTCAGGGAATGCTGCAGCATTGGAAAGCATGCCCGTATCACCAATCATAGCCGGTGCAACGTCGTTAACGCTAATGTTGTACTCCGCAAGGCGAGTCGAGAGGTTCTTCATCATACCGGTGAGACCACCCTTAGAGGCTGCGTAGTCTAGAATGGAGGATCCAATCAGAAATTGCCCTCGTATAGGCATATATGTATTAGAAAGGGGAAAGCTCACGGCATCCGTTAATTCCACCCCCCTGTGCAGCGATTGAGGACATAAAGATAATACGTCCCCATTTCTGGGACTTCATATGATCTACTACACCTTTGATCAGGATAAACGAAGCGCGAAGGTTGATGTTAATGGTGTAATCAAATTCCTCTAGTGGAATCTCTGACACGTCAGGAATCCGTTTCCCATAACCAGCATTCGAGACTAGGATATCAGGTCGTTGGCCGTGTTCAGCGTCGATTTGCTGAAACATCTTCTCAATCTGGCTTGCAGTTCCAACATCAACTTGGTGGATTGATATGCGAAGCTTGTGCTCGGTGTGCTTGAATTGTATATCTGTGACAATGGTTTGCATCGCTGCCAAGTTGGTGGAGTAGGTCAGGGCGAGGTGGACTCCATGCTGTGCAAGCTGATGTGCGCAAGCTGCACCGATTCTGCATACATGACAGTTGTATGTCAGTGTCCTATCTTTGTGTTGAGAAAAGGGCATTGCTGTCTAGCTTACCCTCCTGATGCGCCGGTAATGAGAGCTAGACGGCCCTTAATCTCGTTGAAGGACATGTTGCCACTTTTGGGGACAATGAAAACGCGTATGTTAAGCTAATCGGAGAGTTGAAATGGATGAGAGCTATAGGTTAGGTCCTTTGTGTTTCACTGCTCATGAGGTTCAAGATCAGTGCGGGGTGCTCGCGATTATCAAAAGCTAATCCAGAATTAATTGCTGCAAGGTGTTAGTGCTATCGCAAGATTTCCGATTGGTCAATGTAAAGAAGAGCTCTTACGGCGGGCTGATAGATTCAAGTGCAGTGCCAAGAACTCCCGTCGTGCTTTAGAGGAGCTCCTCCCGAGGGCTCAGCGACACTTGGGCAACCTATCGCAGCCGTGATCGGTAATCTTGCAAATATAATCAAGTTGCACAGACACATGGCCGACATTGTGAAGGTAGGATGGGTACCTTGGGTTTCTCATGTACAAAACGACCCTTATCGTCATTGAATATAAGTTAGCTCTAAACGTTTAGGAGACATTTTGGGCTGTGCAATTTCCTTTAATGGTTTAACACACTAGTTCTTTTGGAGTATGTTTGCCATTTAATATGTCGATTGGCCCCTGGAGTGCCTCTTGATCTCCGCCCTTACCGGGCAATGACGTTCTATATTTCTATATTCAATGGCCAAGATTCTTTCTCAAAAATAAATTATTTGCCGATTACTTCTTTATATCCTTGTTTGACGCTTTTGTTTCCAAAAAGGTCTCTAATCACTATGTACCAGAGAGAGAAATCTCCTGCTAGGTCCAGTAGGTGTACCTGGAAGTATAGGAAGTATAGAAACAAATATTTGGCCTGAGGCATGCTACAACACGGCACGTGATGAATGCGCATCCTGTTCCTTACAGTGCGCATACTTGTGCTATGCCCAAATCCAATCTCATTTCACCCCTGAAGATCGTTTGGCATTACGAGCTCGTGACAGGCAGGCATTAGATTCACAAGGACCGAACCCTCGGAGCCCTCGGATTTTTTTAGCGCGATATTAAGAGCCGAGGCATTTTTGCCCCGTGTCCCACATGGCCGAACCCTGCCATGGCTACAAGGATCTGATCCATAGCTATGAAAAACAGTTGGATGGTCTCTTAGAACAGGGCATATACAAACCGGTATTTCTGTATCATGTTCTCTTGTTCAATGTTTTGCCACTGATAGGTCTCGTTCTTCCTCCTGGCAAAGGTGGACAATATGCTCGAAAAGGACTATTCGGTCTATGCATTGCAATCGCAATTCAAGCTTTTCGAAACCATCGGGCCCTAGTTGGGGGTAATGGCTACATGCTTGGGCTGATGACGGCGTGGTGGCTCATATGGAACGCCACTTTGTTTGTCTTTTCAAACCTCGAACATGATTTCAAGCGCATCGAACGGAAAACTGCCGGTCTACAGCTTCAAGATGGTGCCCAAGAGACTTGCGATTGCAAAGATACCTTTATATGGCAGTCATATCCGGAAAAGTTCGGACATCGACTTGACTGGTCTGCTGGACTCCTCTTCAACCTCAGAGGCCCAGAATGGAACTGGAGAGCTCCCCATCTAGGACCATTGCCACAGTCAGTCCATACTCAGTTGCACTCGGGATTCTCCTGTGCCAAATTCAAAGCGCAAGATGATGCCACTTATATCAGTGGAAAGGAGCGGTTCCAAGCTGCGTTTCGAACGTTCTTGAAATATTACCTTGTGCTGGACTTCCTCAAGGTCTTCATGATGCGAGATCCCTACTTCCAAGGCGTCGCCTCAGTCGACTCACCACCTCCGTTTCCATTCTCCTATCTCACAATCCACCCGTTCCTAGTCCAATTCTACCGCCTGTTCTTCAGCAGCTTTGGTGTCTTCGTTGCCCTCGAATTTGTGACAGCACTTAGTCCTATGTTCTTTCTAGGACTAGCACTTGCATTCCCCAATGCAGCTAGGAAGCTCACTGCTGCACCACTTGGGGCTCCATGGGTCTACGCCAATACCTTCGGGCCGTTCCTAGCCCCAATTCTTGATCATGGACTGGCAGGCTGTTGGGGCCGGTGGTGGCACCAGCTCTTCCGTTTCGGGTTTGCGGCCACAGCCCGTTGGATCCTATCCTTGCTTCCAGTCAAGCTGTCATCCCATTCGCAAGTCCGGCGGGTTACATTCATCGTGGTGGCTTTTTCAGTCAGCGGATTCGTGCACGCGTGTGGAAGCTTTACACAGTTCACGGAGACAAAGCCTGTATCGGGGCCTTTTCTATTCTTTTCCTTGCAAATTGTTGGAATTTTGGGGGAGCAGTTGTTCAAGAGATCGATTTATCCGATTTTGCCTCTCTCAGGTACACCGCGATGGCTGAGACGGACTGCTAACTTTGTATTCGTCTTCTGTTGGCTGTTCTATTCGGGGTTTTTGGTTGCGGATGATTTCGCGCGTGGTGGGCTATGGTTGGTGGAACCGGTTCCTTTCAGTCTCCTTCGTGGATTGGGAATTGGACTCCAGGGTCATGGATGGTGGTGCTGGACAGAGCCATGGTTCCGATACTGGAGTGACGGTACTTACTGGGGGAGTGGTATTCGAGTAATATGATCAAATTGAAAAGCACGAATTGACAGATATATGTTCGGCATTGTTTAACCCAGAGATTGCATCAGCAACGACAGGTGTTCGGTATATAGAATGCATTTTTGAACGTCCATGTGAACTATAATTACATATTTACCCTTCCATCGTGACATCGTCATCCTCCTCATCGGTATCAGAGTCCATGTTCAGAGTGGGCAACTCGTCATCACTCTCATCGTCAGCTCCGGCAGCAGCAGGCTGCGAGGCCACTGCTGGGCCGTTCGCAGATGTTGTGGTGGTGGTAACCTGTACTGATACCCTTGGAGCCTCAGCCTGCGTAATTGCAGGCGCCGGTTGAGAGACGGGGGTAACTTCCTCAAGTCGTGCCTTCTTGGTATCCTGCTTTTGGGAAGTTTGTTCCTGAGCAGTGGATTCCTCAGTAAAGGTTCGCTTATGGAAGGCAGGCAGGGGATCGGCAGCCTTCGGCTGCTCTATATTGGGCGCTTGCAGGGGCATCGATAGCGGTTGCTTCATGAAGTCGGAAACCGGGGGTGCAGTGTATACATTATCGACCATCTCCTCGTCTTCTTCTTGATCTTCATCAACATAAGCGTCCAGCTCAGGAGCTGTCATCAGGACAGGCATTCTGGGGCGAATCAAAGCCTCCACTTCCATCTGTTCGCCGTAAGTGCGAACCAAGAATGGAATGATGCTCGAGCCTGCTCCACGGCCCTTGATCGCGGGCACAGGGTTGAGGACGCTGGCAAGCATCGCATCCTTGTCCGATGTCAAGATGATGGTACGGTCAATTTCAGCCCGAGTGGAAGGCGGAACAAGTTCAGCAGGAATAGAAACAAGCACGGCCCGCAAAAGACCCGAGGCATTCTGCTGGAGGTCCAAAAATGGAGTAGCAGATTGCGCCTGACGAGACTTCTGCAGCTCAGGGTTCAAGAAAGCGTCGGCGTTAGCTGTAATACCTTGACCACCCTTTGACTTGGTTTTGGAGTCCAGGCCCGAGTTAGCTGAGGAATCAGCAGTCGGCGACAGAAGATCATGACAGCAAGAGCGAACCACGCTTGCCAGAGATGCCACACTTTGCTTAGACATTGCGGGTCCGTTCAATGGCACCAAGGAACGGAGCAAAGCGTAGACCGCAGAGCGCACATCTTTGCTGAAAGTCTCACCCCGGAAAGTCCAGACCGCCTGCTCCAAAATGGTCTGGGCTATGGAGGTTGCGCTGGTCTCCAACACACTAACAACGTTGGAGAGTAAACCCATGCAGGCGATGTGAATGCGAGGAAGTTCCATCCAAAGGCCCTCTCGCTCCTCACGGCCAATCTCCTGGTTGAATTGGATGCCGGTTTGAGACTCGCCGTTCAGCGGGACGGTCACGGAAGTAAGTCGGGATGTCAAATCTAGAATTGAACCCAAAGGAATAGCAACAGCAGCCGCAGATGGAGAGGAAACGAAGCCCGAAAGAATCTTCAGGAGTACAACTAATCGATCCACACCTGAGTGCAGTCCCGTCCAACCTGGAAGCCCCAGACCATCTGGACCCTTTTCGCTCATTTCTTGGCTATAGTTCGGCCGTGTTGGCACCAGTGTCGTATCGACCGATTCCCATTGTTCCACCACTGCTCGATAAATTTGGTCTGTTGTCCGGTGGATAGACAGAATCGTTGATCGGCAATCATCGTTCCATCCAGAGCCAGCCTTGTCTTTTGGTGCGCACTTGTGGAGAGAAACAAGTAGCTGCTCTGCCACATCGACGACATGCTCGGGGAAATAGGCGGGCGAGGAGGAACCGACAACCTCAGCGAGCAGGGTGCGAAGCTGAGAGCCGAATGGACGGAAGATAGTGGGATGTCTGGGGATCAGCTCCAGCAAGGCGCATAGTACAATTTCCATGAACGCGGTGTTTGGCTTCGGCTTGCGTGTCGAGCCTGAAGAGGTCTTCGTAATCACAGAGACCAAGTTCAAGGCGGCGGTGATGAACCCTGGCAATTGCGGAGTGGTGATTTCTCGGACGAGCGTTGGGTACTGGTACGTGAGGTGGAAAATTCGAGTGAGTGTGATGATACACATCTTCCTCGTTGAGATCGGATCAGGCTTTGCTAGGATGCTGATCAAACCGCGAACAATCGGCTCATATCCGCGCAAAATCTCCCATTGACCAGCTTCAACGGTAGCTTTCACCAACACAACAGCTGTCCATCTTCCTTCAATAGTACGGTCCTGCAGCAGACTTGCCAGCCGAGTCTTCAATTTATGGATCTGAACAGCATTGTCGGACTCGGATTTGCCTTTCTGGGCTTGCGGAGCAGAGAGCAATGCAGCGCAATCACTCAACGAAGTCGCAAGGAATGAAGCTATGGAGGGCAATTGTTCGACCGGGGTAGTAGTGAGACGATGCGTCACGGCGCGCAACGTAGTGGAGGTCATGACTGCCCTAAAAAAGAAAAGGCCAAAAAGCGTCAGCGAGGAAGTGCAAGTGAAGATCTCCAATCTTTTTTTCTGCCGACGCTTGGACCACATGTAGCCTCGGTGGTAAATTACCGTCACGTACGTAATCGCTCTCCACCCCTAGAGGATCACCGGCGTGGAACTTGACAGTGTTGGGCCAGGAATGCTCCTCTTTCTTCTCGCACCACTCACTATCCTTTTGAATCATGGCTGTAAGTGCTTGTCTTGATTTCTGCCGAGCAGTTACTCTGTTATACAGCTTCCAATAGCACCAATACAAGCCAGTATTTACGCTAACATGTGCTAGGGAGGCAATGCCGAGAAAGGGCAGCGCTACACTGCAGCCTTAGACCAGGCGCGGAGTCAAGGGAAATGGGATGAGGTCCCCGAATTGATTCGGAAAGTCACAAAACATGCACCGCAAAAGACTTGTACGCGGAACCCTACCTTTGTTGATCTTGAACTGACGGAGATGTCAATATAGGTGTAATACAGACCGCAATCGCCGAATCGCGCGTGATATTGTATCTCCAACAAAAGTCTTCCACGGAGGACTCACCCTCTTCGTCCAACCTTGTTGAGCTGATCCCCGCCCTGTTAATGACCATTGAGAACAGCGACGGGTCACCACAAGAGCTACTACAGGCCCAGGTCTGTTTGGGATGGATTCATTGGGTCTTGAATGAGCCCGCACTTGCAGCGGCTCGTCTTCCCGCGAGCTTTGTGGAGACTGTCGATAGCTTGGCTGGGGGAGGGGGAGTCCCGACTGCGTGGACCGAGGTCTGTCTTGTGAAGGGATGCTACATCAAGGGTATGTTTGTTTACCCCATGATGTAACATGTTACGGGGCTAACATCAAGAAGCATTTGCGCAATCTAGTGTCTCCAGCATCAATGAGACACTGGAGACCTTTGCATCTTTGATTCCATGGCTTAACAGCGGCAAGCTGACGTCGATCACCACCCCTCAATTCCTGGAATGGTCCGAGTCCCTTCTGGGCAAGGGTGCTCTTTTAGCTAGTGAAGAGGCGAGCAAGAACACACCATACTCAGATCCTGAACATGTTGATATCGCGTTGCGATTGCTGCGATTGTGGGCTGCTCATCCTTCCGTCAAGCAAGGAAACCCCACAAAATCGTCAAATGCGGATGGATCCGGGCAGGTTTCTCGGTCCTCAGTATGGACTGCCTACTACAGATTTCTCACAATTGTCTTACAGGACGGGCTCATATACACTGGCCCCAACGATGGACCTGACCGCCCGCAACTCGCCAGCGAATTGCGCCGTGTAGAATCCATCTGTGAGGGCAACCTTCTCCGTGAAGTCAAGTTTCCTACTGCCAGCTCCCAGAATAATCAAGTCGAAGAATGGGTAGAGCGAGTGATCAGTAACTGGGAAGTCCTATGTGGCCCTGAGTGGCAAGACTCAGATCTCGGTGAAGGTGGCCAGAATGCCGTTAGCCGCAACGTCTTAGATGCAAGTTCGACCACAACCATGACCCATCAAACTTACTAACATTTCTCATTTCAGATACTGTATCGTGCGGCGACAAAGACTTATCATTCTCATCTGGTACTCCGTCGTCTCTTCCATGTCCATGCCGCCTTGGCAGACTTTGACCTCGCCGTGAAGGCACTTGATTCTTATATTGAGATTGTCACTGCAGCTAAAGAAAGAGCGGAAAAGTCCGCCGAGTCAGGTGAATTGGAGAAGGATGAAATCTTATTGCAGACCCTGTCTGAAGGAGTGACATTGTTGGTCTGCCACGGCTCCTTCGAGGAGGCAGAGAAAGCCCGCGACCTGACTGATGTGATACGGGAGTATGTTGACAAACATACTGTTCCCGTTGTTAACGGCGAAGTCAACTCGTCGAAGTCGCCCGACATACCTCTGTCCGTGTTGGCCTTGTCCTACCGAGCCGTGGGAGTGGGACTTGCCAGCTGGGCCAGCTGGACGCCTGTGAATGAATCGCGAGATGAAATTCGAGCAGACGCGATCGACTACCTAGAGAAGAGTCTTGAGCCGGAACTGGGTAACAGCTCGAGCTATTCATCTCTCTACACCCTGGGTCTGGTCTTGGCTGAGAACAGAGACCTAGACACTGCAATTGACTACATCAAGTCAGCTTTGACACCAAGTGGTCCATCCGTTGCAGTTGCCGACGATCTCTCCAAGGAACGGGACTTGGTGTCTCTGTGGCATTTACTTGCGCTGTTGCTTAGTGCAAAGCAAGAATTTGAGATTGCTGGGCGTTCATGCGAAGCAGCATTTGAACAATTTCCCAAGGAAATATTTTCGAAAGGCCATCGTGAAAGGCGGTCATCAAGACATTCACACAATTCTGGAACACAGCGTCCCCTTCTCACTCGTCTATCAGGCAGAGAAAAAGAACGTATCATCCAAACTCGCATCACACAGCTCGCGTTCGTTGAACTCCTGGACGGCCCTGAGGCCGCGGTCAACCACAGCGAGCAACTACTGAGTCTGTTTGGTACTCTTTTCCATGATCTGAACCTCGAAACCGGAGAGTCCAAGTGCAAGTCAGAGCATTTGGTGCCACCGAAAAGCTCTGCCGGCACTACCAAGAGCTTCCGTGGTAGTATCTTCAGCCGAAACAGAGCGTCTCAGCTACCAGACCGACGTGCCGATCATTCAAATGGCTCTGACGTTATCCCACCCACACCGGCTATTCCCAATGGTCATACAACGGAAGCTCCCTCGATCCACATCACGGACGGAGATGCTCACAGCTACAAGGAAAAAGCCCCCACAATTGGGCGGACAGATTCAAAGAGACTTAAAAAGCGAAGTTCAAGCTTCCATCGGAACGAGAGGCCACGCGTTGAAGAACCTCCGCTTCCTAGGAGTGAAGCATCACCAGATATGATTGGGATAGCGATGTCTGGCAACGCACCACCAGAGTCGGCAATCCATCCTTCCAAAGGCAAGCAAGCATTGCCGCCAATGGCACACAACCTCAACTACAAACAAGAACCTCTTCCTGCTGGGCACGTGGACCAGCCCCCGGAGCAGGATATCCGGCTCCCAATTAGTCATCGCTTTGATTCTCCCGCAGGTGCCGTTACGAAGTTCTCCCTTGTTCAATCCCAGAAGCATGCTCTGGGTCTCCTTGTCAGAATCTGGCTGGTCATCGCCGGACTCTATCGTCGCGCGTCTCTGTTAGATGATGCTCGTGAAGCTTGTGAAGAAGCTTTGAAACAAGCTACACGAGTCGAAACACTTGTCGCATCCCATGAGTCGTCATCTCGCTCATTCAGCAAGCGTGGCTGGGGCTCTTCAAAAAGCTCGGAGGAGCTCTGGGCCGATGTCTACGCCGAACAGGGGCTCCTGGCACAGGCTGCCTCGAACCCTCATCAAGCTATCAGGCACTATGAGAATGCCCTCTTACGCGACCAGGACCATCCGACGGCGACGATTGGACTTGCTAATCTGCTATTAGACATCTGGGATCGGACCCTCTCCCCAGAGCCATTGAATGCAGATGTGGATCTCAACGTTTCGCGCTTGTCCTTGCTATCGGAGACTCCCAAGCCTAAGTCCGCCACGGCTATCTCAACTGATGATTTGAAGGTATCTCGGGAGACCGAGAATGCAGGACCTGATGAGGCGCCTTCTTCGGCACACGATGTCGAACCCCAGCAGCTTCACCGTCTTGCAGCCCGGGATCGCGCCTACGGGCTCCTTTCGGCATTGACAAAGCTCGGTAGCTCCTGGGACAGCTCTGAGGCATGGTATGCCTTGTCCAGGGCATACGAGGCCGGCGAGCAAGTCGAGAAATTGAAGGAAGTTCTGTGGTGGTGCATTGAACTAGAGGACAGACGGCCAATTCGTCACTGGTCCAACATCGGCTCCGGTCTATATGTTCTCTAAAAGAAACAAAAGCTTGGGTGGTAATATCTTCTTGTATCTAATCCATTTTCCCCTTGGCAACGCTTTCTTTCTTTCTTTTTGGGATTTCCAACAACTTAGATACCTTGTTGATATTGGCATGTGGACCACATGGTTGCGAAGATCATTTTTCAATTGAAGCGGATTTTTGAAAATGGACTCTCTTCGGTAAGAACAAACACTACTGGTAAGACGTCTTATATACATTCCCCACATAGGCAAATAAGTTGCCAGCGGGTCCAAAAGGAAACGGGATCAGGTGAACAGCACGGAAGTTGGATTGATTCTGCTACTGCAACTTGATCTACCGCGGAGCAGCAGTGGGGATCCAGGCAGCGATCTTCGGCTTGGTACTTGAGGCGAAGTTAGTCGATGCCCGGGCAAAATCGAAGGGTGGAATATAGGGCCACACGTACGTAGAGTAAGTCTTGAAGGCAGCACGGCTCAGAGTCGGATTGGCGAAGTGCTCGGGCAACTCCCAAGGGCGGACACCGGTCTGCATGATCTTGTCGGCGTGTGGGGGCGCGTCAACAAGGTAGGAGATCCAGGCGTGCCTGGATTTGCATTAGTCTCATACATTGACGGGCGATTGTTGCCCCTGTGTCTTGAGAGAAGAGCTTACCAGCCGGGCTCAATGTGGGATGCGTCGTATTCGGCCTCCTTGTAGTCGACCCATCGTGTACGGACTAAATGGGAGACAATTAGCCCTCCGGGTGTTCCTTCACAATTGCTTGGGTCAAAGCGTCGTCTTACGAGGCAATTCCTCCTCCATGTTCTCGAAGTACTTGTTTCCGAAGCGATCGGTTCCGATCAGAGTTCCGGCCTTGGTATCACCTGGAATAGCATGAATTGTCAGTCAACTGCAGCGCGAGTACCAATTGAAGAGCAACGTACCGATGTACTAAATCACAGAGAAAAGGTACCCAAGTTAGTCTCCATCTCATGCAACTGTCCCATCTTTCTGGGAGAAGCGTCCGCGATCATACCTGCATCTGGTGGCCAGCATCCTAAGTAGCAAAGTTAGCTACCAAATTTCCTTAGCGAACAGACCAGACAGATACAAACCTTGATGCCAACCCGGCGAAGGTTGCGCAGAGTCCTAAGAATAGTCGACATCTTTGCTCGTTCAATGTGGAGCGAATGGGATGCGAGAGATTGGTGATTTGAGGTTGCAAGAGGGCAGATGTTTGCACTGTTTGCACCCTTTCGCGGATTTCCTGATTCAGAACCACCCTCGATTTTCGTCTCTTAGACATGTTTGGCCGAATTGGAGGACAGGCGCTTCGTCGTGCTGTGCGTCGCCCAGTCGCACGCCCCAGAATATATGCTCGCAACTTTTCTGCGCAGTCTGGTACCAGTGCTACCACTGCTGCGTCCGCTCTTTCACCACTAGCAGGAATCACCTCCGAGCTAGACCGCATTGCTCCCCGATTTGAGGTGCCTGCGTCGCAGATCACTATTATTGAATCTCCAGCAAGCTTCTACTCCACATTGAAGGTGTGTTTGCGGTACTGTGCTGTCGAAGTGCATTTAAACTGACTCGCGACTGCACAGGATAAAATCCTCAAAGCCCGGAGGCGTGTTTACCTCTCTACCTTATACATCGGCAAGACGGAATTCGACCTGATCGATACATTAAGCCAGGCTCTTCGCGATAACCCGGATCTGAAAGTTTCGGTCCTTACGGATGCTCTGCGCGGCACACGAGAGACCCCCAATCCTTCATGCGCATCACTCCTCTGTTCATTAGTTGAGAAGTATGGACCGGAACGGGTTGAGGTTCGGATGTTCCATACTCCCAATTTGACTGGCCTGAGAAAGCAATGGATTCCTCGTCGAATCAACGAGGGCTGGGGCTTACAGCATATGAAGCTATATGGAATCGACGACGAGATTATTCTCTCAGGGTATGCCACCTATGACCGTTGTACCAGCATATGACACTGACATATCTCAGCGCGAACCTGTCTGAGGAATACTTCACTAGTCGCTTGGATCGGTACCATGTCTTTGCCTCCAAGGCGCTGACTGAATACTACGCTCAAATCCACCATGCAATCTGCAGTTTGAGTTTCCAAGTTCTGCCAGACCCTGAGAATGAGTCCTACCTTTTGGATTGGCCTAGCTCAAACGGGGCACCCTCGCCTCTGGAAAGTCCCGAGGATTTCGTCGCTTATTCGTCGATTTTCCTGAATCCGCTCATTCAGGCATCTGACAATAAACCTGCTGATCCATCCGAATCCAGCCAAACCTTTGTATACCCCGTTTCACAGTTCACTCCACTCTTGAAACCCGAAGACACCTCTACCGAATACCTTGCCGTGACTACGATTCTGCGTATGTTATCCAGCTCGTCCGCATTTGCAGGTGCCCGCTGGCTCTTCACGGCAGGATACTTCAATATCCACCCCGTCCTTTCCTCCCTCTTGATCTCCAGTACATCAGCCGCCCAGCATAACCCTTCTACCACGCAAGGCACTGTCCTGACAGCCTCTCCATGGGCCAATGGATTTTATGGCTCTCCGGGAATCTCAGGCATGCTCCCAGCCGCCTACACGCACCTCGCAGCACGATTCCTCGATCGTGTCGCCGAGGCGCAGGCTACCAATTCCATTCAGCTCAAGGAATGGCGCAAGGGCACTGTTGGCACGCCAGGCGGTTGGACCTACCACGCCAAGGGCCTTTGGGTCACCTTGCCTAACGAGGAGCATCCCAGCCTTACGTTCGTTGGTAGCAGCAACTACACAAAACGCAGCTACAGCCTTGACATTGAAATAGGCGCTCTAGTTGTGACGAACGACCCGGATCTCAAGCAGAAGCTGGGTGAGGAGACGGAGCGACTTCAGAAGGACGCCAGCCCCGTCTCGAGGGAGGACCTGAGACAAACGGAGAGACGGGTGGGGTGGAACGTGAGGCTCTCCATGTGGATCGTGGAGAAGGTCGGCGGTGCTTTTTAATCTCTCTTCTTGTATAAATATCTCTTTTCAAATAATAGATACTCTGTAATATAGCTGAACATAGATTGGCGTGATATTGGATGTTTATCACATCAACCAGGCACGATTGAGTCATACAACGCATCAATACTTTATATGAAACCCCCAATTCCATCTCTACTCATAGTTTTGCCCAACTACAAAATCAAAAAAGTAAAATATGTCTCTCCAACAAGCCCTCTCAAGAAGCTGGTTCGGTTTCGACTTGGATGACACACTGCACGAATTCCGACGTGCCTCGGCCAACGCCTCAACCCACGTCTTCGAGGCAATCCACTCCTCGAACAGTCAGATCAGCATCGATACCCTCAGAACCACCTATCAAGGCATACTGCGCAACACAACCGCAAACGCCTTCACAGATGGAAGAACTTCAACGGAGTATCGACGCGAACGATTCGGGCGTCTTCTCCAGGTACACGGGCTTACGGGCCTCAATCACTTTCTAGGGCCTGGAAATCCCCTACTTGATCGTCTGCTGGATCTATATCGCGATTCTCTACGCGAAAGTCTAACCCTCAAACCTGGTGTTTTGCATCTTTTACAGACTCTGCGACGGTTGGGGAAGAAGGTCATTGTCATTACTGAGGGACCAGCGGATGCACAAGTATGGGCGGTGCAGGAGCTGGGCATACGGCGGTATATTGATGTGCTTGTGACGACGAATGAAGTTGGTAGATCTAAAGTGGATGGGTTGTTTGGTGTTGTTCTGGACAGGTATGGGATATACTCTGATGACATTGTTTATTTCGGTGATAATGAGGTTCGTGATGTTCAAGCTGCACGGGAGGAAGGGATTTTGGCAGTGCACTATGATGAAAAACAGGGATCTCGGTTGGATGATATCAATGCATTACGTGTGAATTCGTGGGATGTGGTAGAAAAGGTACTCGTCCGTGGAGAGTAAGGAGGCTGATATAGAATAGAACATGAAGACATAAATAAAACTTTTGGTCTAGCCATCAAGAGATATCAACCCTAACGCACGGGAATGCCGAAAGAAAGGAAAAAAGAATAAAACAAAAACCAAACGCCATGTCATGACTGGGGGTTCCATCGAGCGTCGTCTCATATGCAATGTGGATCTTCATCTAAGCTCTTCCCGGGACTTTGCCGCTCCTGAAGCGAGCAGGGCCAAGACCAGAGCGCACCTCGTCAAGGTTTCTGATACCAATGGCCTCGTTACCGTTCCTGCCACGCTTGTTCTTAGCGCCAGTGCGCTTCGCCTGAGCACTGGTGTTGGGGTCCCAGCTGGAAAGGAAGTCGTCCATCACGTTGTTGAAGCTGCTGCGGCTGTGCACTTCATTGCCGTTGGCGTCGATCAGGCTAGGGGCCTCGGATGCGGCTGACATGTCTGTCATGCCAGTTGCGCCTGTCATTCCGCTGACCATAGACATGCTGTCGTCGTATTCATCTTCCTCATCGAGGGCATAGAGAGCCTCGACCTTGTCAAATCGGTCGTCCAGAAGGCGGTGGCCCTCGGTACGAGCCAGAGCAGAAGATGTCATCGAGTATGCGGATGGGTTGGTCAGTGCACCCTTGCGCTTCTTGCGGCGGATTGGTGTACCACCAGCAGTGAACACGGTTGATGCCATTGTCTGCGAAGGTGCGATTGTGGGTGCTGCGGGCGCGGGGGCCTTGCCGGCCTTCGCATCTTTCTTGAACTTGGCGAACTCGTTCATCCATCCCTGATCTGTTGGGGCGATATCGGGAGCTGGCTTGTCGTGCTCAGGCATCTCGCCGGGCTCCAGAGGTTTAGCCTCGGCGGCTTCTGGGAGCTCCTCTCCCACGGCTTCTGTGCTGTCCATCTGCACAGGTGCTTTCTCGGTGGCATCCGACTCCCATCCTTCATCTTCGTCGTCGTGATCAAAGAGAGAATCCTCCCAGTCGCCCTGATCGATCTCCTCCGCATTGGCAGTCAGTTCACCAAAAATATCATCGTCATCACCGTCCTGTACAAAGGCCTCATCCTCAAGCGCCTCCAGGGCCTCTCGTAGGCGGGGGTCCATGTCGGGCTTGAATCCAGCAATTGCATCAGGAACGTTCTGCTGGTCCTGGTAGGTCGGTTTGCGAGCAAAAGATGAAGCCGTGGACCGCATATCACCATATTCAGAGCCGTAGATACTGGGGCCACCGAAAGCGCTCTGGGTATCGGATTCTTTCTCATCTAGTGAGACCTGTCGCAGCGCATCCTCCAGCTTCACTCCCTTGTTGCCCTTGCCCTTAGGCTTCTCCTGCTTAGCCTCAACAAAGTAGGTGTCTCCGCTACCGGTTCCGAGCTCGCGCAAATGCTGCATGTAATCGTAGCTGGAGTCATCGTAGAAGATGCCATAATTGGCAGCCTCACCCTCGTTTTGGCGAGCACTGTCCCCGAACTCAGACTGGAGATCGTGGAGGTTGCGCAATGGCTTTGTCGCGGTTCTCGAGGAAGACGGAGCAGGCGCGGGACCAGAAATCTGGTGCAGGACGCGGTCGTCCGCACCGGTGTCATGGATCAACGGGTCATTTTGAGACCGGTGGAAGAGCTGGAAGGTGCTCGCGTTCTTCTTGTCACTGTAGATCGGTCAGTTTGAGCGCATTCATACTCTTCTTCTTGTACGTACATCCACTGTTTGGGCGGCATGTTGGGCTTGGTTGAATGTTCGTATCGCAGAAAAAAAAAAGAAAAGTGGGATTGATAGGGTCACGTGCAGTCTTATCGCCCTTCGTTCCCCGGGGTCCTCGAGGAACCTTGGAAGCTTTTAAAGGATTTATACTACTAGAATGTTGAGGTATACGGAGTATTTTCTCTTTATTTCTCATATGTTCGCAAGATTTCACTTTTTACGGTGCACATTTGCTTGTGGACTTGGGTACTCATTGGGCTCTTGATAGGCCAACTACATGTGTGATACCCTTGACTTGCACGCTGCTTGGGTTATAGTTCTCCCTTATGAAGAATATACTATTGCATATATGCACACAGATATGAATTCTGTTTACACAAACTCCTCTATATATCTCTAAAGACTTTAAAATCAGTAGAAGTATATACACGATAGAGGGGGCTGAGTCAGCGTTATCTTATCCGTCTGAATAATCCAAAATTCCCTTCAGTTCGGTGGGGTTGACACTTTTTTTTATTTCTACAACTTTTTCGCATTTGAAGTCACTGCCATCATGGTGCTGGCTAAATCCAAGAACAATGTGGGGCTGGGAAGCAGTCTCATGAATGACCGCTTTGGCAAGGGCAAAGCGTCCAGTCAGAAGAAGGTCTCTCACAACAATGCCATTGCGCGAAAGGGCATGGACGGTGAGACCTACGTGACCAACGAAGCCAAGGAGGCATCATGGGTGAAGATGCGCTCTATCACCGAGCAGGCCGCTCTTGACGAATTCCTGAGCACTGCCGAACTCGCCGGAACCGATTTTACCGCTGAAAAAATCAACAACGTCAAGATTATCCATTCCGATCAGAAGAACCCCTTCCTCCTCTCCGCCTCCGAGGAGAAGAACGCTGTGAAGAAGCATCAGAAGAACAAGGATAGATTGACCGTGCCCCGACGACCCAAGTGGGACCAGTCTACAACTCGCAATGAACTGGAATCGATGGAAAGACAAAGTCTGTTGGACTGGCGGCGAGGACTGGCGGAGTTGCAGGAGAACCACGATCTGCTGATGACTCCCTTCGAGCGTAACTTGGAGGTCTGGCGTCAGTTGTGGCGTGTTATTGAGCGATCCGATTTGGTCGTCCAGATTGTCGACGCCCGTAACCCGCTGCAGTTCCGTTCCGAGGATCTGGAGACCTACGTGAAGGAGATCGACCCGCGAAAGAAGAACTTGCTGTTGGTCAACAAGGCTGATATGTTGACTCTCAAGCAGAGAGAGGCCTGGGCCGAGTACTTTGAGCGCAACAACATTAACTTCCGTTTCTTCTCTGCTCACCTCGCCAAGGAGAAGATCGAGGCTGCCCTCTTGGAAGAAGAGGCTCAGGGAAATGAGGAACTTGCCAACAAGACCAAGAACATGAATGTCCGTGATGATGAGGATGATGGATACCGCAAGGAGGACACAGTGGAAGAGGAAATGGCCAAGCTCGCCGACCCAGATCGCTCGCTTGGTCCTCACATTCTGGACACGGATGAACTGGAAGAGCTTTTCCTGGCCAACTCCCCCGAAACACTACCCCAAGATGAAGAGGCTGGCGAGCAGCCCAAGCAGAAGACTACAATCGGTCTGGTCGGATACCCCAACGTGGGTAAGTCCAGCACAATCAATGCCCTGCTCGGTGCCAAGAAGGTCTCCGTCTCTGCGACCCCCGGTAAGACCAAGCACTTCCAGACCCTCTACCTCTCACCCGAGATTATGCTCTGCGATTGTCCCGGTCTGGTGTTCCCCAACTTTGCCACCACCAAGGCCGAGCTGGTCGTCAACGGTGTGCTGCCCATCGACCAGCAGCGCGAGTTCACCGGTCCCGCCGGTCTCGTCGCCAAGCGTATCCCCAAACACTTCATCGAGCAAGTGTACGGTGTCAAGCTGCGCATGCGCCCCATCGAAGAAGGTGGCACAGGTATCCCAACCGCCAGCGAGATTCTCCGTGCCTACGCCCGTGCCCGTGGTTTCTCCACCCAGGGTCTCGGTCAGCCAGACGAGTCCCGCGCTGCCCGTTACGTCCTAAAGGATTACGTCAACGGAAAGCTCCTCTACGTCCACCCGCCCCCAACCGCGGACGGCGAGCAACCCATCGACGTGAACGAGTTCAACAAGGATCTTTACGATATCAACCATCTCCCCGAAAGACGCCGCCACCAGCTCGCACAAGCCCAGATTGGCAAGCCAGCTACACCAGCCATGGTCGCAGATGACATCGACGCAGATGCCACCGCCACCCCGTACAGCGAGCCCACAGTGGAGCCTGAGCTCGGCCGTACGTCGCGCAACCTCGACTCCGGTTTCTTCGGCACAGCGACTGGCCCTTCTGCCGGCCGCATGACTCTCCCCTTCCAGGCCCAGTACACCAAGCAGGGCCAGGAGATCCGCAAGGCCCCCACAGGCCGCAAGGAGCGCATGATGGTTGCTCTGGAGCGTGGCGTGGATGTCTCTGAGGTGCGGGGCCCTGGCTCCAAGAAGCACTTCAAGGGTAACAAGAAGGCGGCCAAGAAGATCCGCAACAACCCTGAGGATGATGACTACTAGAAAAAGTGCTTTTTTTACTTGCGCCTGGGCGAGTCGAGGGGTCCTTGTTTCACTCCCTCTGCCCCTTGTGGGGTAACATTCTTAGGCTCGTCGGGCCTGGGATGAATGAATGATAAATGATCCTATATTGGGATTTGCATGTCATGTCGGGATTGAAGTTTTATGTTCATGTTCATACGTTGCTGTTTGCAGAATCATCTTTTCGGCGTTAGGTTTTCAGAGTTGAATAACGATTTATACCAGTCATTCATTCACTTGATTCTTTCTTCTACTACCTACAGTACATGTCCAGTGTCTTAAACCAACATAGATAGAACCCGAACCGAATCTATTCGTTTATTACGGGCTATTTATCTAATCCTGCTACTCCTAGGCCTGTTTTAGGGCTACCATTCTCGAACCTCGCCGTTATAGGAAACGACCTCGCCACCACACTACTCTTTAGTTCCTTGGTAATCACATCAACCATGCCGCCGTAGACTTCTCAATAGTGTCCGGGGCCCATTCAAAACCGTAGAATTTCGCACCCGAGTTTCCCATATCAGTCTGAACCCAACCGGGGTTTAACACAAAGGCATCTAGCCACACTTCCTCAGAATCAATCCGAATACTGTACCAGGGGAGAAGGGATTTAGAGGCACCATAGCCCGCACTAGGAACAGGAGGCTGGCGTCTAAATAGAGAGCTAATCAGTATCTATACATCATTGGATAATGATCCCCTAACCCTAAAGCGTAGCTGTGGATCCCATAATAGCATAGACGGGTTTAATTGACTTTTCAAGCAGAGGACGAGTGGCTTGGTAGAGAGAGATAACACTGAAAACATTGACCTCGATATGCTCGAGGATGTCGGCCCGTTTGACTTCTTTCACAGCTGACAGTAAGGCTTCCATTTTGAAGAGAGGAGTAGGGCCTGGTAATGGTATCTACTCTCGGCGAATTTGAAGGGATCATCTGGCGCAGTGAGACCTACCTGCTGACCCAACTGCAGATGGGCCATTTCTGGCTCTCAAAATAGGCCGAGGTATTTTGCTTCGGCGACGACAGGTTGAGTGCGGCGCACAGGAAACAGTGGCTCATGTCTTAGAGGACTGCGCAATGTTGAGACTGCTCAGACAAGATCTACGGAGGAAGGTAGGAGACGCATTTAACAGCTTGTCAAGGCTACTAACGAAGAAGGTAAGGGAGCTTTGGCCGTGTGGCCATAGTCAGAATTGCCGTTTGGCTACACCCGAGATAGCATAGGTTTTGAAACTGGAATGTGACATTGTTCGTCTTCAAGTGTACATGTGCTGTCAATTAACTTATACATTTTTGTAAATATTCATAGCGGGGAGGTATCATTCGTTCCGAAACAAGACCCTCTGCGACACCGCCATACCACCCGTCGTAGCTCGTAAGAGATAGCCTCATGCAGACTTGCCCTCCACATGTTCTTCATATTGAACTTGTTCCTTCTTTTCTTCAATCTTCTCGACTAGCTTGCGCTTCGTATCTTCCCCTTCAAACAGATAGGCCAGCTCCTCAAGGGTAGGACCAGCCGTCTCGACGAAGAAGAAGTAAACAACAAGGAAGATGATCAAAACCCAAATATCATAGTAGATATAGAACTTCCACCCAATATTTTTCAATCCGATGGGGTTGACGTAGCTTCCAAAGATAGATGCCACTTGAATCGTGAGTAGGACGAATGCCCACGTCTTGGCTCGCATCTGAAGAGTAACAACTTCGAGGGGGTATGTGACAATAAGGTTCGTCCAGGCAAAAGTGTAAAAGGCCTGGAAGAAGAAAATACACGCTATCACAACCCGACCAGCGGTCAATGAATTGTGCTCGAGGTATTGCTGAGCGGCAATAGTCCACACGATGAATGTGACGAGAACGCCGCCAGACCCGGTGAGGAAGAAGAAACGGCGTCGGAACCGATCAATAATCAAAGTGACGAAGATGGCAACAATATATTGCCACAATGTGACCATTCCATTCACAAGAGTGATTTCGTACTGCGTTTTCAAACCCGTGTCTTTGAGGATCTGCGTAAGATAGTTCGAGACAAGCAAGTTACCAGAGCTCTGGCTGAATACCGCCGTGGCGAAACAGAGAAAGATGCGCTTGATATTTGCCCGGGAAGTGAAAAAGTCTTTCCAGTTCATGTTGTTCTCGGCTTCTTTATCAATGGCCTGTTGAATCTCGGCACACTCGACATTGACCAGCTCGGAGTTAGGATCGCACTCCCCGTGATATTTGATCAGGATCTGACGCGCTTCCTGGTGGCGGCCCTTCGCAATCAACCATCTAGGTGACTCGGGGCAGAACCAAATCAGACAGAACTGGTATGCAGAGGGAACAATCTGAATCAGAGTTGGAAGTCTCCAAGACCACTGGCTGGTGATTCTGTAGCAGCCAAATGTCGCCCAGGCACCGATAACATAGCCTAGCACGATAGAGGTATTGTAGAATGTGGTGATTTGGACACGCTCTTTGGGATGAGACAGCTCAGTGACCAAGACAGGAGCACCCATTTGGATGAGCGAAGACCCCACGCCAAGCACGATCTTCCCACCAATATACATGTTCAACGATGTGGCGAAGAACTCGATGATCACGCCAGTGATAATAATGATGGACCCCAGTGCAGTTGGTAGACGTCGACCGAGCCTATCACTGATCCAACTCAGGAAGATGAAGGGAATTACGCCACCAATGGCATTGGCCGCGCCGAAGAAGCCTAGCTTTGCACCTTCGGGATGTCCGAATCGATCTTGCCAGGATTCCAAGACTTGCATACCATTCGTCATGGACTGCATGAATTGTCAGTTGAGATAGGTCCACATGCTAGAGGAACAGAACTTACCCCATCGATACCGAGCGCTGCACTTGCCAGCAGGGACGATGTGAGGAGAAAATAGAGTAAAATTCCATTCTTCCGACGCCAGAAAGGCGGCATCGAGTCCACATCGATGGACGAGATAATGCCCTCGGCAGCATGAGCAGCAGCAGGAGCCATGGCTGTAGAAAAGAGCTGCTACTTTGCAGATAAGAAATAGATCGGGCTCGACTGTCCAAGTGGAATGCAGATCCGTTAACCCGAAGGCATCCTTGCACTTCTTATAGAAGTGACAGCTCTGTGGAAACGGCAGACGCGCCGATAGCCCTAAGGTATCGGAACACTCGAAGCACACGTGGAGAGGAAAGACCTTGCATTTGCGGGGATATGCCCCGTGGGGAAGAGAAGAATTGAGTTGGGTTCCTGGCGGCGGAACGGCGAAACGGGGAAACGGCGAAATGCTGGTCAAATCTCCGAAACAGTGCGGCATAGCTCCATTTTGGAATTCAAGTTAGTTTCCTTCGCTATAAGCTGTGTAAGCTCTCTGGATTTTGTTCAACTTGCTTTCTTCGTGTATCAAGCGGTTTCTGCTCTTTCGAAATCACTACAAAGGCATCAATCATGCCACCTATTCCGCTACCCCGTGATTTCCAATGGGGATTCGCAACAGCTGCCTATCAAATCGAAGGAGCGGTCGATGAAGATGGCCGCGGGAAATCAATTTGGGATACATTTTGTCATCTTAAGCCCACGCGAACGAAAGGAGCCAACGGAGATATTGCCTGTGATCACTACCACCGCTTTGACGAGGATTTTGATCTTCTCTCTAGTTACGGAGCAAAGGCCTACCGATTCTCAATTTCTTGGTCTCGGATTATTCCGCTGGGAGGGAGGAATGACCCGGTGAATGAGTCTGGCATTGAGTTTTACAACAAGCTCATTGATTCCTTGCTTGCCAGGGGTATCACTCCTTGGGTCACTTTATACCACTGGGACCTCCCTCAAGCACTTCATGACCGCTATGGTGGGTGGTTGGATGTGGAACAGTCACAGCTCGACTTTGAACGATATGCCATGATCTGCTATGAGCGTTTTGGAGACAGAGTGAAGAATTGGATTACTCTCAACGAGCCATGGATTGTGTCAATCTTTGTGAGTGCATATACATATGTTACTTTCCTTAGCAACTAACGGATATAAGGGTTATGCTACTGGTGGAAATGCACCAGGCCGAAGCAGCATCAATCCACAGTCCACGGAGGGCAACACAGCCACAGAGCCCTGGATTGTTGGAAAGGCCTTGATCATGAGCCATGCCCGCGCTGTTGCCCTGTATAACAAGAGATTCCGAGCTTCTCAACAGGGCGAGATTGGGATTTCGCTCAATGGCGATTATTACGAACCTTGGGACGGGCAAGATGAGCGTGACCAACTCGCTGCAGAACGTCGCATGGAATTCCACATCGGGTGGTTCGCTAACCCGGTCTGGTGAGCACTCTCTTGGAATATCTGGGGTTTCACATACTGATTCGTTCGGCAGCTTAGCACAAGATTATCCCGTCTGCATGAGAGAGCAGCTCGGTGAGAGACTCCCCAAGTTTACAGACGCAGATTTTGGTCTCCTTCGCGAAGCCGACATGGACTTCTACGGCATGAACTATTACACTTCTCAATTCGCACGTCATCGTGACAGGCCCGCTCCAGAAACTGATTTCTTGGGAAACGTGGACGAGTTTCAGGAAAACAAGCAGGAAGTGTCTGTCGGCGAACCGAGCGGTGTTCATTGGCTTCGCTCGACTCCCGGTCTTTTCCGCAAGCATCTGACGAGGGTGTACCGGAAATATGGAAAACCGATCTATATCACGGAAAACGGATGTCCCTGTCCGGGTGAGGACAAGATGACACGTGAAGAGGCCGTCGAAGATGAGTATAGGATTCGGTATTTCCAGGATCACATTGATGCTGTCGGACTGGCTTACAACGAGGATGGCTCAGATATCAAAGGATACTTTGCGTGGTCGTTGATGGATAACTTGGGTAAGTCTGACATCAAACCTTCACTAAATTTGGTAAATTGACTCTTCTAGAATGGTCTGATGGCTACGGTGTCCGATTTGGCGTCACTTTCACCGATTACGACACTTTGGAAAGAACGCCGAAGAAGTCCGCGTTGCAATTGAAGACCATGTTCGATGAGCGGATAACTGCTATGACAGATGGCGCTGAGATATCTTCTGTTAACAATGTTAGGGCACATATGTGAAGGGTTTTTCAAGTGTGAGGTTTTTAGAGTAGAATCATTTTACAAATCTTTAGGGATCACGAGATAGGCTAGATTGGAACTAAGACTGCAAACACTCTTCTACTTGTCAACATATCCATCCGTTCCTAGAAGCTCTCAACTTGGCATTAGCAACGAGAAAACAAAAGTTGGACTAGATCTCGCAAAAAGGCCTCGATCGGGAATCCCCCGTTTCCACATCCCGCATCGGGGAAATTCAGGGTCCGGGGTATTTGAACGAGGCTAATCCACAGCTCTCGGGCTCCTCTTCCCCGTCACATTTTCCCGTCGCCCCAGATCACAGGCCAGCAGAAAAATGTGATGGCAATTATTAGTCCTGCTAGATCTCGAGCACCGGCTAGAGCATGTGATCGATGCCGACGGAGAAAAGCAAAAGTGAGCGCCAAGTGGAAGGGAAAAGTCCCGGCAAAGTTCAAGCAGCCAGACTAACGCTGTACTAGTGCGACTGTTCGGATTCATCGTCGATATGCACCAGTTGTCGCTTATCGGGAGGTTCATGCACGTTTGATTTGCCGCTTGCTCGACGAGGACCCAAGACGAAGCGGCAAAAATCCAGAAATGAAGCTCATCCGAATTCTCTGCGCAGCCCTTCCCCGCCTTCATTGGATTTATCGGGGCACAGCCCTAATACTGGCTTGGGCGTTACACCAACTGCTGCAGTTTCACTCGATGCATGGGACTCTAGTCTTACAGTGGTCGATCCCGTGCTCTCGCCTGAAACAGTCCACACGGTTCGAACTTCTATCTCGGGTGCCGCATCGGCAAGGGCCATATCAGCCTTACAACGATGGCAAAACCTAGCACATGAACTATGTTCAAGAGATCTATCGGCGAATCTAGAAAGAACAGTAAATCGCTCTTTTGAGCTGTTCTTTCAGTATCTCTTCCCCTTGATTCCACTGGTTCATGAACCTAGTCTTCGAGATGGACTCAGCTTCTTTGTCACCCAGAGAAATAACCCAACGGAAGATGGTTTGATATACGGGCTCAATAGTCTCAAATATCCAGAGTTGTGGCCAGATGTTACTTTCACATTAGTCACTGCTGTCTGTGCCGAGGCAGCATTCCTTCTTCCGAAAAATATCTTCCCTGAAGGAGAAAGCATCGCAGAGATATTTCTTGAGGCTTCTCGCAACTGTTTGATCACATACCTGGAGGCCGATCTTGAATACCCCAATGCCAATTCTGTTGCGATTCGATACTTCCACTCCAACTGCATGCATGCAGCTGGCAAACCACGACTGTCATGGCATATATTCGGCGAGGCTACCAGATTGGCGCAGGTGATGCAGATGCATGAAGAGGAATCCCTTCAAGGTCTCCCGCTTCTCGAGGCAGAGTTCCGACGACGTGCATTCTGGATAGTCTACATCGGTGATAAATCAGCCGCTATCTTGAATAATCGGCCAATCACCATTCACAAATTCTCATTTGATTCGGGAATCACCATCGGGTATCCCACGGGCATCGAAGACGAAAGTGTCGTGACACCGAGAAGCGCGGATTCAGATGATACAAATAGTCGGAAGAGTTTTATCGCAGGCTTCAACGCCAATCTCCGGCTCTGGCAAAGTGCATCAGATTTGCTTTTGGAGATGCGACTGATAGACCAAAGCAGGACAGTAAATGGGATTGCTCGTTCACCACCTACAGCCGAGGAGAGGCATCGATTGGATCATCTCTATGTGCTTTTTGCTACCTCGCTCGATGACTTGCCCTCGCTTCTACAACCAGACAAGCTTATGATCAACGTAGGCGAAGAAAGCAACCAACTAAACAGCTTGATGAGACAGTGTGGTATCCAAGCGGCAAATCTTCATGTCTCATTGCACTGCCTCAAGATGGTAATCACGCAGAAGTTGGAAGAGTTCAACTATTTCCTTCCGACGCGCAATGACATGTTGTTACTGAGAAAAACCGACATCGCACGCGACATGCTGCGTGTCATTCGGGACGCTCCTTTCTGGACACTGCAGGTGAATGGCGAACCATGTGTAAGTCAGATTTCTCACCAGCACTTAGGGACATATTCTAATAATTGAGCAGGTGGAAAAGATCCGGCTTATCGGAGCTAGTTTGCTAGAGATTATTGATCAGCATGAGAATTCTCCACTATCTGTTCGAGCACGGAATGATCTCTCGGTGTTACTGGATATTTTGACCGAACTTGACTCGAAAGCATCGGATACATTGCGGCGATTACTCTGAAAGGTCGAACTGTAGTATAATTCTTCAGCAATCTTGTCAGATGACTCCCCAAGTGGGGCTCTTATGCCGTTTAACCTAAATGAAGCTTAATTAGGCAGGAGGTTTACATATTTCCCCGATTTTCCGGACTCTCGGCCATTCGGATATTTACTTCCTTTCGGTGTGCTCTCTACCCCCGCAAAGTCCAATCCATATTGGATACTACGGATAAATAATAAAACTGGGCCAGTGAAGTCAACACGAATAAAGTAACATTTGGGGTAGCCCACACGCGCGAAGCTTTTGAGGGCGTGCGTAGATGTGATTGGCCACAGTTAGAGTCCAGGAAATACGTTTGAAATGCGGGAAATCCTGGGCAGAGAGCTTGGGGTAATTGCGTTTTTGACTTCAATCCGCGCAGGAAGCGGTCTATATAAGTCGGTGTTTCTCGACATCAAAGCTTTTTGAACATACCAAATCCTGACTTACTGCCAAGATCCGCCAACATGCGCCTCGGCCAGATTTCTACATCGACTGTCCTCTGGCTAGGTTTGGCCCAGGCCCTACCCAAAACTTCAAGCCAAGCGAGCAAGCCATCATGTCGCTTTGCAGCCGAATATACCCAGGAGCAAATACTTCGCGATCCCACAGATTTCTTGGATGACATGCTGTACTGGGAGGGTAAGTTCCATCAAAATAACGTCTCATATAACACGGACAACGGCATGTCCTACGATGGAACCAGCATCGACTGGGTCACCGGAGAGAGAGCCTTGAAACATCCATTCAGTGCTGCCAGCAAAGAGGCAAGTGGGACATCCAGCCTGTGTTGTGATCTCAGTTCTCAGCTAAACTATATTGATAGGCGCTTCAAATCATGCTGTATGCCCATGCAGTTTCCGGCTCCTCACAAGCTGCTCGCTTCCTTTCTCCTGATCACCCATCTGCAGCCCCCAAGATTGCCGCTTCTATAATGGAGACCAAGTTGCAGACTTATCTGAAATTCAACGAGACATACCCAGGGTTCGGTGGCTTCCTGCCTTGGTTTACATCAAGCACGCAAGATATCACACCCACATGGGACTGGGTAAACCGAGTTCCTGCTCTTGATAATGGGTAAGAAATACCCTATATATTGAAAACAGATGCTAACCTGAGATTGCGATAGCGAACTACTGTGGGCTGTATATGGGTTCATCCAAGCTCTTGAGAGCACCGGAAACAAGTCTTATCTTGGACTCGCTCAGAAGTGGCAAACTTGGATGGACTATACCAAGACGACTGCTGCGAAGGTAACATTCCAAACTTAGCCTGAGAGTTTTCCCTTTGAAGTCTTGTGTACTCATGATTATTTGCACAGATATTTTACCTGGGCGATGGTCAGGTTTGCGCCGTAATTGACCTCAAGAATCAGTCTCTGCCCGTTGATCATCCCGATCAGTCCTATACCTGCGAGGGCAGTGGCCTACTCAATGACCCTTATGAGGGCGAACTATTCACCTTCTGGCTTCAATTCTTCGCTGATCTATCGGATTCTGACAAGGAAGCACTCTGGGAAATTAAGCGACCCCAGCTAGTCAGCGTGGACTATCACGTAGGCAATGTCGGGCCTATCACTGTCCAGAAAGGTCAGAAGCTTGCTAATATTTCTGGAATTCACTGCTGAGACTTGGACTAGGATATTGGTTCTCCAGCCATGAAACCTGGAAGGTCATGGAAATGCCATACTACGACATTGATATTGTCCGGTACGTTGGTCCCAAGGCGGCTATAAGTTAGATTTTCTCAATCTAACAATTCCCACAAGACGCGTATACGAAAATGCCGAACGTGTGCGTACCTGCAACTCAGTCATCACCAAAGTCCCCGGAATGTTCGCATCTGTCAATAACATCACTGACCCCTCAACCGGGGATGTCATCGGTTATATCTCGAACGCTGGTATCCCGTTAATCTCGAATCAGACTGTGCAGGAGCTCGATGTCATTACTCCATATAGTGTGTTTCCGACCATCCTGTTTAACAAGTCTGTTGGTCTGGCCTGGTGGAGAAACATGGTCGTTGCAAGAAAAATGCAAAGTGAGTTTCGTTTTGCCATGCACCTTACGGCCTAATGCTGATACTGACCGCTACTGCTAAGACATTTATGGAAGTACTGAATCTACCCGTGTCGACGGCACAGGAGTTTCTGCGCTGGTTACTTGGGATAGCAAGGTCACCACGGTCAGTGCGCTGCTTGGAGGTGTGACCGATTTTGTTCGCCAGAAGATGAAGGCGGACAAAATCTATGACGAGTTTGTGGATATTATTGAGGTAAGTGTCTATGTTATCGGGCCATTATCCTCTTCGTAGGAATGCTAATTGGTATGGTTTAGACCGAGTACTCGCGTGTATTCAAGAATCTTAAGGGCGAGGATGTTGCATTCTGTCTACCTCGGGACATAGTTCCCGATACGGGGTTAGCAGATTTTGCTCTCTGCCAATAGATCTGCTGAGGTGTTATGAATGGACTCGATACACGAGGCCATTACATTCATCCATACTGTAGGAATCCTAGGATCATTCGGATATTCGACGCACGGAACACTTGGCCCCATAGCGAGATGGCAGGTACTTACGGGTATAAATAACAATTTATTTCAGTCATTCATTCGACGGCTTTGTATTTCCGCTACCAGCATCATAGACGAAGGACATAGACCCCGAAACGGATATATTCTTTTATTTCGATTCAGCCAAGCAAGCAGGCAGGATATAGAAAACTAAACGTAACCAAGTCCACATGCTCACAGGCGACTCTTAGCATTAAACCCAGAAGCAATAAGCAAACGATCAGCCTCATCGCGTTGCCAGTTCAATTTGGCAGTAACAGCATCCTTGCGCGACTTATTCTCGCGCTTACCAAGCTGCTGCAAATGAACTTCATCGGGTCCATCAGCAATACGCAGCGTCCGAATCCCAGCCCACATATAAGCAAGCGGTGTGTCTTGACAGACACCAGCAGCACCGTAAGCCTGCACGGCACGATCAATAATAGCCAGCGCAGTCTGCGGCACGAGGACCTTGGCCTGTGCAATCTCCTTGAGCGCGCCCTTGGCATCACCCTGATCGATCTTGATAGCCGCATTGAGAACAATTAGTCTGGCAGCATCGACTTCAATGCGCGACTTGGCGATCCACTCTAGGATAACGCCGTGTGCGACGAGCGGCTGGCCGAATGTCTTCTTGCGCTCGTCGTTGACGCGGGCAATGAGCCATTCGAGGGCGCGCTCTGCTGCACCGATTGCGCGCATGGCGTGATGGATGCGGCCGGGGCCGAGGCGGCCTTGGATGATTTCGAAGCCGCGGCCTTCGCCGAGGACCATGTTTGATACGGGAACGCGCACATCCTTGAATGTGATGTGGCCGTGGCCGTGGGGGGCGTCATCGTAGCCGTATACATGGAGCATGCGGTGCACGGTAATGCCGGGTAGACCGGCTGGCACGAGGACGACGGATTGCTGCTTGTAGGGGTCGCGGTTGGTAGGGTCTGTCTTGCCCATTACTAGGTAGATGGAGCAACGGGGGTCACCAGCACCCGAGGACCACCATTTCTATGGGTATTTGTTAGCGAATGTGAAACAGAGCTTGTATGGGAAGTCGAAGGGACATACTGAGCCGTTGAGGGCATATTCGTTGCCTTCGCGGCGGATGTTCAGCTCGATGTTGGTGGCATCGCTAGATGCAACATCGGGCTCAGTCATCAGGAAGGCAGAGCGGATCTTGCCCTGCAGCAGAGGCTCAAGCCACTGCTTCTTCTGTGCGTCGTTGCCGTATTTGGCGAACACCTCCATGTTACCAGTATCCGGGGCAGCATTGTTTGTAGCCTGTGCATTGGATTGTCAGTAATCAATCGTAGGACACATTATCCTTGGGGCATCAAATCAAGATACCAAGCTATGCGCCCAGTAGAAATGACCGAAATAAAGAAACAGAGCAACCCACCTCGGAAGCAATCTTGCTCTTGCCGAGCAACTCAGCCATCAAGCCGTATTCCAAATTGGAGAAGCCCGCACCCTGAGTGAAGTGGTTCTTGGGCAGGAACATGTTCCACAGGCCAAGCTTCTTAGCCTTCTCCTTCAAGGTCTCCATGATAGCGGGGGTAGTGTTCCATCGCTTCTCGCCCTCGCCAAGCTGGGCGGTAAAGACAGCATCGGCGGGGATACAGTCCTTCTCGACGAATTCTTCGACCTAGAATTAATCATCAGTATATAAGTAGGGAAATAGACCGGGGGTTTGGCTCGGCGGGTTTGCGCCCGGGTATGGGGTACGTACCAGGTCGAGGGTACGCTTGGCCTGATCGCTGACGAACGGCTGGGCGATAGGGGGGATGCGAGTTGAGGCAGACATGATTGAAGGGGATGTGATGGGAGAATGGAGAGTGGCCTTGATGCTGAATATAAAGAGAAGAGGTCAGGCCATGAGGATTGCGGAGAAAGAGCTAAGATGTGTGGAGAAGCCGAGAGTGGCGGGTTTTGCCTCGGCCCAGGATGTATAGCTACACTGTGTACCTTTGCCAGTACAAGTGGTAGGAGAATAGGGATATACTGGAGGATGTCTTGTATGATTCAGAGTAAAACATGTCCTACTCTATTCTCTAGTTCTCCCTTTGTTCCCTAATTCCCCAGTCCAGGGTCGTATATACTATAACCGATCTTCAACCTCGGCCAGATCCCCGAGGTCCAATACGAGTGACAATATAAGCCAGATTACAATATAATCAAGTCAAAGGTTCCAAGGTTGTATTGATCCAATGAGCTCCAAAGCTCCCTCCCAATTACACCCAAATCCCAACACCCGTTGATACACAATAAAACACAAAAAAGAAAGGCATCGCGGGTCATCACAAAAGAAAAAATAGAAGAGAAGAAAAGCACCCTAAAATAGCAGACAACCTCAACTCAAGACTCTGTCCGTCCAAACTCTCAAACGAGTCGTCCCTCACTACCTCCAACCCAGCGACCGGCGCGAGTAGGCCAGACATACCGAGGAAAGAAAGAAGAACAGCACAAACCGAGGCCCAAGCCAAGGGATCAACCATCCAGAATGAGAATAGAATAAGAAAGAATAAAGCAATGAGCCCAAACCCGAAATGAAAGAAGAAAGTAGGGTAGGCCAAGCCATCAACACCAACTTCAATTATTCGGCATTGGCGGTTCGGCCCTGCTCAGCCGATGACTGCTCGTAACTCTTCTTGCCGAGCTTAGCAAAGAGCGACTGGGGCTTGCCGGCACTGAGGGGAAAGAAGATATGTTAGCAAATTGGACAAGGCTATTAGGGGACATCGCGCCGAGGCAGTTCTCGGTAATCCGAAAGGACAAGCATAAACAAAGAAGACTTACTTCTTAAAGCGCTTCCCCTTGATATCACTCAGCTTCTTCGTGCAGGGACTCATGATATCATCTGAAGGCGAGACGTAGGCGGTTGGTTGTCTAAAGAACAAGTGAGGTTAGCCATGTTGCCTCATAATAGCGGTCTGGACATGGAATGGACATGAAGATTGATGCCTGGGGAAAACCGGGATACTCACTCCTCGCCTGTTACCTTCCCCTGTAAGATCTGGCGGTGGTACTCCATCGATGAGGGATCGGCACCCTTGAGGTCAGACTTGTCTGTGTTGGCGAGGTGGGTGTTTGTTGGGCGGTCGGCGAGAGGTTGGGGTTGGGATTGTGTGGTGTCCATTTTGGAGTGTGAGATGTGGTGGTCCTTGGAGATGTGAAGAGCAGTAAATAGTAGCTGTGTGGGACAGAGCAGAGGATGTGGGAGAAGAGACTGAAAACAGAGGCAGATCGATCGGATAAGAGGGAAAAACGTGTTGTTGGTGCACGAGAAAATATGGGTGATTGTTGGCAGGGCAACAGCCCTCTATGACGCGCCACATTGTTCACTTCTTCTTGTTCGACTTAATGAGTTATGTTTATGTCTGACTTTTTGAGCCTAGAATTTAATCCAGAATGTATTTTACTAGAAGTGGGAATCATATAATCGTCCAAACATACAGTGTAGAAGTACAGTGTCGTTGTACAGATGCAAAATAACGCCAAAGGATCCCCAATACAGAGTCATCAGTAAAGTGGCTGGTGCCATTATACATAGAAATAAAAAAGAAAAGGAAATGATTGGGGCCAGCCAAGGTTTCAAATCATGGAATGCAAGCAATCGAATCACAATCACAGCTCATCCGACCCCGGATTGTCGGCTTGAGTGTCAGTGGCATCCAAGTCCACGATGCGTCCTCTCAAGACAGGTGGGGTGCTATGAGGGCGGAAATGCGGTGTTCCAAGTGTGGGCACCGACGTAGGCTCCGGGGAGATATGCTGGTCCATTTTATGCGTCTCTTCGGGCTCCGGCGAGGAATCAGACGTCGGTGTCGGTGGGACATAAGCAGCTGTCGGACTAGTCGCACTGTCCTCGGACGAGTCAGAGATATTCCTGCGGTGGCCCCCGTTCTCACGGTAAGACGACGTCGGGCGTGTGGAACTAGGACTTGCAGACGGCGAGGCAGAGGCGAAGATGGGAGATGAAGAACGCAGGCTGTAGGACCGGGCGACCATTCTTTGAACGCCCGGGAATTCCATATAGTTGCTGACAGACCCTCGTGAAAACAGGACTAAAGCAAAGCAGCAGAGGACCATGATGCTCTGGATGACGGTAACTCGTTTCTGGAACACGAGCTCGTCGGCTAGCACGCCTAGCTGGGCGCTGAGGGAATGGACTTCCCGATGGTATTGCATGCGCTGGTGCTCGAATTCGAGAGCGACAGATTTCCAGACGTGGTCGTACTGCTCACGGAATTCTTTCAGTTCATGAAGAACTGTGACATTTAGATTTTCGAGGAATGTAGATGTCTTTGCAAGTTGTCGTTTCTCAACTTTGTTGAATGCATCCCGCAGAATGCGAGACTGCTCTTCGATGTATAGAAGGGAGAGGGTAGAGTTTGACTCGAGCATCTGTAGTCGTTTATGGACGGACTTGAAGAAGGACTCTTGGGTAGTTGGGTTTGCTGAGGGTGGTTGTGTATTTGTAGGTCTGGTCGACTCTGAGGGAGGGATGTTCGATTCCTCTTTAGCATTGGTGGTGGCTTTGCCGGCGGTTTCGGATGTGGTGTTCTGCTGGGTAGTTTCTGAAGAAGCAAACGATGCTTCTGAGGTCGTCACAACGCCTTTCGCAGACTCACCCGTCTTTCGCGTATCGTCTCCAGCCTTGGGAGGAGCAGATGGCCCTGAGATAGTCACTGAGGTACTCACACCTGCTGTGACAGTAGAGTTCTCCTTCGGTGGCACCTTTGTCTGGGCTGCCGTAGCTGGCGCGGAGGAAGTAGTGACAGGCGGCCCTTCATCGACACCACATGTCTCCACATGAAGAAGTTTTTCAAAGAGCGCACTCGGATCTGCCAGTGTGTTGGCGCAAACTTCCTCAACTCTAGTACGGGTGACAACCGGCGCAACAGGCTCCTCGACCGGTACCTGGACATCGACAGGTTTGTTCTCCGATTCATGAAGCTGGTTGGCCTCAGCAGACTCCACCTCCTCGACCTCTGCCCGATCGGAACTTTCATCGTGCTTATACTCTTCCATCATGGTTGTTCCATGAACACGGATCAAGCTGACCGGACAAAAGAACTCATGACCATAATGCGTAAGAAACTCGATGCGCAGATACCGCGCCCAAATAAGCGAGTTTTCAACAGCAAATGCCTGCACCTCACGGGTATTCCGCGCTTCATAGACACCTAGCTCCTTCCACTGATCCGGTTTAGCAGGATATCGATCCGAGACACTAACGCGGAACGTGTGGAAGATGGAGCTGAAGAACTCATAATTCGCAAGGACGACCGTGTCAACAAGGATATCATCGCAAAGCTCCAAAATAAGGAACTTATTCTGTGCGCGACACTCGTTCAACATGTAGCTATCCTTATTCTCAATGAGAACCGATGACGAACCCTTGCACTCGGAATTCGTCTTGAGCACCGTAGCCGCACAGTCAAAGGAAGCATAATTAAACCGCTCCTTGCAAGTGGTGCCTGCATCCTTTCGGCGCGATGCACCTCTCTGCAATGCACTCTGCGCATAGACATCCACCTCGGCTTGGCCATCTGCAGCATCTGCATGGCCCGCGTCGCGCGCGGGGATATGCGTCCCCCACGCAGTAGGACTAGCCTCGGGCGTCTCAGCGCCGAACCCACCAAAGTCCAATTCAATCTCTGCATCGTCGCCCAAGGAGTCCAACGCATTATTGATCCCCGGCTGTCGACGATCCTCTTTCCCTGCAGCTGCAGCTCGTCTGCTCCCGCCAACATTCTCCGCTGATTGTCCGACCTTCGCTAGATTCTGTTTCTTCCAGTCTTCGAATGAAAGGAAGCTCGCACTATCCAATAATGAGTCTGTATCCTGTTCCTGTTCTTGCTCTGCGCTCCGCTCGGGTGCTGTGCTAGCAGTCCCTTGGATTATCCCACTGGGCACCGCAGCCGATTCGGAATCGACAGCACTGGGCTCAGGAGGAACGGCACCACCTAGAAAATCCCGACCTGGTCCCCAGCGCGTCTCCAAGCACGGCGGTAAGAGGAATAACTCCGCCTCAATCTTCCACGAACTCTTCGCCGAGCATGTCGTCACCGGTATCGGGGCAGTGGCGGCGTTCGGAGAAGGCTGGGCACTCGTGTTTCCAAGCGCATTATGGCAAAGCGCAAGCAAAAGCGAGGCGCAGTATATCCCGGGCACCCATGACCGGCCCGCGGTCACCATGCTGTCGGTTGAGGAAGTACTGATAAGGGCGTCAGCGAGGCAGAGGCGCAGATATAGCTTTATGTCTCGTCTGTCGGGCACGAGACGCCACAGGCTAGCTGCGACGATTGCGAGCTATTGACAGAAGAGCGTTCCGGTGTGGTTCAAGCTATTGGGTTGACCTGCGTGCTAAGCACATTGTGGTGGCTGGAAGAGGGAGGAAGCGGCGCTAAGGCGCCTCGGGGGATTTTAACGTATAGGATGGCGTGATAGACTGGGCAGTGTTGCGACGGTGAATGAACTGGAATTGGCGACAAAGAGCGGTATCTGAGTACAAGGGAGTGGACCGGCATCTCAACGGTTGAGCGCTCTGACCGCCTTTCCCGTGTGGAGAAGTATGGAGTCCGCTTGGTGACAGCTATGCAATAAGAATCCTGGATATTGGATGAAACTACAATTTACTACATATTATGGGATGGAATGTGTTTCTTAGCGGATGTGATCAATTTTCCCTTTTGACTGTCCCAAAATAAAACTAGTTACAGGATGCGCCTGAGGTCCAGTACATGAATGAAGAGAAAACGGCCGCAGTTTCAACCAAGTCATGCTGCTAGGCAGTCGACCTTCGCTGTAACTCGTCCCATCCTTCCCTGAAAAACCGCGCCTTCGTTTTGTCCAAATGCGAAAGAAACCTTCCCATGAAAAATGGAACATCCACCATGGCATTCCGACCCAGCCTTCTAACCTTTTTGCTGATTTTTTGTGTTCAATGCGCTCCGCCAATATCTGCACCCTCGGTCTGATATTATACAGAAGAAGAAAAAGAACAGATAGGTGACCGGAGGGAGCAAGCAGTGCACGCAGGCGCTGCATGGTTGTTGAAAAGGCGGAGATAAAGAACACTCAATCCGAAAACAAAGAGACACAGGACAAGAAATTGGAAGATTAGTTTATCGTTGAGAATTTTCGAACTTTTTTTTCCAACTGAATCGAAACACGCAATGGGACTCAACAAGAGCGGGCGACAGGGTAAAAATGAAACAGAGAAACAGTGGAGGTGGACGAGCTTAGAAGTCAGTCTCGAGCCATCCGCCAACGAGGTCGAGATCGTCGTCGACCGTACCGTCGTATGCATTGGTGTGAGCAGGCTTAGGCCCATGGCGGCGCCAGTCCTTTTCAAACAGCTGTCGGCGACGAGCTTCAGAAGAGGATTCGCGCTTTGTCTGAGGTCCATGGCGGTAACCGGAAGAACCGTGGCCCCAATCATGTCGACGAGTTTGAGAGGCAGTGGCTCTCTTGGGGCCGAAGACCTCACGAGACTTGACATTGCGACGCTCATCAGGCTTGTAGTTACGGCGAACATCACCGAGGCGAGACCATTTGTCGGCTTGAGGGGGCGAGTTGCGCATGGGGCGCGGGGTGCTGCTGGATGTACTTGAATCGCTGTCTATATCCAGAGACTCTCCCCGCATCTCACGGAGTTCCTTACTCAAGCCAGATTCTGGGACATGAGAGCGTTGAGTGAGGGAAGCGGAGTCCTGCTCGCGCAATCCCGGGATGGCAGCTCCCTTGCTCTCTTGGCTCCAGCTGCGAGAGTTCTGCTCCCGGCGTTGCAACATGGCAAGGTCCTCGCTTTCGGATTCGTCCTCCTCCCACATATCACACCAACTCTTGGAGATCTGCTCCGAGCTCTTGTTCTTACCAAAGACCATAGACAAAGATGGCAGAGGCTTGGTAGCATGAGAAGGTAGAGATCCAGTAATGGGTACCGGGTCTGAGCGAGGGAGGAAGGGCACCTGGCGCTTGCGAAGGTTAAGCGAGCGGAAGGATTCACTGAGGTGGGAATCCAAAACGGAAGCCATTGATGGGGTATCGGCATTGACCGAGAACCATGAGGTTCCCGCAACTTCGGATGGGGGGGAAAAGATCCTCGGTGTAGCTCTCGTTGTCCGGGATGGCAGACAGCTGGCGAATGGCCTGGGGAGGACTGGTCTGGAGTGCCTTGGCCCAAGGGAAGGAATCTCCCTGATTGACGTAGGGGCTCTGGATGGATGGAGTGCGGAGAGGCTCGCGGTTGGCGCTGGCTGCGACCACCTCACGATCCTCGGTGCAGAAGTCATCAAGAGCCTCATCGTCGGTAGTGAAGGAGACAGCCCGCAGGATGCCCTCACGTACACCTTCCAAGGAACGCTTCTCAGGGTCGATAGTCATGGCATGGGTCAAGATCTCGTAAGTATCCTGTGACATGTTGGGGAAAATATCGAAGAGAGACTGGCGATCGCGCACATAGTCCGCGAATAGCACATCCGACTCGGTAGGAGTGACAAATGGATTCCGAGCAAAAAGAATGTTCAACAGACAGATACCCAGAGACCAGATGTCGGCCTTGGCTGGGGAGTAGCCTGTCGTGGAGGGTTCGTATTGCTCGGGGGCCATATAGCGGTCACTGCCGACGCAGGCTTCGTGACACCAAGCTTCCTGAGTGGCAAGGCCAAAGTCACCGAGCTTCATGGCACCGTCCTGTGTCAGGAAGATATTCTCCGGCTTGATGTCACGGTGGTACAAGCCATTGGCGTGCATGAATTCGACGGCGCTAATCAGCTGCAGCATGAAGTCCCGAACATGTTCGGTTTCCAATGGACCCCGGTTCAGACGAATGGCCTCATATAGATCACCATTGGCACAGTACTCCAGGACGAGATAGGTATGAGATTCGGTGTCGAAGGAATGAATCAAGTTGACCAGATTCGGGTGGAAGCCGAATCGACGGTGACATTCAAGTTCTTCAAACCGATCCTCGGGTAGGTAGACGGAAGAGTCCGCAGCAGAGGCCTTGATGAGGCGCTTGATAGCGACATCCTCACCAGTCTTGGTGTCATTGGCAAGGAAAACCATGCCAAATGACCCATGATTGAGTGGGGCGACAGTGCGGAAACGACCATCCAGAAGCTGCCCCTCAACAAAATCATTCTTCAAGCTTTCCATGGTCGACATGTTGGCTTGATGGTTGATCCCAAGAAGGACAGATGCAAAAAGGTGAGTGAGGTTGAGGAGTCGAGAGGTAATGTTCCAACAAAGAGAGAAGACAAATCTATGAACCGCTCAAATCACACAGGCACGTGTTAGAAACGCGTCAAAGTGCGTCAAAGCAAACAAGAAGCAACCGGGCTGATGAAGATTAAACAAGGAAGATAAGTATCAGGCGAGTCCGAAGGGGGATGAAGAGAAGAACGGTAGTTTGAGAAGTGATGTCGGCTCAAAATGTGATATAAAAAATGTACTGATGAAAGGTGGGTAAATCGACAGATGAAAAGAGGAGAGGATGAGGCGTGGAGGCGCTGAATGTACCCGAGAGGGGTTGTTGACGCTAAGGAAATGTGTAAAGACCGTTATGTGCTCATTTGTATGTCGTTTTCGTGGTTAAACTGGGGAGGGCCCGAAAAAGGATGGACGACACGCAAGGTATCAAGTAATTTGAACAAGTTGAGAGTCGGCCTGATACCGAAAGTGAAAGATGTTGAAACGGGGGTCGAGAGGAAAGCGCTGCGTAATATCGTAATTGAAAAGAGTCGAAGATGTATAGGAGAAAAAAAGGAAGCAAAGAATCCTATGAACACCGGGTTCAAGGGCGAGAGCGGCCGTGACTCAAGAGTTTGAAAATATTGAGAATTATTGAGTCATGGGTGGCCAACCAGATAAAAGTGATAGCGGCTAATTGAGCTTGATGAGGGATCCGGTAGAGTACCTTTCTAATCCGAGATGGAAAAGCAGGGGTACTCGATGCCAGCTAGCCCCAAGGTATGGAACTCCCAATGTGGTCTCAAAGCGGCTCTCGTCCGAGGAACGTATAATTACCTGCAGAGCAGGTAGAGCCTTCGTGTGAGTTGAAAATGACGAAGACTGGAAAAGGGGCTCAATGGTAGACCGGTTGACGAAAGGTGGATCCTTTGGCAAGTTGCGGATCGTGAGTCACCAGAGCTTAGGATCAACCCGGAAGATCCAGGAAAAGGGGGACCAGGTCGAGAACACGGAGACGAGATACACTCTTGTGCAGAGGCAAGACCAGCAAATCCGATCTTCACTCGCAGTCTGTCAGGCAAGAGTAGAGGTCGTCGACGGCAGGCAGGGTCAAGGACAAGGGACGCTGCGATAACGCTGGAACCGTTTGAAGTGACACGCAAGTGACGAGCGGATGACGGGAGGCGGGAGGTAGAGAGGGGGAGATGAAGCAGGAAGAGCGAAGAAAGAGAAGTGATGGAGGAGGGAGATGAAGATGAAGATGAAGATGAAGATGAAGGGAGGAGAGGTTAGAGTCATTAACATCTCCGGGGAATTGGAGAGGCAAAGTGGATACCTATTGGCCAATACAGCCTGTACGGTCACAAACGAGTATCTGCTAGGCCGTTCGTTTGTCTTTCATTCCGTGTGATCTGCAGTTGCCGCCTAATTTGACTGGCGCCCGAGGTCCCTCCCCGTTTCCGTCTCCTGGGTGAACGGTAAGGGTAATGTATGGTATGTAACGATTCCCCGTATTGAACCAAGTTTCATGAACCTTCTAGGCATTCCTGGCCCTTGGAAGGCGTCAACATCGTAAGGACCCGATAACGTCAAATTCCATTGTTGGTTGCCCATTAAGCTTGAACTATGGAACTCTATCATCTACTTGACAACAGCATCTGCTATCTCGCCCATCCAGTCGAGATATGATATTACAGTTGACCCCTATCTTTGAGACTAAAAAGAACTAAACTCTCTGAGCAGGGGCACCGCCTAAGTCGAGGGATCAAGGTGGCGCACTATTCCCCATGCGGTGGATTGCGCAGTCCATTCTGGGACGGGTGGCCAATCAGACTGCCGTATTGGGCCACTATTTCCAGGCTGCATGACGCGATGGAGTGGGATGGCGTGATTCTCCCTTATTGGCTACCCCGGACCCTACTATTTCCAACTCAATAGCACCCGTGGCCTGTCTGCAACGTTATTTGGCGCGCGGTATTATGAGACAATAGTTGTCTGGCCCTGACATCCATGAGGGGGTTGTTTCTAATCAGGGGTCGACTCAAATGTATATTATTCATGATCTTCGGTTTCGGTTATAGACCGGACCCCGATTACCCATTGACTAGGCATTAGATAACACAAGTGTACAACACATGTGTTCTATTGCACGATCTAGTGGAGCGTGCTCATAAGCTATCATCGCATCGGACACCCACGCAGCTGTAGCGGTGAAGGGGGACCCCTGCCTGATTCTAGCCCTACACTAGGTTTGACCGCCTCCTGTGGTCTGCAAGGAAGTACAGAACAGATAGAGTTGTGGGTGTGGCACGACTTCGGCATCACGCGACGCACTTTACACTTTGCAGTCCCCCCTCATTCTCCGGGAAATGCAGACACCAATTCTTGGGCTTTCACCCCAATTTGACCCTGGATCGGCATCGCACATCAAACACGCAATATCCTCAGTGCCGGGAGTGCTGCAGGTAGAAGATAGGCACGGCTCAGCTTTTGATCTCCCCCTCCATCGGGCTTCGGCCCCATATCCGTTGCTTTATTTTACTGCAGGTCGAGTTGGTACCCCAGCCCTCTCTTAAAGAGTTTTTCGTCATCTAGTGTAGTGCTTTGCATCAGCCAACCCCTTTGCACGCGAGAAGGCGAAACGTGTTTATACCTTATGCGCGATTTTATATTGCTTACTATAGTACAGTGATCAACATGATACAGACCTGCAGTGGCGATATGATATGATTATCTTATCTGTACGGAGTCCAACTCCGGGCGAAGTCGGCAGTGGAAGTATCCTCCGGTGATAACGCCATGATTCCGTTAAGGTGTTCAATAGTGCCAAATCTAGTGGGAGATGGAATCAACTCTGATAACTCTATGGTTATCATACCCCGCACGATCGTCATGCCATCATTTCCGGACAGATTCTCAATTTTAAAAAGTGATAGTCATAGATGCGAAATCCCGGGTAGAGGAGATGTTCTGTTGAGATAGTGAGATCATCTTCAAAAGAGGGGGTCTAACTGTACCGGCTTGGGGGCCACTTCCCCGGATTTTAGTCTGAACTGGCCTTTGTTTTCTTTGTGTTTCTTTGCTTTTCTTTGCTTTTCTTTGCTTTTCTTTGCTTTTCTTTGCTTTTCTTTGCTTTTCTCGCTTCGGACTAGTACACATTTCTATGACATGGGAATTCCGGCGCCATCATTCTTACAGTATTAGGTCCCGTGTCCAACCTCCACATTCAATAATGGTGACATGTTTATGCACGATCCGGAGCGAATGGCTTTGTTTAAACCCAAAACAACAAGCATCAACTCCGAGTCTAGACATGGATTGGAAGAACATGGCGCTCTGCATCGAGTAGAGTTGCACGCTTTGCCCTGTGCGACTACGTTGTATACAAATACAATCAACGCATCAACGGTATGCATTTCAATGTATGACATGACCCCAGCCTCCTGTAGGTCTCGCTTTTTCTCCGTGTGCGACCGTGCAGAGTGAAAAAGGCAAGGTAAACAAAGTCAAGGGCAGAAAAGTCAATCATGCGTTGGATCGCCCTGCAAGGGAGGCAGCCTGAGGCCTTTTTCTGACCCATCTCGAACATTTCAGTCGTTTGACAGGTCGAGTTTGAATCAATAACGGTTGCCAAGTCAACATCAGTATGGCGACCCCTCTTTTTTGGCCATTGTGTCATAACTCAAGACATGGTCCAATTGCCAATATCCGGGGTGTATGTTCCTGCCTGGAGGCGTATTCTAGGCGATTCTACTCCCTACCGTAGGTCAACACAAACAAAGACACTAGTCTACTATGTTCTATCACTCGACTGTATACAATAACTCTACCTACGTACCCTCAAATAAACATACCCGCGGGAGCCGTCCTCGACCTCCTTTGCCGGGTTTGGAATCAACCCATGCCACATTCCCCCTGTCAACGTCACCTCCCCTGTCAAGTGTATCAAATGGATAGTTACAAATATTACAGGAAATATGATGAACATCTTCATATTCAGTGACGTTGGGACACGTTTTCGAATGAGTAATGAAGAAGTGGAGACCGGGATCTCGCTTCTATTCTTGCCTATGGAGTACGGAGCCATAATATGACATCAAGTCTCCGCTTGCATCCAGACCAAAGTCGCGGTGACAAAGTGAGATGACTTTGCAAGGTTGTTGGAGACGTTCTATTTTCGAGTTACTTTTGTTTTGGGTGGCGCAATATAGTGGTTGTGTTTCCAACAGGCAAGCGGATTCGCAATTGGCCCTGGCTTGTGGTACGTACCCTGGGTCTGGGTCTCAGGTCTGGACGTTGTTGGCATTGACATAATCTACATGTTTGATGATTGGTGATGGGATGTTTTGTGCTCATGGATCACGTATGTATTTGATGAATGTATCGCTAGAACCATCCCACCGGAGTCAAGGGTTCATTTTTGAGTCGACTCGTCATCTCGTAGCTATGGTCGAGCCTCTATCTATAACGAATAATATTCAAGAGTCATATTGCGGACTGGTTATGATTGCATTCGAATATATCCCCAACTGGTTGGTGCCTGGAAGGCCACGGTACCGGCCGAATATATATTTGGTTGTATAACGGACATCGTCAACAAAACACCATTATGAAGTCGATGAACTAGGCAAGCCGTAGCTCAGATCAATACCTCTTTCTAAGTATCTCTAGGAAAGCCAGATAATACAAGAAGCGGAAACTCTTCCATTCGCAAATGGAATGACGACGAATACGATGATTCATATCAATACCCGAGGAGGCCATCCTATTGGTTGAATTTGGCTGACTAAGAAACCCCGCTCTAACTTGATGCCTGTAGAGTCAGGCATAAATAATATTTAACGTAATTCACATGCGAGTGAGCCACCCAAGCGAGTGGGCCACCCCAAAACACATAGTAAAAGCGATATATTCTACATTTATATCTCAACAACCATGTTTTTATTTTATCTCCTTATTTCACGATAGTCATTGATAAGACTAATTAGCGTTCTATATCAATTTTAAGGATAGCAGAAGGCTATATTATGGTCATTTCAAAAATTACCGAAAATTACGTTGCCAAAAACTAGATATATATACATTGCAACCATGATGTCTTAAACTTTCCTCAAACTCCCTATAGATGCTAGATATCACTTAAGAAGCATAAATATATAAGGAAAACTCTAGATAGACTACCGTTGTTGAGATACCAAGTTGTAATTAATCGCTTTTACTATGTGTTTTGGGGTGGCCCACTCGCTTGGGTGGCTCACTCGCATGTGAATTACGTTAGTTAAGTTAACTAACTAGTTAAGTTACGTTAGGCCTCAACCATAAGACCACGAGGCCACTAAGTTAACGCAAACATCAATTGTACGAGCGAGACCTTGATAACTATACTTGCAGTACTTCTAAAATATTGCTTCTAGCTCCCATGGTGGGCCCCTTGTTCCTGGGGGCTAATCTTCCAAGGACTGCAAACTTCGAAACAGGAATGCCATACCTCTGTGATGTTCAAGGTTCAGATTCCAATGCCATAGAATAAAAGGATGTAGCTTTTCCCCTTATGCCCATAGTTGTTTTTGACCATCTGGAAACCAGTCGTCGTCGGCGTGGGCTTGATTTATCTATTTGCTATAGCTGAGTCTCACGACTTTGTTGATGGTGACGAGGAGCTCAACCGCAACCTTGCCGTTGCTTCCACAAACAATGCTCTGGAACCCATTCGGAATGATAAATTAGGACCGGAGTGGCAATCAGCCGCTGTTCGGACTCCAAATGTCTTCTGGGAAGGCGGATTTGCTACGCCAGGATCCAGGGAATGGGCGCTGGCCGGTTACAGTCCATGTCGATTCTTCCAAAGCCTGGCCAACGAAGACAGAATGTCCCTTTGGGCAATCATGCAAATTAATGAACAGATTGTGAACATCTTGCCCTGATGGGAAGCCCATATTGAAGATTTATTAGAGTCGACAGTGAGGTGGAATAGACGACGAGCCGAAGTTTATGACGCTTCAATTAATGAAGGGCAACGGCGAACAGTTTGGATGCTGATCTGATTTGGAGGATGCACTAAAGTTTGCGACTTGTCAAGGCGATAGAAGACGACAATGTGAGACTAAAAGTTACTTATAAGCCACGATATATGGTATCATTTTAGGCAAAGGAGGTTTCTGTAAGTAGTGGTAGTAAGTAGGATGTGATAAGTCCATGTACTAGCCGTGATGTAGGCCGCTACTTCTAGTACTATAGATGCATAACTACTATGCGCCCTATAACCTTCCGTGCTAGCGTGACTAGAGGCCGGAATATGGGCAGTCTGTCCTCGAAGAATGACAATATTCCACTGTACCAGCAGGCAGTCATTCTATAGGAGACGGTTCTATAAGTATAAATAGACAATCACTCAAAGATGCCATATTAGTGATACGTCATCTTCAATATTTACTACCCTGCTTCTCTAGATGTCTTACGAAATAGTACTTCATCACGCTGACACGGACGGTTGCACGGCGTAGAGTTATGCATCTTAGCACTAGAAGTAGCGGCCAACATCACGGCCAGTACATAGTCTTATATCAATCTTACTTACTACGACTACTTACAGAAACCTGCTTTACCTATAATCGTGCCTTTTTATTACTCTGATTTAGCCATGCGGTCATCTATCGTGGCTATGTAGGCTGTAAGTATACCTAGAACCTCAAATTCTCGTCTTCTATCGCCTCGATGAGTCGCAATATTAAATGGAACATAAAAGGGACAATCTTTAGACAGAATGGATATAGGTCGAGCGCATATATCAAAGCAATTACCCGGTAAGTAGATACAGTATTAACCGCGGCGACGTCAGTGTAATCGCAGTGGATTTGTCCGTGGGGAAACCTAGAGATCTTGTTGACTGTAGATCAATCGAGCTTTTGCCGGATGGTACAGGCTACATGACTGTAAGTGCCATAAGCCTAATACAGATGATTCCTAAATGGACACGACGTCGATTTCTTATGTCTGGCACTGGTAGCTAGGGTCTCTATACTTGTTTGTGTTTCCATGCCACTGTATTCAGCTATAACTGTCATGGACTTGTCCTCAAAAATTGCATGTACGTATATGTATAGGCGAGAGGCAGGTTAATGGGAGCCCTGTGCCTCGCTGGAATCGAGGCACCTCGCCCTCACATGTATAAGAAGCAGTAACGTTATCGTCATTTGTATCCACCATCAATAGACCAAGTGAGTCGAAGAGCTGCTTCATTGTGCAGCAGAATGGGCTTGCCCTATGGTTCACTTTGGCATCCGACTATACCAAAGCCCGTAATCTTATGCATAGACAAAATATTAGGAATTACTATAAATGCACGAAGTAATGGCCACGCGACATGTTGGCTGGGAAGCTCAATTAGTTTGATCCATTCGCAAGTGAAAATGGATTTTAATGGCGTGAGAGCCCCGACCAATCAGCAAAGTCAGGCAATAGTTCACTTAGCAAAGAGTATCACAGCATATGATTTACCAGTAAGTGCATATTAGACGTAAGTATAAAAGGGATGTGACTTATCATACTCAGCCTGAATCTCATTCCCTGATAGGCACTGTAAGACTACAGAATGTTTTACCTTGGTCTATAAAATAAGAACCTAAGCATTATAAAGATCTTATTATTCAATTTTTTATGCAAAATATTATCAAGTTATCATCTATCTTGCCCATATGCCGGAACAACACACGAATCGCTTGGAACCTAGTCATGTCGGGCTGGCTTCTTGAAATTAAGGACTGGAACATAAAGGGGTACAGGCGCATTCATTCCATAGCACGAACAATTCATGAACACAACTGCAATCCTCAACAAATCCATCGAACAACAACAAAATAGACAAAGACAATCGCGACGATGATTCATAGCAGCACGGCCTCTGATTGGACGGACCCAACCAGAAACCCACCCGATTTAAAAAAACGAACCGCATCAATATCAAACTCTCAGGATGCCGGGATAAAACACGAGAAACCCGTTCTGGATGATGCAAAATGAGCAAGCGGTCGCTCGAGGAGTTTAGGGGAGGTGCGCAAAGGTCGCCCGACCCCGATAACAATGGCATACTCCCTATTCATGACCTGCTCTCGCCCGGCGAGGAGGAGCACGGGCAGTCATCCGGACCGACCAAGAAGCCCAGAAACTTCATTGCCACAGTTGTAAGTGATACATCTGCCTTAGTTGCCTGGTTCTACGGCACGACCGAGCTCTCCGGGCCTCGCTAACGCTCGTTCCAAGGCGTGTGAGACCTGTCGTCTGAAGAAGACGCGATGCGATGAATCACGGCCCAGATGTGGGCTCTGCAAGTCGCTTGGCCTGGAATGTGTTTACAATGAGCGTAAATCATCAAAGTGAGTCGTTTCAATGCTGTCTTGTACACTCAATTGCTCATACACTCCAGACGGGACCAATCCCTTACTATGATTATGAGTACTTTGCACCGTCTAGAGACGAAATTGGAAAATATCCCCACGTCCATCTTGGGTGATCTGCAGTCTCTTCGGAGCCAGATCCGTACTCCTGCCGATGGATTGCACACACAGGTATCGCCTGCTGTCAACGATGGTAACCAGACATCCATGCTGGCCGCCACGGGAGACAACTTCACTCCCGCCGCAGCAGGAGATGGAGATGACTTTGAATTTGAAGAGAACGAAACACAGCCTGACTCCGCAGGTCGAATCTCTATCTCTTTCAGTCAACATGGGGTTATTCTGTGGCCTGGAGCCCGGCAGATCCTCCCAAAGCAGTTACTCGCTGCCTATGAACTGCTTGGAAAAAACTATGTCATTGAATTGGAGTCGGCGCGACCTCCACTTCCAATGTTCACAAGTCATTATCCTCTCCAGGCGGGAGAACATTGGCTAGAAGAGCTTCCGTTGGCGATGATCAGAGGCCTGGCAGATGCATTCTTCAGTGTTTTCAACCCATCCACCCCTATAATGGATAAGGGGTTCTTCTTTTCCTTCACTCTTGGCTCAGCTATTGAGAGCGGTTTCGGCTACAATTTGGAGAGTTGTCTGGTTCTCAATGTGCTAGCACTGGGATGTCTTGCTGTCCTAGCCTCACAAGAAGGAAACTATCCTTTGCCAGGAACTCTGGGTCATCAATTCGAACCACCTGAATGGATGAATGTGGTCTATGAAGAACAGCCTGGACTACGGTTTTTCAACGAAGCTCGTCGACGCATTGGCTTTTTGATGTGCGACAATGACATCCAGAGTTGCCAATTCTACCTCCTCTCCTCGTGCGTACCCATGCCCAAGCCTAATACAATTACCAGATAGATTCTAATCTCTTACAGTGTATATTATAGTCAGATTCCCCGTCCGATGGACTCTTGGGCAATGATTCATCGTGCCGCTACATGCTGTCTGTCAATGCTGACCAAGTAAGTCCTACCCATACACCTCAATCGGCCAAGATAGTTCTAACTGGCGCATAGCCACGATGTAAACTTCGACGGATGGGAAGGTGACATGAAATCCCGCGTATATTGGAATTGCCTCATGAATGAAACAATCCTCGTCCAAGAGCTTCACCTCCCATCAAGCGGCCTCTCTCGCCTCGAAGAACAAGTCCCAATTCCCAAATTCATCGGCTTCGAAACAACCGGCTACGCTGCAACGCGCTACAACTCATCAAGCGTGGTCGACGACTCATACTTCCAATACCACTTCCTAGCCCAGGTAGCCCACCGCATCATCCTCACGCGAATCCGCCACTCCCTATACTTCTACTGTAAGCAGCTCAGCCCTTTCTCGAAATATCGCCATTACTGATGCATAAATACCCTCTACCAGCCGACTCAGGATCCTTCCCCCTCCCCGCCGTAAACACAGAACTCAACCACCAACTAGAACAATGGCGCACCAACCTTCCAACAGCAATCCAATTCACAAACCCAAGCACTAGCAACCACACAAACACAAATACTCCCTACTCCTCACACAATACACCAATTGACCACTCCTCCCTCCATCCCTCACCCGGCTCAGCAGCATCCCCAATCCCGAACCAAACCCAACTCTCCTCCCCAAGACCCAGAACCACAGACCCGACCCGTCCCCTGTCGCCGGCAGTAGCAGTGACAGATGCAATGCTGAAAGGCCGCTACATGATCGCCCGCTTCCACATCGGCCGACCGTATCTATATAAGGCCCTACGGACCCCGGGTCTCCTCACAGACGAAGACTTCGAGCAGGTGAAGAGCGGCCTATTGAATGCAATGGATTGGCCCATTACGCAAGGTATTTTCCGGAAGATGAAGAGTTGCATTCCGATTAGGTTTGCGTTTTGTTCGCAGTAAGTGCTTTTTAATTACATTCTTATATTTTGTCAGCTTTGGTTGGCTAACACTTTTTGTTCTGCTCAGATTCTTTGGTCAGATACTCCTCTTCTACTGTATTGCTCACTCACCTAGTCCTCGTCTCCGTGAGACTCTGCCTAGTGGTTGGGAACGCTGGATTAGGGTGATGCTGGGTTTTTTGGAAGATTGTGCTGTGCATAGTCCCGCTGTTGCGCAGGATCTGGAGCTTTTGCGGTCTTTATGGCCTGAGCATTAGTTTCTACTCTGTTGTTGAATTACTTCTAGAGTGCACTGTATTCTATGATATAGTATCGTTTCTTTTTTCCATTGTCTTTTCCGGGGCTTGTCTGTTCGCATGTATGGAGTTGGTTGTTCGGTTTTATGCTTAATGCCGTCCTTATTATACCTGCTTTTCTATACCAGCATATAAGAGTCGATGTCTGGGTCCGAATCAAATCCAGTATAGCGATTCATGTCTATATACGAGGACTGGACCTCATGTAGCAATTGCTTGTGATAGAGAAGGGTATTGAAAAAAGAATAACAAAGAGTATCCCAACGACAAGATGCCTATCCGTCGTCACCAAAATCAGGCAACATTCCAGGTCACAACAGCTAGATGAACACGTACTATTACAGGGCCCACTCGTCGGCTGTCTCAGAGTCTGCAATAAAGGGCTTGTCAATCTGTTTGATGGCGTGGTCGCCGCAGAGAATACTACAAAGGAGATGGTTAGTGAAATGGACACAGCAATACATGGGAAGGTTATCACATACCAAGCTTCAGCGACCAGCGAGTCTAATTCCTTGACAATATCCTCCCGCCGAGGGGAGGAGATATCGCCGTTACTGAGCTGAGCCTGTAAATCGCGAATATACTTCTTCTTCCCGCCAGCACCATCCAGAACCTCCTTTCCAAGACAGTCACTGTGGAAAGCATGTTGGCAGGGGAAGACAAAGAACTGACGACTGAGGACAGGCAGCGAACAGATCCAACATTTCTCACCCGGCTCGACAATCGCATAGCGGGTATCCAGACCAGCAATCTCACCCCTGATTTGACGGGCGGTCTGGGCCGAGTTGTCCATCTCCTGACGCAAGGCATCGATGTGACGCGAGTAATCTTCCAAAGCAGTGCAAATCTCGTCCTTGAAGTCGTCGATAACGACGAAATCAGGGAAGAAGGGAATCAGATCCTCAATGCGAAGAAGCTCACAGCGGCGCAAGAATTCAATGGCGTCTTTAATACCAGTGCCTGGTTGGCGGATCTTTTTCTCCGCGACCAGGAGCCACAATTTCTTGCGGAGTTTGTCGTTGCCCTCTGGACGGTCGGCGACGATTGCAGCCAACTCGATGTCATTGTGTTCCAGAGCTAGCTCGACAGCCTGTAGATACTGACCCATAGTGCTGTAGATGTGGATGCATGACTGGACTCGTTGATTTTGGATACAAAGTCGAAGGGCAAAGTCTGCGTCGTAGGGAGGGGGCGACGATGGTTGCGATTGGAGGTAGGTGAGCAGGCCGGCCTCGGATGTTGAGGGGCTGGACGCATGGATTGAAATAAGAGTATTATGGACCGCTGCGGATGGGTTGGGGTGATTGACAATGATAAAGTTCAGATAGCGGACAGCTTGGTTCTGACTGAGGGAAGCGACACTGGCCGATTTGTTATAATTTAGCAGTGCGGGTATCAATCTCTCAGGATCGAGGTCCGTCTGGCGCATCAAGATATCGACCAGGTCTGTGGGCTTGTGTGTCATGAGCACACTGCTGTATTTGTAGAAGACATCGCTATCACTTTGGCGTTGCAGGACTTTCAAAGCTTCCAGCCATTTCTCGCGCTGAATCCAATATGACAGAACATAATTGTAGTCAGATGTAGCGGTTGCGAAGAAGAGCAACTCCTCCTCGCGGCCATGGCTACTTATGATATCATATACTGTCTTCCGGTCCAAATCCGCTTTGTGGCTGTTGACAAATTCTTGAAATTCAGCGCGGACGCTGCCAAGCTGATCCTTAATTTCTCCGGTGCTCGTGCCCTCTGTCAATTCGGCCTTGGTGGCGATGTTGTCATCGAGGGAATTCAGTTTGGACATGAATAGTTCCACAAGCCAGCTGGCGACCATAATTCTTTGCATGGCAGAGGCTTTCTTGTATGTTGCCAGCTGGGAGAGGAGGTAGTTTCGCAGGGCGTCATGTTCTTTGTGGTCAATCATGGTAAGGCAGACCTCCTCAAAGCCTTTGCTGCTCTTACCCCATACTTTGGCAGCCTCGAAGAAGTTGCCTTTGTCGGCCAAAAAGTCACCCGAGGCAGTCATGACAGCATCGCGCTGTGCGGGACCTCGGGCATACTGAAGAGCTTCGTCGAATTTCTGCTCTTTCAGGAAGATCTTCCAGACATCTCGGTCTTCGTCGCCAGCCACAACCTCAAAAATGGCCTGAGTGGTGAAGAGCCAATATGTGTTCTTCGTGAGATCAGTCAAGAGACCCAGCGCACTCTGCCCAGGCTCCAGCACCGTTTGATTGTATACAACCTCCTGGCTGAGACGGTTGACGGCGACCACTTTTCCTCCAACAAGCGCCAAGATATGCCATTGTGTCAAAGTCATTGCGGAAATCGGGTCTTGTATCAACTTCCGACCTCCCCGTGGTGATTCTGAAGCCGGGAACACCGACCGCGCAAGCATATGTGCATCCTTGAATGGGGTCTCTGATGCGAGCTGGCCATGGTAGATTCCTTCGGAGCTGAGCCACGCAAATTCCTTTTCAGTATACCCTTCAGCCTGATGGCTGTCTGACACCGCAGGTGAAATCACTAAAGAAGATGGAGCAGAGCCGGAGGCTTTCTGAGCTTCATGTGTCAACGGAGTCTCGCGCTGGAACAGCTCCGAGTACACAGACCCGCCGCTCTCTCTCCCATGCTTCGAGGCTCCTGCCCGGCCAGTGAAGTGTAACAATTTCCCATAGGTTGCCACAAGTACCCTTTTGTGATCGGGTTTTGAGAAGACCGGCTCCACCGAGATTCCCGTCACCGCGGAGGCGCCGGGTGCCTGGAAAACTGGAGTCGTGTACTTCTCCTCACGCCGGTAGTTGGATGGTTCGATATAAGTCTCGTACACATTGCCATCGGTGGCACCGAGGAGAATCTCACGAGTGGACGCAGTTGGTAGAGAGGGATTCCAGGCAATACTCTCAATTAATACACCTTTTAATCGTGACAGGGGTTTCGGCTGTCGCGACGGTGACTGGGCATGGAGATAGTAGTTCTCACCGAGAGTTGTGGTGATGATCAAATGGGACGCGGAAGGATCGAGGAACATGCGCCGGATGACTCCAACTTCGGAGGACTTCTTGGGAAGATCGATGTCTGTTGTTCACGAGCACATTAGCTCCGCTGTTGTAGCCAGCATTTGCTGCGGGGAAGGTTCGGAGGCCTACCTTCGACATCTTCAGGAGAGTCAAGGTCGATTCGGAGAATGCGGTTGGTTGACAGAGCTAGCACAAGTACATTGTTCGCGACCTGCGCTGCCACAAAGTCCGCAGCGATGTTGAAGGCTAGCTGCACCCGCTCAACGTCGAATATCGGAAGGGAGGAGCTCGGGGGCTCCATTAAGTTGCTGGGAGCAACGTAACTGCTGGATCCATCCAGCGCCATGATGCGCTAGCTGTAGCAGTGCTATGTCATGCCGATCGAGCAAGAGTGGAGGTAGTTCAAGGCTGCGCGTTGGTGCGAGACGGAGATTGACTTGGGGGTCCGAGGTATGCGGAGGCTAAGATGCATGGCCTCAGGCCAACATCACTTTACCTACTTGGATCTACAACAGCTAAATCTCCCCAACACGAATATAGAAATACAATTAATCATACACATGTAGGTAGGAATCTATCTGGTTAATCCCTAAGTACAAATCACAAAGTCACTTCGCACAATGCATCGTGGGGTATCATCATATGTGAAACATGCAATAGCTGGACTGGGTATCTAGAAGAAAGGAAATCATGTCATCCCCGACCTGGCTCACATCACCACACATTCGCGATCCGGTTTCCTGCTCTTTTCCTTGGACTTCTCCTTGGACTTCCCCTTGTTCCTGTCACTATCTTTGGTTCGTCCTCTTCCACGCTTCTCCTTCTCATAGGCACCTGGCCCGAGCTTCATCTCATCCATTGCCTCATCGATGTCCAAGGCGGACTCATCTCCTTCGCCTTCCTCACTGAATCCATCATTGGTGATTTTGTCTCGGCTAAGCCGCCCAGCAAAACGCGAGAAGGTGGCGCTGATTCTGTTTTCACCGGTTTGACTGCCGGCACGACTTCCAGGATTGCTCCTAGTTGCTCGGGATCCACGACGAGAGAAGGATCGCCAGTTGTTTGTGCCTTCTTCTTCCATTGGTGCCAATCTAGGCGATGAAGATGGTATAGAATGCGGCTGAAGACCGCTTGGGTTGCTGTTTTCTGAGAATGCCACACTGGATCGCCTTGGAGGATTGGCTAAGGTTGGCGCACCAGTTTCACGAGGTCCAGTGACTTCAACACTTGGTCTGTCAGAAGCCACGTCATCGGTTAAATCAAGTTGATCGCCCAGTGTACTGCCATCCGACGCCCGAGAGGATGGCGCATGCTGAAGATTAACCGCAGATGGATCCTCGGCAATCGGAAGAATTTGATAGAACAAAAGATAGGGAGATTCGGTCTTCAATGCTTGATCAATGTCAACCAGAGTTACCCGTTCTGCTGCAAGATCATCAAAGCGCATCCAATGTTTTGATGTCTCTGAAGCATCTGAGGAAGTGCCGTCAGGAGAGTCAACATCGGGACTAGTGCCCCGGACTATGGCGATGTAATGCCCGGAGTCAACTGAGTTTCCCCTATGGCAGACTAAAGCCTGCAGGGAAAGTTTGAAATTGCCATAGATGGGAGCATTTGCATCTAGATTGTCATCCTGGATAAAATGAGGCAGGCCAATCTCGGTGGGAATATCAATATGTGTGTTGAGCCTGACAGCCTTACCATTTGGTAAGACCGAATAGCGCTTGAGGCACATTCCAAGGATTGGCCGTTTGGAGGAAAAGTGTGCTGCAACTTGCGCATCATTTGTTGGCGTATTGTCAGTATACCATGCTGAGGACCAAGTTAGTTTAGGTTTCCATATGTAAGAGAGAATGAGGATCTTACGTATCAAGCTGAAAAACTGCCATGCAGGCATCATCACCTCTTTCTTGTAGACTCCCCTCCGTGGTGGCCCTTCTGGCGTGGTAGCTTTCCCGTCCTCGTTCTCGTTCTTAGTATCATCGGAATTGGTTTCTTCGCTCGAATCCGGAAAGAACCGTTCTTGAACGATACTAGCACGTCGACCAGGTGTCCGCGATGAGCCAAGGGCTTCAGTGAACTCAGTGAACGATAACCAGGGGCTGGGTCTTTCGGGTTGCGGAGTAAGTGATGGCTCAGGTGACAAGGTGGGCGTAGTCTCAATCTCGATTGCTTCAACATGTGTAGTGGAGCCCTTGGATATGGAGGCAGAATCCATTGATCGGGTTGAGGTAGCCGTGTTACGTCGCTGCATGTGTCGTTTCACTTCAATCCTGTTATTGAAATAGGCCTCCAGACAATCTTCCAACGTGAGAGATTGCTCCCCATCGATTGGCTCGGGTGGGATGGCAACTTCCAGAAGCCTTTCATTGATGAACTTGTGGTCATCGCTCTCGTCCTCTTTGCCGGTGTGAAAGATGTCCATTTTCAGAGTCAAGAGTGGCAGCTCAAGCTTCTCAGTGATGAAGGTAAATGCTTCTGATGTATCTTGTTGGCGGAGTTTGGCCGCATCTTCCCAACCACATTCTGCTAGAGCGTCCTGTAAATGTTTTGTCTACAAAATGATGTGAATATCAGGCCGAACGTAAAGAAAGACTGCAAAGAATAATGGCTTACCATATCTGTTGTAATGAGCTTTCCTGATCGCAGAAGGTTCACCCATAATCTCAGAAGAACTGCAAGCTTTCGACGGGGCTCATCACTAAATGATTTGTATAGGATGGCTTCGAAACAATCAAGACGTGCGAACATGGCGAACAGCAGGGAATCCAGGTAGCATGTAACCCCTGCACGATTCTCTGCTCCTAGAAGCTTGGTGTTGGGTGTGTAAGTCCTGATAATGCCTTCAATGGAGTCCTCCAGCAGAAGTAGCAGACTGAACGCCTTTTCTGTATCTCCGTGTGTAGATTGTAATGCATAGCTGATATGGCCCTCCTCTAATGCAGTAATACCGAGTTGTTTGATTCGTTGCACGAGGGCTTTGACCTGTTTAAAGGTTAGAAACATTAGATGTATGCAAGCCGACCGTATGTGACCAGGTCATACCTTCTTGTCATGTTCCTGGTTCTCTTCTGGCTTGGTTTCTGACTTGAAGAAGCTCTGGAATAACGGTCGGGAGAGAAGATGGGATGCCTACAAATCCCAAGTTGTTAGCCAACACATTATCGTATAGATTGAAGCACGAAGCTGATCTGCTTTGGGCGAGTACCTCTTCTTTGCTTTGCTTGTTCAACTTGTGGTTTCGGTCGCGACGCGTCAAGAATCGGTGGATTCCACTCATTATGGCTGTTGGTAGAACAGGCTCAAAATCGCAGGGTTTCTAGATCGAAGGGAAAAATGCCGAAATGAGAGGCGACATGCGGGGATCAAGACACCTGGAGACCAGCACAGAGCTTAGTCAAGGCTGCAGGATTTCTGGAAAGCGCAAGAACACATCATAAAACCAGATCTGCTGACAAGGAAGAGGCAAAGGGTCAATGGACACTAAGTGATCGAAGATGAAGCTCACATGGTGATCTGCGGGGCAGAGATCCAAGTGGTAAACTATATAAATTACGTACGGTTGAGAAACCGGAGTGTCGTATTTCCGAGAGTAGAATAACTTCGAAGCTGGTATATGTACTTCGACTTTGAAGCTAATACAGAACTATGATACTTGGAATATTCCTAGCTATCTCAGTTGAACCATGTCCTAATCAGTAGCTACACACTACTTTAGGCAGACACAATAAACTTTTGCTGCCGTATAACTCGGTTAGAGGTCGATATAGTCCGTACATCAATTCTAAGTAGCAGTGACTGAGGCTCCTCAGTACTGCATAGCTATTTAATAGCTGTTGCCTTACATATACGTCACGTATGTTCATTTAGCCCGTCTGAGTCACCCTGTCTGATGATATCAAGTTGTGACGCCTTGTAAATCAGGCGCCATAAGACAATACGGTCACGTGCCGAGATGCGCAAACAATTTTTGGCACGGTCCAGGATGGTCACCAATTTGACAACACCAATTAATCACAAAATGGCTGCCAGGGAACCATCTAGGTTCCTTTCAAGGGCATTGCCCAGGGCCTCAGTACCCTCAATCCGCCCGCAGGGCTTTTTATCACGCCGCAATGTCTCTGATGAAGCCCCGTCGCGGCGCCTGTCGGACCACCTGAGCGAGCTGGAATCGGCGTCGTCTCTGTCGACACCTGTGCCTGAGAGTGCAGCACAATCATTCGATCCCGTTGCACGAGCAAAGGCTCGCAAGACTCAGCTCCCCCGTGGCCGGTATGATATCCCAACCTTATCTCAAGCCATGCGCATCTGCAGACACGACAAACATATCGAATGCTGGGATAAACGAACGACAACTAACTTCAACCCCTTCAATTAGATACCAATTCCGCTCCCCCAAGTACGACCGTGGTCCCCTTCACCCTCACCAACCGCCTCCTGCATCCGATCCCTCCTCCCGTCTGTTTGTCCCAGGCCCATTCTCCGCCCCCCGAGCGGAGCAGACTTACGACGCAACCGTCGCCGCGGACATCATGAGTCTGTGCTACGTTCACACGCCGCCTGGCTTCACGCCTCCCCCGAAAGCACCCCGTCTCCGCGAATGGGACGACAGCTCCCCCTACCACAAGAACCGTGTGCTCCGCGGACCCCGTGGTGGCGATGTCCTGCGCCTCCTCCGTAAGCCGATCAAGTTCAACAACATCCCCGAAATCGAGCGCATCACAATCCACAGCTACGTCAACAAGGCCGCCACCGAGAACTCATCCTGGCTGCACGTGGCCGGTATCGCTGTCCAGGCTATCTCCAACGTCCGCGTTGAGACTTTCAAGTCCAAGACCAGCGTTGCTAACTGGGGTATTGTCCCCGGCCGTGACTCTGTTGCCGTCAAGGCTGAGCTGTACGGCGAGAACATGTACCACTTCTTGGGTAAGCTGGTTGATGTTGTCTTGCCCCGTATCAAGGACTGGGAAGGTGTCAAGGGTACCAGCGGTGACAGCAGTGGAAACATCACCTTCGGTATGGAACCGGAAAATGTTGCCCTGTTCCCCGAGATTGAGGTCAACTACGATATGTAAGTGTGGGCCACGTTGGATATTGGTTGGCCAGAGCTAATTTGCCTTGCAGGTACCCTCCTAAGATGATCCCCGGTTGCCACATCACTCTCCACACTAGTGCCAGAACCGACAAGGATGCCCGTCTCCTCCTGAGCGCCATGGGTATTCCCTTCTACGGAAAAATCGTAAACTAAAGTGGTTCTACATCTGGCGACATCTTGGCTTTTTATTATATCTCCACTTGGATGGTCTTTTGATATCCAGCTTGTAACTTTAGAAACGACCTGCATAATGGTCATTGTGATTATCCGGAATCGTGTACTATTTTCTTTCAATTTCATTCTACATTTACAGCGAGAATTATATCACACCAGAACAATTTCCAAAACAATCAAAAGGAAAGGAATAACACAAGTCCAGCTAAATCACATTACTACTGGATAAGAGCCTATAGCCGAGATAATAGTTTATACTGGAAAAAAAAGTTCACCATCATGCGTAGAATCATGTTACATACAGGTATCAATGAAACCCGAAAGCAAAAACGAAAAAAAGAAAGGCAAATCGCTAAATCATGGAATAGGCGCAGACAAGAACTCGCATTTGAGTAGCTCATCAGCGCTAGGCCGCTGCTCATAATCCAAATGGAAAGTCATGTCAAGGAACTCCACAGCCTCCTGACTGACATGATCCGGAGCAGGCGGACGAGCCTTGTTGCTACCGATAGCAAAGATAGCCTGCAGTTGACTGCAGTCTGGGAAGGGGTGAGCGCCAATGAACATCTCGACTACGAGACAGCCCAAACTCCAGATATCGGCTTTCTTGGTGTGGGCAGTCTGCCGCACGACTTCGGGTGCCATCCAGTATACACTTCCCTGTAGGGAAGTGCGGTGGATATGGCTGCCTGCGCCGCCGCCACTGGCGCGGGCACCGAGGAGGTGGGATGCTTCAACGCGCTTGGAGATACCAAAATCGGAAATTTTGACACCGCCCTTGTTGTCGACGAGGATGTTAGCCCCCTTGATGTCACGGTGGATGATGTCCCGGCTGTGGAGGTATGAGAGACCGGCCAAGATCTGACGGACGAAGTTCTTGACGAGGGGTTCTTGGAAGGTGTTATATTGCTTCAGCATGGTAGCAATAGAACCTCCAGGAACATACTCCAGGAAAATGTTCAGGTATTGATCATCGGCGACGGTACCGAGATATTGCACAATGTTCGGATGGGACATTCCTTGCAAGAGCTCGATTTCGTGCTTGAGGGCATTGACCATGAGGTTCTTCCGTTGATCGAATTCTGTGCCCTTAGTAGCAGATGGGATCTCGACCTGCTTGACGGCCATAAGTTCTCCGGTGATGGCATGTAGAGCCAAGAAGACGCTTCCGAAGGAACCTTCACCAATCAACGATCCCTTCATCCAGTTCTTGGGTGCGAAGTTATTTCCAGCCAAGAAGTCAGCGAGGCCATCATCCTCTTCTTCGCCATCCTCGGCTACCATGACACTCATCCGATCATTGAATGAACCGCCATCTGTAGCAGCGACGCTGACACTCTCATCAAAGAGGCTCTGGCGCGAGGTGTTGGGCGGCTCATCAGAGCCACTCTCGAATGAGACGTATGACTTGCGGTTCGGCTCAATGGGCGACTCTTCTTGGAGAGGCTGAAGAGAGCTAGATGCAATGGAGTCCCGATATGAGGTTTGTGGCAGGTTGAACTTGGAGACTGATATAGGCCGCGGAGCACGTACTGCCTGTGCTACCCCAGGGCCCTGAAGCCATGTATCCGCAATGCTGGGGATTGGTGGGATCGGAGGCAATGGTGGTAGAGGAGGAGCATCCTTCATACTTGAAGCAACACTGTAGTTGCTTACAACACTCATGCGACTTGCGGCACGGCTCAAACGTTGAGATCTGCGCATGGTCTTTTCGATGTTTTCTCGGTCATGACTGGGGAAGAATGACTGTAGCTCGTGAATAATCATCTCACTTGGAGGTCTCTGTCCGAAGAAAGAGCGAAGCTTAGCCACGGGGTTCCGTTCACCGTTAGGGCCCTGGTCTTCCAGACTAGAATTGGAAGGACGATGTCGGGGACCTAATGGAGAGAGTGGTTGCTTAATGTTATGCCAAGATTCGCCGGTAAGTTGCTGGATCTTGTGTTTCTGGCGCTGGTTGGAATTGCTGAGAGCGTTATGATGAGTGGCCTGACTTTCATCGTATGCCAGCTGAGAGGCACGTCGCAGCTCGTCCATATCTGGTTCGCCAGCATGAATCTTTCGTAGAATCAAGCGGCCTCGTTCGGACTTGTTGAAACCTTCACAAATCTCCATGAGCTCGGGTTCAGTGAGTTTCCTGCAATTAGACAGATCTGGATCTAATCCGTCTAGAACATAGAAACAATAGTTTCTGTACTGGTGCTCCGGAAGCTGCAGCTTCTTCAACACACAGAGGATGACTTCGTCGGGTGTTTTGCAATTGCGGATATCCAACACCTTGGTTTGTCCACCGGTATATATGACGCGGATGACAGGGGAGCTTGGCGGAAGAGGGCCCATGGTGAGACCGTCAAGACTGGGGTTCCGAGGATGGGAGCTTCTGCCTTCGTTCGGAGTGCCGGTGTTTCGGCCAGAGCTTGAGCCACCCGAAGATGGATGGTTCAGGTAGTCCTTGCGCCATGGACCCCTTTCAGAGTCACCGGCGGGTGGTGACGCAGGCTGAGACAGCGTTTTACTGTTCAGATAATCATCAGCCAGCTGAGATGTGCGTCGGTATGGTAAGCGGGAATGAGAATAGCGGGAGGAATTAGAGAGCGCGGTGGCTTCGAGGGCGGCTAGGGTATCCTGTTCTGATTGTTAGCAACAGCAAAAGACAGACCCAATATGCACTTGGAACCCACCATATTCTTCTGTCTTGACGAGGTGCCAGACTTGGTTCTGAGTTGCTTGATGGCGACAAAGATGCGCACTCGGTCGCCCACCTTCTTAATGCCCATTTCCTGCAGAATCTTTTGGTCGCATTCGAGCAGGTTGTCCCCGTTGAAATTGTTGGCTGGAAGCGATCAGTTCACCTGTAGCCTTCAGTGGACACAGTACAGCCAAACCCACCTTTGAATAACGACTCATATTGCCCACATTTGATGCTGTGAAGCCAGGCGACAACACGTTTCTCATCCCAGGTGCTTCAGATGGTCAGGATAACTGCGGTCATTGATCCACTATTGGGGCACTTACCGGACTGATGCCAGATCGTCCTGCCCCTCCGAAAGCTCCGATTTCGTCGGGCTGGCAAATCCCATTCCATCCTGAGCTCTTGTGGCTGTCGCGGGTCTCTGTAACGGGTTCGCATGATATGCAGTTGGGGTCTGGGACGAGGGAACACTCAAAGGTGCAGAATACTGCTTGGGAGCCAACATGTCTGAATGGGTTGTGCGAATGCCTTCGACCCCTCGTCGCTCGGTATTGATGTCAACCACAAGGAGCCCTTTGCTCGTTCCCTTTGCTCTCTCAAAAGCTCTTCGGGTCGACTTGAATGGTGGTGGTGGGGAGGTCCGATCAAAAATGCGACGTCGGTCAACACATAATCCCGGTTCCCTGGTGTTCAGTCAGCGGCATGTTCCGAGTTTGACCCCAAGAGGGGTGCTGGAGAAGAGAATAGGCACGAGACAAGTAGAAAAGGCGACACTAACCAGGATACCAACAAAAGGATGCTCTCAGCCGAACAGGCGAGATCGGAACGAGGGACCTCACTGCAGCTTACCGTCTGAGCTTTTTTGGGGCGAGATCGGGTCTAGTGCTTGGATCGGCTATCGAGACACCCCCACTCAGCAGTAGAATAAGGTAGAAAGGCAAAAATATGAAGCAGATCTAGGAAGCAGAACTGAAGAACTGGATAATTGGACTGCACTGTGAGTTTTGTAACATGAAGCGTGGAACAGAGTGACTAAGGGCCTCATGTATCAAGGGGGAAAGCCTAACCCGCCCCCACGCGTTTATGTGTCTCATCTGTTTTACCACGAAAATACTTCTATATCCACCTGGACTGAAAGGATATGGCTGGGCTTATCGCTTACTATTGGAGAGTGCCTAGGGTAGAGAGTTGGTTCCCAAGCCCCACGCATGAAACAGCGGCTCTACGGAATGAATCTGAAGTAGGCTTGGTGTCTCACACAGCTCCAGTTATTCTATACATCCGGTGGCTAGTGGGATTCTATTGAACTCAATTGAAGTGTCCGGGCCGATCTGGGAATATTTGAAGTATCCAAAAATACTCCATAGGATAGGTAGTATGTGTATATTTTGTTCTTGACACAAACACAAGAAGACAAGTTCGCTTAAAAACCCCCAAACAGACGGAAGATAACATCTGCTGTTTATAATTGCCCGATGCTTGAACCTGAGACGTAGCGGGTATGACATGTATAAAAGTGGCTATGTAGATACGGAAGCCCTAAGCCTTTGTGCCTTGGTGATTCCGACCGCCTCTATATAGCCACTTTCTCAACCAAGCACAGCCTAAGATAGTCTAAGATAGCCTAGGACAGCCGAGCATATTCCACACTGTATCTAGTCTGATGCTGACCATCTGGATGGAGTGATTTCCACTCTCCGCACCAGTGGAGACCCGAGCGCATGCACGTCGGGCCAGAACAGCGGCATATATGCACCCGGCCTATCTCTAACACACACCAGACATGGGGATCAGACATATCCTCTTCTATAGAGGCCACCACCTCTAGATGTGTTGGCAGAGACAAAGATATACAAATTGGCACGTGACTGTCCCCTCACCCCACAGTCAATTTCCCCGCTCAGACCTCAAATTCTTCCCCTCTCTTTACCTCCAATCCCCCAATCCCCAAAGATGGAGGACGAGAAATCCAAGAAAAAGAAGGCGGCTCACCGAAAGTCCTTGTCGTGTGAATATTGCAGTCGGTCCTTTGCTCGCTTGGAGCATCTCCAACGCCATCTCCGCACCCGTTGAGTAACCCCCTCTTCCGGTTCCTTCGACTTTTCTAATGTAGGACAGATACAAAGGAGAAACCCTTCTCATGTGACATTTGCTCCAAGTCTTTTGCTCGAAGGTAAGTTTTGGATTGCGCTTCATGCCCCTGTCATTCGCTTATAGTATTTGGCAGTGATCTTCTAGTGCGACATGAGCGATTAGTGCACCCTGCCGAGTCTGCTGCCAGTCGAGAGCATCGAACGAATGGTACCGAATCCAACCATGAAATACCAATTCAAAATAACATCATCCAGCCCGCCCACCATGAGTCGCGCATGCTAGAACTTGCAGACGCCATTCCAGTACACACTCAAATACCTCCGCCTCCTCCACCCGAAGTCCAGGTCCAGCCTCCTCCAATTATAGATACACCTCACTTCAATCCCTCGTGGGGGTATGATCTGAACCTCTTGTCCCATGCAGCAAGTCACGTTGCCTTAGAAGGCCAACAGGAGAGCTTGGAGTCTATCAGAAAATCTTCACAATCCGTCCCAACCTCACAACCACTTCCCCAAGTGCAGGAGAGAGCAATTACCGATAATTATGGCGTAGAGCCCTCTATCCTCGATCTTACCGATCTTGGGGACCCTGTTCAGGATTTCACGGTTTTCCTGGAAAGTGTGGGTCTGTCGTCCGATTGGGACTCGGGCGTGTTCTCATCGGTTGAGGAACCTATGATGCCGCCAAGTATGACAATTGATTCCAAACCGCCGCGTGAGACCATGTCCTCGCGACTAAGTGAACATATTATGAACGATCCACGGGTCCCCGCGGATGATCAGCCGTCATTCTCAAATTTCGGATCCCGGCTGCCCTCATTGCAACCGGAATCGCACGAAATGGATGACCGTATCGGTCTTGCTGATGAAAGCACTCGACCTGCATGGGATATTTCCAACTCGGACCGTCAGGCATTCATTTCGAAGCTCGAGGAGTTTTCATATGTCCTTCCCAAAGGATTTGTTCCGCCATCACGCCACGCCCTATCCAGGTTCTTTGCTGGATATATTAATGGACTGAACGAGCATCTTCCATTCTTGCATGTCCCGACGCTGTCCGTTGCCAAATCCTCTCCTGAACTTACGCTGGCGCTAGCAGCTGCCGGTTCCCACTACCGATTCGAAAACAGTCGAGGCATTGATTTGTTCCATGCAGCAAAGGCAATTCTATTAGAACGGCTTCGTCGACGGGACAGCAAGCAAGTACCCCAACCGACATGGAACTATATTTCACCGCCCTCTGGTTTTCCCACCTCCCGCGGATCGTCAATGATCTCTAACACGGCGAGCAGCCCGTTTCAACATCATCAGCAAATGTCAAACGCCCCAATCAATGCGTCGATCTACACATTGGATGACTCGGATGCTCACATGGAGGTAATTCGAACATTTTTACTTCTTACTGTATTCGCTTCATGGGAACGACACCCAGAACTCTTGCGGGAGATTCTCTCACTTCAGAGCACTTTGGCCAGACTTGTTCGCGAACATGGCTTGTCCGAGCCACCTCCTACCCCAGATCCTATCAGCTGGGAAGAGTGGGTCCGAAGAGAAGGCAACAGACGCACGAAGCTCATCGTGTACTGTTTCTTCAATCTTCACTCGATTATGTACAACATTCCTCCTCTGATTCTAAATGGGGAGTTGAAGCTGAACATGCCCTGCTCCCATGATCTCTGGAAAGCAACCAATGCTCCTCAATGGCGTCGTGTTCATCGCACCAGACAAGGCTCGGATGTCCCCTTCCAGGAGGCTTTTGCCAGACTCTTCCTCAAATCATCTCATTCACTCCCGTCGGCACCCATATCACCTCTCGGGAATTACATCCTGATCCATGCCATCATACAACAAATCTTCTTTGCTCGACAGCTCTGCCTCTCAGCGCCCCACATGCAAGGTACCAGTCTAAGGCAAGACGATTTGAATGTGCTGGATAACTCATTGAGCGCATGGAAGGCTCTATGGAAGCGCACACCCGAATCCAGCATTGATCCCCAGAATCCCGCTGGTCCAATCGCATTCACTTCCACCGCCCTGCTTGGACTCGCCTATATCCGTCTCCACGTTGACCTGGGTCCCTGTCGCCACCTCATCACTCAAGATCCAGCCCAAATTGCACAAGCTCTCATCGAGTCACCTGCAATCGCACGTAGCCCACGGCTAATCATGGCGCTGCTCCACTCAGCTCACGCTCTTTCAATCCCAGTCCGTCTAGGCATTGACTTCGTGGCCAGAACCCATTCATTCTTCTGGAGTATCCAGCACTCCCTCTGCAGTTTGGAATGTGCATTCCTACTCAGTCGCTGGCTACTTTCCATCCCGGCTTCACAACCGGAACAGAGGCTGTCGGAGCATGAGCGCAAATTGCTCCTGTGGATCAAGAGCATGATGGATGAAACCGAAATGGCTGTTGATCCGCCAGGCGCACCGGATATTGAGTTTATGACTAACCCATACAAGGTGCGCCAGCTTAGTGTTGCGATTGTCCGTGTTTGGGCGCGGACTTTTAAGGGTAACACTAGTTGGGCAATTGTTGATTTGGTCGGGTCGAGCTTGGATGCTTATGCTGATCTGTTGGAATGCTGATTCCAGCTTTCTGGAGACATTTGAATATTTGTTTCAGATTGGGTATTGTGCTTAATCCACCCACTTTTGGGGGCAGAGATGGTGTTACATCTTTGCCAAAAGCTTTAAATGGCGTCTTTGGAATGGCCATTTTTAATGATGCTATTGATATTATGTCTTTTCTTGATTGATGTTTTTGGGCGTTTACACATGGGAGCCGGGACATGAGGATATCTTCCAAGGTTCTGGGGTTCTTTGTTTCATTTATTGATCTGTATGTATTATGGATGACTTCGTCACTTGCTTAGTGCTGTCTATACCCTGTTGGTGTTGAGGATAATGCCATATTTTGTTCATTTGGAACTTTACCTTTAGTTTGCATAATGCTGAGACTTCAAAAGTATTCAGACTCTCGAAGAGAGATATAGAAAGATGATATCTTACTACGGCTTTTGCTTTTGAGTATGTTTTGACCACTAGGTTCATCTTGGAAGATATATTTTTGATGCCTCTCTGAAAAATGGTTTTACCATACACGGTAAATGTTGGATCGAATTAAACCATGATATGAACAGCAAGCTAACAGTGTCTAATCCCAACCCAATCAATCCAAACGCACATTCGTGAAAAATCATAATGTCGTAACGAAGACTACTTTCCAGACGTCTTGCTTCGGTTCCTCGCCACGCTTGCAGGCACGAACCGTAGAGCCGACATGGACTTCTCCAGTTCCTCAATTTCCATATCAGCTGACGGCTTCGTTTCAGGGACTGCAGCTGCCGGTGGATTCGACTGCGAAGCAGAGCTCCGACGCCGCAATCTACCCTCCAGAGCCGACGACGTTGAGATGCGTCGTCTGTGGCTGTTCATCGGCCGCAACATGGAGGTATGTCTATCAATACCGTCATTGACAATGAAGAAATTATAGGACTGCAGACTATGTGTTAGTGAATAGAACTGAACCGAGAGATTGGAAGCATACCCGAGGAAACATGTGCTTGTCGATTAAATGCATCCGCCTTTTCTGGGGGGTTGAGCATTTCCGTTCACAATTCTCGACGAAGCAACCAAACTATTCAGTCTGTAAGCATTCAAATTGACTAAATGGTGGTGGCTGATATGAAGCCTGTACTTACCGTCTTATCTCCACGGGCTCGCATCGCAGCAGCCAGCGGGTCATGGTTCTCCTCGATGTGTAGATTGAGCAAATGACCAGTGGGAAAGTTCTTGCTGCACTCAGAGCATCGGTTCACATGAGCTTGCAGATAATGGACCTCGTAGTCCTCGTAGGATGCAAACGAGAGCGTCTCGCGGTGAGGCGGTAAGGAGCAATGCATCACTTCTGGGAGGATATTCGGGCCACAATCAAGCAACTTGTTGCGTTCTGGAGGCGGAGTCGCTAGATTCACAGTAGTTGAAGATACTGAGCCTGTCCCATCGAGAGAAGGGGATCTCGAGTGGCTTCTGGAGCGTTTAGCCATGGTTTTCTAAGTCGCCTTGCATATGCTCGGTTGATAGGTCGACTTGGCGAGGGGTTGGTGGAGCACAGCTTTCAAGGCCAAATCCAGTCATTGGACTGGGAATAATCTGATCATTCGCATCTCAATATAGCTTCAATGGTCTCTCTGAAGTGAGGACAAGAGGGAAATCACCGTATGGGCAATATCACTTCCCGCCTTGGCGCCACCAATCAGCGGGCCAGAGCATCGGACCCGCGCATTTATGCAATTTCATACTCTCAGCCTTTGCCCAACGCGCGCCTTTTTCTTCTTTTCATACTGATGGCTTGCTCACTGCTTACTTTCCAAGTCATAATCTGACCGGCGAGGTCGACGCTCGGGATCCCCGGGCCAACTCCCTGATGGCGCCCTCGTTCACGGATGCCTGGAAGTCAGTGCTCATTCCCCTCCTCGAAACCCAGATCTAACCGAGAGACAGAACTGCGATAGAAGCTGAGAAGGAGCTCCTACAATGTTTCTCGCAGGAACGGCGCACGTTCGATGAATTTGAACACTTCCTATCCGAGTCCGTAACGCCGAATGCAAGCCCCGCGCGCACGCCGCTTATTCTGACCTCTTTTTTACTTAGGTTCCGGATTTCCTGCCAAAATGCAATCCTCCTTGATTTCGATGCCGCCCGCGAAGCTGATGTAGAGAGTCGTCTATGGGATGCGCACCTGAAAGTGAACAACCGGTTTCGCAAGCAGCTTCTTCGCGTGGGTACCTCATGGACACTTCTCGCTAGGCCAGATTTACTGAAATTTGTGACTCAATTAGTTCCGCGAAGAACACGGCAAAAAGAAACCAGTGGAAAGACGGAAACTTGAACGACACTACCTTGATTTTATCAAGTCGAGCCAGCGGTTCTACCGCGGATATATCCAACATTTGTCGTCACGCTTTGGAGGGATCGTGGAGCTGGAGAGAGTTGCGCGCAAGTTCAATTTCGAGAGTAAGACAGACATAATGCTGTGCGCCGGAGTCATAGGTATTAACCAAAGGCTGTTTATAGATTTGTCAAGCCAATCTCCTATCAAGCCCTCCAACGACCTGCGCAAGCGCATCCTCCAGTCATGCCACGCGACGCTTATAAGACTCGGAGACCTTTCCCGTTATCGCGAATCGGAACTCGTCAGCAAGGATCGCAATTGGGGCCCTGCCATCGGTTATTACGATCTGGCATCGGTGATCAACCCTGCATCGGGAGCATCCCAGAACCAATTGGCGATTATTGCACTCGCAGACGGAAACCATCTTCGCGCTACATATCATCTCTACAGAGCCCTTTCAGCTCAAGAGCCGCACCCTACCGCAAAGGGTAATTTGGAGATCGAGCTCCGAAAAATCATGAGCGCATGGGCGAAAAGGGAGCTAATCCGTCCTGAAGATGCCGGTATTCCCGGTAGAGCTTTGACGCCGTGGTTTTTATACCTTCATGCCAAATGTTACAAAGGAATTGATTTCGCGGAGCATGATGAACTGGAGAGTGAAGTCCTCAGCCAACTTGCAGTTGAAATTAGAGAACGGTCACTTGAAGGTACTCTTCAGAAGTTCTGTCTCATCAACATTGCCGCCGAAGATTTTGCCAGGGCCCGGTCGTTTGGTAAGTTATAGGAGACGTTGTTGTTGCTTATGCATGCGCTTACCCATACCCTAGAGGAATCCGTCTCGGATGCCCGCGTCTTTTTTCAACGAATCAATGTAAAGACTTTCTTCACCTTGCTGCAAATTCTCTTGGTGGAATTGGAACGGACTGCTTCATTTGAGGATTCGAACGGCAAAGACGCATTGCCTAGCCCAGACAAGGTGACAGTGGTTGCTCGCCGGATCTTGCCAGCACTTCGGCATTACAGCTCCTGGCTACTCACAAACAGCCAGTCTCTAGCTGAACAAAAGGAAGAAAAGGACTCCGCGCTGTCGATTCAGATCAAAGAGTTCTGGAAAATTTACGCTGGCACACTGAGTTTACTTGCATCCTCATTCGACGTTGTGCGCCTTCCCGAAATTGACTATCTTTTGGAAGAGGACGAAGAGAGCCTTGGATTTGCACCTCTGGATCAAGATGCCACCTCTCGCCGTTATATAGGAGGCGGTGATCTGGCCAAGCCCCGGATGCACGACCTTGGGGTGGAAAGGAGCCACCCTAATATGGAAATGCTCTACCGGATCCGTGAGTTTGTCATTGATGGGCTTGATCTGGTTGTGAGCAATAGAATCCCGGTGGCTCTTGTGGATAACGAAGACAAGAAAACATTCATCTACCAGGAAGAGGATCTGCCATCACAATTCTACTCTAGCCCCCATGGTCGGCAGCATGCGGTCTCATCCGCGAGCATCGAGCGTGAGGATATTCCCCAGGCAACCCAGGATTCTCACTCTGCCGCAGAGGCTCAAAGCTTGTTCGGTGGTTCCCAGTCTGCATCGGCATCCATGTCCGCCAATATGAACCGGATTGTTGAAGGCGTTGAGCGACTTGTCGACTCAGACACCTATGAGAATGCTCCCAATGTCCCTGACCAATTTGCTTTCCTGAGCCCGGTTGGAGAGATGTCCACGCCCACACATGTGTCCCCGAATGCCAGTTCTTATCCATTCGGCGAAGAGAACTCACCATCACTCGGCACCCCTATCGCTCCTCCGCCTGGGCTTAGACCACCAGTTGTCAACTCGGCTGATTCTCTTCGAGTATCGTCTGCTCAGTCATATACTCCCAGACCTGCCATTCCCAGTCTCCCCAGTATTTGGACTCCGCTGAGAGAACCCGCCCCTCCACGTACTCCTCCTGGCCTTGGCCCGCAAGTCGGTCAACAAGCTCCCCTGCACCCAATGGCCTCCACAAACGCCATAAGCTCCGAGAGATCCTTATCAAATGAACAGCTCGCACATGAACTCATGCTGCGACGCAATTTCGCACAGACTCAGTACTCAAACTCGCTGGATGTAGGATCAATGCCCACTCCGTGGATGTCACCCAGCATGTCCAACACGCAGCCACGGTCCACAGCAAACGGTTGGGACCGGGATCCTCATGGCAGAACGACCTTTGGCGCATTCGAAATTCCAAGCCAAACACAGCCGAGTAGCCTGGGACATCCCTCATGGGCCAACGAAGCATTCATTGCCAGCAGCCTCGCCCAAGCGACCCCCTACAGCTCCGGAATCGGAGGACGTAAATCCGCAACCCAGCTCGGAGCAATCGGTCAAACCCCACCCTGTGGCCAAGGAGGCTGATCATATTACTCCAGCTCTCGTAACTTTGAGTTCTTAAATATGCAAATGCATGCAGCACTACCAGCCGGGCAAGCCTTCTGACCAAAGTGTGCAACTGGACCTACAGCTTTCCTGGCGTGTGTACTCTGTTTGAGCATGGGCATGGGACGTCTGTACTGTGCGATACGAACTCTTCCACGGATTCGTTGGATCTACACGCAGCGCCTAAGCCCACTGCCTACATCCTTGCGACGAACAGACGTGATTGTACTACAGCTAGCCAGATCACAAGTGGCAGAATCCGCGCTATTCCCCCCTAGTGCCGGAATTTCAACCCCAGTGACCGACGGTGGGATATCCCCGATTATGAAACTTCCCAGGATCCCCCGTTTTCACTTGCATTTCTTTGTCTGGACGAATATGCGCGTTCAACACGTGGCTTGATGAGGAGATGAATACTGGCATTTTGCCTTTGGGGACGTTTGTTTCGTTCTGTTTTCTACGTCTTTTTTTTCTTTTTCATGCGACATGACTTGATCTTTCCGTCTTGTTAGCCTTGTTTTTTTCTTTCGCGGTAGAGGAATTATATGGCACGAGAGTACTGGTCTGGTCCCTGAGACCTCCTTAATGGTGCAGTCGTGCTGTTTAGGAATTCGAATATCAAACTTGCATTCCACGTGCTCCTTTTTACAGTCAAGCTATGTAAAGTATAGACGCTCTGAGTAGCTAGAGAACCATGAGCCCGGACGTGTTTATTGTAGGATTGCTGTTGAGTACAGACACTAAGTGCTTGTATCAAGTATAGTCACCACAAAATGGAGACAAGGTTCTCAAAGAGAAATGTATGGGTTTCATTCGATTGTTAGACGTTACGTTGAAGTCATCAAGTTTAAAGAAAAGAAAAGAAAAGTTGGGTATATGGGTTGAATCATCCAAAATCGAGCGGCATTTATCCGGTTGTTAGAACTGGATTATTGCACCAAATCTCCCAATAAGTTGGAAGATGTGTTGAAAAGGTTGTAATCTATGCTTTTGGTGTCTACATTTCGACCATTTAGGAGCGAGAGTAGGTCTGCTTGGGGAAGGGGAAGCTGGGAATATGTTAGTCATTGGCCTCTTATCAAGTACAACCGGGCTATAATAAATGTAGAAGGGAAACTCACGAAGGTCCAAGCTCCTGGATGCTCTTGCTAGCGAGCCACTGGCCCATGTCAACGGAGTCGTCGAGGCTCTTGCCTCCGACGATACCAGCGCAGAAACCACCTGCGAAGGCATCACTGCACGAGAGGTTAGCAAAACTGAGCATAGATATGCTTCAATCATGATCACTTACCCAGCACCGTTGGTGTCGTTGATAGCGTCCTTGGAGATCTCGTGCACCTTGAACTCCTTGACCTCAATGAGACCGGCAGGAGAGCCAATGGCAACGATGGTGGGCTCAGTGCCCTGGGTGACAATGGCAACGCGGGGACGTTGGGTGTTCTGCTTGGGGAGCTGAGCGAGCTTCTTGGCGATCTCAACAATATCCTCGGTGCCCCACTGGTGGCTCTCGGAGTAGGCGAGAGCCTCAGTCTCGTTACAGAAGGTGTAGTCAGTGTAGGGCAGGACGCTGTCGAGCTGCTCCTTGAAGAACTGGGGGATGAAGGGGGCGGAGAGAGACAGCATGAAAGGCTAATAGATCAACGACGTTAGAAAAGGTTTCAATGCACCCGAATGCAGTTTACACACCTTGTTCTTAGCAGCGGCTTCCTCACCAAGAGCGATGATGGCGGGCACACAGACAGTCAGGTGGTAGCCACCGACATAGTAGAACTTGGCCTTCTCAACCAGAGACCAGATCTCGGGCTGCTTCAGGTGCTCGATCTTATACTCGTTGGCAGCAGCGAGGTGGGTGCACATACTGCGGTTGTGGCCAGTGATGACAACACCGCACTTGCCGGTGGGCTGAGACTCATCAACACGGTACTCAGTGTGGACACCAGCCTCCTCGCAGGTCTTCTTGAGGATGTCACCGAACTTGTCCTTGCCGATGCAGCCGATGTAGACAACGGACTGCTCAGGGAGCATGTACTAGAAACATGTCAATTCAACATTGAGGTATTTATGGCGGTATAATGGCATACCTGGGCACCACGAGCGGTGTTCTGGGCGGCACCACCGGGGATCAGCTTGGCGTCCCGGGCGAGCAGGTCCTCGTAGATACCCATGTGCTGTTCCTCAGCGAGAATGGCATCGTTCTCCTTCAGGCCATACTTCTCGAGGAGAGCAGCATCACTAATTATGATATTAGCATGAAATTATCTCGATTTACTCCTGACTTATCCATACCCACGAGCCTGAATGTCTACAACAAGAGGTCAGCATTATCGTCTAAACTTCCGACTGAGAAAGCACATACCGAGGAGAGGGTTCTCCAGACAGAGGAGAGGGTAACCTTGAGCAGCAGCCATTGTGAATAATAGTAGAGAAAGATGGATGAATTGAAGATGAAAAGGTGGGAGGTGGGAGAGGATATGGAGGGGTTGGCAGAAAAGAGCGGACTGGACTGCAAGGTATCCTAAGATCCACCTACGGCTTCACGTTCCCTGTGAATTGCACCCTGTATAACTCAACTTACAATGGCCGGCAACGCTATGGAGATCCCGGAGATTATCCAATCTGCGAGCATCAATTCGAATCCCGATCCTGCTCATGACATCAACCCAGCCACCGCAGCTTCAGAGAAGCAACCCGTCGATGTTGGCCCAGACTCCGATGTTGACAGTATTGCTTCCGATATCGTTGATCCAAGCCGAGTGATTCGACCACTCCGTCGTCGTCACACTCTTCCTCCTCTCCCGGACCTGCGTTTCGAGCAAAGCTACCTGGCTAGCTTGAAGGATGCCGACACCTGGGGCCGGGTGGCATGGATTACCACCAGGGATCAAGTAAGCTTCACTACCATTAGAGTGATCTCTCACAGTTGTGCGGGATAAAACCTGGTGATAAATAGCTAATACATCGATCTCACTATTCAGGTCCTCCTCCCTCTAATCCAAGGAACCGTCTGGACTCTCGCCCTTTCAGGCTGGCGCTTCTGGAACCGCAATGCCTCAGTCAGCGGCCACACCCTCGGCAGCCGGATTCGCAGATGGTGGTACGAAGTGAACAACTGGCGTCTACCGCAAATGGGCTCGAGTAGAGACCCACGACTGGTGTCGGATGTTGAAGATGTGAGCAAGGCGTCCCTATTCCCCCAATATTCCCATCTGATATCGGACAGAGCTGGAGAAACTGACGGACGAGGAGTTTTTGCAGTTCTACACGGCTCAGTTCTCTAACGCGGGTTCTGACTGAGGTTGAGGTTGCTGGGTGCGATTTATTGTTTTGATTCAGGGGTCCGGTGACTGGCTCTTCGTATATTGGATTGCTTGCATTTATGGCGTTAAACCTTGGAGGCGTTCTTTTCTCTCGATTCCCATTTGCATTCCGATATCCCTGCTCCGGCTTTTTTATTCTTTTCTATTTCTTGCCACTGAGCTCGCGCTAGAAAGATCTAGTGATCTATTACAGCCCGCCATAAACAGATACGACGCTTGTGTATATACGGGAACCTACGGCGCATGTGGTTTCCCGTTGTTTGATGTAGTCAAATATTAAACCACTGTCGAGATTGCTGGCGTTCCTAGCCCTTCACTCCAATCCCGTTCTAGCTTTTTTAAACTGCGCGCATAGTCTTAATGCATTGATTGTTTCATAGAACAGTACTCTGGCTCTCAGCTACATTTCTATTTAGCAACAGATAGTAGATATACATTACGGAGCTGGAGTCTAGTCTACACATGCGTCTGGAATAGGACAGAGACACATGCAAGTGCAGAGCACATCATTCAAGGCCGACTAGCGCCGTTAGACTCCGTGTGCTGGTTTGCCTTCGGTGCCTCGGGGTGAGCAGCTAGTGGTGAAGCTGGGAACGGAGAGGCAGTGGCTATCGGTTCATGTAGCGTGGCTTCTTGAGGCTTGGAGATAGGCAGCGGAGCGCTGACCGGCGCGGGTTGTGTTGGCACTTGGGGTACCGGAACAGAAGGAAGGGAGGATGCAGCCTCCGGTGCGCGGTTCTCACTTAAAAGTGGTGGATGGGGCATTGTCGACGCTTGAGTGGATGGAGCTGCTGCTGTATCTGTGGCATCCTTCATTTGGACATCTTTTGCAGGGGGCGGTTCGTCGTTCTGTATCTCGATATTGCCGTTGCTGGGTGCGTCCCCTCTGCCATACCGAAGTTGTACAACCAGGCTTTCTGGCTCTTCGCTGACATCAGAGTCCTCCTCGCTTGCTTCTTCCTCTTCGTCTTCGTTGTCACCTTCGAAATCATGCTCCTCGTCATCTTCAGGCCCTCGCCATTCGTTGCCACTTTCGTTTGCGCTTGAATGAATCGACGCATCTTCTAGATCTTCGGCGTCATATCCGGAATATCCGTTAGGATTCCTGGAGGTACGAGTCCTTTGCGGTCTGCTGATTTCTTCTTCCTCATCGTCTTCCTCTTCATTGGCACCGTCGTTTTGTCCGGCCAGCAGAGTCTCCCCGTAGAGACCTCCTGCACGAGACCGAATCTGTCGCCCACTTGCCGTAAATCGAGGCCGAGATGACTCCGTGGAAGCTGCAGTAGTGCCCGCACCACGAGTTGAGCGACGGACTGAAGTTTCATCTTCAGAGAACATGTCTTCGTCGTCGTATGTATATTTCAGCTTCTTTCCACGCGTACGACCTTCATACATGGAGAAGCCAGGATCTGGGCGAGTAAACGCAGCTTTTCTTGCCAGACGATAGTCGCGGCGTTTCCGTTTCTAGTAACTCAGTAAGCTGAATCCAACCGAATCTCTAGAAAGCAATTTACCTCTTCAGATGCCTCAAATCGAGGAATGGATGCGCGAATTTTCTCGCTGAGTTTCTTCGAATTGGTGCCTTTCTCTCCCTCGAGTTTCGCAGCGACAGCCTCCAGCTCAGGAATATCTCCCGCAATACTCCACCAAGTATTGTGCTTGAGAACCGGGTTACTCTCACGATAAAGCCGGAAGTGTGTGTCCTCTTGCCCTTCAATAAGCCAATAGCGACGTTTCAAGCTATCTCGGCCCCAGGACTGAACAGACAGCGGCTGGTTAAGGTCATCATCATGGCGCGATTGCTTGTATGATTCTTTAATCTTTGCCTGGACCGCTTCAGACGATGAAAGTGACCAAAGTATCAAGGCTTTCAATAATTGGATCTAAAATCAAACATATCAGAATTGGCAACTGAGAACTGTGGTGGATCTTGGAACGTACGCGTTCCTCGGGGGTCATGGTCGCAAAGCTGCGCCCCCCATGAAGGGGGTTCTTGCCTCCCCATGCCTTGGGCCACTGCGACTGGTGTGTATGAATTGCTTCTTCAAGAGGTCGTGTAAAATGCGCACGTCTATTTATTTCAGATATTGTATTAGTACTGGGTTGGGCATTGGTGGTGGTAAAAGCGCGTCTGCGTGCACTCCGCATGTATCGGGAATCGGGTGGCGACCATACTCAACATCCTTCTTGCGGTTCAGAACCAGTCCAAGCAACGCGCAAAGAAGTCTCTCGATATATTCTCCAGGGGGAGACTCTTGGACTCCAGTCTCAATGTCCTGTGGACCGTAGTGTGGCAACCCCCGGGGGAACACTTCATGGAAACGCGCGCGGAACGTGACGATGAACTAAGATGCAACAACTCAGTAAGCGTGTCCCATAATGGACCGAACGCGTCATAGACAGGTTGCGGATCAAGTAATGAGCATTTTGCGTCTCTAAGAGGTATACTCACTGCGATATCGGGGTTGTCGGCCAAAACGTATTCATGCGGTGGTGATGGCTCCCGTTTCGGCGGAGGTGTTTCTGACTCCTTCTTGAAGTACTTTGCGATACCAACTGGCTCGTCGATAGCCATGGCAGCTTCGTCGTCTGTCGGTGGCGCAGACGATAATGAGGAGACTTCTGAATCTGAGGGGGGCATGGTGGAGGTAATCGGGGACGATGGTGAAGGAGAGGAAGTGAGTTTCGCGCATGCGAGCGTCACGTCTGCACCGATCTTGCCCCCGAAGGGCGATTATTTAATACATTCTTAGCGCGACTGCTTCTTTTCTATGCGAATTTTTTACTGAGGCCTGCTATAGGTTTCTATAAATGTCATGATTTACAACAATGGGAAATTTAGGTAGCAACGGCGTCATTCACGTAGGTTTGCATAGAATTGAACTTAAGGAGGGTAAAAAGGGTATAGAGCTCTGTATCGATATGCTCTCAATGTAGTGAATACGGCAGAGAAAGCTCCGGCAACCAGTAGTGATTACTCCATAGCTGGCATGGTTTAAATATCAGTGTCCGTGTCATCATCAGTACACCGAGATTGACCTCTCGATATGGAGTATACAGCTATGAGAAGCGAGTATTCATAGCAATTGCATCATATCAAGTTATCATTTCCAAGTTCAAACAGGAGATTAGAGACAGTGAGAACTTCTCCCCACAGGCATTTGATAGGCTTTGGCCAGGAGTCCGTCGATGATGACAATGGGTCTTGGCGGTCACGTGCATGTTTATGTAATTGCCCTCCCCAAATCTACAGGGCTTGCTGAAAATGTTCGATTCACACACGACAAAACAGTAGAAATTACTATTACAAATTTATCACATGTTGAACTAGTTCAATCCACCATTTCAGTAGTAGTTATCTACTCCCACGAGGTAAAGCAGAAGATACAGACTTTGCGTAGTTCCATAAGTCGAGTAAGCGACTCCGCACTAACCCCAATCGGGCTAGATTAGCGACCGCACCCTAAAGCCCACACAAGTCCCCGTGTCCGATGATTTCTCAACTTCTCAACGACAAGCCTATCTTCAATTCGAGGTACGACCGATTTTCCCCTCCCACACGACACTCCTGTCCTTCAATATTAACACAGGATTTATTAGACAGTCGCCATGGGTCGTGTCATCCGCAACCAGAGGAAGGGCCGTGGCTCCATTTTCAGTGAGTGCGACCGAAAACCATCCCAGCACGAAATTTTGAGGCTGCGCACTCGAGCAGCGAGGAGGAGGAACAAACTGGGCTCCCTGGATTACCTGGAAACCACACACAGATTGCGAAGGAGAATGCAGTGCTGATATCGAATTTTTCTTTTTTACAGCGGCCAACACCCGTCTCAACAAGGCCCCTGCCCAGTTCCGTACCCTCGACTACGCTGAGGCTCACGGATACACCCGTGGTGTTGTCAAGGAGATCATCCACGATGCCGGCCGTGGTGCTCCCCTCGCCAAGGTCCAGTTCCGCCACCCCTACAAGTTCAAGATGATCACCGAGACCTTCATCGCCAACGAGGGCATGTACACCGGCCAGTTTATCTACGCTGGTAAGAACGCTGCCCTCACCGTCGGCAACGTTCTCCCTCTCGCCTCCATGCCCGAGGGTACCGTCATCACCAACGTCGAGGAGAAGTCCGGTGACCGTGGTGCGCTTGGCCGTACCTCCGGTAACTACGTTACCGTTATTGGCCACAACCCCGAGGACGGCAAGACCCGTGTCAAGCTCCCCTCCGGTGCCAAGAAGGTCATCAAGAACACCGCCCGTGGTATGGTTGGTATCGTCGCCGGTGGTGGCCGTACCGACAAACCCTTGCTCAAGGCCGGTCGTGCCAAGCACAAGTTCGCTGTCAAGCGCAACTCTTGGCCCAAGACTCGTGGTGTTGCCATGAACCCCGTCGATCACGTAAGTTTTGACTACCTACCCATCATTTTGGGTTGAATCCGGGAACACACACTGACAATTCTTCTACAGCCTCACGGTGGTGGTAACCACCAGCACATCGGTAAGGCCTCGACCATCTCCCGCTACGCCACCCAGGGTCAAAAGGCCGGTCTCATTGCCGCCCGCAGAACTGGTCTGCTCCGCGGTACCCAGAAGACCAAGGATTAAGCGGTTTATTTCTTGGAGTTTTTCTTGTGACGGGTTGAAAATGGAATTCTGCTATGAGACAAACGTACTTAGGCGACTGCGGATGAGCGTCTCATGCGCCCTTAGCGAATTAAGGTTGTGGTCACCATCTTTCTGTCCAACATAACCAAAGGGTGCAGAATAGGGGTCCGGGGATGGCCTCTGTGAAGGCAGAACGGAAAATCAAAAAGGCCGTTGGGGCTGTGAAATGATACACCTTTAACTTTTATTCCGTCCTGTCTGTCACCCTTGTAAACTGTAGTCTTCCTCGTGCAGTGTCTTTGTAGTCCCGACAACGCTTGAACTGATGTGGTCTCTACATGCTGCCACTTTTTCACCCCGCTTGGGACGAGTCGAAATCAATTGCTCTTGTCTAGTAGCATCTGCATTTTGGAGTAACATTACTGTGTATGAAGTACGGATGTTTCCTGGTCCATTTCTCTCGAGTCATAAATCACTACCTTGCATCACACGAGGTATTGCAGTTGATTCCATGAGCAAGTATATATGTATCTACCTTTGCATCTATCTATGTAAAAGGCATCAGTGTCTTCTCTGACAAATACAAACTTCTACGCAAATTATGTATCATGAAATGGAATGTTATGGCGCTTTGGCACCAGGCGACGTTGCAAGTGCTTGAGGTCACCCAGGATATATATTAGTTTACAAAATGTATGTGCGACTGGGTAGTTAACGTTCTAAAAGGATATCAGGGAGAAAAGGAACCTGAAAACTGTTGCTGTGATAATGTTTATCTAAATGTAGCTTATTATCATTCCGTGCTTTTCTGTTGTTTATAGACATGTCAGGATTAGGGCTACCACCATCTTTTCTGGCCCCGACTCTTCAACACCGCCCATGAAGTAACTATCAAACATACCCGATTCCTGATAATAAATCTCATAGTGCGCAATAATCTCCAAGGGCTTGTCTCTATGACTTCTCGCCAAGGTATGAATCTCTCCTTGATCGGTCGACAGTTCGTACAGTTCTCATTTTCCGGCTCCGCGGGGAGGGGAGCAAGATACAATGCCTTCCAGTGACCAACACGAACTGCAGCAATACCGAATTGCTCCCAGCCAATGATATCGGTCTCTGGACCGTACAGATTAACCCGGTTCTTATTAAATAACTCCAAGAGGTCTCCTCACGATTTGCCTTTGACCGGTGTAACGTCTCGGCCTCGAAATTGGTTCCCAGGGTGTTCAATCCCGGCAAGTCAAGTGCTTTTGGTAGGATATCCATAACCGTGGTGAGGGTATTGGTGATAGATCCTGGCTGCAAGTTTGTCCCGGTCGGATATCTGACATGCAAGGCCACCGGATACCATCTTCGGTCGTACACGACTTTGCTCCTCGGTTCGGCGCCGTCGCTGCAGAGGCCCACTGAGGTCCATACCAAACGACCGAATTATGATTGCCCAAGTCCTCGAGGGAGTTATCACAGTACTTCTTGATGACATCCTCTAGCGTGGCACCGGCAAGTATAGGTATCGCTTCTAGCAACTGGCCCTCTGCGCCATTATCCGACATGAACAGGACAAACGTATCGTTCCATTCACCAGTGGACGCGAGGTAGTCCCGGGTACGACCTACAGTGACATCGACAAGTTCAACCATCGCGGCAAAGATTTCCATGCACGGCTTGATTTGCGCTGCTCCTCTTCTGGGTGCTCGGCCCACGGTATCGTGTCCAATGTATGGAGAGTAGCTGGCTCGACATCCGCAGGCACAATGCCCCTGGTGACCAGACCGCGCAATCCGCGATCCCGAAGGGCCAACTGCCCGTCGTCATGATTGCCTCGGTATTTCTGGACAACCTCAGGTGGTGCTTGTAATGGCTAGTGGGGCGCAGTGAAAGGGAGGTAAGCGAAGAACGGTTGATCTTACTCTTCTTTTGAGCGATCTTTCAGGTATCTGATCATGTAGTCCGTGAAACTATTGGACACGTAAAAGTCCTTAGGAAGGTCGGTAGCTCCGTCGATGAATTGATCTTGCTCCATCCAAAGTCCAGGGCCGTCCAGGAGGGCGCGTGGTTTTTCGTTCGCGTCATAAAGTTGCAGTTCATGATTATAATGATTTCCAGCACTGGGCAGAGTTGTGGGCACCTTCGTGAACCCGGGATTTGAAGTCCTACACTGTTTACTACTTCTAGGTAGCCATGCTCTTCAAAATATAAATCCGACTTGGGTTTAGTATCTAAAAATGAGCATTTTTCTCTTCCTTTTCACCGGTCTATTGTCCTTTAATAGTTAAGACATGAAACGTTTATTTTTGTAGCCATCGGCGGTTACACTGGGAACTCTGATTGGTCAATTTGACAACAATCATAATTCCTGACGTTCCGCCCGTTGAAACGATTGCACATATTCCACCATGGCCACCAGATCCCATGTAAAAGGAGATACTTGATACAAATGTCAGACTCATCCAAGCCCCAGAGAATTCCCCGACTAAGCGCCAACCATGCTGTCACCAACTCCGAACGGTGGCAAGCCATCACCAACCGCGACATCACAGCCAACTCCTTCGTCTATGCCGTGATAACCACCAAAATCTACTGCCGCCCCTCCTGCCCAGCCCGACTCGCCCGCCGAGCGAACGTTGAATTCTACGATACCCCCTCCCATGCCGAGAAGGCTGGGTTCCGCGCCTGCAAGCGCTGCCGGCCGGATTCAGGACAGACCGCCACCCAAAGCAACCCCCAAGCCGCAGTAGTCGACAAAGCATGCGAGACCATCCGGCACAATCTGGCCTCAGGGCTGAAACCACGACTAAGAGATCTGGCCGCGCAGGCGGGGCTGACGCCTAGTCATTTCCATCGTGTGTTCAAGAAACTGGTGGGCGTCACACCCGGTCAGTATATTGGTAGCCTGGGGCAGAGTGGTTCGTCCCCGGATGCGTGGACGCCGGATAGATTGTCTGAGACTGAAACGCGCTCTGACTTTGACACTGGCGGGTTTGCTCTAGATCTCAATGGGGAGACGGGGTCGACTGGATTGTCGGCGGCTAGGCTTGGTTCTCCGCTCATCATGGACGGTGCTTGGAATGTATTTGATGCTTTATTTGAGCAGGAACAATGGGTGCCTGATTCGTTATCTATTGATCCTCGAATCATTTTGGCGTCTGAGTGATCGAACTTATGAGAATATGAGACATGCCTGATGCCTGACGCTTAGAACTGTACAGTATATTAGTATACGAGTACGGATACCCCACTGATAGGCAAGGCCTCGCCACTGAAACAAGGTTGAAACCGGCAGGCGCCCTGTGCACAAGTGTAGATGTACGTGGAAGTATGGAGTAATGTAACAACCCAATATGATCTCCGGCTTGGAGACGGAAAACAGTAAAAGTCCATTGGCGGGTCAGACCCTGTGGCAAGTGAAATCTACAGTAAACAAGGATAATTATAGTACAGTTGTTCTTAGACAATTTCCTTGTCTTCCAATTGGGATTTGGTTTCTCCACCGGCCCCACCAACGCGTGTCACTTTTTTGTAGTGAATTAGTGAAAACCCCTTGTCTCGGGAAATTAGATGTTGTATATTCTTAATTTCCAGTAATATACAGGCGTTAGGCAGTAGAATAGCAGTGTGAATGAGACCATTCAGCTAGAAATCAACAAGTAAAGCAAAATAAATGAATGGAAATATAGGAAAGACCCTTCTCCACTGATTGACAAGATCGTCAACTGCATGCATACAAATGCATTGGGGATTCCAGAACTTTGTGGTCGAGATCCCAATCCTTAATTAATATTCCTTCCCAACCTCCCCTCCCTTTCTTCCCAGCCCCTCCCTGTCTTTCACTTTACCGCTTGACTTTATTGCCTTCTTTTGTTTTACTCTGATTTCGTTCATTCTTCCTTTTATCCCCCACATACCAACATGCACATGAACAAGAGAATCGGCCGCTTCAAGCAATGGGCTGGAGAGCGGATGGGTGGAGAGGCCAAGACATGCCAGTCAGATAATTTCAAGGCCATGGAGACGGAGATGGGCGTGCGACATGAAGGTAGGCACAGACGACCACACGAGGATCACTCATGCTGATTACTTTCTTCCAGGCGTTGATCGCATTCACAAGTCCATGACCGCCTATGTCAAGGCCATCTCGAAGCGCAATGAAGGGGACGACAAGGAGAAGACCCTCCCGATTGCCCACCTAGGCAGCAGCATGGTTTCCCATGGCGAGGACTTTGACGCGAACTCCGAATACGGGCAGAGCCTGATCAGTAAGTTGCGATCCTGGTAGGGAAATGAGAGGAAGATCGCGTGGCTGACTGCCTGATTAGTGTTTGGACGGACGGAGGAGCGCATTGCGCGCATCCAAGAGGCATACATCGCGCAGGCGACTTCGAGCTGGCTCGAGTCCTTGGAAAGATCCCTTACTCAGATGAAAGACTATCAGCAGGCTCGCAAGAAGCTCGATAGCCGACGACTGGCATACGATACGTCTCTCGCCAAGATGGAGAAAGCTAAGAAAGAGGACTTCCGTGTGGAGGAAGAGCTCCGCTCCCAGAAAGTGAAATACGAAGAAGCTAGCGACGATGTGTTGCGGCGCATGCAGGACGTGAAAGAGGCCGAAGTCGACAATGTCATGGATATGGGGACCTTCTTGGAGGCTCAACTTGAGTACCACGAACGGTCTCGGGAGGCGCTCCTCCAGTTGAAGCAGGAATGGGTTGGGTAAGCATTTGTCCATCTCTCATGGTTTTACGCGTGATACTCATATTTTGCAGATCGAACCAGACACAAACTCCAGTCCGCCGTCCGACGCGTGCTCGTTCCAACACTGCCCACTCATATCAGGAACGATATGAGCCTTTGCAGGAAGAGCTGGTGAATGCCACGGAGGCCCGGCCTCCCATCAGATCAAGCAAGACCATTGCGACGCATTACGCCGATTCGCCTCCACGAGAGACCTACACTGCCTCACGACCTGTTCTGAACAGGGTTCCTACGTTCGAAGGCCCGACTCAACTCCGACAAGAGCAATCACCAGCTGCATCCCAGTGGGTCCAGCAGCGTACTGCCAGCGAGAATTCAGTCGGATATGGCCGCAGAAGCAGCACTCAAGTTGGCAATGGTCACGTCTCTGCCGATCCCTACGCGGACTCCGAAGAGGTCAGCTCTTATGGCCGGTCCAGCCCCGAGCGCATGTTCGGTGGTGGCAGATCTATCTCGCCCGCAACATCTCACGGGAGCGTGGTATCTCGGCGACCCAGCGCGACCAACATGAGTACTCTGGGATTATCCAAGAAAGCACCTCCTCCACCTCCGCCTTCTCGTGCGAAGAAGCCCCCACCACCTCCCCCACCTATGAAGCGATCTCTCCTGGCTTCAACAAATGCCTAGGGTGCTCTGTGATATGCGTCTGTCCTTTTAAACTTGATCTTGGTCTTGAGCATGGGGTTTAGGAGTTAGGGCGATTACGTTTGATGGCGGTGCTTATTATTACCATTTCATAGCTTATCCTTCGAGTCGTGCTGGGATTGTGACTGCTTTCCTGATTGATTTTCATTGTTGTGGTCCTGCGTTGATTGATTCCTATGGAGCATCCCTGCTTGAATATTTGAGGATTATGAACACGGTATCATGTGTCTCCTAGCGAACAGGTATATCCAGTCAATCCATGGAAATAATAGACTTGACTCCAAATGCATTGTATCAAGCGGACCCAGTTGCCTGCAGCAGTTGTCTTTCGTCCACAGTCGGGTGGTTAGGTAGACAGCTAATGCATGTAACCAGCCAAGTAGACAATATGATAAAAAAACCAATAGAGAAACAAATGAATAGAATGATAAGACAATAACTTACTGTTGACTGTGATCGGTACCAGAACTGCAGCCCCAGGCAACAACTCAGCACAGCTGACTCAGCATCACCTGACCTTAGTCAGCCACCTCCTTGGAAATCTCCTCCCAGGTTGTCCTTCGCTCTGAGCACCCAGATTTCCCCGAGCCTGTCGCGCAACTCCGTCCCATCTCCATTTCCATCCATCCACTTTCAGGACGCGCCCCCCAAACGCGCCCTTTTGATTTCCCCCTCCCCTTCCCTACCAGCTCGCCTCTTTACTCGCTTTCTTTCAATCCCGTGAAAGTACCCGCTCCCCATATTCCATCGCGCGAGCTCCGACCACGGCCCCAAACATCACGTCTCCCATCGCCAAGCATCCCATACAACCACCTTCTTGTCGCATTCACGACAACTAAGCCCACCCACACCGTCGCTACCACTCTTTTGACCGCGCCACCCCCTCCTTGTACTTGCGCGATCTGGCAATTGGCACCAGGTGGAGACCATCACATTCGGCTCAACTGCGCGTTGATTTTTTGACCCGGTTGCCCGCCATTTGCTTCATGAATTAAAGAAATACACGCGTCAATATGGCTTCTCTGCACCCGGCGCCCAACATGGCGCCTGGCAATGTTAGCCTGCCACCTAACCTCACGCAGCAAAATGTCCAAGAGATACTTCAAGTGAGTTTATCGCTTCCTATCACCTTAGTCTTACTATATTCCACTTCTTCTATGCGCCCTCCCGTACCTTGCTATCATTTTGTAGTCATCTAACCCTATTGCAGAAGTACAAGCAGATGCAAGAACAGGGCGTCCGCCCTGACGACCCAGAGTTCATCAAGGCTCACAACCTGCTCACTGCTATCCAACGGCAGCAGGCTTACCAAAAGCAACAGCGTATGGCTCAACAGCAGCGTCAGCAGCAACAGATGAATGGGGCTTCCCCCGAGGCTGCTCCCAATGGCACTCATGGTAAGTTTTGTCGTGACCCCTATCTAAAAACATTTTAAGCCCCCTCAGTATATCTGACCTAATTTTCAATAGGTCGCACCGCATCTGCTTCTTCGGCCACGGCTGGCATCCCTCACGACAGCACCTCGGCCGGAGCCAAGAATGCGACAGTTGGCAGCGGTAGCTTCTCTCCAGAGCAATTGGCCACGCTTCGAAACCAGATCCTGGCTTTTAAGATGCTGTCCAAGAACCTCGCAATCCCACCCCGCGTTCAACAACAGCTCTTTGCATCTAAGAAGTCCCAAACGCCTACTCCCACAGACACTGTTGGAACGGCCGAGAAAGTCATTGATGCTGCGGACAAGTCCTCAACTCAGCCTCCAGAAAGTGTAGAGCCTGAAGCTTTTGGCCGAGAGTGGTACGATAGCTTCCAGTCTCCATACGACTCCCTCTCCGATACCATCAGCTACACAGACCACGCCAACCGCGCAAATCGCGTACGGATCCCCGCGCTCTTGCCCCCGGGTATCGACCTGGAACAGGTTCGTGAGGATCGTGAGATCTCAATCTACAACAAGATTGTGGCCCGGAAGGCAGAGCTTGCTCAACTCCCGGCTAATCTCGGTGTTTGGGATACCAGCAAGAGCGATGCCCCTTCATACGATGACTCGCTCAAGTTGAAGGCCTTAATTGAGTACAAAGCCCTCTCTCTCCTGCCTAAGCAGCGCCAGTTCCGCAAGCAGCTTCAGAATGAGATGTTCCACTACGACAACCTCGGCATGACTGCCAACCGCTCGAGTCATCGCCGCATGAAGAAGCAGTCTCTGCGTGAGGCTCGCATTACCGAGAAGCTTGAGAAGCAACAGCGTGATGCTCGTGAAACCCGTGAGAAGAAGAAGCAGTATGATCAGCTGCAAGCTATCCTCAACCACAGCGCCGAACTTGCCAATGCTTCCGTGCAGCAACGCACTCGCTCACAGAAGCTGGGTCGCATGATGATCTCGCACCACCAGTACATGGAACGTGAAGAGCAGAGGCGGGTGGAGCGAACTGCCAAGCAGCGTCTCCAGGCCTTGAAAGCTAACGATGAGGAGACATACCTCAAGCTTTTGGGACAGGCCAAGGATTCCCGTATCTCTCACCTGCTCAAGCAGACCGACAACTTCCTTAAGCAACTTGCTGCATCGGTCAAGGAACAACAACGTAACCTGGCTCAGCGTTATGGCGAAGACCAAGACTTCGATGACGAGTCAGACCAGGAGATTCTTGATAGCGAAAATGAGGGAGAAGAGACCAGCAACGGAAAGAAGAAGGTCGACTATTACGCTGTTGCTCACCGTATCAACGAGGAAGTCACCACACAGCCTACGATTCTCCAGGGTGGTACCCTCAAGGAGTACCAGTTGAAGGGTCTCCAATGGATGATTTCTCTGTACAACAACAACCTGAACGGTATTTTGGCAGACGAGATGGGTCTTGGAAAAACCATCCAGACTATCAGTTTGATTACGCATATCATCGAAAAGAAGCAAAACAACGGTCCTTTCTTGGTCATTGTTCCGCTTTCTACCCTTACCAACTGGAACATTGAATTTGACAAGTGGGCACCAACAGTGCAGAAGGTCGTCTACAAGGGCCCTCCCAACGCACGAAAGCAGCAACAGCAGCAGATTCGTTGGGGCAATTTCCAGGTTCTGCTTACCACCTACGAATACATCATTAAAGATCGCCCAGTTCTCAGCAAGATTAAGTGGACACACATGATTGTTGATGAAGGTCACCGCATGAAGAACACACAATCCAAGCTGAGCAGCACTCTCTCCACATATTATACCAGCCGTTACCGTCTCATTTTGACCGGTACTCCCTTGCAAAACAACCTGCCCGAACTTTGGGCTCTTCTCAACTTCGTCCTGCCTAATATTTTCAAGTCTGTCAAGTCGTTCGACGAGTGGTTCAACACACCATTTGCCAATACTGGTGGCCAAGACCGCATGGACCTGAGCGAAGAAGAGCAGCTTCTTGTCATTCGTCGTCTTCACAAGGTTCTTCGCCCCTTCCTGCTCAGACGTCTGAAGAAGGATGTCGAGAAGGATCTGCCCGACAAGCAGGAGCGTGTCATCAAGTGTCGATTCTCCGCCTTGCAGACCAAGCTGTACAAGCAGCTTGTCACGCACAATAAGATGGCTGTCAGTGACGGCAAGGGTGGAAAGACTGGTATGCGTGGTCTGAGCAACATGCTGATGCAACTGCGGAAACTTTGCAACCACCCCTTCGTCTTTGAACCTGTTGAGGACCAGATGAACCCTACTCGCATGTCAAACGATCTTCTTTGGCGTACTGCAGGAAAGTTCGAGCTGCTCGATCGTGTCCTGCCCAAGTTCCGTGCCACCGGTCACCGAGTTCTGATGTTCTTCCAGATGACTCAGATCATGAACATCATGGAGGATTTCCTCCGCCTGCGTGGCTTGAAGTACCTTCGTCTTGACGGTTCCACAAAATCTGACGATCGATCAGATCTGCTGAGGCAGTTCAACGACCCCGGGTCTGATTACTTCTGTTTCTTGCTCTCCACCCGTGCTGGTGGTCTCGGTTTGAACTTGCAGACTGCAGACACTGTCATCATCTACGATTCCGATTGGAACCCTCACCAGGATTTGCAGGCCCAGGATCGTGCTCACCGTATTGGACAGAAGAACGAGGTCCGCATTTTGCGACTCATCAGTTCCAACTCGGTTGAGGAGAAGATTCTCGAGCGTGCTCAGTTCAAGTTGGACATGGATGGCAAGGTTATCCAGGCCGGAAAGTTCGATAACAAATCCACCAACGAAGAGCGAGATGCGCTTCTGCGAACTCTCTTGGACACAGCAGAGGCTGCGGATTCGATCGGTGACCAGGACGAAATGGATGATGACGACCTCAACGATATTATGGCCCGTTCCGAAGAAGAAATTGGAATCTTCCAAGAGATTGACAGACAACGGATCGCCAATGATCAATATGGTCCTGGCCACCGCTACCCTCGTCTGATGTGTGAAGCAGAGTTGCCAGAGATCTACATGCAGGAGGACAACCCTGTCACAGAAGACGTCGAAATTGAGGTTACTGGTCGTGGTGCTCGTGAGCGCAAGGTCACCAAGTACGATGACGGCCTCACGGAAGAGCAGTGGTTGATGGCAGTGGATGCGGACGATGACACAATCGAAGCCGCCATTGCGCGAAAGCAGGCTCGCGTTGAGCGTCGCAAGTCAAACAAGGCTGGTCGTGGACTGGGTGATGACGAGTCATCGCCTGAACCCGAACCTGAAATTGACGACGACGAGACTCCCAAGAAGCGTCGTCGTGGTCCTCCTCCCAAGCGTAAGGCAGAAGAAGTTGTAGATGAAACTCCTCAGCCCAAGCGCAAGAGAGGCCGTCAGCCCAAGGTTCCAGATACTCTCAGCCCCGCTGATCGTGCTACCTTGACTGGTATTCTCGACAGCACCATCCAGTCCTTGCTGGATATGGAGGCTGAAGTTCCCCCAGAGGGCTCCGACAGCGAAGAAGGACCCATGGTCCGTGCAATTCTGGATCCCTTCATGAAGCCTCCTCCCCGCTCCCTATATCCAGACTACTATATGATCATTCAGAAGCCCATTGCTATGGATGCAATCCAGAAGAAGGTCAAGCGGGGCGATTATCAAAACCTCAGGGGTTTCGTCGAGGACATCCACCTGCTCTGCCAGAATGCCCGCACGTACAATGAGGACACCAGTGTTTTGTTCCAGGATGCCAATGACATCGAGGTAAGTTCGACTTATTGGTTTGATTGAATATCGGACACTAATCGTACAACAGGCCAAGTGTTTGTCCGAATTGAAGAAGCACACCGACGAACATCCCCAGTTCGCCATCTTTGACAACCAGTCTGTTGGTGATGGTTCCACCGGGTTTGCCTCGGGCGCGGACACTCCGATGACTGCTGGCACCCCCGGGCAGAAGCTGAAGCTCACTTTCAGTAACCCTAACCGGGATACCCCCAATGGTGGTGACGAGGAATAGCCCCTCCAACATCAACATTGTGGGCCGACTTAATCCAATACCACGCGTTTCCAATTTCACGCCTTGCGACTGTTACTCCCCGTCGCTTGTGCTTTCTTGTCATGTGTAATCCGAAAATATTTTTTTATCCTCTTGTTCTGTGCCATCTATGGAAGGCGTTTTCCCGCGAATGTTTCTTTTGAATGGATTTGGGGAAGGAATTCGGATGATGGCGCTGTATTTGTTCCAAGCGATTGATTACTGGGTTGCTCTGGTACCGTCTACCGTCTTGGCCCTTTGGGACACGATTGTGCAAGACCCCTTATGTATGTTTTGAGTATGTAACTGGAAGTTAGGAACAATACCAATTGATTCAATTGCATATCCAAATCGTGAGTAGGCGCGTTGGAATGTTCACTGTTTCCGGTGTGTGGACACACGGAACCACCCGAGGGGAACTTCGAGTCCGTGCGAAGACGCTTGCAGATGCTCACCGATCTTTGAAGGAGTACTTAAGTACTTGTAGGTACGAAGTATAGACTATAGACCTGTCTCTCCGTCCTACCCCACCATATACAATATCTCTCCATCAACCCATCCAACAAGCAACCATGTCCAACAAAACCCTTGCCGGCAAAGTCGCAATAAGTACAAACCACCAATCCAATCTAACCTCAATCCCAATCTATACAATTCAATCAAAACTAACACACCACTCCCAAAAACAGTCACAGGCGCAAGCCGCGGCATAGGCGCAGCAATATCCCTAAAACTAGCCCACCAAGGCGCAAACATAGCCCTAAACTACAAGAGCAACGCCAACGCCGCCGAACAAGTCGCAAAAGAGATCCGCACGTTGGGCGTCCGCGCCATAACCCTGAAAGCAGATGTCTCACAGCAAGAAGAAGTGAAAGCCATGTTCGAGGCTGCGCAGAAAGAATTCGGACGCCTCGATATCGTCGTGAGCAATTCGGGTATTGAGCATTTTGCTGATATTGCGGATGTGAAGGGGGAGGATATTGATGCTGTCTTTGCGGTTAACGTCAAGGGGCAGTTCTTCGTTGCGCAGCAGGCGTATAAGTATATGGAGGATTTTGGGAGGGTTATGCTTACGTCGTCAATTTCGGCCGTTAAGGTTAGTACTGTTTACTCACTACAGGGTTGGAAGGATTTTGGCTGATGAGTATCTTGATTGTATAGGGTGTTCCTCGACACGCTGTCTACGCTGCTTCCAAGGCTGCCGTGCAGGGTATGACCAAGTGTCTAGCTGTGGATTTTGGGTCGCGCAATATCACTGTCAATTGCATTGCTGCTGGCGGTGTTAAGACCGATATGTACACTGAGATGTCGGCGAAGTATATTCCTGGCGGGGACAAGATGAGTCCTCAGCAGATTGAGGAGTTGTTGAGCAAGTGGTCACCTTTGGGTCGGGTTGGCGAGGTGGAGGATGTTGCTGGGGTTGCTGCTTTGATTGCTAGTCCTGATTCGCAGTGGTTGACTGGTCAGACTTGGCAGGTTTCTGGTGGTTCTTATATGGTTTAGTTTGATGGAGATGAAGGGGATGGTGTGTTTGTATTTCGGGCTTACCAATTTCTAATTTCTAATTTGGTTGTTATACCCTTCTCTCTAGTATAAACTTGCTATGAACGAGGAGCTAATCAATGCTTGAAGTTGGATGCATATTGTGATTTTTTGTGGGGTTAGTCTTATATTATCAAGCTCCCAGCCTATACAGATGCAAGTCATGCACCCCCCTTCTTATACTAACTGAGGAAATTCCACCCTATCAAAATCTGTTTCCACCTGTAACCCACTTTTTAGGCCATTTTAAGCCCTTCTTCCGTGCGGCCTTTCATTACTGCAACGAGACCCAGGGGAAAGTAGTAAATAGAGCCAAATAGAACAGTTTGCTTTAGGATTCCCATTTCGAAAGGAATGCAAAATTTGGAGGTTATGTCCTCTTTTCATCCGTCCTCTATCCTAAAAGACACAGTCACTTACTCACTTAGCATATTCCAGAGGCAAACTATAAACTAATATCAAGTCAGTGACACTGTTCCGCCTTGCATTAAGAAGAGCCCCGTGTTTGACCCAGCAGCATCACTTTAGTCATAGATCTAAATCCTCAACGAGAATCCGGAAAGTTTCCGTGTCTCAACATGTGGAGAATCTCTTATTTACAGTCGCCTCTCGTTATCTGATGTGACATTAGTGTCATGTTGTGGCGGGGCATTGAACTAATCCTATCCACTTTCAAACTCCGTACGCAGGGGGTGGGGGAAAGAATGTGGATCGAACATGGTTTGATCAAGTCTTCCCATCGAAGTCGCCTGTATGAGCTTGAGTACGTACGTCTCCCGACATTTTAGCGAGGTGAAACCTACGGAACAACCTTAAATAACAGTGCGCAGATTATCCACATGGCCAGACATCAAGGGACCAAGAAGGATAGGGTAACAAGCCATGTCTTTCATGCCAAGCAATAGAGGGATAAAAGTTGAAGCGATCACATTTTATTGAATACTTGATTCTGCAGTCTAACCTTTCTCGAACGACTACCTGTAGCTATAGTTCCAACAATGCGTAAGTAGTCTCTTCTACTCCACCGCGTCCCAGAACATTGAGCACATTATGGATCACTACGTTGGCTAGATACTAAAGCAAGAACCTTATAGCCAAGGCTGTGGATTGTAGGGCTCAAAGTGTCATCTAGTTTTGAAAGAGTGAAGTCCTACCACACCCTTGTTTATGGGGCTGAAAACCACATAGGCTCGTGGAGCGGCAAGTAAAGTCTCCTATCAAAAAAGCGTTCCTTAACTTCATTGAAGACAAGGGGATACGCGTGTGTCAAAAGCCATCAATAACATGACGCGGTCGCCTCAGCCTAAAAAGTCTAATCCGGACTTTAGGGCTAGCACTGCAGATCTGCAGGTACTGGGGAGTAAGTCTTACCCGGGCCATATCAAACCCATACAATAGGGATATTCTACCCAATAAACGACCAGGAAACCTCTCCACTGACTCTAAATATTATTTCCGAGACCCTCGACTCGGGCGCTTTAACTGTGCTAGGCACCTTAATTCTATCAAGTGGAATTGCGCCTGTTTGGCTCGACTGGAGACGCCTCGGCAGGTTTCGCTTCTATTTCAAACGTAGTCCCAAGTCTCTGCCGTGCTATACGACTCAATGATTACGACGACGAAGCAGCTAAGCCTTGCTCCAGGGCAGGATGAGCTTCACCGATCTATGCTATGGTTTCATGGTTCGATCTAAGGTAACGCGGCGGGTCTACGTATGATCTGCTGTCTGAACTTCCTTAAACTGGAACACGACCGTTGTTACAGTTCTTGTGCTACAAGTATAAGTATAGCCCTACGTCTAATGTTTCTATACTTTACATTTCCACACTCGTTGCAGATTCTCCTTCGAACGCTCGTTTCTCTCAACCTTTCGTTTGTTTCTTATAATCCGACATGCGTCTCTCTTGGGGCGCATCTGTTGCGGCCTTGGCTGCATCAGCGAGCGCCACATCGCTCGCTGATGTCTGTACCGTCTCGAACGTGCAGTCTGCCTTGCCTTCCAACGGCACTCTCCTCGGGATTGGCCTGATCCCCTCGGCCGTGACCGCCGCCGCCGTATACAATGCCAGCGCTGGTATGGGCAGCACCGAAACCTACACCTACTGCAATGTGACAGTCACCTACACTCACACTGGCAAGGATGACTCGGTTGTCATCAAGTATGCCTTCCCCTCCCCCTCCGACTTCAAGAAGCGCTTCTACGTTGCAGGTGGTGGTGGTTTCTCTCTGTCCAGCGATGCTACCGGTGGTCTTGAGTACGGTGCTGTTGGCGGTGCCACCAGTGCAGGCTATGATGCTTTCGACCAGAGCTACGACGAGGTTGTGCTGTACGGCAACGGAACTATCAACTGGGATGCAACCTACATGTTCGCATACCAGGCCCTCGGCGAGATGACCAAGATTGGAAAGGCCATCACCCCCAAATTCTACGGCATGTCTTCCGCCTCCAAGATCTACACCTACTACGAGGGTTGCTCCGACGGTGGTCGTGAGGGTATGAGCCAGGTCCAGCGTTATGGTGAGGAGTACGATGGTGCTATCACCGGTGCCCCTGCCTTCCGCTTCGGTCAACAGCAAGTTCACCACGTCTTCCCTTCCGAGGTTGAGCAGACTCTCGACTACTACCCTCCTCCCTGCGAGCTGGCCAAGATCGTCAACGCCACCATCGCGGCCTGCGACCCTCTCGATGGAAGAACCGACGGTGTTATCTCCCGTACCGACCTCTGCAAGTTGAACTTCAACCTGAGCTCTATCGTCGGCGAGAAGTACTACTGCGCCGCCGAGACCAGCACTTCTCTGGGCTTCGGCTTCAGCAAGCGCGCCGAGGGCAGCACCACCAGCTACCAGCCCGCGCAGAGCGGCAAGGTCACCGCGATGGGAGTTAAGGTCGCCCAAACCATCTACGACGGCCTCCACAACTCCAAAGGCGAGCGCGCCTATCTCTCCTGGCAGATCGGCTCCGAGCTCAGCGATGCCGAAACCACCTGGAACAACAACACCCGCAAGTGGGAGCTCAACATCCCCTCCACCGGCGGCGAGTACGTGACCAAGTTCGTCCAGCTCCTCAACATCGACAACCTCTCCGACCTGAACAACGTCACCTACGACACCCTCGTCGACTGGATGAACACCGGTATGGTGCGCTACATGGACAGCCTGCAGACCACCCTGCCGGACCTGACACCCTTCCAATCCTCCGGCGGGAAGCTGCTACACTACCACGGCGAATCAGACCCCAGTATCCCGGCCGCCTCGTCCGTGCACTATTGGCAGGCTGTCCGCTCGGTCATGTACCCTCACCTGTCGTCCCAGGCTAGCCTGGAGAAACTCGCCGACTGGTACCAGTTCTACCTTGTTCCTGGTGCTGCCCACTGTGGTACCAACAGCTTGCAGCCTGGTCCTTACCCCCAGGATAACATGCAGACTATGATCAACTGGGTTGAGAATGGTGTTAAGCCTAGCCGGTTGAATGCTACTGTTTCTTCTGGTACTTATGAGGGCGAGACTCAGATGCTTTGCCAGTGGCCTACTCGTCCTCACTGGAGCAGCAACAGCTCGTTCGAGTGTGTCAATGACAAGGCTTCTATTGACAGCTGGACCTACTCTTTCCCTGCTTTCAAGATTCCTGTCTATTAGAGGGGTATGTGTTACTCTTGTGGAATGTCCAAGTTACGCAGGACATGGTCCAGGCGTGGTTGGAATAACAATCAGCCCTTGTGATTAGGGTTTCCAACTCCCACGGGCGAGAGATAATGTACTCACAAACCTACTTTGTTATTTATTGGGATTGACTTTCTGTATTTACTTATTTACTCTTCTTCCAAACAACTTTAATAGACTCTTCCATGATCTTCAAAAGCCAAGAAGTAAATGTGAATGATATTTGCAATTTGATATGTCAAGGTCTTTCAAGATATTTTCCGAGATATTTTTCCAAAGAAGTAAAAACCAGAGTGAATCAAAAAGTAAGTCAAAAAGAATAAAGAATGAACAAAGAAAGAACTCCAAACAATCTCATAACACCAATCTAATCCCCCAAAGTCGTGACTCTACCCAAGATTTAACCCAAAGTGAGAGTGTAGGCAGCATCAACTTTGCAAGCCAGGGTGTTGACATCATCGGGGTGCTGGTACGACTCGATACAGTTGGCATCACCAGCGGCACAGGTGGCAGTAGTGCAAGACTCGTCGCTAATGGTAACACCGAATCCAGCGGCAACGATAGCAGAGTCCTTCAGGAGGTTGATCGAAGACAGATCCCAGAAGAGGACCTCGCCGGACTGAGTGTACTCGAATTGCAGGACGGAATCGCAGACCTCGGTGGTGGACATCTTGATGGAGATACCGCCGCCGTTGGAGTTGGTCAACCAGGTGTCGGTGAAGGTCTCGCCAGAGGCGAGAGTCTGCATCTCACCCTCGGTCTCGGTGACAACCCAGAGGTAGACGTCAGTGGGGAGGTTGTTCTTGATGGCGATGCCGGAGCCGGTGGCGGTAGCGCCGCTGGAGGTGGTGCTGGGGATGGCGAGGGTGGTGCTGGTCCAGATGTCGCTGCTGCTTGAGACGGGGGCGGCGCTGGTGGTGGGCACGGCGGTGGTGGTGGGCACAACGGGAGTTGGGACGGAAGTGGTGGTGGGAATGGGAGTGACGGCGCTGGAGGTGGTGGGGACAGCCTCGGCGGTTGAAGGAATGGCGATGTTCACGTTGGGAACGACGGCGGCAGTGGGCGTGCTGAAGGCGGTCTCATAGACGGTCTCGTAGACGGTTTCCCAGATGACAACCTCGGGGTTACCGGGGAGTGCGACGGGGAGCGCGGTGGCAGTGGCGGCCAGGAGGGCCAGGGTGTTGATGAAGCGCATATTGGCTGATATCAATGAAAGTACTGGATTGGATCCTTAAGGATAGTCTTGCCTGATCTACAGACGTTAAAGAGAGTGTACGAGGCGCAGCCTCAGTGAAGGTATCCAAAAGAGTGAATGATGTCAAAGAGAGGAAAAGAGAGAGTGTGGGAGATGGCGCCGTTTTAATGGGCCCAGGCTGTCAGAGCGAAAATGCAAAATGGCAAAATCGGATCTAGATGGCCATGTGGGTTCCTGACTAGTGTTCTGATAATCCTATTGGCTAATATAGTTAGGGCTCAGGAGATGAAACTTGGTCTGGCCAACCCGGTTGGACTTGCACTGGACACGTCCATGGTTGGCGGCGGTACCTGAACCGTCCCTACGTTTGTTGTCCCACATCGTGTGTTTGTTCATTTCATCTCGACTTGTTCAGCGGTTGGAGCACTGTGGAGAGAGGCCTAGATCGAATCACATTTCAGCACCCACAAGAGTTTTCACGAACTCTCCGACTTATTCGGAATAGTGCGGGATTACGCATGTCCTACGCAAACACCCCCTCTTTGTTGAACGGCCCCTGAATATCACTATCTGGTTCCTATCCCCATCACCCAATATCTCACTATATCTACAGTACTGTCTACTGTCTACTGTCTGATGCCTACTACAAATGATCTCTCTACTAGCCAGGCCAAGCCCGGCTCTAAGAGAGCTTATTCATTAGGGTGAACCGGTTAGGAAGGAGGGAAGATCATCCCTGTGGATAGGGAAATTGGCAAGAGTCATCAATCCCCCCAATAGTCGTTCGAACTATGTTCTCTAGTCAGGTACCGATGCAGGAACACCGGAACTTTCCTAATTTTTGAGACCCGCCACGTCGGCCAGGCCTCCCATGTTCTTTAGGCACCTTCCAGAAGAAATCTCTGCCAGAAGTTACATTCTCGGGTGGCGATGTAATCTCACATGCATATTGTATTATTGATAGCCCTCGCGAGACATCGGTGTGGCGGTACATCCCGCCAAGCCATGCCCCGCTCCGAGTTCAAAGTGAACGTGGTATGGATAATGAAAGTACAGTATATATGAATAAAGGCTTCCATGGCCTAGACGGTGGCGCCGTATGCAACGCCGTTAGGTAAATTGTTCCTTCGAGAGGATGTGTTCGGGGCTCGCCCATCGAGACTTCCATTCGAGCATGCGCCATTTCTTTCGCTTACAATGTCCTTGCTGTGTGTCTCCAGCGCCTTAAAAACATAACCGAACACTTGGCGGTCGACGTCGGAGGCCCACAAAAAGTCTAGATGCTCGTAGGTCGGGATCGCTTTGGCGATCGTGGCATGTGGCAGACCCTGTAACATGACGTTGATATCGACCAGACTGTCACTGTCACCGTACAACAAAACAATGGGCGTCTTGATGTTGCGGGTTGGGTACTTGACCGGCTTGTAGAAGCGTTCGCTGGCAACGACACTAAAGGGGGCATACACTTCATCATCGTAGAACTGGAAGTTCTTGTTGCGGATGATTTGGAACCAATGGACGACGGACTTGGTGCTGGTGAAGGAATACAGATGCATGTAGGCTGCTAGCTTCTGCGTGCGCTTGATGTTTCGACATTTCCAGTTGAAGAGAGCCGAAAGAGCGGTGTCGATGATGCGAACGTAGATTGGTGGATAGAGTATTGTTTGCCACATGGTCGTCGATGATAGGATGCTGCGGCGACCGAACAACAGGAAGAGAAAGTTGGGAGAGGCTTTCATCAGTGAATCCACGATGCGATTACGCAGGCCAGAAGGCGCCATGGCGGGTGCCAGCGCGACGAACACGTCGATCTTCTCATTGAGCAATGGGTGGATAGCGAGGGTAGCAAATGCCTGAGCTGTCCCTTGTGAGAACCCAATGTACGATAACGATGGCTGGCTGGTCACTTCGAGGATGTACTCGATGCTGTTGGGAATATCGGAGAATGCGAACTGGTCAATAGAAAAGTCCCAAAACTCGTTCGACCCTGGTGAAACCCGAGTCGATTTCTTCGAGTACTTGTTTCCACGATTATTCCCTAGCCATACATCGTATCCTCGTTCCACCAACTGGAAGGGGAGACATCGCTGCTCGTCTGTCAAAGCCACCCACACCTCGCTGGACATAAGCAGTCCATGGTGAAGGTACACAACCTTCTTCTTGACTCCACCAGGGCCTTGGTTGACGCGAGTATGCTCTTCTCCCTTACGATATGCTAGGCGATGCAACCCAAGGAGATAGCCGTCGTTCGTTTGCACAATGTGATCCTCTGCTTGATATCCAAAGAGTGCGCATATCTCCGTGAAATCCGATGCATCCGCAACTGAAAGAGCAAAGGTCTCCTCTTTTGTGCGCTTATGTCGGGTTTCAGTTGGAATCAAGACATTGAACAGTGCCTTGGATTGATCATAGCAGAACTTGATGATTGGGCTCGCTGGTAAGGGGTAAGTGTTAGGGCCTATATCGTCGCTGAGTACACATTACTCACGGAGACACCAAGTGATCAGGTGAATGATCGTCTCTAGTAAAACAAGAATCAAAGAGCCGAGGAGCGCTAGGTACTCAAACCTGGAGTTGCGAATATCAGTCGCCAAGCTCGTTCTCGGATGGTGGAGTTCTTACCAAAAGAGTCTCCCGATGAAAGGAACACGCGCCATTTTGAAAGTCTATGCATACATCCAGGTCTGATTTATATTCAGAAGCAGAAGCAAAAGAAGCCAAAGAAGCCAAAGCGAAAGAAAGTCGCACGACGTCATTTGCTGCCAGGAACATGTGATAATGCTTATCTCATCCGGGGGTTGGGCGGCCAATCAGCGTCGAGGTAACTGACAGACTCGAATTTGCCGTGGTTCACGGCTTCACTTTGCTTGTGGTTGCGCTTTCCCCCACCGTCTCAAAATGCCGAGCTCGTGCACTGATATCCGTACGTCGCACACAGTCGAGTCGCACAACGGCTCTAGGGAGCATCACGCCCCTGGCTCAGCTGGACCTGCCGCCGTAACCCTCCAGTGTCATGCAACGCGAACTGACCTCAATTTACACATCTAGGGGAGGCACTGGCCCAATGCCTCCAGGAATCGGACTGTATCATGGTCCAAAGACACTCACCCCGTGAATGTCTCAGTTCTCCCCTCGCCGAGGAGTTACCCATGCGGTGCCAGCAGCTCCGGAAAGGATTCAGCGAGTGCAAGTGAGTCGAGAAACTACCCCCGAAGGGTCTAGGCCGTCGTGGAATAAAAGAGAATTGCAGCTGACTATTGTATTTTTACTCGACACAGACGCGGTATGATCGACATGCGCAAACGGTTCCGCGGTAATCAGCCCATCTCGGTATCCAAGGAAATGGAAGGCGAAAAGTCCAGTTCCGGGGGACAATTATATGCTGGACAACCAGCTTACCAGTCGGTCAAGCCAGTCAATGGCGACGAAGTACAGATGGACCCAGAGAAGACTCGTGGCCTGTAAAGGATATTTGGATTCGTTGATTACATGCTGGCATGGCCCGGAGTTCTGTTACGCTTCAAACATACATCTTTTCTTCACTTATACCCGTCTCAAATTTACTGAGCCCATTTTCAACCCCACTTAGTTCCATTACACTTGCGCAGTCTTCCAAAACACCCGCCAAGCGCTCTGGCATGCTCAAGAACGGCGAATGCGAAGCGGGCAGTCGGTGGGTATGGCCAGGCCCGCATATCTTCAGCGCGAAGAATTCCTGGATGTGAGGCAACAGTGCCAGATCCTGCTCACAGATGATGTAGGAGCACGGTATATCCTGCCATGGCTCATAGGTGACCGCACCCGAGAAGACAGCGCGTGAGGTGTGCATTACGGTGCTGTCCCACTTCTCTCGTTGCTCAAGGGTCAGATCTTGCCAGGCAACGTCGCCAGCGCCTTCCGCGTGAACATAGTCACCCTGCTTGCCGGTTAACATGATTTCGAGCAAGCGGGTATTCGATCATATGATGTGGATGGACCAACCTCAATCTTCATCCAGGGTAAAGGGTTGCCCCCTAGCAATTCTAAGAGGCTCTGTCCCTTGCCAAGTGCAAATGCAGCCAGATAGACGACACTCACGACTCCGCCACGCTTTCCGTTGGCCGCGCGGACAGGTTTGACCAGCCCTTCCACGGCAGTGGATGCCACGACACCGCCGTAGGAGTGTCCTACAACAACGATGTCTCTCCCTTCATCTGCCAGGGCTGTCAATACGTTGCGCAGAGAGGAGACATCATCTTCCAGTGTCTTCGAAGGAGGCTCTGCGCCGATTGAGGGGTGTGCGGGACACTCGGATGGAAAGCCGAGGGCCTCCAGCCGCGTACGCACGGCATCGAAGACGGTGGGATGCATCCAAGCACCGAGCGAGAAGACGAAAGTTGATTTACTCATTTTTGATATGGGGTATGATTCAACTGCTTCCAGGGAGGGGGTTACTCCGTATAGACAAGAGAAACTATGCAGTCCGCACCGGCAAACTGGCGAGACCCAAGAATAATATGGGCTTTGGTCCTGGCCTCTAGACCACTACTCAATACATATACTGCAAACCATGCCTTGTTCGGCAGATGTCCGGCATGTCAATATTATTTCATCCCGTGGAGGAGACACTAGACGGCCCCCTGTGGGTCTCCGGACCAACAGTAGTCCTCAGCAGAAGTATCGATCAATCAAAGTTGGACTCATCCTCTCTATCTAGGGCATTGGCTTATTTTTTAGCTATTTTCATGGCCTATCGGATCGCTTCGCCCCGAGCGAGCGGGATAACCCCTCAAAAGTATGCACACTGTGGTGCAAGTAGCCCTCTAGAACCGTAGCTCCGGCTGTATTCTTCCTAGGGCCGAAGACCAGTTCCTCATGCCAAGAAGCGGGCATCGTTTAGAGTGGCTGCTGGGATGGTAAGAATCTTGTTGAGGTTAAAGCTTCTGGTCCAAGCCAAATGCTAGCATTATCATCTAAGATCCTTTTTGCTAATCATCGTAGGTGTCATTCCTCTTCCATATTTCAGAGTATCCAAAAAGGGTCATACTATACTACGACAGGTATTCAGCACGGCTCGGTCTGCACACAATCGACATACCTGGGAATAGGCTAGTTGTCTTTGCCAAGGTATATACCGCTGGCGATGGGGTCGATAACTTTTATTAATACTGACATTCGAACTGACCGATGCTCGTGGTTAACTGATGCGTTTGAGCTTCTGTAGGTCAGTACAATTTTAGTTGCCAGTGAAAAATACTATACTCTTGATGTAGAGATGCGTCTTCAAGCCCGCTGGATCCCAAAAGAGATCTTCTATGTCCCCGTAACCATCTCCTCATCACAGATCGTGTTAGGCAGAGATGCACAGATGCATTATGAGCAGTTCGCATACATGGTGTGAACAACCTCTTCTTAAATCCCAAAGAGCAGTCTTTTATCACACCAACTGCTGTTCACAAGTCCTTGGGTTATTTGTCGTCTCAAAACAAATCCGTCCATTGGTGTCCATGCACATTTGAATAAAACATCTTTTGCCTTCATTTAATAAAACCGTTTACCATGACATCCCGGCCATAGATATCTCCGGGGTTGCTCTAATCACCGGAGCTGGATCTGGAACTCGCAGAGCATGCGCTGTAGCAAACGCAAGAGACGGATGTTCCGGCCTAGCCCTACTGGACATGAATGAAGACGCCCTCAAATCCTTCAAAGCCGAGATAGAAGAAAGAACTACCTCCTAACTGGAAATCCACTTCGAGTGGAGACCTACAACGAGGAACAAGTAAACCAAGTCTTCGAAGAAGGGGTCAAGGAATTTACCCAAATCGACTATGTCGCCAGTGCAGCTGGGGTAGCGTTGAGACGCATAGGATGCATGGCCAACACGGGAACCAGAGACTGGAAACGTGTACTGAACATCAACCTCGATGGGACATTCTATGTCCTACGAGCCGCTGCCAAAATCATGCTGAAGCAAGAACCCATTCTGTCAGCTATTGATGGCTGAGCTTCACAACGCGGCTCGAATGTTAATTTCAGTTCTATCAAGGGGAGTATTACTGCCATGCCAGCTGCCTATGATACTTCGAAACATGCTATTATCGGGCGTACGAATACTGCGTCTGAGGATTATGCGAAAGATGGCTTGCGTGTTAATGCTATTTGTCCAGGGTACACTGCTACACCGTTGACGATGGATGTGCAGTACCTATAATTCGGGAGAGTGCGGAGAGACTATTGCCGTTAATGTTCCTATGAGACGGCTGGCTCTTGCACAGAGGTTGCTGATGGCGTTGTTTTTCTCTCTGGCGGTCGTAGTTCTTTTGTTACGGGTCCTTCGCTCTTTGTAGATGGAGGTTATACACAGCTAGAGTAGCCCGGGTTCATAAGTAGTGGCAATTCAATATTTTTAGAACTAGAGGTACTTGAGTCACGATTAGAAAGTCCCTACTACGTTTGACCCGGGACTTGTGTTCTCCGTCTACACATTTCCTACCGCCGTTTATCCAACTGCCAGATGGTTACGCTCAAGTGTATTCATACGATTGAAATGATCTATGAAACCAATCGAACACTGGGGAAATCAAATTCATACAAGTAAATTCAACATCATGAACGAACAGTATAGTATAATGCATACAGATCTACTGCGTCTTCTTAAGCTTGTTGGCCACAGGGGCAGAATAAAGCCAAACAACAACGAAAGCCAAGAATCCACCAATAACCGACCAAAGACCGGCAATCCAAACCCAACCGCCACTAATGGCCCAGCTGCGCGGGTACTCATCGTGAGCAAAGTGGCGGACAGTGACCTCGTGCTTCTCCTCAATGTTGGTGAAGAAAGGACGCTTGTAGTTGACGCGGAAAGAGAAGATACCGTGCTGATCGGGGGTCACAAACTTGGTGCTGAACACGGTGCCGGTTTCGGTTCGGCTGGTCGGCTGGAGGGTCAGGCGGTGGAAAGGCGAGAGCATGGTGAACTCGAGCTGGAGCTCGTCTTCGCCGGGAACCTCGAAGGGAACCCACTTGTCGAAGACGTACTCGGAAATTTCAATGTTGTAGACCTGTAGGGGGATTTTGGTTAGCTTTAAATATAGGAATTGGATACTGATTTCACGTACAGTCTCATTCTTAATACGGTAGATGGAGGGATTCAACTCCGCACCCTCAGTGGCGAGGTGGTGCTCGACCTTGTCAACCTTGAGGACACCAGTCTCCTTGAAAGCCCAGCCGGTCAGCTGCTTAGCGAACTCACGGTTCACCGTGGAGGTCTTCTCGCCGCGGGGGTCTTGACGGAAGCCGAGAACCACTTGTCCTCAAGCGATTCCACCGAGCCGAGAACGGTGAAACGGGCCGAGTTGCGAGCCTGCATAGCCGAGACAATGTTCAGCTGCGAGCCGGTAGCCAGGATATCCTCGGCCGCGGGCATCTCCTCCTTGGGGTTGTAGCTGTAAGCGGTAGCGGGGGCCTTCAGTACGGGAGCAACAAGGGTGCTGTCGGACCCCAGAGTCTGAGGAGCGACCCGAGGGAGGGCCAGAACACCTTCGCCGTCGAAGAATGCCTTCACGTCGGGACGGAGAGGTCCAGGGCGCTGGAGGACAAGAACGTCATGCTTCTCGGCGGAGGAGAGGGTATCATAGTTGAAGTGGTCGACAACAACCGCCGAGCGATCATCCGCGAGGTGGATGTCGAGCTCGAGGAGGAGGGAGCTGACAGCGCTGGAGGTCGAGGACTTGCCGGAGAGAGCGAGGAGGATGTTGCCATCCTTGTTCATGAAGTCGAGGATGTGCTTGGGGGTCAAAGAGGGGCCGAGGCCTGTATAGTTGAGTCAATTGACAAGGATTCAAACCAATGAGATTGATATTGCCCACCTTTAGACTTAGGAGGAAGAATGAGGAGGTGGTCATAAGCTCTTTCGCCATGCTTGAACAGGGAAAGCTGTTCACTTTTGGGGGATTCAATCGAAACATCGTAGCCACGAGCTGAGATTTGAAAGTCAGCAGGGTACTGCAGGTAGAGCCATCCAAAATACCTTCTAGGTCTGCCCACAGCGTGGAGTACAGGCTCTTCTGCTCTGTGTCTTCCAGAACCGCCAACAGACGACTGCCGGAGCTACTCAGCGCATTTACCGCAGCCAAGAAGCAGCAAATAAGCAACGCAAGGCACCACCGCATCTTGAATAATTTCCGCACAGCGGAGCGGAAGGATCAAAAAGAAAGCGAAAAGGAAGGTGATGAAGTATGAGTATAGCCAGAAAGGGCGACGTGTTAATGGGCGAATGCCAAGACCTAAGAGCGCTGGGTCCGCATCTCCGAACTTCGACCTCACTTCTTCCCCACGGCTTCAATTTTGCTCCTCGCTTTCACCACTGCCACACCACAACCACCCGGTGGAACCGCGCATTTATCTATTCGAATCCTCCTGATCTGTAGGATTCGATCCATCAGACATTGACCTCCGACTTCAATCGACTGGAAATCCCCGATCGGTCCTCGACGTCCGGCCTCTTCCTGCAGCCATGTCTACCCCTCAGTTCTGGTCGACTCCCCTCCGCTACATCCGCTGGGCCTCCTACGAGAAGCCCGCCATTCTCTACTCCCTGATCATCGGTTCCATGGGCCCCGTCGCGCTCTTCGGTATCCCCCCGATCCGCCGCGCCCTCGGCGACGTCGACCCCGAGCCTATTCCCCTGACATATCCCAGTATGAACCACCTACCCCCTTCAGCTTGGTGTATTAGCATCAGAAACATATATGGGACCTCTGAAACTAACCAGCATCTTCGATATATAGTTCCCCAGGGTAAGCGGGTGATCCCGCAGGGCTACGATGACGAATAAATAATATCCGAGCCATGGAATTGTTAAGCTATCGGAAATTTTAAGAATCATCGTGTCGTGTGCTCGGGATAAACCCAACGGATGGCAGGAGATGGATTTGACTGTTCCATTGGTCAAGGTGGAATGATGAACAAGGCCCAACATGAGCATGGGCAATCGGAAAGACTTGTTTTGAGCCGCCTCTCTTGTGCATCGGAAATGCTTTGATACCAATATTTGTTGCGCGTATTTTGGATGTCGAGCCTGCGGCGCAGTGTATGTACTATTTTTTGTGCAATCATAAAACCGACATCATGTCGTTTTCCTATGCTTCGAGTATATGGTCTAAAGTCCTCTGGCTGGAGAATCTGTGATCTGAAAGGTAGTATTTTTTAACGAGTATGGAGTATGGGCTTTGAAGTTGTGGAAAGCTCGCCTTTGATCGAGGGAAATGATGCTCGCCACCTGCAGTAGTGCATTCGCTTACGCACGATTGAATGATACACGCACAAAGTGAAAGTCAGGAATGTGAGCTCAATTTGGAAAAAAGATCAGTGGTTATGTAAAGATATTTGGATATAAATCAAGAAGAATCATGACACAAACAAATTCATTAAGGCCATGGAGCCGATCCACGATCTTGCAAAAGCAAAACATCAACCACAAGAAGACGGACCAACGCCGTAAATGCTCATATCTACATGTAGCTCACCAGCCTTAGTTTATCGAAGAACAGCGCTCTCCTCGCAAACCAAACCAAAGGCATGAGAAACAAAAGGAGAATATGGAAAAGCCCCTTCCTCCAAAGGGACGGACAAAACATGTTGCTAAGAAGACAAATCCTGTACACCGTTACACCAACAACAAAGCCGCATTATTGTGGGGGTGAGTATTCCCGGAATCCACGAGACCAGAGAGAGAAAGAAACAAAACGCTCAAGCCCAAGCCACCTTTTCGCGAACTCAATCAAGACACATCACTACTACTCCTGGCTGGCAGTTGCACAAAAGCACGGAGAGAAAGGGAAAAAAGGAGACAAAGTTCCACGGGAAGTCCAAGCTGCTACCAGAGAGCAATTGGGTTCAGTTCCAGTGGAAGTCCGTGGCAAAAGAAGTGGCATTCCCATCCAATGGAAAGTGGGAAGTCCCCGAACTGGGCCTTTTGTGGGATATGAGATATCTCGGCCTGATTTGAAGATCCTGAAATGGAGAAATATTGGGGTTTGAGAGGGTGGCCGAGAAGAAGAAACATAGAGATCGTCCAGGATTTTTTTTTTGTTGTCGTGGACATTAACGTTATCCTCAGGATTATTTCGAGGATATTCCAGGGAGGAAGTATCAAGTGGGGCCACATTGTGAATGGATGGAGAGAGAAGAAATCATGAATGCAGGAAAACCATTTGGGGGCGAACATTTCTGTCTACCGCCGACGATGTGTGTTGTCTCTGGTTGCTTGTGGTCTGCGCTCATATTCTGGAGTGTATCTGGGCTCCATTCCTATCCGGGGATCCGGGGCAGTAGTGGTAGGATAAGCCATCCCGGAAGTTACGGGAGAATAGTCCTGCTCGGCATCATATCCTGGCCCCGGGTATCGGGGAGCATTGCTTCGGCCATTGTCGTATCCATACCCCGTGGGAGCGTAGGTGTACGATTGGGGGTGCATGTCCGCCGCCGTCACGACGGGCTGATTGGAGCCAGAGTAGGAAACCTGGGGTGGGGGGTACGGGGCTGTACCGGATGCGTATGGCGAGTGAGTAGATGTGTATGCAGGAGGAGGGTTGGTGTAGGGGGCATTCTGGGATCCACTGTAGGGACTCTGGGAATAAGGATCCATGTATGGCTGCTGCGCAGGAGCGGCAGTAAATGGTGTGGGGGATGGACCCTGTTGTTGGCGAACCTCATGGACAGCCGAAGCAGCATAGTTCGCTGGTGAGGTGCTAGGGGGTCTTGAATGTAACTACCTCTGGGATAGCCTAGGTCAGCCCGGCGTGAGACATCCGCCTCCCAGCGGGCGGAGTCAGCCTTCAGGTCAGTTATCATCTCCTGTATCCAAGGTGTGGTTAGAATCCCATCATCAGATGTCCGGCTAGTTGTCGTTTGTCCATGTCGACTTACAGATGTGAGGTTCCGATAGGCACGGATGAAGAATCCCGGGCGGCCCTATAGATGGTCAGTATAAGGACCCTGAGTCATAAAAGAATAGGAAACGTACACCATGGTTGCCGGGTCTCACGAGTGCATCATTTCCAAGGTAGCGACAAATATCTGCTTGAATGACTTCTCGGCTGATTCCGTCGCCGGGGATGAAATATTCATTCTGACGCTCCGGGCGCGATTCATAGCGGCCTGTCATAATGTCCGATGGAAATGTCCGGTTTAAATTTAAAGTCCTCGGATCCAAAGTGGCCAGAAAGAAAGAGGAAATCCGAAGTGGTAGATCTGAAGATCCAGGGGAAGTTGATGGTGGTGAGTCCGTTTTATTGTAGGATGTACAGTTTCTATGAGGGCGACGAGTAGGTTCCAAAGCCGATAATCACGACTTGAATGGGTTCTTTCTCGATTCCAGGGCAAACAGACAACGAGATATGATCCTTGGGAAGTGGCCAGAAATGAAAATTTGATCCTGGTCGGCAATAGCAAGTCCTTGGAGAAGTCCGGTAAATCCTGAGGGGTAAAGTCCACGCTGATTGTTCACTGGGGCAATTATCCTGGGAAAATCGAAGTCCTAAAGGGTTGGCGAGTGAAGAGTGAAGAGCGAAGAGGTGACACAGCGCAATTAGGAGAAAGAGAAACACGTGGGGGGTTGACGTTCCTCTAGGCTGTCTCTGTTCGGATGAACCAGGTGCCAAGTGAAAGGGTAGAGTAGTCTAGCAAGAATGTCCAGGAGATTGAAGAGAAGAGAAGAGGAAAGAGGAAGAGAAAGAAGATGAAAGGAAGAAGAGGGGGGAACTAAAGTGGGCTACAGGCGAAGGGCGGTTGGGCCGTCTTGGGCTGGTGCCACGACTCCCCACTGAGATCAAAAGCATGCATGGTCGAATGTGGATTAGAGCATGTACGACCCTGTCTGTAGCCGCCTTATGCCAAAGAAAACCCAGGGCTTACGGAGTACATGTTACTTCCCTTTTAAAAGTACATACATAAGTACTAGTACAGGGCTTACCTAGAGTTTGGAAAACAAGGCCGATCCCCCCATATATTGATCAGCTTGGATTGCCCTTCAGTCTGTGCCCCTGGTTAATATAAAAAGTCTACATCTCCACCAAGTAGTGGACCTTTGGGGAGAAAAGAGAGCTGACAATGAGATCATAAGGAGAGTCAGATGGTCAAATGTGGCCAAAAAGGGGGGGACATAGTAAGCCTTGTGATTGCTCACTGTAAAGACCATGACAGCAAGTGCAAAAGAACCAGTGGCAAGTTCGCGGATTGCCACTTGGAAAGCTGATATCCACCAGATGGGCGTTGGGCACGAATGCGTGGCTTTGGGCACCTGAGGGTTGCCTGTCCACTCAGAGATCGGCTGTGTCAGCAGGATCGCACAGATCGGAGATCATCCTGGCTTTCTTTTTTCACGTTCGAGACCGAAAATCCTGCAGACTGGCTTTCACTGGGTTCTCGAGGTTCTCAGGGGGAAATAAGCAGTCATTTAGCGCTGGAGACACTCGCAGGGCTCAAGTTGCAGACTTTTATGCCTTAGACTAGGACATCTGATTATAGAAAATAAGAAATCAAACTAAACAAATAAACAAGCCATCTACCCTCATCGAGTATCAGAGTGTCCTGCGATGTCAACACAAGAAACGCGAACCTGAGGAACCGTAGCACGTGCACACGCTAAGCCTCTTTGAGAGTTCCACCTCGAAGCTCTCTCTTCAACTACAATGGCCGATAGCGAGCTATGACGCACTCGTGATGTCCGAACCCACATCTGAATCCTTGAAGACCTCTCGTTTCACCTACCGACACTTGCAAGGACTGCGACACGGATCCACGGCAACGCCCCTGCGCGTGATTGCGCATATCGACCTCGATGCCTTCTATGCGCAATGTGAGATGGTGCGCCTGGGGACACCGCGCGAGACACCCCTGGCAGTACGACAGTGGGACTCTTTGATAGCCATCAACTATGCGGCACGGCCCTTCGGAATCACACGGTTGATCAATGTCGCTGAAGCCCGGAAACTCTGTCCAGACCTCGTCCTACAACATGTTGCAACATTTCGAGAAGGAGAGGGAGGACGATGGGCGTATCGAGATGACTCTTTCAAGAATATTCAAACGGACAAAGTGTCGCTGGACCCGTACCGCGCAGAATCCCGGAAAATCCTCCAGACGATGAAAGACGCCCTGGCTACCTGGAGTACAAATGATGCGGAAGGTGAAACTCTGCGTCAGACACCAGGGGTTTCGGCTGGCTTGGAGAAAGCTAGTATAGATGAGGTCTTCATTGATATATCTCCCGTGGTCTTCAAGGTGCTTCTTGAGAGATACTCAGAGCTTCGGACGGGTGTCCAAGATGAGAACCGGGATACGCAGCTTCCCATACCTCCAACTACAGCCTTGCAATGGGACACAGATTGCCTGATTGACCTAAATAACAATGAAATGGAAGAGGATGACCCAGATTGGGACGATATCGTTATGTTGATAGGATCTGAGATTGTGAGGTCGGTTCGGAACGCGGTCTGGGAGAAGCTCAGCTACACTTGTTCCGCGGGACTTGGCCGGAACAAAATGATTGCAAAGCTGGGAAGTGCTTGCAACAAGCCTAACCTGCAGACTATCGTACGAAATAGGGCCGTGCAGAACTTCATGAGCAGTTACAAATTCACTCAGATCAGGATGCTCGGTGGTAAACTAGGTGAACAAATTACGGAGGCGTTCGGGACGGAGAAAGTGAGCGATTTGCTCAATGTGTCACTTGAGCAACTCCGTGCCAAGCTAGATGACCATACGGCATCTTGGCTCTACGGCATTATCCGCGGAGATGACCGCAGCGAGGTCAACCCTCGAACCCAGATCAAGTCTATGCTATCAGCAAAGTCTTTCCGGCCGAGTATCAGGTCAGTTGACCAAGCGGAGAAGTGGCTTCGCATTTTCGCCGCTGATATCTATGGCCGGCTGGTGGAGGACGGCGTGCTTGAAAACAGACGCCGCCCCAGGGTTATTACTCTGCATCACCGAACCTCTCAGCCTCAACCTCATTCCAAACAGACCCCAATCCCAGCATCGAGTACTATTGACGAGACCCTGCTTTTCGACCTGGCGAATAATCTGCTTCGTCAAGTTGTGGCTGAGGGACAGGCATGGCCATGCTCCAACCTGTCATTGAGTGTCGGGAGCTTCCAAGAGGGCGTGACTAATAACCGGGCTATTGAAAGCTTCCTGCTTCGCGGTGATCAAGCAAAGGCTTTGACTCATGTTTCAAGACCCCGAGATGCCGACACCCCTCCTACTGAGCAACCAACTGAGAAACGGCGGAAGCTTGACGACGAGAGGATAAAGCAATTCTTCGGAAAACCATCCTCTCCGGAAACCACCGGTGCAAGTGGATCAGAAATCCCACAACCACCTCTCGAAGCGGAAACAGAAGTAGCAGGGATTCCCCGTTACACATGTTCACGGTGCTCCAGGTCGATCCTCGAGAATGAAAGAGAGGAACATGAAGATTGGCATTTCGCCAAAGACCTCGCAAGCCAGGATCGCGAGGACGCCAGAGCTTCACAGCCACCCCCGCCGCCCACAACGAGCAGCGTACGAGGCTCCTTCAACCGCGGAAGGGGCGGCCGGGGTGGAGGTGGTCGTGGCAAACCAGAAAAAGGGCAGATGCGACTGGCTTTCCAGTAGAAGCAATCTCGGAGATTACAGTTCAGGATCTTTGTTTGCTCATGTATTTTTATGACTTGTTTCCACATTGCATGTTTTAGCTACGATATACCCAATCTATCAACGAGATTATGCCGCCTTACTACCCTTTCTTACCCTAAACCGAGAGACCAAATTTGCGTTTTTATGTGAATTTATGTATCAACTATTAATAAACTGGCTGATTGCATTGATTAAACGACCCTCAGATTCAAGCCAATAAATTGAGATCCAATTTCGTTTCCATTATCCCGATTTTTGTGTTTCTTTGTGTCTATCGCGAGTGAGCGAGTATAGATATGTGCACCACAGTGAATTCTTCACGCCAACTAGTGTCGGTACCCCAAGGAGTCAAATGGGAATAACCCCCACTTGCTGTCCGATACAGGCAATGTAGGAACCGTCAAGAACGTAGCCATCGACTGTTTTTGATCCGAACCGTCATAGTAGGTACTGTGTTGCGAATTGCGAACGACTTCATCTAAGTTTGAGTAGAAGCCTCAGAGGAAACAGTAGGGCGAGGCTCCACGTCAACAGGGACCGGCTCCCTAGGCGTAGGGAATGTACTGCTCCATGAGATTGAAGTCGAAGTTGGAACCGTGGCATCGGAGATGTCAGGGTTCTCAGCAGGCAGGGCGAGAGCAGTGCCAAAGAAGGAAATTGCCAGTAAGCCAAGAAGACGCATTGTGAGAAAAAAAAAAATGAGAGATGTGTTTCTTCAATGGGTATGGATTATGGTATTGGAGTTGTATGAATACCCCAACTGGCCCCGGGAATGCCGAGCATCCTTATAATCACAAGCACCGCCCATCAGGTGCCCCAGGTTCCAAACAAGTGGAGAAATATGATCTCAGGTTCACACAACCAAAGGGCCTTAACAGGGATAGATTGCCTCTGTCGATCGCTCATATGGAGGCGCTGCGCATCGACTGTGGAGCAACTATACGGCGTCCGCCCGTCCTCATCACACCAGTAGCTTGCATTCGACAAATAGCCGTACCAATTAATTAGCACAATCACGGCGCATATGCATGTCTATATATTCCTGTAGCTGCCCTTGCAAAATGTAGGTATCTTCGGGTTGTTAGGGTCCTGCAAATATAAAAACCCTGCGATCGGCGCTCTCAGTCCCCAAATATAGCACGCGAAGCAGGGGTCAGTTTCAGGTCCTAATTTTGAACCATTCTTGCTTTTGTCTGACTGCAGGCTGGATAGAAAGGCTCAATTTCCTGCACGTAGCACAACTCATCTTATTTTGGTAGCTGGAGCCATGTATATAATGCTATTCTGTTACCCAGTGTAGGTGCCATCGCCTATGGCATTGAGACAATTAGCCTCGGTTTTTCTTTTGACTTTTAGATTGGTGGACTTATTGTAGTGGTTTGTATCAGATTGAAGACTACAGAACTAGCATTGGGGACTAAAAATCTTGTATTTTGGGTCTGTTGGTCGTCGGGCCAATTATTGCGCATCGTGCTAAGCGGGTACTTATGGTTCTCCAGCAGTCTGGCTTAGATGCAACTGTACAAATACAGACCAACGACAAACTCTTGGGTTATAGCGTACACCAAACATGATATTGGATGAAGAAAGATGCCTTTGGTCTAATATCACCTGAGCGATTGGCTCTGAATTCTGTAGGTACGTGTTAGCCGATAATTTTATGTTACTCTGGGCCATCGCCAAGGCCTCTGCTACGGATGTTATATAACCTAGGATCATATATTAGTATAATTGTCAAACACTCGTCAGGACTAGAGTTGATTCTTTCTCTGCAATACCACCCATCATTATACCCACAGGCCTGTTGCGGAGTCTCACGGGACCAACACTCGACGCACCTATGTCGGACCCTGAGAAGATAGGATACAGCTGGCTTCCATTTCTTATCTTAGCAACGGATATGCACTTTGAATCAAAGGCCATGCAGCGAGTGTACTAGCCAATGAACTACCAAACACGAGGGCATTCTGCGATTTAGTGGATTGCTGCCAGAGTACTACTACAGGGACTCTGTGGCCTTTCCTCAATTCGCAAAAGTTTCTGCCTATTAGTGGTTCTTCCTGTTCGGCTGTTCGGCGAGCACCATAGTACTTTGCCATAGAACAAGCGATGGGTTCCTAGCTTTAAGGTCCAATGCACCACGACCGGTGGAGTCCAGATCACTAAAAAAACAAGGAGACAGAGATGGGTCAAATCAAGACAGACCTCGCCTCACCAGACACTAGTGTGCTTACTGGCATGCCAATTCCTTTATTAAGGACCCGGGACTTCTTGTCTCTAATCCCCTAGTGATGTTGCCTTTATACAGGGCTTCAAACACCAGGCTATTGACTCAAGCCACTTGCGTTCAGCTATGAGAAGTTATGTGAACTTGAGATGGATTGAATGCCGTCAAAAAGTTATTAAACGTACAAGCAGTAAAAGTGCAATATAAGTTAGCGGTCAAAGAGACAATGTGGGAAGTTCCTAGGCAGCCATGTAACCGGAGATCCACAATGTCTCACCACGGGCCTCGAATGGACCCTGAAGCCGAGTCGCATCTGATAAGATTACGGGTTTACCAACCGTGGCACAGGGCATCGGCTAAACCTTGAGCCCTACTTGAGAGTCCTGCCAATGTCAGATGCAAGTATGTCGAGAATTTTCAACTGAAACAAAATATAAGACTCAAAGGTATGTGGCTTGTCTCTTCGGGACTGGGCGAGGTATTTCTCGGAATAATGCGCGCCATGGGAAAGAATTAGTCAAGCTAGAGTCAATTTCGGTTACAACGAAGCCCGGTGGAACCACCAGGCGCGGACAAGGCCATAATCCGGCCAAGCCTTTTAAAAGGGCTTGTCTTCGCACTTCAACAAGGTAAAAACGCTTGGCCAATTTGCAGGCATCCTTTGTCAACCACAGGGCACACGACATTCCTCGCATCATGGCTATCGTCAAACCCGCATTTACGGAAGAAGTCATTCAAGGCCCAACGCCTCCGAGTCCACAGCGAGACAGAGTGTCAGAAGATGAAGATCAGCAAGATGGTGTTCGAGTCGCTGAAGCCGTCACTAAGACGTGGTCGAAGAAGTACCTGATTTGCGCATATGCTAGGTGAGAAAAGCCGGCTGACCTCTTTTGACCGAGCTGGACTAAAGGAGAAATAGTATGTGGCTGGTATACTTTACCAATTACCTCAACAGCAGTTTGACTGCGAATCTGTCGGCCTATATTACAAGTGGTTTCTCGGAGCACTCGCTGCTCTCCGTCATCTCTGTCGTCACCAGTGTCATGGGTGCGGCGTGTTTGATGCCAATCGCTAAGGTCTTGAACCTGTGGGATCGGACAACTGGGTTCATCATTATGATCCTGATTGCTATAATGGGCTTGATTATGATGGCTGGTTGCCACAATATTGCGACGTATTGTGCTGCCCAAGTGAGATACTGACTCCCTCTGAGTCCGCCTCGACACAAGGACTAATGCATCCGCAGGCATTCTATACCGTCGGTTTTACTGGAGCAATTTTCTGTATTGATGTGATGACCTCCGATACTTCATCGCTTCGCGACCGAGGTATCGCTTTTGCGTTCACCTCTTCTCCTGGCATGATCACTGCGTTCTCAGGCTCGCCTCTGTCAAACCAATTTCACGAAACAAACTGGCGTTGGGCCTACGGAACAATCTGTATCGTTCTCCCTGTCGTCGCGTCACCCTTGATCGTGGTATGGCAATTGGCCAAAAGAAAGGCAGCCAAGGAGGGCCGACTACACTATAAGCCCCGGAGCACGCGAACTTGGCTTGACAGCATTCGGTTCTATGTTATCGAATTCGACAGTAGGTTGACCACTTACACGGTTTACGCTGTGCAAAATCCCACCATAAGACTGACTGTCTCCTAGTTATTGGCATTTTCCTCATGATCGGAGGCACGATTCTCTTCCTGACATCTTTCAACATTGCCGGCAACACACAAGGCCAGTGGAAGTCTCCTAAGATCATTGCCATGATGGTAGTTGGGTTCTGTGTCTTAGTGGGCTTCGCCGTCTACGAGCGATGGTTGGCCCCGAAGCCCTTCATCCCATACCACCTCCTAACCGATCGCACTGTTATTGGAGCTTGTCTATTGGACATAACCTACCAGGTCTCCTACTACTGCTGGGCCAGCTACTTCACCTCGTACCTGCAAGTTGTGTACAACACCAGCCTCACGCAGGCCGGGTATATCAGCGCAATCTTCGATTTCATGGATCCGATTTGGTTGATTGCCTGTGGTTTCTGCATCCGCCAGACTGGTAGGTTCAAGTGGCTCCTGTGGTTTGCTGTCCCGCTATACCTTCTGGCTAGCGGACTCATGATCTACTTCCGCAGTCCGGGCCACAGCGTCGGGTATCAGTGCATGTGTCAAATATTCCTCGCCGTCGGAGGTGGTACGCTTATCCTGATCGAGCAGATTGCTGTGATGGCTGCGTCCACTCATGAAGAATACGCCGCCATGCTGGCGCTGCTGAGCACCTTTGGAAATATTGGTGGCGCCGTTGGTAGTAGTGTGTCGGGTGCTATCTGGACGAATACACTCCCAGTCAAGTTACGCGAGTACCTACCAATGGAGTTGAAGGACCAGTGGTCTGTTATATATGAGGATTTGGAAACACAGCTGAGCTACCCGGTTGGGTCGCCTGCTCGTATCGCCATTCAAGATGCTTATGCGTTCAGCCAGAGGAACATGATGATTGCTGGCACTGCTATTATGGGGCTTTCGCTTGCTTGGGTGGCAATTATGAGGAATATCAAGGTGCACAATGATAAGGACTTGAACAAGGTCCTGTTTTAGGTTAATATCCACCAATATGGAGACTTTCTACTTGTCAAGACAAGCCCACGAGACAGCAGGTGACGGATTTAAGCAACGTGACCATGCACTATGGTTTTAGAAAATGCTGGTATAAGCACTCTGATTCTAGCACATGTATTTTACATCTTTGTGATTAATATCAGACAGTTACTTGAATACAGTAGTTTTCGAAATCATCTCCTATTATAGTATCTATATTTTACAATACGGATGTGAATCCCCGATCAATGTAATTTACACGAAACTGCTATACACTCGCTACCTCTGTGCGTTATCAGCGTCACCAACGTCTAGCGATGAATGCGGATGTGCGACATTCGGTCCTTTCGACTTTGCAACGATTGAGGCCTCATGCAGCCCATCTATTCCAGCCACAGAGGCCCGTACTTTCTCCGCCATCGTTCCAAACATACCTGCCCAGCGCCACCGGGTGCAAATTCCGGACGACAGTAACAGCCTACCAGGACAAGATGCATCAGATGATCCTGGCGTCGAGCAGTCCTTTCGCTATAGCAGTGGGCGATGGTTTTGGGGTGAAGAACAGCAGCTCCGAGATAGGTATAAGGCCTTTAACATTTCTCAGCTTCAAAAATTAGCAGCTCAAGCCATAGGTTCGGAGGGCTGTGACTCGATCATAAAGCTGGCAGAGGGAGGTTTCAACAATGGTTTTTCGCCTAGAAATGGATGATGGGAAAACAATTTTGGCACCCATCCCAATCCAAATGCTGGCCCCCGCCTTCTACACGACTGCCTCTGAAGTTGCGACCATGGAGTTCGTGAGTCCGATCCTACCAGGCTGAAACACACCAGACGACTCTCATTCCCGCAAGGCTCGAGATGCCCTCCAGATACCCGTCCCTCGAATAGTCGGGTGGAGTGCTACCTCCCATAACCCGGTGGGATCAGAATATATCTTCATGGAAGAAGCGACCGGATCGCAGCTAACTACCCAGTGGGATGAATTGAATCCAGATGCGAAACGTGCAATCATGAGGGAGGTTGTGGCCATCGAGACAAAGATGCTGTCGGTATCATTTTCACAGTATGTTCTCCTCCCTAATTTTAAACACGCTAGTCCAAATATGGTATATCGGTCGATCCCATTGTTCCTAAAGTAGAAACTGTATTTTACATGACGTGGGTGGGACCCTGTCTTTTGTAAATTACACCTGACAGACACCCTACACTAGCTTGCAATATGGTCCCGAGACTTGTCCCCTCAAAGTTGCATCTTATCCGTGGTATGATAGAGAGCCAGTCACTAATAACAACTCAAATGGCCGAAGAAGCCGAATGCAGCAAGGTCGAGATCATAAACATTCGCAAAACCTTGCGGCATTTTGGCAGCGTCCACGCACCACCAACTCGCATAGGTCGGAAACCAACGGTAACATCTCTATGTCTGCGCTGTTGTGCTCTTGCACGAGCAGCCTCCGACTTGCGCTTCTAAATGATTTCAACACACTAGGTCGACATCCGAAATGCACGAAGCCGGAGCCTACCCAAAGTTAGTACTACAACACACCGAAGCCGCTGAGTGGGAGCTTACCCTAAAAACTTTTGCAGAAGCTCCTTTTTTACATTTTCCAAGGCACTTTTGCTCAAGACAGTCGGTAAAGACTTTCGCCGCGTCTGGGATTTCATTCTGGCACTATATTATCATAATTAGTTTCATGGGAGCAGCAGCCTATGGCTAGACACGTATCGTACCTTTTGAATTGCTTGTGTCTACTTGCTATTAGTTTCTCTGGGATTTGAATGTATGTATAAAACTTACAAATGAGGGCTCCCCAATCTTGTCGATGATACACTTTAAACAAGAGGTTTTGTCACCATTTTTCGAATGCTTTTTGCACTGGGAATTGAGCGACATCAATTTCCCTAAACTTAGTTTGCATCCTCCTGCTGCTACTGCTGCGATGAGCATAGAAAACAACAAAGCCCACTGAATACGCATTTCAGGAAATAACGAGCTTAACACTAAGCTCCGAAGAGAAAATCTATTGCTGATGATCGTTGAGGAAGTATTGCAGCTGCGTATGTGGCAAATTCAAATCAATAGCGCATCTAACTAGAGGTAGAGTAGGATGTCAGAGCTTCTTATATCATATGTGGTTGGGATGGCCTTCAAGTGGCTGGGGCAGGTGGCAAATCTGGGATGCTATTATTGCTGCCCCTTGCATGCTGTCGTAAGAGATCGACGTGTGATTATCTCTACACAGTTAGGATGATCCTAGTTGGGGCATTTTAAATATATCTTGTGCAAATAACTAATCATTATCTGATCGTCCTTAGCTGAGAAGGCAGTAAGATGTGATAGCTTGAGATCGCAACCCTACTTATGGCAGCTGACTTGGCATGTTCCACTGTAGCTGCCGGTCGCGTCGACAAAAGGAGTTGAGTCTAAGCCAAGATAGCTCTAAACATTGCCATTGGAGTGAGATTTGTGAGCTGTACGTGGAAAACTACTATACCCTTTGCTTTTACAATATACCATTTACGACAATCCATCCTAAAAGTAGGAATGCTCAGGACAGTCAATAGTTACTCACCGCGTGGAAGGCATCAAGCAGCGCAGCTTGATTAATACTCCGAATCTGAGAAATTGCGATTGATGGCATAAGAACTAGTTATCATGTGCAGGTTTGGATGGGCCCCTGGGGACACTGAACGAGACGAGCATAAATACTCGAGCCCTTAAAGCGAGGACAGCAATGTTAAGTAAAACTGCCAGATGTATAATGTTTGGATAAAGAAAGAATGGATTTCGAGCCCTAAAAACAAAGGGCTCCCGAACAAGCTTGCTGAAAACGGCAATTCGTGCCAAAGAACCATGGATCGCTTAAGGCCCGCGGATAATTCCGGTACCCAAAGATTTCCGAGGTTTATAGATCTAGTAAACAAGAGATTATACTTATGGCGCTACACGTACTGTATACTCCATTGATCCTTCAGCGTACGAGAATGACATCAGCCCGCCGATCCCTTCTCGTCAGCGTCACACGGCCAACGTTTACATTTTTCGATCCACGTCATTGCGTATCGTTTACAGTTTGTACTTCATTTTCTTCCTTCATTCGCTTTCGAGTTACTCCACATAGAACCAAGTGGCTCGTCCACGATAAACTCTGCAATCAAAACCTGTAGGGCTCTCGTGCCCCACTCCATGTAGCGACTTAGCCGCCAGCCACCAGCCGTCGCGTTCAGCTTCTGACGTTTACTCTGAAAAGCTTCAAAAGGCACTCGCGTTTACCTTGATATCTGAAGAGTTTCTGGCGACGAAAACGCATCTTCGAGTCGCCAGCGCGAGCCAGCTGACTTGGGCTAGTATTTAATGTGGTGATTCGTGATTCCCCGCACTCGCATCCCACTATGTCCCGCCGCCCACCACCCCGCGATTATTACGACGAGGAGGAAATGTACGAAATGGAACGAGAGCGTGAAAGAGACCATCGACCGCGCCGACGAGATCGCGAATATGACGACGATATCGAATATCGGCGCCGAAGGTCCGACCCACCGGTCGAGGATTTGGAGCGTTTACACCTCCGAGAGGCAGACCGCCCTCGACGAGATTTCATGGAAGAAAGCTTTGCGCATCCGAGTGGGCGGGATGATATGATGCTCAGGCGGTCCAAGGAGGAAACCGTCGTCCTATCGCCCGAGCGTCGAGATCACGATGAACCCTACATGCCGCCCTCGGGATCTCGGCTCCGAAATCATCCTCGGGAAATCGTTGATGAAGATCTTATTATCGAAGAACGCGAGAGGCGTCGGGGAAGCAGGAGGCATCCACGAGAGGTAGAGGACGATCTTATCGTCGAGGAGAGAGAACGACATGGTGATCGGAGCCATCGACCAGGACGAGAAGTCGAAGACGATTTGATTGTTGAAGAAAGAGACATGCGCCGTGAGGGGAGACATCGCCCTGACCGCGTACCCGCGGGGGACTTAATTGTCGAGGAAAGGGACCGGCGTGGGGATAGGAGACGTCGCCAAAAGACAGAATTCGAAGAAGATGATCTTCTTGTCGAACGGGAGAGGCGTCGAGGGGGCAGGCGGCACCCACGGGAGATTGATGAAGAAGGCCTCATAGCCGAAGAGAAAGAAAGACGCAGAGAGCGGAGGCCTCCCCAGACCGCGAATTCGAAGAAGATATACGCTTCGAGGAAAGGGAACGGCGCAGGCCGAGCAGGCGCCATCCAGAACGACGTTCTGAAGATGATCTTCTTTATGAGACCGAGAAGCGCAGAAGCAGGCGCCGTCCAGAGCGCAGGTCTGAGGACGATCTCATTGAAGAGAGAAAAATACATCGGTCCAGCAAGAGCAAGAGGCACCCCGAACGCGATCTTGAAGAAGACCTGATCATTGAAGAGCAAGGAAGGCACGATGAAGAAAGGAGGCGCCGCGAGTTTGAAGAAGATGAAATGGTCATTCGACGAAGAGGAAAGGAACCACCCATGCGCCGCGGATGGGACAGTGAACAAGACTTTCGACGGCGCGACAGAAGATTTGAGAAGGAGCGAGATGAAGTCTATCTCCGCTCACGGCCTAGACCTCCACCTTCTCGTGGGGTGGAAGTGGAGGAAATTTTGGACGAAAGACCGGCGGAGCGACCCCGGGGCGCCATGGAGCGCCAAGAACGAGAATTTGAAGATGATGATGTACTCATCCGGTGGAAGGGCAAAGGCCGCCGGCCACCCCACCAAGGCGATGAGGAGGAGCTTATTTTGCGCGAACGACGAGAGCGACGGCAGAGCCCTCCAGTGGAAGAACTCGAACGTGAGCTGAGAGAACTCCGTCGAGCTGACAGAAAGGAAGATCTAGTGGATGATGAGATGTCAACGCGCTCCACATTTGATTCCAAATCGCACCCCCGAGACCTCGAAGAGGATGAGGAGCTAGATGAAGAAATCCGAATCCGAAAGACCAAGAACAAGCACCCTTCACGCTCACCTTCACCTTCCATGGAGTCAATCCATGTTCCTCCGATTCACCAAGATGTTTTTACACACCACAGGCACATCGATCATGGTAAGCAGCTTTGTTAGCCAGATATGATCTCTGCTAAATGACCATAGGTTTCGAAGATGGGCATCCACCTCATGTGCCTAGTCCAGGTTTTAGGAAAAAAGGCAGCTTTGACGAAATCGATATCCGCCATCGGTGAGCACCTAGGATATCCCCTAGCTTTGACAGCCCTAACACACGTAGTAGGAAACTGCGAGGTGGCCGAATGTCCGAAGAGGATATAGCCATCAAACACCGCAATAGCGATGAGTCAATCTCTCCGACAAGCCATCCATCTGTGGACTTCCATGATCCATGGGAGCGTGGCACATCCACCTCTCGTCGGACCAGACCATTGGATGATGACAACGAATCCTTAGGTACTGCGAGGTCGTTTAGCCGTAGCAGAAAGGATGCACCCATCATGCATGATCTGGAAGAAGATATTGAAATCGAGAGCGCCCCGACAAAAATACGCGCCCCTCAGGACACTGATGGTTGGTCTGTAGTCCAGGCACCCACGCGGGAAGAAGCCATCGAGATGACAGGAGCTCTGGACATCATTGAAGTCAAACCCCGGCGCAAATCCGTGGAACAAGCAGAGTCAGGGCGAGTTGCACAGCAGATAACCGAGCCCAAGGTTGTGCGAGATGACCGATGGACTGAAATTACTAAGAAGCTAGTAGTCAGAGAAGCGATCGAAGAGATGGGGTATGAATATGAAGAGACACGGGCCTATTACTACATATTTTCTTACCTCAAGCCGGTAAGTATCGACTGGCCCTCCAGTGCCTTGCAACTTAACTTTGTTCTGACATTTCATCTGCACAGGAGGACATAGATGAGCTTGTTGATTTGACCGATTCTATTCGCAGCGCACGCCGCAGGCGGATCACTGAGATCCATCGTGAACGTTCATCTGTGCCGCCGCCCATGCCGCGCGTGCGGCCACACATGGGTCCTCCTCGTATGGGCATGCCCCCGCGTGCACGTATGATGGAGAAGCGTATGCGCGAGATGAGAGATCGAGATTGGGTGCTTGAACCCCAATGGTGATTGGTTCCGAAGTGCAACAGACAGGAAGTCGGACAGGCAGAAGGCAGGACAACCAGACAGGCGGACAGTGAAGTGGAACACAGAGTGTTTACTGATCATATGAATGTAGTGAGAGTGAAGATATCTATAAAACGTGCTTCGTGTAGCACGTGCTACTTTCCAGCCCTCCATCGTGCCTTCGCTTTTGGGACATGAGACATGAGACTCTTCGAGCTCTTGCTTTCCTTTTTCATCTTCGGCTCTCACAACTCGCGTCCACAAGTCTCTTGTTTACCTTCCTTCATCCTGCATATTTCCATTCTTCTTAGTATCTTGAGCCTTGGTCATTCTTCATCTGCTTTTACCACTCCATTTACATTCATCTTCCTTCTGGGCCGCGTTCTGGAGCCTCCAGTGCTTGTTATACATCCTTACTGGTGTTTCGACCAAGCTAACGGCAAGAATGTCGACCGCGGAGCTCGATGGCTCGCTTGAAAGTCTCTCGCCGAGCAGCATCCATGGCTTAGGCCTGCGTCGCTCAGCTACTGTCATACGTGTGAATGATGAACGCTTCAATATCCCCTCCACCCAACGAAAGATCCTTCTCCGCCAGCTCAAAGAAGCATTGAAAGACAAGAATGTGACAGTCCCATTCTGGGCATGTGTCCAAATCTGTGACCTGGCGAAGCTCGAATTCATTGTCCAGCTGGCAAACCTCTCAGGCCCAATCATGGAAATCATGACTGATCTTCTAGCTAGCTTGCCTTACAAGTGGACACAAAGATTGTCGCCGTACCATGAGTTCGAAACAGAATCAACGAATTCGACTGATGACCCCCGATATGCAACTGCTCCAAGTGCAAAGGACGCTGCCAGAGAACGTGATGGCTACAAGTGTGTGATCACTGGCGCTCGCAAGGTATACCAGACAGCTCGAATTTTCCCCGTTTTGGTTACCAAACCTCCTACACTAGTCGAACCGGCTTTCCCGGGCATTTGGAAGTATGTGGACCTTTTTTGGGATCGCAGCACCGCTGAACGTTGGAAAAAAGCCGTGTTCAATAGCTCCTTTGATCCTGAGCGCCCCGTCAACGATTGCACCAATCTTATCTGCCTTCGGAGTGATTTACGGTCCGCGTGGGCCAACGGCTTGTTTGCATTACGCCCAGTCTCCGTTTCTGATGACGAAAGTGAAATCGAAATTGAATTCCACTGGCAGCCACGCGCTGGCCATGCAACATCTGACTTAGTCGATGTGACCAAAGAGCCTGTCCCCTCGAAGAATGTCAGTAGCGTTGAGGACCTTGTTGTGGTCGTGTCTGAGAGAGGCAGCTCTTTCCTTCCTATCCAGTCGGGTCATCGGTTCAAAATAACCACAGACAACCCCTTGGATCATCCGTTGCCCAGTTTTGACCTGCTCGATATGCAATGGAACTTCACTCGCATGGTCTCCATGTCTGCGGCCGCCGATACCTTTGATGATGGGGATGATGAAGATGACGATGATGGCAGAACCACAGTACAGTACGACTACGACTACCAGAAGCCCCCCACCGAGTCCGGGGAAAGAAGCATTGGTGAATGGCTCCAGTACGCTGACTCCAACCTCTCGCCCTTTGACCGGGACGAGTCTCCCCCGGCTCGGAGTTTTACGAAGACATCAGCGATTCGATGTCGATGGTCGGCCCGCTGCCTGGTCTACCCGACTTCGAGCCCCCGAAGAAGCGCAGCGTGAGCCGCGGGGTAGTGGACTACGTCGAGGACGTCCCCGAGGAGATTGCCCGGATGAGCGACTTCCCCAAGTTTGAGCCCAAGCAACGCAGTGTGAGCATGACCTCGGTGGGCTCTGAGTTCTCCATGGTTCAGCTCTCGATGACCCTGGGAGACGAAGAGGGAGGTGGAAAGGAGATGGCGAGTGAGTGAGGCAGGGGGAGCCGAAGTCTTGAGATACTTTTTATGTATGATTTGAGCGGAAAGTGATCTCTCGTTGATAGCGTAGCAGCGCAGAAATGTGCTTTTGATTGATTGGAAATGTAAGACTATTGTCGAAACCGCATTCTCCCATCAAGGTAGCCCTAAACGGCCAGTCCGGCTTCTAGACCTGTGTGGCGAATGTTCCAATGATCACCACTGTACGCTTGTTTCAGACTCGACGCCAGCTGCAAGCCACCAGGCACAATTGGCATGCATCAACTGGACTCCTCTAAGCCTCACCGCACATCCACTCTTGAACTGTGAACAGGCGATAGCGTAACCCTAAGTTCCTGTGCCGTGTGCATATGTACCATTACAAAATCCAAGGATCTCCTGGTGCGACCGGGTGGGAGATTAAGTGGGGATCACGTACCATACCATGTCAATGTGGGTTTGTCTCAGCCATATTAAGGCTGAAAAAATACAGAATTGGCACGGCATAGAAGGTCTGGGTTCTTTGCTCACTTATTATTAGAGATGGAAGTTCTCCGTTGCCGGTGGCTGTGTAACATATAACTTTCAACCCCTGACTAACGTTACTGTATAGACCTAGCATGCTTCGTGCGTGTCCATGTACATGTATACCCCTGACAGTTCCAGGACCAAATCCAAATCCAAGTCCAAGCAAAAACTGGAAGAAGATCTGGGCCAATCACTAGAAATTAGGATATTCAATTCCGAGATCAATCGATCGGTGTGAGTGCAGTGTGGAGACCTCTCCACAACGATTCGCCCACATGGACATGTCAGAAAATGGAAAATGAGGATGATAGGAAGACACACAAACATACAAAGAGGGCAGTATACGGAGTGTATTCATCCGGAGTATAGGAGAGTACAGGAGCACCAGCCCGGAACAAGATGGCCAGAAGAGGGGAAGAAAAGATCGACATACATGGAACTTGCATTAATTTATCTGTGCTCCCAGCAAATCAGAGCTTTCGTTTTCGCTGATCCTCGTTTCTGGCGTTTACAGTCACTGCCAAGTTCTGAGAGCAAAAGCAAGATGAGGGCGTGGATGGCTATTCGTCGGGTGTGCAACTCCGGTATGGAATGGTTGGGATTGCACTGTTGAGTCTAGAACTTGGGTAACTTGAACAGCTGGCCGGTTTGGACTGGCATTGGCGTGTACAGAGGTACGGATGTGCAACGGTTGTCCACCAGTGGATTATGATGCGAGAGTAATGTACATGTAGGTTCGGGGGTGCTAAGTTAGGCTGGACACTACAAGGAGTGCCAGTGCCTGTAACTTATTGTATAAGCCTCTTGATTGTACTATTATCTGGCTATTCAGTGGCTGGAGACGGGAAATACAAATCTGAGCTCAGAATTGGCACATTCTTGTGGCTTGGTGAGCTCTCGGTGTGGCTTGTTTCTGAGACACTGAGTTTACGTTGATTACCCACTTAATTACGTATGTCGGCTGTTAGTCTGCATCTCGTATGCATAGGAGCGAATGTTTCGGGATAACAGTGAAGAAGCAAAGAGAGAACACGAAGCAAATAAAGAAGAAAGATCAAGAAAGACAGCTGAAGACAGCTACAGACAGCTCAGCAGAGGTATGAAGGACAGGAATGTTCCATTCCCTTGGGGCTGCACAGTTTGGCTCGCCAGTCGGGAAATTCCTGTGGAGTTCAGCTCGTTTATAACAGGAAAAAAGTCAATAGACGCACAACTTATGATTCTTCCACGTGAATAATAAGAGGATTTATGATTTTATGGCTTGCGCTTTGCAAAGATAGCAGAGATAGCAGCCGTGTTGTCTTTTTTTTTTTTTTTGCTTTGCCCACTTTTCCCTCTCTTTTATGCGGTTTCATACGTGTATACTTGGCTTATTTCCCCTGAAAAGTTCTGTAGACAATTAATCAAACATCTCCAAGTAATTATAACTATAATCTCATAGCCGTCAGAAGGAAAATCAGTATCCACTGAGCGGGTATGCCGGGAAGCTCGACATACTCCGACGAGGATAGTAACTACCCGTGACGGGATCGTCATCTCCCCTTCTCCTCTCTCTCTCCCACCTCTCTTTGTCTCACCTTCTTTTTCACCCGGCGACGGTGTTTCTTTGATCACCTGCGCTTTGACGATAGCGGGGGAAACAATTGGGCTTTCGACCCTCACTCTCTTTGATCACTTCCTTGGGTGCGGTGATCGTCGCTCACAACGGTCGGCACACACAGACGGTTTTGTTGCTCTCTGGTCGCCTGGGATCCTCTCCACCATTACGACCTGCACTTCGCAACAGCTTTGGACTGGGAAATCTACAATTATTCGGCACGGGTGGTTGGGTGAAATCGTTGTTGAGGACATCCACGATGCAGGTCACGGTGTTGGTATCGACGTTCGCCCTCCTGGCACCCTTTGTGTCGGCCAGTTCGGACCTCGCCTACTGTGCCTCCGATAACACAGGCTCTTCCTTCTCATCCGGTAAGTAACGAGTACGTTTCACCGACCTGGCCATTGCTGACGGAGTTCAGTTTCGAGCACCTTCCAATCCAACGGTGCATGTCTGAGTACCTGCGCCGACTACGCCTTGGGAATTATCCAAGGCAAGAAATGCTGGTGCTCCAATGTCGCTCCATCCAAGAGCTCGCAGACCGATACTTCAGATTGTGATACGTCATGCCCGGGCTACCCAGATGATAGCTGTGGAAGTGCCTCCAAAGGGGTGTTCGCCTATGTCTCGGTCTCAGGAAATTCAGTGACCAGTACAGCGGGCGGCTCGTCGTCAACAAGCAGTACTTCCTCCTCAAGCTCGGTAAGTATTTCCTAGTTCTTCCCCGTCCCGCCTATGCATATCCCATGTTGAATGGGTCCCATCCCCGAGCCAAGTATCATAACCGGGTCTCGACTCTATTGTTTATGGTTTTAATCTCGGGGATAGGAGAGTACAACAGCTCAGCCATCGCCTGAAACTGTCACTGTGACTGCCTCGGAACCTTCCAAGGCTTCGCAAACTGTATCGTGGCATGAATCATCTATTAATGCGACACACCTTGCTGACTTTTCTCTTTAGTCTACTACCTTGCAATCGAGTACCACTACCTCTTCAGGCAGTGTTACATTCGAGACCAACTCCGGCGGCCAGGTCAAGACTATCACTGTCTCAGATTCGACTTCCACTTCTGGCGCTGGTGCTGGTGCTGACTCGGCATCGGTTGACGCCAGTGCTGCTGGCGGATCCAAGCTCAGTGGTGGATCTATTGCCGGTGTTGTAATCGGTGTTCTTGGTGGACTCGCCCTGATCGGGGCTCTCGTCTTCATGATCTTCTTCTACCGCAAGCGTGCTCGTTCCGTCAGCCCGATCCCGAGCCAGGACATGGCCGATAATCGCGACAGCAGAGGATCCAGCTTCGGGTGGCCACAGGGCGCTGATGCTGCTGCTGGTGGCGCTGTCCCTGGACGGTCAGCAACATTCACTGACCGACGCATGAAGCCCAATGCGGTTCTCTACCCGAACGGTCCCCGCGATAGCAGTGTCTCGCTGCAAGATAACGAAGACTACTCACGGCCTGTTCTTCGTGTATGTAGACCATTATCCCCTCTACTGATTTGAAATTCCCACTAACATTATTTGCAGCTCACCAACCCCGATTAAGAACCGCAAGCTGTGAACAACTGAATCTCCTATCTCTATATCACCTCTACCTCCATTTCTCTCCGCGCCTCCCACGTCATTAATAACGCGCCAAGTTCCAAAAGACAATCTTGTTATGATACCCACTTGTCGCTCAACCTGTTTATTATCTTTTCTTCTCTTCCATGGGTGTTGCCGTGGAGGAAACGGGACCGGGTAGCACACGAAGCCGTGCTCCATTTTCCATCCCGAATCTCTCAGGACCACTTCCGGTTCTATGGGTAACACAAAGACATCTACCTTGCTGGAATGGATCATATTAGAAGGTTACAGAAAATGAAGAGCCCAAGCCCTGAAATTCAAATTTGAGGATCTAATCCCAATCCCCTCCCCTGTTTTTCAAACTCCATATGCGTTTACCAACACATACATTTATCTTGCATACATACCTCCCACCTTTTTATATGGGTGACATTACACTTCACTGTTACGTTATCTGTTGACCTACTTCGTTTGACCTTGAGACAGAGAGTACATACCGTTAGTCACAGCATTTAGGACTCCGGCTTTCGGGACTGGTTTATCGCGCTCACTCTGTTTCATTGTCTTTCCTCTTTACCTTGCTCTGTTTCGATTGCTTATTGCTCTGATCCTCTTTTAGCTTTAGCTTTTGCTTGTTTCTGCCTTTTTGTCCTGTACCATTCAGCCTACCCTAATTGCTGCGCTTTTTTGCTGTTGCTTTTGTTTGCGGGATACGTCCCGTCGTGTTTAGACTGATTGATTTAACGGAACAATTCTACGCTTGATACAATGCACGAACCTAGTCTAACCCTAATCACCAAGTCCTATTGGTTTCCAGTTTGTGTTCTGTAGCGTAGGGTGGGATTGCACTGTCTAAGACTTTGGCGGCCTTGTGACCTATAGTAAGACATTCTGCTTATCTTGGGTCTTCGGGCTGGTGAGCTGACCACATAGCAACCAATCAATCAGATTCTCTCTGTCGCTTTGAACTTCTTGTTTCTGTTTAGACAGAATTATCTGTCGCTGCCATTTCGTTAATTCGTGCCTTTGGACACGAGCCTCTGTTCTTTGACTCGCCTGACTCGACTGACTCGAGCGGTTCAAGCGGGTATCATATACCCTATCTAGATGCGCTATCTACTTACTACCCCTCCGGCCAAGTTATTCATCGTTTTATTCACAGGACGAAAACGGTAATTGCCAGAGGTTGTTGGTTCCTGTAGGTTTGTATAAGCTGGCTTACAACTATAATATCTTACTGTCCAGTCAGGATATTTGCACCAATTTAGTTTATATTGACTTCATTCATGACTAAATTTATGACTACATTTATGACTACATTTGAGTTATGGATAAAAATACATGTATAAGAAGTGCGATAGTCTGTTCAACAGTCGGAAAGAAACAAGCCCTACCCGATATGAATATTGGAAAAATATCGTTCGACTATTGGACATACATGTCGTATATATCTTGATCTAATAGCATACGCCAAGTGATGAACTGTTGTACTCTCTCTTGTCAATAACGTATATTATTGAACATGACATTATAGTTTGCACACCGCTAAGCCAAGCATCTCCTAGCCGTAAATCTGAGATGCATCGAGTGCAGATTCTCTAGATCTCACAGCTTGCCGAGGCACTGTTGACTGCGTGGGGAATAAGCTGTAAAACTAGGACATGACCAGTCCAGTCAATCGTGTTTGTTTGTTTTAGTAAGATCATCTTCAATTTTTTGATCAGTGACTCTTGCGCAGGTGTCCTTGGTATATAAATTCTTGGTTGCAAATGGACCTTTAAATCATCAAAGACGAGCCTTGAAGATTGGGATCATGTGAGTGGGAGTCCTGCTTCGACTCTCCTAGCACTCTTCTAGCTCAAAATTATATCGCAGTGTGCTAATTCAACATTCGGCAGCGAGAGTCAAATGGAACGGGATAGAAGTAACATTAGAACAGAGAATGATATTTACAAATACGTCTTTTGAGTAACAACAAAGAAAGAAAGAGACTGTAATGCCGGTCACGAGATGATTTCCAAAGTTGCTCAAACATCTCAAGTCTCGTAACCCATATCATTTCGATTTCCTTCCCACCCGAGGTTTCTTCGTCGGTCGAACGGGAGTTTTATAGCTCGATGCAGGGATAGACTGCAGGTATTCAGCTATCGCGTGTTGCTTAAGTTCTCGAGCCTCTTCTATAGCAGCAGCTTGTTCATCATCATCACCCTCGTCGTTCGTAAACGGATGGTCCTGAGCCTCCTCACAAAGCAACTTAACAACGTCAAGACGCTTCGTCTGAATTGCACAAGAGAGCGGAGAGTCAAAACAGTTACCTCTTCTGACTTTCGCACCGCGAAGCAGAAACATCCGAATAATCTCCACATCACCGCGACGTGTCGCAAGATGAAGCTCAGTGTATCCATTCTCATTCTCAACCCCAAGCTCAACATCTGGCCTTTCTATGATCTCGCGAGCAATTTCCAGATGTCCATTCAGCAGTGCACGGTCAAGAGGGCTATAAGTGTCGCAATCCCGAGCGTTGATATCAGCGCCGGCTCGAATAAGCGCCATAGAAAGTCCCGGATCATCGCCTTCAAGCGCGAGATGCAGCGGCGTCTCATCATGAAGATTGCGTGCATTTATCATCTTGCGCGTGAGTTGCGGTAGCAAAAGATCAAACATGCCCTGATCATTGCGCACGGCCAGATGATGCACTAGCTTCCATCCATGATCGCCGTCTTCAAAGTCTCGGTGACCGGTCCAGGTAAGCTCCCCTACTCGGTTCAGATCCAGGTTTGCATCCAGGAAGATCTTCATTATCTCCACACTACACGTGTGGGCAATGTAACCTGCAAGTCCTTCTTTGCTGACGTCCACACCAAGCTCGATCAGCTTTCGGATTACATCTTGTTGTTGTGTGTACACTGCATGTGCTAGCGCGCTCATACTGGTACAGTAGTCAATGTTCTCGAGGTCAGCTCCATAATCGAAAGGCAGCTGTACCATCTCGGGTGACCCAGAGTGAACGGCTAGACTTAGCATGTGTGCTCCGCCCAGGCAGTATACGTTGGGATCGACCCCTAACCGCAGGTAGTATTGCGCCTTTTCATACTTGCCGCTTCGAACTGCTTGTGCAAAGGGCTCGTCGTCGGACGGGGTGACGTGTTCATCTTCGTAAAAGTCGTCGCGGTTTTCGTCATACTCTATGTCGTCGCGTCTCGCCCAGATACCGTCTGGAGTTTTAAAGTCATGTTTTATATATACCTCGTCTGATGGCAAGGCGCCCTGAAGATCTTTGGATTTTCTCTTGGCGGTCTCTTCGAGAATGGCGTGCATATCTTTGCAGCTTAATGAGAGGTTGATAGTGGATTGGACGTCAAGATAGTCTGTAATTTGGAGGAGGAGATCTTGTGGTAGATTGTCGAAGTTGGCCTCCTTCCGATACTCATTGCGGGTTGACGGCCTAGATCCCATGACTTTAAATCCGATGTTCTTTGGTATAAACTGGTAGATTTCGAGGCCTGCACTTGGTACTCAAAATGATATTGAAAGTGAGAATTGATTGTCGATGAACAACCCAGAAACAGGCCGGAGTTATATATAAAAGTTTCATCTCGGGATTCATTGAAAGGAGTTATTTTTATCTACTGTCTACTCGAAACTCTATGAAAGACCTGACCAAAAGACTGTTTCGAGTCCCTGTGGGCTCTTTCCTTTGAACTATGATCCAATCCTTGGCACCTCCGTCACGGAGGCCACACAATGAAAAGACTTCAATCTTACTTGATGTTCCGATGACACAACAAAGCAAAAAGACTAGAAAGAAGCAAAGATAGATGCAGATAAAGAAAAAGGTAAAAGTGATATTAGAGATTTTCACTGAACTGTGCTGTAACCATTGGCTACAATATTGGTTTATTCCACAATGTTGTCCACCAAATAAGACAAAGCAAGCTTTAACGCAAGAAAAGTTTGTATTCTCAAGGATTCACTGTTTTTAGAAACGTCTCATGAGAACGAACACAAAAGCCTTAAGACCAACATAACCTAAATCTCCTCGGTCACATTCAATGCCAACGTAGTACATCCCATAGGAACAGTAATCCAGGCAGCCTCCGCAGCAGTGTGATCACTATAATTGTACATGCCATTAAATGACATAATCTGACCAACAGTGGTGCCGAACTTCTCAGCAAGATCCTTGTAAACACCATAGGTGAAATGGAACGGAGTGACACTACAAACACTAGGAACACACTGAGGAATCTTGAGCCAGGTACCCGCAGGCAAAACCTCAGTTGTCGAAGAAATCATGCCCTTTGCCTGAGACCAGATGGTGTCAACGGTGACGTTCAGCTTGTAAAGGGCAATTCTTTCAATCGTGTCGCCAGCGATAGTTCTGTAGTCGTGCGGACCACCCTTCACACATGTTTCTGTGGCATTCTGCTTGGTCAAAAGACAGGTGCTGTTGTCGGGGTTGCAAACTTGGGCGGGGATGCGAAGCGTGAAATCCGCGTACAGGTGTTCTGCGTCGATCATGCGATTGGCACGCGCAATATCGCATGCTCCGCGGTCGAATTTCTTGGCGATGCTGAAAATGGTATCTTCAGATGTTGTGGTGTACACGAAAGAGGTGGCGTTAAGAGATGATTCATCACAGGTGCTTCGGCTTTTGTGTGGAAGGGCAGAAGCTGAGATAGCTAGTGCCAAAAGGAATATCTTGAGGGAGGAAGGATACATTCTTATGGACGTTTTTAAAATAAGAGTGTTATAGGTATCTCTGGAGGAAGACGGCGATTTTATAGACTATCTTGATTACGGGGTGTTTGACCTGCGTGTCCTCAATGCATGGGGAGTCATGAGCTTGAGCAACAACTCCGAGGTCCACTGGACCCATCTCGGAGTTCCCAGAAGCTTGTGGTTAGTACAAAGTGTTAATGCAGCGGAGTTCAGGGGTGCAAATCATTGCCTATATATTGGTTCCTCAAGATTACGATTTATCCGACCTTGTCGCTGTGGGAGTCTTGAATATCAATCACAGTTACCTCGAGTATAAAAGAATCACATCATTTGTCTAAACCCAAGCTGTGATTGTGTGCATGTGCTTTACTACATGACCCTGCGAATGCTGAATACATGTCCTAAATCCTTGCATACATGGTTCGATAAAACACGGAAGTAAGCTGGGAGCAACTTGTACCTGGATCAGCTCAAAGCTAATCAGTGTCTTATGGGGGAAACAAATTGCTGAAGACTGAGAGGACAGACAATATCTGCAGGAAAAATGTCGATCGTCTATCAAATCCACATGGTCCACTTTCGTGACGCTTGTGCTAGATGCTGGTCAGGCTTTCGAAACACGGGCGAGAACGCGTGTTTTTCATTGAGACTAGTTATAAAATACTCCGGGCAAGCGGAGGGCGTAGTAGCTTTGACCCTGCAAGTATCTCAATCAGAGCATCTTGGTTGGTCCCCGCATAAGGGCTGTTCTCCCCGCGTCGTGAACTAGCTACTTTTTGAGGGGCCAGAGATATAAAGATCCCTTCTGGCTATCCAAGGCAAGACATTTCAGGCACTATATTATGTAGTTATCTTGGTAATCTCGGGATCGGGCTTGGATACCGAAAGAGGAAATGACCTGCACCTCGGTGGAATGCACACTACATGTATTTCCGCGCAACACTATATATGTAGGGCTTGATCTGATAAGGGAAGATGGATCACATACAAATCTACCAGAGAAGTATTAGTGTTCAAGCTTTCATACCCAAACTCATAGAACTCCCAGATACCATCGACGGAGGATGGCTCATTTGCAAGAGATGAGTGGGTTAGGAGACGTACCGGTTCAATCTCAAACCTTTCCTCTGAGCCATCATTGGAATGACAGGAGATTATCGCCGAGCCAGCGGGAGGAGGCTGAATATATACATTAAACATAACTGGTCCCACGACCTGATCGAGCGCCGACTGAATGCCATCCCAACGAGGCCCAAACCGGCTCTCAAATATCTCTGTCCACGAGGGACCCGCATCACCTTCGGATATGGCAGCAAGCATGGTCCAAAGAAAGTATTTATTGTTAATCCTCCGATGGACCAACACTGATGTCCAAGCAACAGTGTATCCATTTCGGCGGACACCGAACTTGAGTGTTAGTGGACATTCGCCCCGGAAATGCCATAGGCATGTTGCACTGAGGATGAATTACGTCCCAGTCGAGTTGAGATGCCATTTGTGAGCTCTGAGATATTCCAATAGGGAATTCCGGAAAGAGCGGATATTTATATCCTTTTTGAGTTTTCTGTATTCTCCCCGAGGTTGGAATCGAGGCTCTTGGGCTCATTGTTTTCATTGAAGCGGAAATTGCGAGCTTCCAGCAAAGCTTCTAGTCTCGCTGATCAGCTTACCAGTCTGAACACTCTCGGTCCTCATGGATAGTTGTGTAACATGGAAAGTTGTTATTTTCAAGACATATTTGTGTAGTATAACCCCCCAGGCCAGGATACTGCTAGGCCTTGGGGAAATGCTGTATCTCCCAGAAGTAGGTGATAAGAGCAAAGCAAGATTATAGCCCAAGACCCCGATCGATAGACTGAGATTCAAGTGAATCTACCCTCCACACAAGTTAAAGTATAAGGTATACATATCAAGCAAGGCATCAAGAAGGCGCTCCCAGGCAATGAACTGGGAGACCTATGTTACAACTAATGTCCACTAAGTTAATAGTCATAGCACAAGAGAAATCAAATATTAAATGTGAATTTTCATGCACCTGAATCCAAAGAATTGAAGTTATAGAAAATGTAAAATATTCCGCTTCAAGTTCGGTTAGACCCGAGCCAGGGCCGGACTTTTAGCGGCGAGATTCATTGGTCCATCTAGACAAGCAAGACCCCATTGGCACCGCGTAGGTGTTGGCGTCCACGCAATAGTACGGAAATTTTGATGTACCACGGAAGAGGCGGAAGCTGAGATTGCTCAGTTCCTCGAGGAAAAATAAAAAAAACGCTGAAACGGCACTAGTTCCTTTCGTTTGGACTTAGAGAATATTACAACCCTTGAACTTGTCACATAGGTAATCCCCAGATTTGCATCCCCAGCATTTCAAATCTCACCGAGCATCTGGAACAGGCAAAGTGAAAGAAGGGGTGAACCCCGTGGGAAAATGTTGGGCCACGCGTCCCGCGATCGGTTCGCCGAAGTTCTAACGGCTGCCGAGCCGGACTAAATGCCGTCCTAGGCTTGACTCAACTTGTTCGGACGGACTTAATGGTCTCGTGCACGGCTTGGGCTGTAAGCCGAGAATTAGCCAATCCGTGGAATTATCCGGGGAGAACGCGCCTCGTGGCTTGCGCACTATACACCCCCAGAACCATACTGGTGCAGCATCGTGTGAGCCAGTAACAAACTATACTCAATCAGGAGTTAGGGTTGATAAATCACATTCCGAGTGAGTCAAGCCGATATTTTCCCGGCCGCCACACTGGCCTTGGACTCTTTTTTCCTGTTTCTAATTTGCTGCTGGATGTATCCACTCCAACCCCTCGAAACATGCCGGATCAGTCGATGGGATCTCTGAAGTGGAACTTCGGGTGTTCTTGAGATTATTTCTAGAATGTATCCACTTGTTGAGACTAGCCGATGCAAACTTTTTGTTTCTAGTAGACCTGGCATGAAACCGCGTGGGTAAACCGCAGTGGATACATGTACTCGCATTCGTTATTCATCAGCTAAGTTAATATCGCTAAAAATTTGAGGATGCGGGGGCCATGATCTAACTCTATGGGGTTTGTGAGTGCAGTAAGCACTAAGTACCCCTCTCGCTGAGCACAGGGAACTTGATATTGGGGAAGGATTCTAGCTGACAAGAGAATTACGAATCACAACAAACTGAAGCCAAGCCATGGCGCCCTTGGCCGTGGAGGCTTGTTCTCTGACTATCGGTTCCAAGACTGCCCAGTAATGCCGTCGTTTGAGGCGCGGTGCTTCTTTTGGTTTGTGGCGCACCTTAGCTTCCAACGAGTATATGCATTCTCGTACACCCGGGTCATTGCTACTCCGAGTATCGGTCTAGTCTTCAAATCTGGATCTAGCGTGCTGCTAGCCCCTTCGTACGGCACACATGGCATCTGGTGATCCAGGGTCTCCCGCATGAAATTTTCTGTCTGGAGTGCAGCGTTGCGTCTCCAGCCCCGGGGAAAGGCCGGTCGAGGGCACTAACCCCAGGTAGCGAGGAGGACAAAAACTTGAGGCGCAAAATGGGACCAGGGCTATATAATGCGCGTGGTCTGCCTCCTTGCAATTCTTTGTTCCTCGACTGAGTTCCCTTCCTTCTTATATCTTGTGCCCTAGTTTCACAATCAAGATGGCAGTCAGCCAGTCAGTGGTTGGCCGTACCAATGCGGAAAAGCCTCACGGTCTCAAGGGATTTGTGTCCAACCCTTATGTCTTTTTCACTTGTTTGTTTGCCTCTTTGGGTTGTATCATGTATGGATACGATCAGGGTGTAATGAGTCCTATTCTTGTCATGGAGAACTTTGAGAACCACTTCCCTCTCTTCATGGGGTCTACCATCCAGGGTTGGCTGGTGGCTGCTCTTGAGCTCGGTGCCTGGGCTGGTGCTTTGATCAACGGTGTCCTGGCAGATCGCATCTCGCGTAAGTACGCTATGATGGTTGCCGTTGTCATCTTCACCCTGGGCACTGGTCTGCAAGCTGGTGCACAGACGCCTGCGTACTTCTTTGCCGGTCGAATCATCGGTGGTATTGGCATCGGTATGTTCAGTATGGTTATCCCTCTGTACCAGGCCGAGATTGCTCCTCCTGAGCTACGTGGTTCTCTGGTTTCCCTGCAACAGCTGTCTATCACCGTCGGTACCGCCGTTGCCTTCTGGCTTGACTATGGCATGCAGTTTGTTGGCGGCGTCACTTGCAACCCTGAGGGTGTTGACAACCCTTACCTGGTTAGCGGCACATACAATGCCGCTCAAAACCACGGCCACACCTGCTTGGGCCAGAAGACTATCGCGTGGAGACTTCCTCTGGCGCTGCAGATTATCCCTGCCTGGATTCTGTTCTTCGGTCTCTTCTTCTTCCCATTCTCTCCACGTTGGTTGATGATGAAGCACCGTGACGAAGAGGCCAAATCTGTTATCTCTCGTCTGCGTCGTCTCCCTGAGAACGACCCCCTTGTTCAGGCTGAGTACCTCGAGATCAAGGCTGCTGTCATGTTCGACGAGGAGACCGAGCGTGAGCTCGTTGGTGCCGGTGGTGTTTGGGCTCCCTGGAAATCTCTGTTTGCCCCTAATATGCTCAAGCGCTTGGTTCTTGGCTGTGGTATGATGATCTTCCAGCAGTTCACCGGTATCAACGCCGTGCTTTACTACGCGCCGCAAATTTTCTCCTCAGTATGTGACACTTCTTCCTTGCTAGACAAGGTTAAATTCTTTTTGTTCATCGTCTCTGACTATTTGATCTTTTTTACAGTTCGGTTTCACGTCCACGAAAACAACCCTTCTCGCCACTGGTGTGACTGGCATTCTTCAGATTATCTTCACCCTTCCCTCCGTCCTCTTCCTCGACAAGTTTGGCCGCAAGACATTCCTTATTATCGGAGCTGCTGGCATGTTCCTTTGCCATATTATTGTTGCTATCGTGGAGGGTATCTACAAGCCCCAGTGGGACCTGAACGAGGGACTAGCCCAGTCCCAGGGCTGGGTTGCCATTGCCTTCATCTGGCTCTTTGCTGTCAACTTTGCCTACTCCTGGGGTATGTGATCGGCTCTTCAAATCCTGGAATGTTCTTTTATACTGACAATATGCAACAGGTCCGGTCGCTTGGGTTTTGGCTCAGGAGATCTTCCCCAACAGTCAGCGGTCTCGCGGTGTCTCCATTGTTGCTTCCACTAATTGGATGTTCAACTTCGTCATTGGTCTTACTACCAAGGACATGCTTAACTCGATGAAATACGGTACCTACATCTTCTTCGCCATCTTCAGTGCCATGGGTGGTTTCTTCGTTTGGAAGTTTGCCCCTGAGACCAAGGATAAGACTCTTGAGGAATTGGATGTCTTCTTTGGTGGTGCTATGGACAGCATTGCTGAGACTGATCGGCTTCGTATGCTTCGCATCAATGAGAGCCTCGGCCTTGCTGGTGTAGAGAACTTGGAGGACCTCAAGAGCGAGAAGCAGATTCATGCTGATCACCTTGAGGTCGACTAAACCACTGCTTAAAAGCAATGATAATGATAGTACGGGTATGATGGGGCCTGGGTCTTTTCTTATTTAATATGTAGTTGGATTCCATCCTCAATCTAAATACCTAATGTCTCTACATCCCTTATTCTGTACGGGTTCGGGGTGCTCTCTCGTAGCATTCTGTAGTACTCGCAACTCATGGTCGATATATATTAATGGAGAGGACTACTTCATCAACAAACATGAGGGTATACTGTAACGTTAACGAGGAGCCTCTGAAGGCGGAAGCCAGTCGATAACGTTAACCTTAAAAAGGGTTAGGCATGGTCCGTGCATACGCGTATTTCAGACATCCGACTCAACTTGAGATCATGGCAAGTGGGTACGATCAAGGCTATTCTTGTTCAAGTTTCTGACTGCTAAGGCTGCACCATTTCTGTCCGCTTTGACCCCTCAGGGTCTAAGATAAACTACTCGCCTATCGGAACCGAGACTTCCGACGCCCTAACCGTCTCGCTTTCTACACCACCTGTGGCAAAAATGCCACGAAGAACCCATAAAAAATCAAGAAATGGCTGCATTGAATGCAAACGCCGTCACATGAAGGTTTGTTGCTCGGGAAACGCGTATACGCATTCACTGACCCCGCTAGTGTGATGAGCAAAGACCAATATGTTCCAACTGTATCAGTTCGGCGCGGGGCTGTCAGTTCGTGGGGCCGGAGCCGATCCTACATTCTTCACGGAGTGTTAGCCGTGAAACAGCATCTGCATCACCAGCAGTTGGGCCCTCTGCTGTGGCCTCACCAAATCAACAAGCCGGCAAGGATCCTGAATGTGCACCTGTTAATATGCTTCATGTCGAACTCGCCCACAATCTCTCTGCTGAAGCACTGAAGGTATTTGAGAAACCAAATATCACGTCGTCAGTTTCATTCCAGGATATCCTACAGTACTGCCTTGGTGCGCCATATCTCATGAATGAGCTTCTATCTCTTAGCGCTTTACACCTCAGCATTATGAGGCCAGGACAGCGAACATTTTACAGAGACCATTCCACCGAACTACAAAATCATGCATTGGGCGCATTTCATGGGTTGTCCTCACAAATCACAGATGAGAATTGTGTCCCTGTCTTTCTGTTCGCTGGCGTTTTAGGGTTACACATGCTCTGTGAAACACTAGTCTGTCGCGAAGATAACTTCGAAAGATTTCTGGACCGCTTTGTACAATACGTTATCGTACATCATGGGGTGCGGATAGTTACAGGACAAGGGAGATGGGTACTTTTGCAGCAAACAGCATTGAAGCCGCTTTTCGGGGTTTCAGAAAAAATACCCCCTCTCGATTCAAGTCTAGGACCAGTTTGTGGGACGCTGTTCAACCGTATCCGGGCCCTTGGGCTCGACGAGGCTACGGTCAGGAAATATGAGCAAGCTATCCAAGCCCTACAATCAGTTATGACCGTTGTGGAGGGGCAACACCTGAGAGGCCATGACATAGATGCTCTGGTGGCATGGCCGATCCTTGTTCCTCGTGAATACATTGATCTAGTTGCAGAGAGGAAAGGAGAAGCTTTGGTTATCTTGGCATACTTTGGCGCCCTTATTGATACGCAACGACATTGGTGGGTATTTTGTGATGGTGGGAGGTATTTGGTTGACTCAATCAGCCAATATCTTGGGCCTCCGTGGGTAGAATGGCTCGAGTGGCCTAAGCAAGCCCTAGTGCACGCCGAGCCTGTGTAGATAAATCTATGGGCTGTTACAAAACAAAGACCGAAATCTGATATACTCTACCATACATAGAATTTGTCTGGATGGCTTTCACGCGCTAGGGGACCTTGATCAAAAGCTTTCAAGGGTTGGGTAATACTAATACTAGACAACCAGGCCGGCCAAAGCGCAATCGGTCTTGATTGATATAGATCCGGATCTATACATATACAGGAAGAACAGAGTGGAAGGAAATAGCATATATATGCAGGACATGCACTGAAGAGTGCAAATGTTATAAAGATTGATAACTAGTGGTGATCATCCGCATCGAACCGTGGCATCTCTCGATCTAGATATAGCAGGGCCTAATGCAATGAGAGGCCCCATACTGATCGTCTGGGATCCTTCGCCATTTTGGTTCGAAAACGGGGTAACGACCTCTGCTTAGAATTTAGCGAGAGCTTATTAAGAGACGGTTAGACTGTAAATCTATTTGCAGTGGGCATAAAGCCCAGTCAGGGTTGAAGGAAGCTTGGTGTTTAGTACTCAGTGCTTGCTATCGGGCGAACCCTAGGCGCAAGGCTTTAAAAACCGAGTAACGGGGTGCACGACGCAAAGGTAACCAAGATAGTGTTTGACTCTTATTTGGACTTACCAGTTTTAAACGGTTTCTGCAACGCACGAGTTATCGGACTACGGGAGTGCCTCTCGACAACTCCGAAGCTGACCGCTCCGTCCGCGTTCGCAAAGCAAAACGTTGAAGCTTAGGAAAGTAAGAAACAAGTGAGGTGCACTGTCGAACCCTTTGTAAGGCTTCCAAAGGATTTTAAGGCTGGATGGTACGTGAATGCTTGAAAAGCCCGTTCCTATCGACCACACAAGCTAAATTATCTCGAAGCCTGGAACCAAAACGTGTAATACGCAACATCGGTGTCTCCAAGAAAAGACAAGTGTAATCTCCAAAAAGAAACCAGATAGAGAAAACAAGGTATAAGTTAGTCTGTTGTTGGTCTTCAAAGACGTGAGGGAAGCTTGGCGATCCCCACGCCGTCAATAAAGAGAATATATGAAATATAAAAGGACTAAATATAGTTTCTGTGAGTCGCCAAGTCTTCATCAAAAAGAGTCGATTCGTCGAAGACATTAAGCTAGAGAGAAGAAGAGAAAGAGAACAGGAGAGACGCCAAAAAGCTAGTCTATCTACCTCCTCCGTCCAATCATGTCGGCCCCTTTGTCTCACCGCCTTCCCTATCCATCCCCAAGTGGTCCGAATGGCGTCACAGTTCGGGTGTTTCAAAAACCACGTGGAAACTTGGTTCTCTTTAAACTATTGAATGTTTCAAGATGTTGTTCTAATAATATGTGGACTTGATTTAGCACAGAACTCAGAAAGATGTGGGCTTTTGAGGGAATAAGCGTGCCTGGAACAAATATTTAAACGGCCTCGCTGCTTTGCATTACTGCTGCAGTCACATCCTCAGCCAAATATCCAGAAAGATATCTGTCTACTGACGCTGGCTGCTACTTCCCCATCATTATAAGCTCTCCATTGCAAACTATATTTAACACCTTTTGCCTCATCGAAAGCCAGCCAAAATGCCAATGGGTATGCTCATTCAAGACGGTCAGAATATCTGGGAAACCGATCAATGGGACCAGCTTTCTTGCTGGGTCAACGTCAAATTCGACCAGGATGACTACTCGTGGAGCGATGAACAACTGTTTGATATTGTGATTGGTCGTATTCGATCCGGAAAGGCTTCTATCAGCTCTGAGGCCTTGCACCATAAGAAGTCATGCTGTCTTTCGTTGCGAGTCCCTATGTCTTCCTATGACACAGGTGAAAGTATTGCTTTTGCTGCTATGCAGTTCGCAAAAGGGTACCAGGAGCAATGCCGCATTGGGAAGACCCGACTCGATAGGATCTATCTTTTCCGCTGGTTGAATGAACAGAGGTAATAAAGGAAGGTAGACAGATCCACCCCTTTCGAATAGCTCTTTTTGGGCTTTTACCTTGGAGATGATGAGGCTAGTGGGGCCTCCAGAATTTGTTTGCTTGACTGCCCGTTTGATTTGTCCGTGGATTTTGATCGCACCCTTGGGAACAAAATATATAGGCCTTCTTTTATATAAAAACATTTTTATTGTTTGATTTCCGCTTTTCCCTTGTCGAATCTTAAAGTAATACATCAATATCCTTCCCATAAATCAATTAATGATTCAGCCTCCTAATTTACCTGTATTGTAAATTCCCTCTGTCTTTCCCGTCTCCTGTCTATCATATTGCAAATTTTCCTAGAGACTTCGTTGCATGTAAAAAACTTTTACATTTCTATGCTATAATTCTACATGTACTCGCTTCTAGCTCTCATTGTGCAAGGGGACGTTTCAAGCGTTAAAAAACACTTCTGTTTTCTCTCATTCAAGTCTCACTTTTACATCACATATGGATTTCTATCCTCGGCATTCTTTTACTATTGATAATGTGACCTAACGTAGTATCGGATACAAAACTGCATAAAGTAGAGAGTCGAGCAATGTATGATAAGAACAAGATGAACTTTTGTTGACGTATCTCAACTAGGAGCAATATAAAAATGAATATCTCTCTCCTCCAGCCTCTCTTCCTTTGCATTCCCCATCTCCACCTTTCGTCTGCAATCCTTACGACCGTTGTATTATCCCCCTTTCCGATATTTCAGTGCTTGGCCCACGACAGATATTTTTACTTCCTTACAAACCTTTACAGTGAGAAAATCAGCTTTTATTTCTCTTTTCCAATCTTATATCTTTAATCTTTACTGAGCATACTAGGCTTATCTTCAATCCATCACAGACAGCTCTGCCGGCACTCACTCGCAAGTGTTACTCGTTCCTTTGCGTCCCCGATACCCACTGTTCTCTCCTATCAGTCTTGCTATTCGATCCAAGCTTTTACCACAGTCAGATACCGGGGGCTTATTCTCATCATAGAACGACATTCCATTTGCTAACAATTGACAAACCCGAGTTCTCTCTGAGGCATTACACGAAGAAGAAACAGTTACTTTGATCTTTACAGGTCCCTCAGTATTCACCTTCTACATGGTAACGCACTTATCATCGTCAAAGAACCGGCGCAAATCCGCAAACTTCCCACTTTCACATTTATAGCAAATCCAATCGTCATCCCTTCATCTTACATTTTGCAAAGTCTTCTACAAACATCGACATTCGCCGCCCTCCCCCGATCCATATGCAAGGTATTGCCCGCATGGATCCTAGTACCTACGTCCTCATTGGAGGGTTTGCTGTTCCAAAATTAAAAGGCACCTCGAACTATTCCACGTGGGTCGGCAAGCTGGAACTTGCCATGCGCTTCACGTTTTCCGATCACTGGTCCATCGCCACTGGAGAAAAGCTCCGGCCTTCCCACTACCATGAAACTTTCGAAGAAGACATGCAGCTCATCAGAAGCGTCCTTGCCCAAGAACGGGCCTCCCTTCCGCCATTTGTGACCCAAATCCAGATGGATGACCTCATGGCGGCCTTGAACGATATCAGCGGAGAAGGCAGCAATGCCAGTATTGACCACGCATGGTTGATCAAAAGCACTACCGCCTACAATGTCCTTCTCACGACTCTGGATGCTAACCTTGCTTGTCCCTTTCGCGAAGGTGAGACTGGAAAGGCCTTCGAACTGTTCACGTGGTTGCAGGACACCTACGGAAAAGGAAGTCTGCGAGCTCTGGTTGAAAAGTATCAATCTTGGCGAAGCATGCACTATGACGGTGGTGATCGACGATCGTTTATCAAGCAGTTCGAAGCAACCAGCCGGAAATTGGCTAAGGTCATCGGACATCCTGTCGACAACGCCATTGAATTCTCCCGCTTCATGGATGCCATCTCAGGCAACGAGGGAAGTCTCCTGATTGCCGCTGAGTTAGGGATGGATCTTAAGAGCCCCTTCGCCATGCAAAAGGTGTATCGATGCTTTGAACAAGGCGTTGAAGCTGGCATGGTGTGATGGCCGAAACATCCTCCGTCTTCTTGTGTTTTCCCGCTGTCCCACGCAACCGGTCTGGATTCGCTATTTCATTTTCTCGGGTTCTAACTTGCTGATAATTTGCTATCGCGCGTGAATTAAATGCACCTTGCTTTGATATTTGTGATATTAGTTGAGGGGAATAAATTGACATTGCTTCACCCCATACCCCAGTCATTTGCCAAGCCTCGGGATAGTTTTACCCTTTTAAGTAACGCGAGCTTGCTTCCCCTTCAGTGCACTACTTCCACTCCTTATCTTTGGTTTTCGGTTGCAAATAGAATCATAAAATTTCAAGACACTGCTAGTTGGTTCAATACTCGCCCTTTGCAATATGATATCGAAATGAACACATCCGTCGACCTCGGTTTCTAGACTCAACTATAGCTCTGTAGTTGACTATCTACCTCTACGTCATTATATAGTCATGCTTAAAACTACAGATATCTCTGAGCTAGTCATTCAAATGGGGTAAGATTCTCCAAGAAAATACGAATGGGCGAATGTAGTGTAAATGCCTTTGAGATGCAACGCAGTACAGAGGCCAGAGCGTAGACTAAACCTATGGACGTATATATATCCGGTTATGCGAAGTAGATATAGGTTGCTCATGGTAAGATAATGTCAAGATAAGCCTATCATTTGCATCTGTCAACATGCCACCTCTGACGTAGAGAAATGAATAGACACAAGCAGCAATTCATCGCCTAACACGGAAAAAGCAGTCGAGATAGGTGACCAAAGAAGCTACTCGATGCGTATGTCCAATCATTCTGAAAGGATACAAGCTTTCCCCCGCTTCGGACACCTCTTGTCCAGGTGCAACAGTATCCGAACATTAATCCTACTATATTATCCCGGAGAGTACTTATTCGCTTTGGCCCCCGTTCGTCCGTGGCTTGATACATACTGTTGGAAAGCCCTTTGCGACTGCAGTGATCCAACTGCGACTACCTCAATCCAAGAATTGTACATTCCCTTGCCATCCAGCATTGGCTTGCCCTAATGCGCATCATTTAAGCCAACATGAACGCCCTATCAAGCCCGGAGCAACTATGGCGAATCGGATTGATCCTGCTAGCCGCCACTGTACTTTATGCCCTTGTCAACAAAGCACTCGGAAAGTCTTACTTGACCGGAATCACGCTGCGAGGTCGAAAGAACTCAACAGCTACAACACCACCTCGATCCTTCTCCCCAGAAAAGACTGCAACAAGCCCAAAATCGCCGTCCACCTATACCACCGCTTTACCACCCCAACGCAGAAAAGCACTAGCCGATATAAAATGTGCGAATGCGCCATACCGCGACGTGAGCGAAGACGAAGTCCATCGCAACATCCTGCCCATGAGCGCCGACTATAGGTCAAGCCTAGGTAACAAATATACCCCGACGGGATTTTCTGTGCATGAAATCAAGGCACTGGGGGACTTCCCAGACTATGCGACCTTGAGTGGAGTACCCCTTCCCAGCCCATATCCCGAATTTGATATTGAGAAGGCACTGCCTCGGCCTTATCGTCCGTTCAGATGGGCATACCACCAGACCATGTGTACGTCTCCAATAGCCCTAATATTACATGATCTAAGACTAATTTACCCACGAATCTTCAAACAGCTTTAACAAAGCTTGAATCTGACTGGTGGATCGAGCTTGAAAATACATACAAAAAGCGCATTGCCCAGCGCAAGGAATTGTATGCAACGAGGGGCAAGGAAGTACTCGATTGTATGCCAGGGTCCGAGTTGGCCTGCAAGGAGATCATGGAAATGGTACTGCAGTTCATCTGTGCTCGGTATCCACAGTATTTCACCCTGGTGGACAATCGGATACTGCATAACAAGATCCTCGGTACAGAGCAGGACGTGACGGCTAAGCCTCCTCTTGAGGTCCTGCTGGATAACGTACCAGAGGATTTCGGTATCATGCTTCGTGATGACACGACGGGATATTACTTCCTGCGTGCGGCCGTCATCTGCTCGGCGTTGGGATGGAATGTAGCGACTAAAGTTGGGAAGCAGTTGCATGAGATTCATGAGCCTATTCCAGATTACAAGGAGAAGATGCAGTTCTCCATGGATCGGTGAGTTGCTTGTTCTTTCTTTCTTCCGGTGCAGTAATTCAATACGGGGCGACTAATTGGACGTGGTATCCAGGTTCTTTACCAAGATGCCCACCGAGAAACCAATCCAGAGAGGATCCTGGGGTTTGGAAATCGGGCAGCCATTGTATATGCCACCGGGCGACCCGCACGAAAAGCTCCGGCTATCTCAGCGGCCTGATCTGGCGCTTGATGAGTGCCATCTGCGAGTAGACTGGCAGACCTTGAGACGGCTTCCCTTGTCGGGCGCTGTTGTCTTCAACTTCAAGGGCCTTTTCACTCCCGTCAAGGAATTCCGCGATGAGCCTGGTGTGCCGACTTTGGTCGCGAAGCTCCTCACGGATGGTAAGAAGCATCTCATGGAATACAAGGGTGTATGGCACGTGCAACATGTCTTGCTACCTAGTTTGAAGGAATGGGCGAAAGAGCAGGAAGATAAAGGCTGGGTTCCGAAGGATTGGGAGGTCGCTACTTTGGATGATAGTCCGTGGTTTAAGGGTTGGCAGGAGAAGTGGCATCGGCAGCAGGGATTCTAGGGTTAGTTTGGTATGATTTATTCTGTGTCTGATACTATCATGTGTTGATCTCATTTCTGTCATGATTCCTAAAGTGGGTAGTTTGATGTTCGGGATACATCTCTCTGCAAGTTGACTCGAATGTACATGATTGAGATCGATGATATTCAATATCGAACAAGTGATTTCCATAGGCACAATCATTTGAGCGGGATTCAAGAAATTTGTACTATCGCCAGTGTGACAGGAGGGTGGTATCATTCGATGTCGTGGTTCCTCGAGGCGATGCCATCCAGCAGTGTTGCAGGTGGTGGGCGTGATTTCTGCACGACGTGAGCAGGCTTTAGTAGCCTGGAAGTCGAGACAGATATGTCTACAGACGGTGGGGTCTCTATGTGACCGGATGATCTGTCCAGAATAGGATTCCGAGTGGGAAATGAAAGGGGCTCGTTGAGTCGCAGAATTGCTCAATCGTCGCCCTCGGCATCCTCCTGGCTCCTGCGCGGGGATCCAACATCGCTGCCCTGTCGGCTCTTCTCGGAATCACCGTCATTGCTGTCGCGATCCAGCTCCTCGAGCTCATCTTGGAGCGGGCTAATGCGCTCATCCAACATATCCAGATCCTCCAGCTGAGCTCGCGGCGGCAACTTCCACAGACTAGTACCGCACACACGGTCCTTGGTTAGAAGGTCGTCGACAAACTGATCCATAAAGGTAAGCGTGAATGTGTCGCGTACCCGTCGCTTCAGTTTCCGGTAATCGAGGAGAAGAGGCTCGAGGGTTTTGTAGACATCAACCGCGTCGAAAGTCAGTCGCACGTAGAAAGCGGCCAATGCGCGCAAGTATTTAAAGTCGCCGCGATCCTTGACGACTCCATTCTCTGGGTCCTCCTCCTCGTCGCTGCCGGGGTCGGTGAAATTAAGCAGTTCGAGGATGACGTCTTTGTCCGGTCCAAGCTGTAGGAGCTTGAAGGCGAGGCAGAGGAATGGGCTTGGCTTCTCCGAAACACCGTAGGTACCACCGATGAAGGTGAGCTCGACGGCACGATCACACAAGGTCGCTGCGTTCAAACCGAAGCACTGTTCTTTCCAGTAGTACGAGTCGGTGATGCGGTCGCGTACGGCTTTTTCGAAGAGAGTGACGGGATTGACACCGCGAACCAGGGGCCCCGTGTAGCCACGGTTATCGAGGAAGGTGCTGGCATCGGCGCGATGGGAGGTCATTTTGGCGTTGAGGGCTTGCTGAGAGCGAAGATGAGAAGTGAAAACCCAAGTGTCAATGCCAAGACTTCCGCCTTATCGATAGTCGCACGGCCAACCCCGTAAACAACTTGATGTCATGAAACACTTGATGAGACATTGCCAAAGTGGCTTGATGTTGTATCTTGATAACTAACATATATCCGTGGTATGCAGATTTGACATTTCAATCCTGTCTATTTGTCTTAGTCCATGCAGTCAACCCGATCATGGTCCTCTTAACGTCCTCCACGGTCTCGGCCATCGTGTCGATGGGAGTGATCTGCATATTCACCATGCTACTATTTCTCTCAGGATATGTACTGCAACAACAATCTGTCAAGAACATTCAATATGCCCTACGACCTCAAGATGATACCTCAATGGGGAAACATGGGGCCCCGGGCTCCGCATTCCAAAAGCCCGCTCAAAAGCGAGGGGTATCAGATCAGCACTCAAGCTCACCTGGAAACTATGCCTATCTCCAGCTCCTGTCTGAGCCAGACCCCTCGGATATCTGCTCAGCCATTCTCTTCTTTAAACAACTATCAACAAACGGAACAGCCGTCCAGGATCGTCTGTTTATGTACCCACAACAATGGGACCGAATGTCCCCCAAAAAACTTGGGAAATCCGCCTCTGCAGCTCTATCCATACTGCGTGCAGCCAGTACAAAGTACGATATCTGGCTACTCCCCATCGACATGTCTGCTGCCACAACTGCGGGGTACTTAACGACAAACAGCAAACTGCTCCGGCTAGGCCAGATCCAGTTCATGCAGTATGACAGTGTACTGTATGTCCAAACACCAGGTCTGTTGCTAGATACAGGCAAGCTGGATGACATGTTCCTGGCTCGGCCACTACCTCTCCGCCATGACAAGAACCGACAAGAATCGTTCAACAACGAAGCTTGGATCCCTATGCCGCTCCGTGCCAACCGCGATGAGCCTCTGCCTTCTACATATCTAATAACAGTCAATAATATTGAGGGCGGCAATGTTGAGGCAAGAACCCATATTCCCAATGTCGCACTGCCTGGATTTGGTGATCTCGTGGCTGAGCCGAAGCGCGCTGCAAGACTAGCTGAGATTGGGGATGAGCCTGGTTATGTTTATTTTGACAGTGACCGAGACGGACGCGTCAAGTGGTCTGGCAATCCTTATTTTGGAGCTTGGCGATCCCAGCAAGCTGAAGTCTGCGAGGGTATAAATTTTGATGAAATAATTCATGACGAGCAATGACTTCGTTATATTATGTGACATGTTCTTGTACATGCTGGCAACAAACTTCCCTTGGGTAGCATCTGGCGTTTAGATTATTTGGTTTACTTTCTTGGGACATAGCTTCATATGTGGAATATTCCGTGCTCAAACATTTCTTCGCCGACCAGCTCTACTTTTGGCTATAACAATTACTATTGACTACTTTAAAATCCACGTTTTGGGCCTGCAAGTCATGATATTCGTAAATTATGTCAATATCGATTACGATTTCTTTCAACGCCCACTATGAACCAGTCTATTGAGGTACTCCAATCTCATAGCCGAGGAGGACCTCAGTGGTGTTACCCTCCCAGCCACGGTTCCCGCTTGTAGAGATCATGTAGCGACACGCGTTATCAACGAAAAGTTGTGAAATAGTTCCTGTCCGGTGACCTGGAATAATGAGGAAGGGCACAGCTGAGCGGGACTGCTCATTCTGGTCGTTTTGTAGGTCGTAGAGACGGAGGATATCATGAGAGGCACTAAAGCAAAAGTTAGAAGAGATGTCAATCGAGTGATTAATTTTTGCTCACCAGACGAGATGCCGCCCATTCGGCATGGCCTTAAGTGCTGTCACTGGTCCACTTCCCTGGGGGAATTTGAATGTCCGTTCAGCATTTCTGAGACCCTTGTGGAGACTGTACTCCTCGACAGTGCCATTTCGTCGTCCTGCATAGATATAGTTCCCATCGGGGGACCAGCAGGCGTTCATACACCAGGGAGGGACGTTTTGAGGGGTTATGCGAGCAACTGGATCGGGCTGTCGGCGGTCCCATATGCGGATTGTTCCATCGATGGACGCAGCCAGGAACGTGTTATCTGTCTGGATGCCTTGCTCGGATTGCATATTTTGTGAGAAGTCCTGACCATGAGATGTCTCGAGATCCTCTGCCTTGGGAATTCCATTGACAACAGGCTGTACTGCTCCAGTGGGGATGTTGGAATCGTTCGAATCTATCTGCTGACTCGAAGGATCTGGCTTCAAAGGTGATTTTCCTGCCACTTTGCTTTGTTCAGTCTGAGCATTTGCGATGCTAGGAGGTGCTGGCACTTCGTCGTCAATTTCACCCGGCGCATCTGCATCTGCCATAGCTCCGTGGGCCATGGCTCTGCCAAATTCATCGTCCTCGTCTACCCCGAATACACCCCCAGATGGGGCGCCACCATCGGCTGCACCTCCATCCGCATCGCCGAATAACGAATCGGCTCCACCAAACAGTGAGTCCGCCGGTGAACCCGCCTGCGGGTTTTCGGCTTGACCTGCGTCTCCGGCGTCCTGTGAGGTATCCATAAAGTTGAAACTATCTGTCCCAACTGCTGCATAATTGGACGCATACGTGCCATTAGTCTGGTGGAGGTCAATAGTGTCCCTGGGTACTGGAAGAGTTGATTCCGGACGGATCTGCATGGCAGAAATTTGCCCAGCACTGCCTCCAAAGGCCCGTCTAGCCTGTCCGGTGTTGAGATCCCAGTCGAAGACCCGCTTATCCCAGCTTCCAGAGAGCAATGATTCTTCATCTGATGTCAAGTTCAGTGAGGACACCGCAGAGGTATGTTGTTGCAGAAGAGCAATCTCCTTGCCCTCGTCGTGGCGCAAAGTCTGCAATCGAATTGCACCAGACTCGAGCCCAGTCAGCAGCCATAAGCCTTCGCTCTGGCTAGCCAGGGAGTACACCGGCGACAAGTGGCTCCCATCCATGTTCTCCCAGTACGTCATCAGCACTCCAGCTTTCACGACACTATCCACGAAGGGATGCCGTTGCGCCACAGTCAGCATGAGCTTGCTGTTGATCGAATCTGCCCAGTTGAACTTCCGCACAAAGCCATCCGACCCTCCGGTGAAGACCCAGCGCATGTCTGCGGTAGCCGTAATGGCATTGATCGAGGTGGCATGCGGCGCAGCAGTAGTAGGTACGACATCGTACGTTTTGGCAGTGAGACACTCGGCGCGCACGCTAGGGTGATAGATAGAGAATGCTTCTAGCCTTGAGCTATCACCATCGGTGTTCTGTTGTGAGGTAATTCCAGCGCCCTCAGAGGCCTGGCTCGTGTTGGAGGGACTGTCCGCATCTTGGTCTTGGTCTTGGTCTTGGTCTTGATCGTTGTCTCCTTCGCCATCATCGACATCACGCATTGTATCGTCAATCTCGTTCTCATTATCGGAACTTCCGTCTTGGGAGCCTAGAAGAACTCGGAAGGTGGTTAGCCAATGAAATTCAAATCGATGGGCCAGCCATTGAGCGGTGCCAGAGCCATACCTCCCATATCACGGTCCTCCTCCTCTTCAAGAGATGCCATGTTTGTCTCTGAAGGCTCGTTTGAGCGCCAGCTGCAGAGTGGAGGCCGTTGCTGTCACGCGCAATTGAAGGAGGGATCGGATCGGAGCCTGCAAACAAACGAAGAGCTCGCAAACGGGACCCAGTTGCAGGGTAAAGGAATGCTGTATCGCGGATATTCGTGTGTCAAGCTCTCGCACACGTGCAGAAGAAGAGCTGAAGTATCTCCGAAGGTGCGGAGGGGAGTTGCGGCTTAACGCGACCCCGACAATCCGTGGATCCGCAGGGCCACTTCTTGGCGTCTGGCCAATCACCGTCGATCCTGGCATACATCCCATACCCTAACTCACTGCATTCACGACTGATGAAGCCAGCACTAGGAAGCATTGCCAGGGCATTGAGTGCAAGTGGAAGAACCGTTGTATTGACTTTCGGGCTTTTTTGGATGGAAATTTCCTTCTTTTCTGGGCTTGAATTAGTATTTGCACTTACTGTATATGGTAGGAGAGATTGAACAATACTAATTATTATTACATATCGTTTTGTTTGGGATGTGAGAAGCATCCATTTTGGATCCCGCCGGGTTCAATCATATCCTTCGCTTCTTTCAACTGTTCATAGGCACGTTTCTATATTCTCACTTTTGTTTTCCCATATCTGTGGGGGCCGTGTACCTCCTAATACTCCCTCTGTCACCACTCCCTCTACTAGCAATTTAATCTTTATACCTAGGTAGACCTGAGTCCAGCCAGGTAGATTGCCGTCTGTCTTAAGCCAAACACTATACGCCGCTCCTGGTCTCTGCGTGTATTCAAAAAGCCATTGTTAAAGGTATCTAGCTCTAAAGCAAATAAAAGTTATTAATCACCGTCATCATCCGACATCCCTTGTTATGTACAAAGTCCAGGCATAAAATATTTAATATCAGATCATAGTCATGTATCGTTCCAAACTCTGCCCAAGGACATTGATAAATGGCCACTGGGTGTTCGTGCTGAACAATCGGGCCCACAGCTTGAGAACAGCCATGCCCAAAGAAGCCGGTTCAAGGTTCGGCAATGCCTCACCTTCATCTAAATCTATAGATGAGTATGCTTCCTCGATTATGCAACGTGTCCATCGTAGAATACGGGTTTCATTTTCTGTAAAAAGAGGGTTAGAAATGAGCTTCAATATATTAAGCCAAGTTTGAAAGGAGAGAGAAGATTTGCGGAAAATTAGGCACTGGGGAATGAAGATACCGCTCAAAGATTGATCCGGCCCGGCCTCAGCAAGACTAAAGAGCCACTTGCTCAGCAGCACAGCACACTCAAGACTAGCAAGCGAATGACGCACACTCCAGAAGAAAGCCTGACTGCGAGCAATATGGTCAATACCGAGACGCACGGGGATGCTAAGAGCATGGGCAGCGTAGATAAGAGCTGGGATGAGGCGGTAGCTTCGCTCTGGGCGTGGGGAGCGTCGGAGTGCTGAGGCGATGACCACTGGATCACGAGTTTCGAGGCGTCGGTAAGGGCCTAGATTTATAGAGAGGCGGACGTAGGCAAGGCCTAGGAAAGCGCTTGAGGTGAATGGGATTGGACCATTGGCGTTGTGTGGATCGAGACTGGACTCGGGGGCTTGTTGCCATACTGAGGTCCAGGAACGAAGAGCTCGTCTGTCGCTGGTTAGGATACCTTATAGAAGGGCAGGTGAAATTAAATCGGACTTACTCTAGTTTGTTAAGCTCTTCGGTAGGGAGAGTTGTGGAGTGGTTTCCATTTGGTAATGATAGCTCGCTCACGAGATGAATTCTTTGTAGGAGACCGTGGAGGAGAATATAGTTACCCAATGGTGCCGGGATAGGATCCAACGGCACGGCTGATCGGGACTTCTGTAGAAGAAGGGTCAAGGCATCCTGGAAGAATAGCTGCTGAGGACCTCTCTCCCGTTGAGCGGCTTCCCATTCTTGAGGGGTGGCTGCAATCCATTCCATGGTGGAACAAGGTAGCCGCAGATGAATCTCATTACTGCGCAGAGAGGGATAGGCGTTGTATGCGATACTGTGGATGTGGACGAAACAGAATGCAATCAACTTTGTACGTCGGCCAGATTCTTGATCAGCCCATTCATACCAATCAAGAGGCGCTCGTGGATCTGAGCGCAAGGGGTCTTCTGTCAAACCAGCCTCACGGAGGTGTCGAACCAACAATCCCTGCAGGTGGAAGGCTTCTTGTACCAGTCGCGCGTTCTCCCAAGTGGCGTAGCCCATCAGAATGAGCAGACAGCGGGTGACTTCAATCTGCTTCCATGAAGCATTTCGTTCCGCTGCTACCTGCGGTGCTGTGAGGGATTGGTCTCCGAAGTTGGAATATGGCGGGATCCCCAGCGGCACTTGAGAGGCTGAACTGTAGCTAGGTTTAGAAGGAAGACGGGATTCTCGGGACATTCGTTCGAAGAGGACCGCTTTAGAGACGTGGAAGATCCTTTCTGCGTTGCGATGTTCAAATCGATATTGAGCGCCAATCGTCATTATGGCGAGGATGACCTCAGGGGCACGTTCATTAATATGAAAAGTTGGTATGTGCATAAACGGAAGATGAGGTTGAAATCCTTCGAAGTAGGACGTGAGATATCGCGTCAATGTATGTCGAGATGGCAGCACGAAGTCAGGAATGACGTTGCGGAAGTCTTCAAGGGAGGCTGCGAGTCGAAAGCGTTGGTCTTCAGTGACACTGAATCGCGATGTTTTCTTTGCTACTTGTGGGGGTTCTGGAATGATATTAGCATAGTTTGGGTGCAAAACAGATGAACGGCTTACCAGAATCGGAGAGGTTCCCTAAGCTCTGGTCACCTCTTGGTACAGACGGAAGCCATGATCGAAATGGTGAGTCTCCCCGAGATGTACCACCTGGATTTCGTCGCTGCCTTTCCTGTTGATCTTGAGTCGGTCGGGCGGCGTCTTGGACATTTTCCAGAGGGACTTCTTGTGTTTGGGATGTTTCTCCTTCGCTGGGAAGCCATTCTCCAGGTAGGCCGATTGAATCCAAGAAGTGAGTAAACTCTTGAAAATGGTTTAAATCTTCAGGTAGGTAAGGCATAGGTTGCGCTATCATAATGTTAAGCAAAATAAAACCAATAGCAGAAATGCAGCCAAACAGCTTATCCCGTGCAAGAATATACTACGCAATATTTTGGAGACGTACCTGTAGCCTGGTAATCACCAGGAAGAAGCAATTGCGCAGCTTGAAGCATATCTGGATCATGCATCATACCGGGATGTGCCTCCATAGCCGGGTTCGGGGCAGCCGCAGCTGCAGGAAGCATGCCAGCAGCATGGCTCTGGTCTATATAAGGTGTACTCTGTGCAGCAGGCCATTGGTGCACAGCAGACGGTCCTGCAAGGGGCCCTACCGAGCGGGATGGTGTATCATATTGCGGGATAGCTGCAGGATGATGTGCTGGCTGGAAATCCGACTTTGCGGTCGGCTCAGGCGGCGCACTTGGCGAGGTAAGGCCATCTTGGTGGGAGATGCGCGTGTGACGCTTCAGTAGATCCCTTCTAGTGAACGCTGCCCCACAGAAACAAATAAATGGCTTCTCCTTGGTGTCTGATTATGGGTCAGTACTTGCCCCTCAGGATCTGCCCAGGTGCTCCAATCCAGCTTACGGGTGCGAATGTGACGCTCCAAATGCTCTGTTCGCCGGAAGCTCCGACCGCAGTGCACGCATATGCGTGCCCTTGCTCCACGGGCCCTTTGTAACGGGGGTGATGGGGACGCCATTGAAACATTGGGGGATGGAGAACTGGATTGGAGACGAAGATACCTGGGAAGTGGAATGTGGGTGTCGAGATAGGAGAATCGACTCCAACTACCCCAACTCGGGGCTGTCCGGAACCATTCGGCCCGTGATAAGCGATAAAGGTGGGGTTCGGAGTTGGGGTAGTTGCGATACTATACTTCAACTTCTTGACTTGTTAACTTGGTTGACTTGCTAGTTTGATAGCTAAGTTTGATCGGTCATGTCATGCAATATGTTTCCTGGAGTCGCAGTCATCACTGGGGCTGGTGGAACAGGTATGTGACTTAGCCGATCGTTGTGGATATACAACCAACACTTCCTAGGAATCGGTGCTGCAACAGCAAAAGCGTTTGCGACAGCAGGATGTGAAAGAATCGCTATTACAGACCTAAACGAAGAGTCCTTGCGAAAAACAGCAGAAGCCATCACTTCAACACAGCCCAAGGCCCGTCTCTTAGTGAAAGCCGGAAATGTGGCAGATGACCGATTCGCAGACTCGTTCATCAACGCAGTCGTACAACAATTTGGCCGAGTCGACTATGCTGTGAATTGTGCAGGTGTTCTTGGCAAGTCAATGCGGTCGGCCGAGACAACTCTTGAAGAGTTTGACCGTGTCAACAATGTCAACTACCGAGGCTGCTGGCTGTCTTCTCGAGCAGAACTTAGACAAATGGCATCTCAAAGTGAACTCCCAAGTCATGACCCCAACCGTCCTGGCCAGCGGGGCTCAGTGGTGAATGTTGCTAGCCAGTTGGGAATCGTCAGCCGTCCAGGTGCTCGTAAGTGTTGCGCTCCTGTCTATTAAAAATGCACGATTAATAATCTTCTTTGTAGCTGCATATTGTGCATCAAAATCTGCTGTTATTGGAATGACTCGAGCAGATGCCATCGATTATTCCCAAGATGGAATTCGAGTCAACTGTGTCTGTCCAGGTGTGATCGAGACACCACTCATCATGGAGAAGCCCGAGGTTCGCGCGGCCATCACACCGGCAGCGGAGATAGCTCCCATGAAGAGAATGGGGCAGCCGGCAGAAGTTGCCGATGCAATTCTTTTCTTGTGCTCAACTCAGGCCTCTTTTGTACAGGGTCATGCCATGGTGGTTGATGGTGGATATGTTACTGTATAGCTTATCCATGAACATATAATGATGAAAAAGTCGAGAAATGAAAGAAACAATGTCAATGTACCTATGCGCAAATGCAATGCATATATACAGTCTAATCTAGTTCTTGTCCGTCGTGTACTGCATCTTCTTCCAATCATAATGCGTCTCCCAGATATGCCCGGCCCGCAGGATCTTCTCCTCCTGCCACAATCCACCAACAATCTGCATTCCAACAGGCAACATGACCTGATTATCCTCCTTTGCCGGAGCAAATCCGACCGGGATTGAGAGAGCCGGGTGACCGGTCACATTGAAGACAGCCGTGTTAATTGTAAGCCCCATGCTAGGTTTCAATGATTCCAGCGGGAGGTCACGCTTGCCGTGCTTCGGGGCAACGACCGGTGTGGTAGGCATGATCAGCACATCGTACTTCTCAAACAAGGCCTCGTACTTGTCGCTTAGATACCGCCCGAAATTGGCCGTCTTGCCGTAGAGATCAGGGAATTGTTTCATCAAATATAAACCATTAATCATCACGTTCTTCGTGGAAGGGAACGCGCGCTGGAAGCCATCATCTGTCCATGGAAGGCGTGCTCGCTCCATGTCAGTCATATAAAGACCTCGTCGACCGGTATTCTGGCCCAAAAGAGTCTGCGCTCCAGCAATGCGCTGCTGAATAGTCCAGATCGCCGGCCCACGATAGTGGTCTGGAAGGGAAACCTCCTCAATACTTGCGCCCAAATCTTTGAACTTCCGAGTTGCCATCAAAACTAAATTCTTGACATTTGGGTCCACTTTGTCGTGTTCGAAGCCTTCAACTAGAATCCCGACCTTGAAACCATCAAGTCGGTCTGAGGTCTGTTGAAGTGTTGCTCCGAAGCTAGTGGACCCTGGCTTCTGGCTACCAAGAGACTTGTCATCGATGCCATCATAGCCACTGATCACGTCTAGACACTGTGCCGCTTCCAGGGTCGTTCGGGTAAGCGGGCCTGCATGATCGTTCATCGCATCGCCACTAGCAATTCCAGTGAAAGGAACGCGTCCATGTGTAGGTTTCAACCCAACGCCTAAAGAAAGGTTAGCGCATCGCTACAAGCTTTATTCCACTGGAAAATATCTCACATCCGCACAGCGAAGCAGGCACTCGTATACTCCCACCCTGATCACCACCAATAGTAATATCCACCAAGCCCGCTGTAACGAGAGCCGCTCCTCCAGAGGTACTCCCGCCAGCCGAATATCCAACAGCATGTGGGTTCTCCACAGTACCCTGTGCACTAGTATAAGAAGAAGTGGAGTGACACATATTCTCGCAAGTAGATGTCCCATGAATATCAGCGCCAGCCTCCAAAAGCCGGGTCACAACTGTCGCATCAGTATTCGGAGTCCAAGATGGAATGATATCGCTCCCGAGAAGTTGAGGTACACCTGCTACAGCAATGACATCCTTCAAGCTGACTGACTTGCCTGCCAGTGGTCCGCCTTGCGCAGTACCCCGGATCAGGAACCGGTGTGCCCATGCATGTCCGAAGACTTGCTCCTCTTCGCTTGGTCGGCGCACATTTTCACGGGGATACTTGGTCTGATCTGAGACTGGTTGGTAATCTGGTAAGGCAGCGACACCCTCGGCGCAATCGTGTACTGCAGCGAGTAGAGTATGGAAATCTTGCGCTTCGGCTGGATCGATGGTCAGACCGAGCGGATCAAGGAGTTTTTGAGCATCGTCTGGTTTGACGGGGTTGCTCCTATAGTGTATTCGTCAGTAAGCTGATTTTCCGGATTTGGGAGTAATTAAGATAGATAAATGTGAAGATACGCACTCTGAGATACTCGTGAAAAGAACAGACATGATCGCTATGAAACACCACTATGCTGCCGATCTCTTCTTCGTCAGGGGAGGTTGTAGTTTATGAACATTTGCTCTCATGGGATTTTTTTAATCCATCGGTGCTCTCCGACGCAGTCGGCTCATGGAGTCCGTTAAACTGGGTCTGATTGCTCACGGTCGCTAGTATATTACCCCGACGACCCCAACCACGTTGGAGAAGGATCTCGGCATATTCTTCAGATACCAATTAAACATAGTTAAGAAATTTGAATTATATATGCATTTACATATGAAGAAGAGTATTGGGGAGGGAAAGTCCTATCAGTGGCCAGGGGATACGTCCGAGCGAGGGGCTTATCTTCCCCGCAGGAGTACAAAAGCCAACCAGTCGGCTATTCTCGACCACCTCAGTTGTTCAATTATTCACTATGGCACCCAAGCGAGTCCTGATTACTTATGGCGTGGATGTTGATGCTGTGGCCGGCTGGCTGGGCTCGTATGGCGGAGAGGATTCTACAAACGACATCAGCAGGGGTATGTTTTGGTCTATTGATGAAGTGATAGTGTTCTAATTGCCCGCGATATAGGATACTGGGCCGGAACCATCGGGACTCAGCGTCTATTGAAAATGTTTGCTAAATACGACATCAAGACGACATGGTTCATCCCCGGTCACTCACTCGAGACCTTCCCCGAGGACATGGCTGCCGTTCGCGATGCGGGACACGAGATCGGCCTGCACGGGTACTCCCACGAGAACCCGACGGATATGTCGATAGAGCAGCAGCGCGATGTACTCGATAAAACATACAAGATGTTGACCGCGTTTGCCGGAAAACCTCCTCGCGGTAGCGTGGCACCTTGGTAGGTCTTTTGATTTACTAGCTTAGGGAGGAACCTAATGATTTTTTTTATATAGGTGGGAAACCAGCCGAGAAGGCGCCCAACTCCTCCTCGACTACGGCATTGAGTACGACCACAGCATGAGCCACGAAGATTGCCAGGCCTACTACCTGCGAACGGGCGACAGCTGGACTAAGATCGACTACAAGAAGAAGGCGGAGGAATGGATGAAGCCTCTTGAGCATGGACCGCAAACTGGACTTGTTGAGATTCCGTCCAACTGGTACATTGACGACCTGCCACCAATGATGTTCATCAAGAGTGCGCCGAACAGCCATGGGTTTGTGAACCCGCGTGACGTGGAAGATATCTGGCGCGACCATTTCGACTACTTCTATCGCGAGTATGACGAGTTTATCTTCCCGATTACTATTCACCCGGATGTTTCCGGAAGGCCTCATGTACTTCTTATGCATGAAAGGTGTGTTTCCTGATATATTTTTTTGGCTGGAAAATAGTACTGACATCTATCAGACTGATTGAGCACTTTAAGAAACATGAAGGTGTCGAATTTGTGACTATGGAACAAGTATGTGACGATTTTAAGAAGAAGAACACGCCTCCACCAGGGGCATTGATGCCAGCAAAGGCAGGGGCTATGCTGCAGAAGTGAATAGTTCCAGCTTTAGCACTTGTGAATATGCAATAATATCTTGTTCAACAACTATATCTCATCTTATCTCACAAATGGGTTCAACTCCATCGACCCCAACAGACCCTCCCTCCACCTACCCCAATTGATATCAAACCACCGTTGTAACTTAGCTATTGCTATCAGTATCAGAATAAAGAACAAGATATGACTTCGCCATCATTGAGTATCTATCTCCAACCCTACCAAACATACCCCAAATCCTGGGACCTACCCCAACACGACTCCAACATGCCAACCTCACCCCATGATATTCAGCCCTTGTCGTTTCGTGGGGAATGTGGACCAGCTCTATCCCGTCTTATCGCTCTTTAGTGTGAAATAGCTGTGACAAAGTACTGTGAACCCCAGAGAACGTCCACTGTGCCAAGCATACATATGCGTGAAGAAGAACACGGGAGATAAGTGCCGTGCTCAGCGCTTGTCTATATATACCTACCGTGGTATCTCCAATTCAGAGCCCCATGTTCGCTGCCTATACTTGCAATTGATTAAAGCTAGCCAGAGCTTATCATCCTCGTTCATCATGGCACTTCATGCAGATGAGATCAAGGAAGTCCCTCCCTACACAGACCACCCCAACGTCACCGACACACAAGAAGCCGAAGTTGAAGACAAATTCGAGGTCTTCAAACGAGGTGATGGCCAAGTCGATTTCCGGACTGTCAGTTGGATCCGGGCTTCAGTTATCTTCCTAAAAAGTCAGTCTAATCCAGCTCCATTTACCCCATTCTTCCTGTGGCAATAATTGACGCTGTTCAACAGTCATCTTCGCAACCGGCGTCCTCTCCATCCCATCACTGATGTACCAGCTAGGCGCATTCCCTGGCGCCATCACTGTAATAGGCTGGAGTCTACTCAATACTTACTGCGCTATTGTGCAGGGCAACTTCCGCAATGCCTATCCGGGCTGCCACTCCATCGCCGATATGGCCCAGGTGGTTGGCGGACCGGTCGTGAAGGAGCTTGTTGGCTTCTTGTTCACGGTTAGTTATGTGATTGTCGCGGCATCGGGTATCATTGGCGTGTCGACGGCACTCAATGCCCTATCCCAGCATTCAATTTGTACCGTCTGGTTCTCATTCATCGGGACGATTATCATTGCCATGTGTGCTAGTGTGCGCAAGTTCTCGCATATCGGCTGGCTCACATGGCTTGGATTTGGCAGTGTCTATATTGCTGTCTTTATCATTGTGTAAGTTCTGCCATTCTTCCTCTCTTGGATCAAATACTGACGGCCCCAGTATCGGCGTAACAACACGAGACCGGCCGGCAGCAGCTCCCCAAACAGGCGATTTCGACTTCGGCTACCGAGTCATCGGTGATCCCGACTTCACAACCGGAATTACAGCCTCAGCAACAATCTTCGTCTCCAGCGCAGCAACATCTGCCTTCCTCCCGGTCATCTCAGAGATGCGCAAGCCAAAAGACTACCCTAAAGCGGTCTACCTGAGCATGAGCCTGGTAACAGCCTCCTACCTAACCTTCAGCCTAGTAATCTACGCCTGGTGCGGCAAGTGGATCGCCTCCCCATCCCTCGGCAGCGCCGGCGAAACCGTCAAGCGGGTCGCCTACGGGATCGCCCTCCCGGGCCTGATTATCAGCGGCTGTCTCTACGTACACGTCGCAGCCAAATACCTCTTCGTGCGAATTCTGCGCGACTCGCGCCATTTGCAGGCGAACACAGCTGTACATTGGGGGACTTGGTTGGCGTGTACGGTGGGTATGGCCGCCATTTCGTTTGTCTTGGCATGCGCCATCCCTATCTTCAACTATGTCTTGGCATTGGTGGGGAGTTTGTGTTTTGCGCCTTTGGCGATTACTCTGCCGGGGTGGTTGTGGCTGTATAGCCATCGCGATTATTGGAGGGGGAATGTGCTGAGGGTTATGTTGTATGCTTTCCATGTCTTCCTTGTTCTGTTAGGTCTGTTTATGGCGGTTGGTGGCACTTATGGGGTTGTTGTGCAGATTAAACAGGCCTATGCGGATGGTGCCATCTCATCTGCCTTTTCCTGCGCGGATAATAGTTGAGGAGGGTTGAGGTTTGAGGAGTAACTTATATCTTGGCTAGTCAAGCCGGGTGGGTGGCCGTGCCCTAAGTGGGCTAAGGTCGTCAGCATGATTCCTCACCTTCACCTATTGTGATCTAGACTGTTTTCTATAACTTTATAATCAATTACCATCGAGACTACGACCGACCAATAAACCAAAGTTTAACTAACGATTTCCTATTGGCACATCCGCCGCGTGCCGTAACCGCAACCGAACGCGAATGCGCCCACGTGGGCTGCCTTTCCACTTTCGTCGACACCTCTATCTCACCATGTAATTCTGGCTTCTCTTTTAATTCTCTTTATATTCTTCGCATTTCCATCTCTCTTCATTTCATTTCTCTGTATCCTCAAACCTCCCCGTCACAACTCTCTTCTCTGGAAGATCCAGAGCTTATCTCCGTTATCATCATCCGAAGCCTCCGACATGGCTTTGCGCAAACTAGCCATACTCTTTCTCCTCACAGGCCACGCCTTAGCAGCCGCAATTCCAACATCTCCTCCTATCCAACCAAATACTTTTCGCGAAATTTCATTCCCGTCCATCAAGGACTCGCCAACGAATCAGGCCGCGTCATGGGCTTCGTCCGAACGGGACCCACCAGCCGATAAGAGATCGCCGTACTATTTTCCTGAGACCATCCAAGACGATGAAGACCTTGAAAATGAAGTTTCATTGCGGGAGATCGCTATGCGCGAGGCGGGTTTCATCCCCTCGAGCTCCCGATCCTCGGGAGAAGTGCAAAAGTCAAGTCGTCATCCCGTTCCTGGTTCCAATGCTGGGATCGGCGCTGCCAGTGTCGGTGCCGGTGACAGGGCCAGGTTTGCCGGGTATATGGGCTCGAGTTCGAAGCCGAGCGAGCAGGGCGGGTTCCTGGAGGAACTTACGACAGCTGCATACGAAGCTTCTGAGGATGAGCGGACTTTGTGTCCGCCGTTTGGGTTCTTTGTTGTTGCTGCTGTTGTGGTCTGTTTCGTTACTATCCTGAGAGGAATCGGTGCCAAGAAGTGAGGCTGTGATATCGTTTTTTGATTATTTTTCGACTTTATCTCGCTTCTTCGTTTGATCGGATATGGCTATCGACAACGAAGGCATGGAATAACTCGACTGCTCTGCCGCATGGGCCTGGGCGATCACTCGAACACGCCACAGCAATTACCACCATCGGATTTTGGCAGCTGAAATCCACTGCGCGAACGGAAGTCTACCTGTTTCGGAGAATCAGACCTTCCCCACAATATCTATCCATTCACGCATTGGCCTCTGCCCAAGGGGAATGAGACAATAAGCAGCAAGCAAGAGACAACGAGCCAATGTCGTGTGGTTATATGTTGAAGCCCTCTACTCGGACACACAACATGCTTGCCACCATCTCGACTGGGTATCACCACCTTGGGTCGGCTTCATCTCGTGCCGTATCACTGGAATCGCATCCGCTCTATGGATATCTCTAATGCACAAGCCGCTCGAAATAGGGGATTCAAAACTGCTGAATGGAGTATCGCTTCTAGCTGGCTGATTAGCGCCTCAAGTTGTTCCAAGTTCTCTCGATGGACAAGACAAATCGGATGTGCGAGAGAACCAAAAGGGTCATTATTGAGGATATTTTTTGTTATACTTGTCCAGTCAAGCATTCACAGAAGGGAGGAACTGCTTAGAACTGTTGTTCTGATATCAAAAGATCCAATATTCACGGTCTGTTGACCTGGTTCATCATTCACTGCTCTCTCCCTAGCTTCTCTATGTTCTAAATATGCACATGACTGCGTCTAGACATACTTGAGATATGCCTGGAAGTATCCGTTTTCCAAGTAAAAGGGCCACTTAGGGTCCATGCCAACCGAAGTAGCAAGGTATTTTATACCATGTATCGCAGATCTGACTACATGACCCATTTCTACATGATGCACGGTACAAGCCCACCTAATAACAGATGAACAGGCACAGAATTAAATTGGCATCCACGTTGATTATTTGTTAAATACAATTCCACAGAACAACCACATTCCGTTGTCACATCACGCTTGCGTTCAAACTCAATTACCATGGTGCGAAAACGATCTCAATCAATCCAAAGACAGTATGGAATCAAAAACCATCACAGTCAACCTTCTTAACAGACTGGTAGTCCAGCTTCCACTCGACCACATCATGCGTGCCGCCGACTTGTTCACACGGACTCGAGGGCCAAGAGGAAGTGAAGATCGTCAAAGTCTTGAGAATCATTGTGGATAGAGTCGTGGATAGTAGAGGATAGATGGAAGATTATGGAGAAAGAAGCTTCCAGGTCGGGGAGTCTACGTTAAATACTATGTTTTGACCGAGCTAGGGCCGGCCCAATTAGCATATTTGGAAAAGGGTTCCGCAGATTTCGAGGGCTAAATATCATCATAATGGATCTGAATCCTATCGTGTGAGGTAAGGAAAAGGAATCCTGCAGATCTTCAGGCTACAGGAACAGGGAATTCTGGCTTGTACTCCGTATAGGACCCAGATGTCGACAAGCTCCATTAAAAGGAGCTACGCTCTACATTTATATCTACTTTTATAGCAATGCCGTCGTAAAGTGTTTCAGTTCTATAGTATGAGGCTGGGAAAGGAATCTAGCAGATCTTTAAGAAAGAATCGTTGGTTTGTAAATATGGAGTTTGTGAATTTACGCCCATTTGATTGGGAGATCTAGTGCTTCACGAGGTCCACTTAATTTACACCTCGGTGATCAAAGGGCCGAACTATACACTGCATGTTGGAAGATACAGTAAACAGAGTGATAGTGATGCAGCCAATGTATTTCTTTGGACTATTAACACAAGGCCGGAATTGGCAGACAAAAAAATGTCGCATCAACTTCGGGCATTTGCAGATCGGGATTGTTCCAAAGCGCTAGTTCTGCAGGAGTCATTCGGGTCTCATCAGGAACCGAGATAGACAGAAGGTCCATGGCCCTGACATCATTGGTAGTTTCTTAGCAAAACATTGTGGTTAGCATAAAATTGTCAATTTGAGTAAAAACATACAACTCCGATCATTTGCGTTCTTGCATTATAGGAACTAACTTACTCAAAAAGAGTACAAAGTTTGAGCACTCAAATGATTGGATAGCCACATAGGCCTAAATTCCGATTTATGTGTAAATGATAGTCAAGAAGATAAGACGAAAAGAGAGCATCAAGAGAGAAAAACCAATGCCCAGACGCCACGGCGGTGCAAGAGACGGCCGATGAGAATGAAAATCAATGAGCAAAAACACAGATGATAAACAATAATAAATGACAAACGATGAAAGCCACCCAGATGGAAAATAACGATTACATTGACCTCTCTCTTTTTGCATCCCCGCTCCGAGGAAATGAGCGGGGAGTCAATACTAGACAAACAGGTAGACAGTGGATATGTACGCAAGTTCTATAAGAAAACATGAGAATGGAAGGGAAAAAGGAAATCACCCAACAGATGGAAGGGCAACTTTTAAGAGTCGTCGACAAGACGCTTCTGAGACCACGCGCGCTTCGCACCATCCAGAAGAACGTCCATGTTGCCGCTGTTATCGCACATGCCGCGGAACAGACCATCTTCCTTGTTGATCAGCTCCCAGGGGTGGTCGAACTCGATGACGCGGCCGTGGTCGAGGACCAGGACCTTGTCGTAGTCGATGATTGTTTGCAGACGATGGGCGATGGTGATGATTGTGCTGTCGCGGAGTTCGCGGAGGGTTTCTTGGATCTTGGCGTCTGTCGCGTAGTCGATGGAGGCGGTTGCCTCGTCCATCATCAAGACGCGGGGACTCTTGAGTAGAGCACGAGCAAGGCAGAGGAGTTGGCGCTGGCCTTGGGAGAGGTTTGAGCCCGACTCCGAGACTAGGCTGTCCAGGGTGTGGAAGATGTTCTTGTTGTCGACGACTGTGATTGCGCCGCCGTTTTCGCCATTGGCTTCTGTTGCTGCGATGGTGCTAGATGTTGTGGGAGTTGCGGTGCCCGAGGAGCTAGATCCAATTAGATGGACACGGCGGAGGGCTGTGAATATTTCCTCGTCGCTGAAGAGGCCGAAGGGATCCAGATTGCTGCGGAGCGTGCCAGTGAATAAAGTTGGATCTTGGGGCACGATGGTGATTGCCTCACGCAGGTCACGCAGTCCAATCGAACCGATGTCAACACCGTCAATCAGAATCTGTCCCTTCTCAGCTTCGAGACCGCGGAAGAGAGCCAGTGCGAGCGAACTCTTTCCGGCACCTGTGCGACCGACAATACCAACCTTCTCGCCGGCCTTGACGGAGAACGAAACTTCCTTGAGCACCGGGTCCAAATCAGGGCGGTACCGGGTGCTGTAGCCGTTGAACTCCACCGCACCCTGGCTGGGCCAACCAGCGGCAGGTCTGGACTTAGGAATGACAGCGGCTGCCTCCTGGTCCACTTCGAGATACTCTCTCACTCGCTCAACGGAGTTCATGTTTTGCTGAACCTCGGAGTAGAGACGCACAAGCCAGAGAACGTTCTCTGTGAATGTAACGGCGTAGGTGAGCGAAAGACCAGCAGCACCGGCATCAATCTTTCCAACATTCAGCAACACAAAAGTCGCCGAGAAGAAGGAAACCAAAGCACCGGTCCAATCCACGCGGAGAGCGAGCCAGCGGTTGCTAGCCCAAAGGTAGATGTGTGGCCGGTTGTAGGCGTTGATGCGGCGGTGGTTGTCGATCATGAAACGGGGACCATCACCATAGGCACGAATAGTGACAATGCCGTTGAGCGTCTCGCCAAACTGCTGGTACAGGGGGCTGCGCTGCACAGATTCCAGACGCTTGAGATCACGAGAAGAGTTCAGATAGACGGCACCGAGTGCGGTGTACACTAGTGTGATGAACACACCAGCGATCAAGAAGCCAGGGGTAATAACGGAGATCAGGATGACAATCATGATAACCGAGGCCAGACTGTGAAGCATGCCGATGGCAACGGGAGCAACTTCCTGGTCGACAGACTCGACATCTTTGGAAAACCGGTTCATGAGTTGGCCAAGAGGAGTGGAATCAAAGAAGCGGAATTTGGCATGCATGACAGCCTTGAGAAGGCGATCGTGGATCTGCCAGGAGGCATGGAGAGAGCCCCAGAACAGAACAGCCTCGCGAGACAGAGAAATTGCGATGTAAAGGAAGCCAAGGAGCGCATAGACACCGAGGTAGTAGGCCACATTGACTTCATTATCAGGCCCGCTGGTGGAGCTTGTACCAAACTGTGGCAGACTCCAGCTGCTGACGCGACCAACGCTTCCAACGTTGAATGTGGGCGGCTTGAGGTGGGCGGCAGCAGCGTAATGGCCGGCATTGTTCTCAGTGCCAACCTTGGAGGTGTGGTAAGAGTTTGCCCATTGCCGAATCCAAATGTTGGTGGAAACCGAGCCCAGTTGCTGCAAGCAGAACACCAAGACAGCTCCAATCCAGTAGTACCACGGACCCATGGAGCGGAGGTACATGCTGACGGTAGACCACTTGATGCTACCAGTAGCCTTGGACTCTGAGAGCTTGGCCTTTTCATCCTTTGCGCTTCCATTCGCTGTTCCGTTGGCTGGGGATTCATCATCCGCGCCTTCATGGTCTGAAGGCGCACGAGACAAGCCACGGGAGCTGGCCCTGGAGGCAGGCCGAGACTTGAGGAATTCATCACCCAAGGCACCAGTAGCAGCGACATCATCGGGGCGACCCTGGGCGGAGATCTTGCCGTTCTCAAGCACCACAACATAGTCGGACTGGGGCACCGTCAGGGCAACGTTGTGGGTTACCAACACGCAAGTACGGTTCAGCATCAGCGGACCAGTAAGAGCTTGGCGGAAGATGTGCTTGGCGGTATGAGAGTCGACAGCGGAGAGACAGTCATCCAGGAGCAAGTGGCGGCCACTGCTGTATATGGCACGGGCAAGAGAGATTCTCTGCTTCTGGCCACCAGACAAACTGATACCCTTTTCTCCGACAAGGGTCTGATCACCAGCATCAAGGATCTGAAGGTCGCGCTCGAGGGCACAGGCCCTGAGCACGGCACGGTAGCGACGCTCATCATAGGGTGAGGCGAAGATGATGTTTTCCTTCACGGTATCGTTGACCAACCACGCTTCCTGGGCACAGTATGCGACACTGTCAATCAGGCCAGTTTCGGGGTCAACGGGGAGGTCTGCTCTGTTGGCCATTCCACCGGGGAGGTGTACACGACCATCCAGGAGTCTCATTTCTCCAAGCAGTGCCATGAGCAAAGACGTCTTTCCAGAGCCAGTGGGACCGGCAATGATGTTCAACTTTCCAACAAGGAATTCGACGTCAATATTGATCAAGCGGAAAGAGTCCAGGCCATCAGTGGATCCAGCTTCTTGGGGCGTGGGCTTTGAAGCGCTCCAGGTGAGTGTGGCCTTTTCAAGACCAAGCCGGGCTGGGGTACCTGCAACGGTACTATCACGGAGCTGCTCATATTTGCCAGTCTCCTCCTCGTTGAGGTACTTGTCCACACGGTCCAAGGAAACCTTTGATTCCTGGACGTGGGCTACCATATCCGCCAGTTGGTCCAGGGGGACACGGAGCAAGGAGAACATTGACAACGCAGGGAAGGCAACGGAAGGAGTCAATTGCTTCTTCTCGACAACAGTGTACAAGAAGAAAGACAAGAAGGTGATGAGAATCGGTGTGCCGTACCAGACAGTTGCGGCAGAAGACCAAAGGATGTATCGTTTACGGAGCGCCTTCAATTCAGTCTTGCGCTTCTCGTTGACAATGTCCTGGAAACGCTGCTCCCACGCAAAGTACTTGATGATGCGAATGTTCTGCAGTACTTCATTCGTAGAATGAATGCGGGCATCGGTACCCTTCAGGATCTGGTTTTGCACCTTGTTGAACTGGCGGGCGATGAAGAGGTTGACAGGCAGCATGAGAACCATGATTGCAATACCAGCAAAAGAGCTGAAGCCCATGATGTAGTAAAGCAGGGCGACGGCCATGGTGATCTGCACAGGCACACTAGCCCACAAGAAGTGAAGATAAGCGCCAACCTCGCTGACCTTGAAGGAGTCAATCGCCATCAAGTTGATGATTGTACCGACATTAGCTTGGGTGAGGTCCTCTTCGGCAGCAGGCTTAGTTCCATTTTCGGTGTCATTGCCATTCGCCGCCTTCTTCTTGCGACCAAAAGAAAACAGACGCTTCTTCTTCTTTGCATCTTTGACGAGGGGGACCTCCACGGCCTTGCGGGCCGCTTCTACCGAAGCACCTGCTTTCCGTCGTAGGGCCTTGGCATAAATCTCACCAATAATGATCGCACGGATCTTTACACCCATCTTTCGACCAATGAACAGGGCTTGTCCATCAGCCACACCCTGGACCGTAGCACAGCAGAAAAGTAGAATGGCGTACAACCAAGCTGCATTAGGCGTTGTGGAACGAGGGTCCTCGACATACTCAAGAATAGCCTTGAGAAGTAGGCTGGGCATGAAAACGAATAGGTTGGCGAAGACGGTCCAAGCACCCTGCTTCAAGATTGTTCCAGCAAAGAAGCGAATCAGCTTCCACGCTAGAGAACCCTTCATATGGCGCTTGCGGAAGTCACTGAGAACGTTGGCGGCTTTTTGGGACGGGGTCAAGTTCCAGACATCCTCAAGCTCCAGGGGCTGACGGTAGCCCTTCAAGACCAGCGGATCGAGCCAGGAAAATGTTGCGAGTGACAAAAGACTGGCCATGGGGTGTCTCGGAGGTTCCAATCCATCTTCACGCTCAACCAAAACGGGCTTGTTGCCTCGGCGAGTGGTGAGTGCGATGAGAAGGAGCAATGTGCTCAACGAGAACTGAAGGCTGCTAAGAACCAGGGCGCGCTGAGACAAGGGGTGGATTATGGCGGATCGGAAGACCATGACGTTGAAGAGCCACTGGAAGCTGTACAGGATAGCCGTGTGATTCCATAGTCTCGGGGCGGAGGAAATATCCAATGTCGATAGAAGGAATCGAACCAGCACCAAGAACATGACATAACCCCACGTTATCAAACCCGCAACGGCGGGAAGAGTTCCATGGCGACCCCAGGCTTGAGACGACAGAATCACAATGAAGACTGCAACTTGGCCAATAAGCGCAGCGATTTCGACCAAGACGACAGCTATTTCTCCACGCGGGCGATCGACCTCGGACTCATTTTGTTCCTGCTGTGCGGCCTGGAAGAGCATCGTATCGGATTCGTTTTCCTGGCCATTGGAAAGCTCTTCGGAGTCATTGTTCGGGAGGACCTTGTACGCAGCACCTTTTCGGGAAACCAAATATCGATGGGCGAGGCGAATGAGAACTAGCAGCACCGAGACGCTGCAAGCTGTTAGGGGAAGGATCACTTGAAGAACGCTATATTATGTACATCATGATCAGCATGGAATCAACGGTCGCAAACGCAGTTTCGAGTTACTCACTTGCGTTGGAAGCAACGAGACAAGTCATCAATGGCCCAGATAGGGCCTTGACATTGCGGCAGCATAACTGGCGGAGTGCAAAGCTCACAGAGAACTTATGCTCTCGGACCTCGCGCGAAGCGACCACGCAGCTCTCGAGCTTGCGACGAGGTATAGTCAGGCAATGCGACCGAAATAAAGTTGTTTCTTTAGCAAAAATATTCAACTTGCCAGGACAAGGCTGGCATTGCAGAGTCGACCAAATTTTGATGTGTCGGATGGAAGAAGATCCCGGGACGGAGGGCCGTTGAGGCGAGTGAGCGAGCCTGGCTCAGGTATAAAGGAAGGGAGCTGTTAAACAGATAAGTAAACAGAGTGAGATTGTTGAGAGAGACCTTTTAGGGCGGGGGAGGAGAAGAAGAACTGCAAGGATTGCGAGTCTTCCAAAACCGGCGGTGGACGGACTCCGGGTAGGGTGACATAGGCCGCCATCACGTTTTGGCAGTTGATTGAGGTACCAGTACTTAGGTAATTCTGTACGCAGTAACTAACTTATCTACTAGTTCTGATCTAAACAAAGCTATTATTTGGCTAAACTATATTCGGAGTCCGACTATTTCTTTGGTGTTCTGAGGCATTCGTGTCTCCGCGATCTCTTATCGGAGAGTTCCCCACTGCAGAGACGGAAAGAGAGACATGCAGGTGACTCTCAGGTACATATGTAGGTCAGGTTGTGTATGTTTAGCGATAGGTAGTTATTATCACGTTCGAAGGCAACTTAGGCAAAGTTTGATGATTACTCAGTCGCCACCCAAATCCCAAAGTTGCAACTTTGTCAGGCACCTTTGGCGCCTATATAACCTCCAACCGCCCAACTTCCCATTCACGCAAACTCACCATGGCGGAACGCATACTCATGAACGAATTTAAGACCCTGCTTAAAGAGAAATGGGTCCACGTCCAGGTCCGCCTCCTTCCTCTACTCTATGGGATATCCTGACTAACCTTCGCAGTTACACAATGACGACATCTTCAACTGGGATGTGGCTCTTATCGTGATCAACCCAGACTCCATGTACTACGGAGGCTATTTCAGAGCCAAGATGCGCTTCCCTGCGAACTATCCTTATGCTCCACCAGGTAACCAAAACCCAGAACCTCAAATCACCACCGGGGTGAACATTTGCCATGTTACTAACAAATTCGCCCCTCCAGAGTTCCGCTTTCGCAAGCCCCTGCACCACCCGAACATCTACCCCGACGGAAAGCTGTGTATCTCAATCCTCCACGCACCAGGTGAAGATGAAATGTCCGGCGAGCTAGCCTCCGAGCGCTGGTCCCCAGCCCAGCGCGTCGAATCCGTCCTGATCTCGATCATTTCCCTTCTTGATGATGCCGAGCCCTCCTCTCCGGCCAATGTCGATGCGGGTGTCCTATTCCGCAAAGATCCCGCTGCCTACCGCCAAATGGTCAAGGCCGACGTGGAAAGGTCCAAGGCGGATATCCCAGCTGATTTCGTGATGCCGACACACGAGACATCTATCGTCCGCGAGCCTACCGAGAAGGAGGACCATGATTTCTGGGCGGATAGTGATGCGGATAGCGACGTGTTCGGCGGGAGTGACTCTGACGAAGATCTTCTTCAACAATTCAGTGACAGCGAGATCGACGAGGTGGACGATGACTCGATTGAGGAGGATAACAAGGATGCGATGAAGGCGTAAGGTGACTGGTTCACCTTGTGTCCTGGGCTCGCTGCTGGGCGATTCATGTCTCGCATTCAAGGTTCTGAGCGCATATTTAGCATTCTCGGCGTACACATCTAACGGTCATTTTTATCTTTCCTCTGGCGTCGTGAGGTTATATAGCATAAGGAGCTAGCAATCTGCGCCTCTACAGTACATTTCTCATACAAATCAAACATTCCATTCGATTCCAACTTCTATGTAAATTCCGAGCTTGCACCTCGAACAATGTCAGCCCTACCCAAGGCCAATCTCCATGCCCAGCAAAAGTGGACTCTTCCCCACACGATCCCGACCCCGTATAGAACCACTCCTATATCGGACCGCCGGATCACCCGTCACTACACAAGCCAGTTCATTCTACCAACGACAACTGTAACAACAGTAAGATGCCAACCCAGGCCCTCACAACATAGACAACAACCTAACCCACCAAATCTTCCCAACAGAAGAAACCAGGCCACAATCCGCAGTTTCTACAACAAGACCAGCTGCACAATCAACGGCAGCAATCACACTGCAACAATAGCCCCCAAGATTCCCTGACCTCCTCCACCCGACCCCCAACATTCCACCTCGGCTCTTCCGTTCAGGCATAAAGACACTGACACCCTACGTGCAGGTCTTATGAATGGAATAGCCTTCCACGTCCACGGTAGTTGAGGTTGGGGTTGGTACTGGCCACATTGAGGGAGTTGTTGGGAGTATGTGGTACTATGGAAGAAGGATAAGTTAAGTACCTTTGTGAAGTAGCAGCTTATGAGTTGCCAACATGCTTAAATCTACATCAGCATATATAAGCGACTTGTGCTATATTGACAAAAAAAATTCTAGATCAATCCGTTTGTGAAGTAGACGAATATGCTACGTAGTCAAGAACGAGACAACGAAATAGCAAGAAGCAATCTGTATAGTAGTGATGCGGGGTAGACCCATGGATTCGTGGAGAATCCAACACGAAATGATAAACCCAAAGAAAATAAGAAGTGCGCCTGTGTTAATCCATTCATCCAAATGCCCGAGTTGTTGGACCCGTCACCGACAGGGCCCGAACAAGCTTCTAATCTATGCAGAAACAGCATCCTTGATCTCGCTGTAGATAGCACCCATCTCCCTGTGGATGGTCTTCTCAGCCTGCTCAATGATGTTGTGGACGCGGTCCTCAACATCGTGGATGCGATCCTCGACATTGGCGCCGGCCTTGTAACCACCATCAGCAAGGATCTGGGTGTAATTGGAAGAACCACCACCGTTCCAGGCCAGAAGCTAAACAAGGTTAGAATTGAATGATACAGAAAGGTGAATAGTAGGTAAGAACTTACGTTGGGGGTGTCAGAGGGCATGTCAGTCAAGGTGCCCTTGGTGGCGATGCTGATGAGAGCGTCCTTGAGCTGCTTTGGGGTGACATCGGCAACAGCGAAGGCCGAGTCCTTGGCAGGAGCAAGGGAGACATAGTAGGCCAGGAGACCAGCAATGTGAGGGGAGGCCATGGAGGTACCGGAGATGGTGTTGGTAGCGTACTTGCTGCCGATCCAGGTGGAAAGGATGTTCAGACCCGGGGCGAAGATATCAGTGCACTTGCCGTAGTTGGAGAAGTAGGCACGCTCATCAGCCAGGGTGGAGGCACCAACGGTAACGGCCTTCTCCGCAGCGGCGGGAGAGTAGTTGCAAGCATCAGCATTGTCGTTACCGGCAGCGACGGCGAAGTGAATACCAGCATCAACGGCGGCATTGACAGCGAGATCCAGAGTACGGGAGCTGCCACCGCCAAGAGACATGTTGGCAACGCTACCCTTGAATTTCTTGTTGCCAGACTTAGCCTTCTTGATGTGAGCCTCGGCAGCCCACTCAACGCCCTTGACGACATCGGACATGGAGCCAGAGCCGTTAGAGCGGAGAACCTTGACAGCGTAGACGTTGGCCTTCTTGGCAACACCGTACTTCTTGCCGGCAATGGTACCAGAGCAGTGGGTTCCATGGCCGTTTCCATCCTCATCGGCATCGCCCTGGGGGACAGTCTTGCCCCAGTTAGCACGGCCCTCGAAGTCAGTGTGGTCAACGTTGGTGCCAGTGTCAATCACGTAGGCATCAACGCCCTCACCGCCGTCCTCGGCGTAGAGGTACTTGTTGAAGGTACCAAAGGAGAGGCTCTCACGGTGAGAGATACGGGCCAAACCCCAAGGGGCGTTCTTCTCGGTCTGATGGCTATCCATGGTGCGGACCTCGGAGTCCTTCTCAATGTACTCAACCTGTTGATAAGAGCAGTCTGATTAGTCGCTATAGCACTGTAGTAGAGGAAAGGGGTGCTTACATCCGGATGCCGGCGGACCTGCTCGATGACATCCTCATGGAAGTGACCAGCATATCCAGTGAGCTCACCAGCGATGTGGAAAGTGTGCTTGAGACCCATGAAAGCCTCGAAGTCGAAGTCAAACAAGGAGCGCTTCTTCAGCTCCATGCGACCGTTCTGAGCAGTGTGGATGTCCTGCACCCAGCTGTGGTGAGCCGAAGCAGACTTCTGGTTGACGTGCTTCTTAAACACGACAATATAAGAGTCAGGGATGTCCTCGGCGTTTGATGAGGAGAGGATGGGAGCTGCGTCATTGTGGATGGAGCCCACCGATACGGGTGTGGCCGCTGCCAGCAACGGGAGCAAAGTCAGGCTCAGGAAGCCTTTCATGCTGGGCAGATTGAATAGAGAACACAAGGGAAGTCAAACAAATGTAAATGATAGGATGTAATGGATGATGAGGATAGGATGGGGAAGGAGAGAAGGGAAGTGAGGAGAAAGACGGGGGCGGTCTCTCTTATCTGAGATGATGATGCAAGCAACCTGTGACCTTGGATTTGTCGATCATTGACCAGTTAGAGTGGAGTACCGGGGAATGTACTGTATGGTACGATTACGCCGCCTCTTTCAGTGTCTGCCTATCTACCCCAAGTCATAAGCTAAGTATATTTAGGTAAGTTCTGATGCTAAGTTACCTATAATATAAGTTGAGCTATTTCATGATTGTTATGCTCCGTTGTGATGATGTGTTGGAGGCGAGACGCCAGGTACCCGTATCCCTGCACCTTGCCGCTCTCAGCTCAAGGCAACTTCTCCTCCGAAGTCGCGTGCTCGGGTGAGTCAACCCTTGGCCTCCAAGGTTGCAGATTAGCGCATTATTGGGTACTTGGACCTGTGACCGATCTGCGGAGTAGCAGCTCATAGGATCAGTTGCCTATCTTCTCCACATTACACTGTAGAGCTGTCTTATCGCTTATCACGTCCTATCAACGGTAAATTACCGATACATCCAGCCCCCAAGGTCACCTGATATGTGACTTCCCCCTCACCTCAGTGTGGCTGATTTTAGTCCGATGACGACAAGCGCTAATTAGCCTCACCTCGTCCCTTGGCGCACTGTGATGCAGACTGTACCCGCAATTCAATATTCACGGTCTCCGATGGTCATACGGAGCGGACGTGAATAAGATTTGGCCATGACTCCGGCTTCCCTCCATCCTGCCTCCCCCGCCGGATCGACCGAACGATTGGCCGAAGAGCTAGCTCCGACAATTGAGCAGCTCCAGAAACTCGGTGCGGGCACCGAATTTACCCTCCCGCAGGCCCTTTCAACGACCGAATCGCTGCTTCGTCTCCGCCATACCTTCATAGATGATGCCCACCCACGGACCGCCAAAGACGCATTCCGATATCACCAGGGCTTTCAAACACTTCTGAGGCTGGCTGACAAGCTAGCCGAGCTCTACAACCCCGACAACTTGTCCAAAGAAGAACTAAAGAGCCTACTAGGTATCTTCAAGGATGTCTTGGGTGTGCTAGCTGAGGGCCTGAAAGACCATTTTAGCAACAAGCGATATTTTGCGCGGAAGATAATCGGAGGAGGCATTGCTGCTTTGGAGAGGACTCTGACCGCGTTGGTCAAGAAGATAGACACCACGAAGGGTGATGCACAACATCTCTATGGGGCCATCCTGGCCGCAGCTCTTTGCCAGGAGACCGTGGCAGGTATCTTTGTGACACTGGACGCCAAGTTTCCCGAGAGCGACACTGTTCTGTCTCCACAGGAAGTCCAGGATGCGGTGGATCATTGCATTGGGTCAGCTGAAACAGTGGAGGTGCCGGAGCTGCTGGGGCCATTCCTTCGTGTTTGGCTGATGCATTCTTCCTTTTCGTCTGGATATGATATTCTCCGCCTGGCTTTGCCTGCTTGTCTCTGCCAGCTCGCCTCTCAGTCTCGCAGAAACGTCGTAGCCCTGCATGCCACCGATATGCTGACCTCCATCTTACCTCTCTTGTTCGACGGTGCACGATTTGACAGCGAAAAAGCAATCTATCAAGACCTCGCAAAATATCTCAGCGTTCAGGGAATGAGTAACCTGGATGATGCGGTGGCTCTATATCGCGGGGCCCACGAGAACCCCCAAGTGTTGAAGGTCCTCCTTTCTGCTCTCAAGTCGTCCAAGGAGCCCCCATCAATACAGTTCGATATGTCCCGACACGGATATTGCTCTGTCGAGTTCGGAACCCTTGGCCGTCCTTTCCCACCTATCACCTCTGCTGGATACACTCTGTCTGTGTGGGCCCGTTTTGATGAATTTGATTCCAATACCCATACCACTATCTTTGGAGCGTTCGATGCTAGCCAAACATGTTTTATTCTTGCCTACTTGGAGAAAGACACTCGAAATTTCATTCTTCAAACTTCAATTCGAGGACCACGCCCTAGTGTTCGGTTTAAGTCAGCAAAGTTCGAGCCAAAGCGCTGGTATCATATTTGTGTCGTGCACAAGAAGTCCAAGCCAATGTCTTCTTCGCGGGCGTCTCTTTTCATAGACGGTGAATTCGTTGAGCAGCTGAAGATCGAATATCCCTCGGTACCTACAAGCCACCAACCAAGCAGACCACCCCGGATCCAGGCATTCTTTGGCACTCCCCAAGACCTGGCAATGCGCCTCGGGAAGGGCGTGTCTACTTCACGATGGTCGCTTGCCAATGGTATGCTCTTTGACGAAGCGTACAGTGATGATATGATTGCTGTTTTCTACAACCTTGGACCTCGGTACTACGGTAACTTCCAAGATTGCCTGGGGTCTTTCCAGACATACAAGGCTTCTGCAACCCTCAATTTACGTAACGAACATCTCCACCCTGGCAAAGAAGAGACCTCAGATATCGTCACTGCCATTCGGAGGCGGGCGAGTACTTTAATTCGCGAGAGCTCAATTTTGATCAATGTCTCTTCTACTGCTGTTCTGGATGATGACGACAATAATAATGTCGATGAGTCGCAGCTGATTAAATGCTTGTCAAGGCAGGCAGCAAAGAGTTTACAGCAGCTCACGAAAGCGGGTGGTAATGCTGTTGCTGTCAACGGCGCAACTCCAGCTATCAATGATGGGCTAACACAGCCCCAAGGAGTGGGTATTCTGACTGGCGATCCTGTCGTTGCCGTCCCCAGAGCACTTGACGATGCCAGTTGGTGCCTGGGCGGCTGTGCTGCGGTCCACTTGAGCTTAATCCAGGCTGCAAGTACTGC